TCTCTCTCTCTCTAAGTCTTGAAACTCTATCAAGAATCTCAAGCCACCATTTTTTCCCTTCATCCTGTAAAGAGGGACAGAGAGAGATCCTCTTGTTTGGCAAGAACGCAGTTTCAGTCGAAGTCCCGATTTGCTTGGATCTTTCTCTTTCCTTTATCTCATTCGAGAGTCAACGAGAAAAGCGTTATATATATGCATTCAGTTTGGTTTCGATTCTAGGGTTTTCATATTCCCCTAATTTTTTTTGTGGTCAAAGAAGAAAAGCAAAGAACCAATCGAACCAAGAAGAGAAAGACAATTTCAATTTCAACTTCAACATCTCTCTCTCTCTCTCTCTTATATTTTAAGGTGAGACCACACCAGAACTTTAATTTTTTTTTTTCTTCCCTTCTTTTAATATATTCTTTGAATTTTTTTCATTAATTCATCTACCCCTTTTTATAATTGTGGCTGGATTTTCGTTTCGTTTGGTCTTTTAATAATATCTATCTAATGTTTGTTGAAGATCTCGAGTTGAGTCATCATCGTAAATGACTATGAACAACGGCCGCAACAATTCATCAATTCAAGAGCAACAAGAGAAAGGTTTAAACTTCATCAAGATTCAGTACTAAGACCCATCTCAAGAGAAAAGGAAGCAAGATTTAGTCCAATTTCAAGAAAAAGAAGAAGTAATCTTGATCTTTATCCATCACAAGACAAGGAGCGATATTTTTGGCAAGAACAGCAACCAAAATCTTGATTCAAGAAACCATCTCTCGAATCAGGATTTCTCCCAAGGAAAATCAGATAATTCCTCATGGATCTATCCCTAGCTCCGACAACAACAACAAGCTCCGACCAAGAACATGACAGAGACCAAGAATTAACCTCCAACATCGGAGTTAGCAGCAGCTCCGGCACCACCGGAAACAACAGTGATTTCCCGATGATGATGATTCCTCCGCCGGAGAAAGAACACATGTTCGACAAAGTGGTAACACCAAGTGACGTCGGTAAACTCAACCGGCTCGTGATCCCTAAACAACACGCGGAGAGGTATTTCCCACTAGACTCGTCAAACAACCAAAGCGGCACGCTGTTGAATTTCCAAGACAGAAACGGCAAGATGTGGAGATTCCGTTACTCGTATTGGAACTCTAGCCAGAGCTACGTGATGACCAAAGGATGGAGCCGTTTCGTCAAAGAAAAAAAGCTCGACGCAGGAGACATCGTCTCTTTCCAACGAGGAATCGGAGATGAGTCTGAAAGATCGAAACTTTACATCGACTGGAGGCATAGACCCGACATGAGCCTCGTTCAAAATCATCAGTTTGGTAATTTTGGTTTCAATTTCAATTTTCCGACCACTTCTCATTATTCCAACAGATTTCATCCGTTGCCGGAATACAATTCCGTCCCGATTCACCGGAGCTTGAGCATCGGTAACCACCAACGTTCCTACTATAATACTCAGCGTCAAGAGTTTGTAGGGTATGGTTATGGGAATTTAGCTGGAAGGTGTTACTACACGGGATCACCGTTGGATCAGAGGAGCATTGTTGGATCTGAGCCGTTGGTTATAGATTCAGTCCCTGTGGTCCCCGGGAGATTAACTCCGGTGATGTTGCCGCCGCTTCCTCCGCCTCCTTCTGCGGCGGGAAAGAGACTAAGGCTCTTTGGAGTGAATATGGAATGTGGTAATAACTATAACCAACAAGAGGAGTCTTGGGTAGTGCCAGTGCCACGTGGCGAAATGGGTGCATCTTCTTCTTCTTCAGCTCTGCAACTTAATTTATCGACGGATCATGATGATTGTGATGATGATCAATTTGCTAAGAAAGGGAAGTCTTCGTTTTCTCTAGATTTCACTCCATGAGAAGTGTCATCATCATCATCGTCTTCTTCTTTTAATCTCTCTTTATTTTAGTTCATTACTTAATTTTCCGTGGGAATTATAGATCCTAGCTAGTGAGGGGAAGAACAAAAAACGATCTTCATCGTTTTGTTTTTTTGGTTATAATGAGTTTTGTTTTCGACATGTTTCTTGATGTTCATCACTAGGCTTTTGTCACCATGTTGAAACTCGCATCTTTTCAATTCTGTATATAAACTTATATATAAATATGATTTACATAAAATAACATGTTCACATGTCTCGAATTTTAGCTAACTATATACATACTATTCGGTATAATTCTTTGTTTACTCGTCCTCTTCATCAATTCTATATTACTCTTACTACTTGACACTTTGTCAAACTGCTTTTAGGCTTTAGCTGTAGCATTTCATCAATCAAACAGTGTTCATCATCGTTTATTTTTAAAAAAATTTAATATAATTTGAGATTATAATTGACGAGGGCGAAAAAGCTTATATATTTCATGAATTGTACTCTCTGTGCCTATCTCCCTACACTGACAAAGTGTTTCATGGTACATTCTAAGCTAATGGGCAGGTCCAAAAAAGCCTCTTTTTCTCTCTCTCTAATGGTCCTATTTTGTTTGTTTGGTTACTCTTGTAATTTTGCTCGGTTAAAGAGATTTTTGCAGGTTATGGGCAGTGAAATAAAGAGAAGCTAGCTATGGAAGAAAGGACTGATCCATATAGTAACTCAATTATTTTAAAAAAAAACAAAGAAAACAAAAGGTATGATATGTTTCACATTGTTTGACTTTTTATGATCTCAGATTATTTAATTTCTCATATTTTACTAATTCTAGATTCTTGTTTTGTATTAACCTTCAGTCAATATCTTTGTTTGGATTGTAAGTTGAATTGATTGTTACCAGATCAGGTATCTCTGTAGTGCTCACAAACTCACGACTTCTTTTAGAATGTTAGTTCCTAAATAGTTTGTCAGTTACTATGTATACACATGCCTCTGCATATACATAGCTGCTCTCATATATATGTATATATGTACATACGTAATTTACATATGCATGAGTAAAACTAAATTGATATGTTATAGTCTATGTGGAACTTTTACATTTAGCCTTAGGGATTTTACTTTTCATATATCCTACGATGTTCAATAGATTATAGCAATATTCATTGGTCTTATACATGTTTATAGTTTCCTATGCAAATACTAATTTCTTGACTCATTCGTTTAGTACATGCATTATAGTAAAAATATGATCACTTAACTAACTTATATCAACTCTCAGATCATGTCTAAATCTCTACTATATATATGCTCATGTATACATGTATACACACACACACACGTTAAGGACATAAGGAGAAAAGGTCCTTCATAGAATTGCTATTGATCTATTGTCCATTGTCCATTCATATATATTGCACAATTTATTCGTAGGTTTTATTTCTCTACCATTGTGCATGTAGACAAATGTGTGTTTACTTTTATATATAGATAAATAGACATTTTGTGCACCAATATTTCATGTGAGCACATGAATGCGCGAAGATTTTAATGAATTTGTATATCTTTCGATAAGTATGAGTGTTCATACCATTCTAAATTGAATTTGTATATATATCTTTCGATAAGTATGAGTGCTTATACCATTCTAAACTGAATTTGTATATCTTTCGATAAGTATGAGTGTTCATACCATTCTGAACTCCATATATATTGGAGATCAAACATATAGGGTTTAAGTGTGTGTGTGCGCGCGCGTGCGTCATGAACGTGTATGCGTCTTAAAAAAAATGGTATGCATGCGTATGTGTATGTCTGTATACAAGTACTCACAGTGAACATCAGATAGTTAATTATATAAGGCGGAAATGGAGATTAGACAATATAAGCATACATATGTACGTTAATTTATATGAAAATTCCGCATTTCTTCAGTATAGGGGACAAAGTTACAAAGGTATAAATATAATTAAACACAGTTGCAAAGGGCAGGGTGCTCAAATGGAATATGTAAATACGTATTCCAAATAGTCTATAAGTGGCTAGATTCATTTGGGTAGACATGTCTCAAAAGGCTCGTGCATAGTTGTCAAATTAAAGAATATAAATATACTTTTATATTCAAAAGATCGCATAGAATATAAAAGAAGATATAATGAAATAAAAGGGAATTATTAGTGAAAAGTACGGATGGGATTTTTTAAAAAAAATATGAATCACTAAAGCACACATATTGTAACATATCTAAATGATCAGCTGTGTAAGAATAAAGAGAGTAAATGACATGCTCCAATTATTGTTAAATAAAATTAAACAATTCATTCTCATAAGATTCCTAACCTAAAAGAGACTTGCAAATATGTAGGCCGGTTAGGGTTTTTATAGGCATGATTGATAATGAGAAGGAAACTTCGTATTGGGGCTAATGGGTTCTCCCCTTTCTTCTACATTTTAAAATAAAAAGTAATAATTTAATAGCTAGCTAGTTCGACTTTTAATTAACCGTTTCATTTTTTTTATATGTTTATCAAGTTATGTACTTCTTTTTAATGGTAATTATTAGATCTATAAGATCCATTTCCAGAACTTCTTGATTGTTGCATAGCTCCTGTTTGCTTTCTGGCAATGAGGTAGCTTATAATGATACAGTATATTGTTTTTACATAACTCATTTCCATCACAAATCCTGAACTATATATGTCAGGAAAATAAGATCACTGTAGTAACATTAATGAAACCACTAAGCTTTCTGATCGCTTCCATATAACACCACTGTTCCAAAGCTTTATACCAGGTCATGGTCGCTTCCAATAACTAATCCGGATTTTATAATTTAGTGTAAAAATAGGCTTAATAATATGATGTATATAGGTAATAGAGCTCTTAAAGTTGAGATATACGGTATTTCAAAATGTTACGTCACATGATCAAGTTTTTTGCAATTTGAATTAGGGTATATATAAGGTAATTTATTGAAGTTTGGGGGTCCGAAAACCCGGTTAGTGCAAAAATGGGCCTGCCAATATATAAAGAAAGTTCAAAAACTAGCTCATATATAGGCCCATTCAGGTTTAGAACAGTAGCCCGGAATCTAATTGCTTCGTCGAGAGAGAGAGAGAGAGAGAGAGCAATGGCGAGTGATTACAGATGCGTGGGTTGTGGGTTTAGGGTTAAGTCTTTGTTCATTCAATACTCTCCCGGAAACATTCGTCTCATGAAATGCGTAAGCTTTACGATTCTCTTTGATCCAGAAATTCGTTTAATCTTGTCGATTTTTGTTTCTTTAATTTTTGCAATTTTTTTCCAAAGTTTCCATCTTTGACTTTAAGATCAACAAATAATGTCTATTTAGGGAAATTGCAAGGAAGTAGCAGACGAGTACATCGAGTGTGAACGCATGGTCTGTTTCAGTCACTGATTAGTTTCCATTTTTGGCTCTCTTTTTTGTTTGTTTGTTTGATTGTTTTATTTCTTTTGGGGTTTTTATGCTTTGGCAGATTATTTTCATCGATTTAATCCTTCACAGACCCAAGGTTTATAGACACGTTCTGTACAATGCAATCAATCCAGAAACTGTAAATATTCAGGTAAACTATTCCAATTCATCTTCTTGCAGTTTCCCTTCTGATTCTAGCTCTCTGATCTTGAATTGGTATTACAAAATGTCTGTTTTTTGAAAACCCTTTTCCATGTAGTCTGTATAATTTGAAGTTTCAGGTTTCAATGCTCAAATTGATCAATGCCTTTGGAAAAATACCACTAAGTCTTAATATCTTACTCAATTTTGTTTTGCAGCATCTGTTGTGGAAGCTGGTATTGGCGTATCTTCTTCTAGACTCTTGTATCCTTTTGTTTCATACTCTTTTCACTGTCAAAGTAGATAGCAATTGATGGTAGTTTTAAAGCAAACACATTTGAAAAGCCTTAAAAATCGTCAAAGATAGAAGCTTTCTACTGAGAAGAACTGATCAGGGTTGGAGCTTTACTGAGAGCTCAGGTCTTATGTCTGTAAAGGTTAGATCTTTTGTTGTTAAAATCATAATTGAATCACTCGCTTTCCTCTTGAGGTTTATTATGTGTTGGTCATTGAACAGTATTTTTTGCATGTAGCAGGTTCTCATCGGCGTCCTATCTGCAAACGTTGCATTTATCTTCTCTTTCGCCATCGCGGCTAAGGGTTTGCTGAATGAAGTTTCCAGGTGATTTTATTCTTCTTATTGTGATTTTTCTTTTGATTGTGTATGAGATTCTATTTTCAAAGCTTCCCCGGAGTTTGATTTTTGTATGATTTTGTTGAAAACTTGGGCAGAAGAAGAGAGATTCTAATGGGAATATTGGTCTCGAGTTACTTCAAGATCTTTCTGCTAACTATGCTGGTATGTTGTAGCGTTACCTCTCACTTTAGTCCTATATATCGAAGTAACCAAGTTGTTTGCTGAAAAATGTAGAATCTTGGTTGTTACAGGTATGGGAATTCCCAATGTCAGTGATCTTCATTGTAGATATACTTGTCTTAACATCAAACTCCATGGCTCTTAAAGGTCAGACCTTCAAAAAAAAAAATCTGTTCTTTATGCATGAATGTATCATCAGATCGACCTTAGACAAGTTTGTTATTGTTTTAGAATCTCACACTATTCAAGTTGTTTCTCTCGTGCTTTTTGTACCAGTGATGACTGAATCAACCATGAGCAGATGCATAGCCGTATGCTTGTTCGCGCACTCGGTTAGATTCTTGGTGGGTCAGATCTTTGAGCCAACAATGTTCTTGACACAGTTTGCATCTCTAATGTCTTTTTTATTCAGATTCGTGTGATCTGTTATGTAAAAGCTGCGAACTACACCACAAAAGGATACTTTTACTATTACACACCTTTTGTATCCCTTTTTTCTTTCTACATACATTTTTTCCCCCTTCTTTTCTATTTTATCTTCTCTACATACATTAATCGGACACAACTTCACACTTAACGGGCGAGAAAACAGAGCAAATAAACCAAAACAAGAACAAAAAATTGTGAGCAAGAATCGGATTTGACCTTTTTTACCCAACTGCAACGATCCAACCAATGATGGAGATGAGCAATAAGAAGCCAATGATCATGTTCCTGAGATAGATCCTCTGTGAACTCCTTTGACTAATCTCCTCTAAAACAATCCAGTTCTGCTTCACGGTGTTGGTGGGTGAAGTTTTCTTGGTCGAATCTACAGCCATTTTGCACTCACATTCGCTTTTCCGTTTATTCATCACCTGCAAAACAGATCCATATCACACAATTTAACATTTAACAAGAAAATTGACTGACAAATTTATGATTTGAGATTTTGTATCGAAATCATGTAACAGACCTTTACATCGCCCTGCAACTGTGCCTCATAGTTGTGCAAAGGCTCAACAGTAGTCAACAATGGAACATCATCTACAGGGCTATGGTACGGTCCACTTGAACTACCAACACTGTCTGTCGAGCTCCAAGCGTCTTTGCAAATCTGTTAAAAGCCAAAATTTTGATGTATGAGAAAATATAAAACAGAAGAGATATACAGATCCTGATTATATATATATGTGTGCGTGTAAAGTCGTTACCATTGAGTCAGTGTCACTATCACTGCTATCATCTGCAAAAACCCCTGTCACCGGGTTCTTCGGCTGGTGAATGCTGAGATTCTCTTGCATATATGTCCTTTCATCTAGCAAAGAGTCAAAGTTCTGTTCAACCAAACTCTTCCAAATATCCTGATCATCGTCATAAGGGGCCGAGTAAGGAGCTTGTTGTTGCGCGTTGCAATTGCTATTGAACCACTGGCCCTCCTGGTTTAGTAAACCATAGTCATAGTCAGAGAAAGGGTTGAAAGATGCTGAATTTTCTTGAACTGCTGGGTTCATGTTAAAGCCGCCATGAAAGGGCTGCTCCTGATTTGCTGAACCATACTCAGGGAAAATGTTGTAAGACCCTGGATTCCCTTGATGTGGTTGGTCGATCTGAACAAATAAAACAGTTTTAGAGAGAAATGCAAAATCAAGTTTCTTCTTGAGGTAAAGAGGAAACAAACAGTGTGGACAGTGACGACTCACCACAGAGCCTGCACTATGAGTGGCTCTGGCGACAAAAGTGGGACTTGGCTCTATTGCTTTACCAGTTAGCATGTTCCTGTCGTCACCTTTATATTCCAGTCTACAGATGACATAGGTCCTCTGTCAAAAACAATTATCAGCACTTTTTAGTTCATTGGTGAAAAACATATTCAAACAACAGATTTTGGACCTCAAGCTTTTTTTTCTCCATTACTCAAACATTGGTCAGGTCTTAGCTCAGTGGTTTAAACAAAACATCCATTCCCATAAAGTCATATTGTCACAATTAGGATCAAAAGAGAATACCTCTTCTTCTGGTGGGAGGGTGTAGTGATACTCGTGAATCACCCAATCAGATTTGGAGCCCTTGGAGCTTGCGTTTCTTCCCCTGTGGAACCCTAAAACCCTCTTCTGACCAATTTTTCCAGGAGCTCCACACCAGAAGCCCCACTGATCCTTAACATCCACAGACTCTCCGGTGAGTTTCCAGAAGCCGGACCCAGAAATCGTTCTCCGGCTCTGTCGATTCCCACTCGCGTACTTGTTTTCCCTACGAGAGAAGAAATACCACACAGGATCTCTCGATTGGACCTTAGCTTGCACTGATACATGAAGGAGCAAGAGAGAGAGAGAGAGAGAGAGACCACAAATACCCCTAAATCAGAAATCAAAAACGAGTTGATTCTTAAAAAAATTATCCAAAAAAGTATCGAGAACTTACGACGCAGCTCCCAAGGATCGAAACTACAGATGTTGACTTCGTTGATGGATTGTACGGCGCGGTGATTTCCGCCGATTTTGTGACGGAGAAAAAAACCGACGAGCTCATCGTCCGTCGGACGGAATCCAAACCCCACCTCACCCTCCATTTTTACTCGGAGGTCTTTCGGTGGTTTCCGGGAAATGGAGGAATTCACCGCCGGTCGCTCTCTCTCTTTCTCCGATTATATATTTATTTTCGGATTTGGTTGATTTAATATTTGGAGGGAGTAGAAGCGAGAGCAGGTGTTTATATAGCCCCCAGAAATTCATTTTATTTAAATTTAATAAGCATATTTTGGTTTGCTTTTGGTTTTGGTTTTCACATAACCATTTTACTTAGATATATTTTCTTCTTTTTTTTTGGTTCAGTTCAGTGTTTCATTTATATTAAGATATCTAAAAAGATAAATTATAGTAAGATTTTCATCTGCAATTCTGCATTTCTTCTACCTATATAGAACTAAAGATTTCTTTAATAAACATAATTACATTTATATAATCGATTTTTTATGGTTTGAATTTTTTATAGAATCGGTTTAGTTGAAGGGTCTTTTTGTTCTATAACCATATTTGCAAAACAATAGAAGAATATGGCCATGCTGTTTGAAAAATTAGTAAACTAATTATGATTTATATTCAATTGTCGAAAATAGTCATGTACTATATATTATATATTATACTATATATCAATTTATAGAATAATTCTATTTGATATAGTATTTATAAAAATATTTTTTGTAAAGAAAAAAAAAGGGAAGAAGACGAGAGAGGAAGGGAGGAGAGGGAAGGGGAAGGAAAATGGAAGAATGAAGATGATATGAGCGTAGGTGGCAGAAGAGATTGAAAGGGGAAAATATAAAAGAAGAAAAGAAGATCGAAGGAGAAATGAATAAGGGCAAAAGAACGAAAGAATATTTTTGTATATATTGTAAAATATACAAAAAATATTATAATACCTAATTTATTATGATTATTTGATTAATTTAGTTTCAAAATATGGTTATATGACTCAATTTCCCTTAGTTGAACCAAATGAATATACAATATATTTGAAAAAAAAAAAATTCTTAAATTTAGGCTTAGCGGGCAAGCTGGGCGGTGTGAGGTGGGCACCACAAGAAAGGAGAGAACTGGAATCTGTCTTCTGCTATTAAAGTATTATTAACACACACATAATTCATAATAGTTGAACAAAGCAGAAGCACACACACAACATTATATGAAGTTGTGATCTTGAATCGTATGAAGTTGTGGTTTAATCCATCTGTAAATCTGACCATTTGATTATATAAGAATATATAGAATTTTCAAAAATCATAATAAACAAATCTTGGAAAAATTCAAGCGATAGACGTGTGCTTACGAAGTTTATAGAACTTGGAAGCAGTTGATTTTTGTTTTTCTATGGCGTCACGAAGTAGGTGATTATAAAATTATAAGATCCCTATAAAATGTAATGGATTCATGTTTCCAACGTTGTATTGCTTTTTTGCCTTCTTGGTATTCTTGTACCTATACAAATTCATATTCATGCATTTGGACAAATAATTATGCATGACATATATAGATAGTTCGCCTGATGTGGACAAAAGCAACATTATAAAGATAAAAATCTTAAAGAAGATTTGATTTCGTATCTCCAATTGACAAAGTAAATTCATGACCAGACTTGTTTACTTTTGAATTTAAAGTATAGTATAGAGAAAGTAATTTCAAATGTTGGCCAATAGGGGACTTCCCTCGTAAGAAAAGAATATAGTATTCATACTCACAAACAAATAAAACAAAATCAAAATATATTAATAGAAGTCAAACTTCACTCACATCTTTAATAAAGACACTTGTACCTAATTTTTCCACGATCATTGAATTCAAGGTTTCTCTAACATCTTATATAGTTATATTGGTATAATCTTGGAAAATTTGACTTCAAAGCTCAAGTGAAATTAACTCTGCAGTTTTTTGGTGTTTTTTGAACAAAATGGAGAAATGACTGTGTCGAGGCGTTGAAAAAAAAAAAAAGACTTTGTCTCAAGGCTGACTTCAGAGAGCTGAATTGAGCCTTGACAAAAGGCCCATCAGGTTTAAGTATTTTGGCCCATAAATAATGGTTTAGACGCAGCACTCTAACATTTTTGTCGAATACAAATTATCAAAACATTAGTGTTCTTCACCATTTCCACCTCTCCTATAGTCAAGTCATATGTATAATTTGCCCCTAAATTTTCTTTATACCACTATTTTGAATTTTCGACGGAACTGTAAATGCAGATTAAAAAAGAAAGGAAGAAGATCATACGTTTAAATTTTCAAAAAAACTGCCAAATATGTATTTTAATTATTCATATTATCATATATAAATTACAAGAAACGTTCAAAGCTATTGTTTTTTTTTTCATAGTTATATATATATTTTTTGTTATTAAAAATACAAGATAGAACCACTTTAATTTTGTTGTTGTTGTTAAAGCACTTTAAAATATAATTTAAAACCAAAATATTATTAAATTATAGCAAATACCCTTAAGTAATAATAATGAAAATTCCCTTTGAATATCTATAAATGTATGTGTGATGGTGAACAAAAGAAAGAAGATTAACACTTACTTTAAAAAGAAAACTAACATATAAAGTATAAACAATGGAGTGAAGTTTTTAGTTTCGTTCGAAGTTATTATTATATAGTTCAAGTAGGGGTTAAAACTAAGAAGTGACATGTAAAGCGAAAAAGGCGACCACATTTTCAGCGCAAATGATCGACCCCTCCTTTTACATTATTTTAACATTTTAGTGTGGAAGTTTTGGGTTATAAATTAAGCACTATAGCCTAAAGACCGTCCAAATCAAATGTTTCAATCTTATTAGGATCCGATAATAATACTTTATCAACTGACAGATCTCCTTTTGGAAATTAAGCTCAAGAATTCATGTGGTTTGCACTCACACATGTCCTCTTTTTTTCGTTTGGAATTTTGCTTTCCACCAGTTTGTTTGTGGCACACTTGCTGGTATCAAAAGAAAACATTCCAACAGAATTTAGCATTATAAACTTTTTATTATAATATTAGCGTGCTAATGACATACTAATCACGATGAAAATGAAAATTTGATACGTAATTCTGATACTATTAGCGTGTTAGCATGTCGTAAATATATAGCTAGTAAATGTGATTTCGTGATGAAAATGAAACTGTCTGCCTCAAAAAAAAAATGTTTTTAGTGATGATCAATTTTTTTTTAAAATAACAAAAAAAAAACCGATTCTTTGTTGTTTTTAAACGTACATATAATTGCCAAATTCGAAAAGATAAGGGAATTTCTTCTTCGATTTATCATATTTGCTTTTATAATTTGGATAGACACTAATATTAACTAATATTAAACATTATGCATGTCGGCGTCTTGCTTGCTGCATACTTAGAATTGCTAGTACAATATTTGTTGTTATTATAGTAGCACATATGTTTAATGGCCTTATATATGTAGTAAGATAGTGCCATGCCTTCTCATCAATGTGTATGATCTTTGTCGTTTTCTTCAAAGCGCTTTGATTTTCGGGATTTTCCCTTATTAATGTCTTTGTATTTTTACTAATATAAGTATATTTTATCAAGGCTAATTTAATTAGTCCTATTTAAGTTAACCTTACTCCTTCGGTTGAACTCCTGTCTTGTTTTTCCCTAGTTCTTACTTAGTCATCGTAAAACTTAAAACTCTAATACATACTTCGTTTTGTCTCCCATTGTTTTAACGTATATCCCAACAAACTTTGTGTCTCAGTTAAAATATATGTACAGGTACACATTTAACCCACCTGATGAAGAGCTCATTAGCTATTACTTGAATAACAAGATCAGGGAGAAGGATGATTTAGAGGACAGACAAATAAACGAGGTCAATATATGCCACCATGAACCTGCAGATTTACCTGGTGAGTTATATAATATAAACTTTGATATCCTGAGCCCTAAATCTCATGTTTAGGACCTGACATTTTTATGTGTGATATGAAAGGGCTGGCGAAGATAGAATCGAGTCACACTTGGTACTTCATATCGCTGGTGGAGAAGTTTGGGAAACTGAACCGGACAAAGAGAGCGTCGAGGACAGGACACTGGAAGATAACCGGGAATAGCTCAACGGTTAAGGATGCTGATGGTAACCCTATCGGTTTAAAGAAGTTTCTTGTTTTCCAAGAAAGCAAAAGATGTTCTACTAATTTGTCATCCACTATAACCCAACAACACAAGTCTCCTTGGATCATCCATGAATTTCATTCCTTTCTCGACCACCCCAACAAGGTATACATCTATGGATACATATGTGTTCATATATATATATATATATATATATAAATTAAGAAAGAGATCGAAGCATTAATGGCTCTATAAACTATATGTGAAGGACGCCTTTGTTCTCTGCAAACTAATGAAAAGAATAAGAAGTAGAGGGAGCGCCGCCATCTCAGAGGTGGCGACAGAGTTTTCACCCATCCTCACTACAGCCCCTATAACTAACCACTCCCAGGTAATTTAAATATATATGGGAGCAAATACATAAATTTGTTACAAGTCTGTGTATGCAAATTATATAAATAGGGGTGTCCGATGCGATTTTTGGTTCATAATGAATTATGAATCTATAAACCAAAAATATTTTATACTAGATGCTGATGGAGAACAAGAACATCGTTGAAGATTATGGAGGAGATTATTGTAATGACTTAGAAGATCTTCTCCCAGAAGTTCACACCACTAACTGGCTTGATCACTCTCAATACTCTCATCAGTTCGATCATTTTCACTGGGGAAGTTTCACCGATATAACGCAGGTACGAACGTCAAATTAATGATAATTAATTTAATTATTGCTTTGTTAATTTGTTATCCTAAAAATAATAAATTATTTATTCGTTAATTTTTATTAAGACTGCCAAGCTGTGGCCACTAGTAAAAAGTGATAACACGAATCTATTGTGTTTTCTTTTAAAGTAAAACATTCTATGTTAGTCACTCAAATATAATTTTGGTTTACTGCCTAGTAATAGTTTGGTTCAGAGTTTTATCGGAAAATCAAAAAATTGATTGTCTGAAATATAGTTTGTCAAATATTAACTATAATTCTAATTTATATTTATAAGTAAATTTATTATTTATATTAGTAATGGTTATGGTGAAAATTTGTAACAACACAATTAAATTTGATTTGTTCTTCAGCCATTGGAAGGAGGAGAATCCAGCGGTCTCCCTCTGGGAGAAAATGGACACGTGAACGGACAAAACACCACTGAAAACTCGAATGTAAGACAACTTTTAAGGAAAACATTTTCTTCACCAACTTTAACGAGAATAATTTCATTTGCTGTTTTATTAATTCAGAAATATGTTTGATTCTCTGTTCCGCAGCATTTGGAGTTAGGGGTGTACTGGAACGGCATGAAGTAGCAGTGGTGGTGGGCCAGGAATCGTTTCCAAACGCCAATAACGACCAAATCTAAACACGTGACTTGATTGGACCACGTGGAAACATCTGTTGCACGCGCCGCTCTTACTTTTCGATAAATTCGAGAAATCCAAAAACCATCAAGAAAGGCTATTTGGAATCTTGGATCTTTTTACTAATTTCATTTTTATCATTTTGTATTTTGTGTTCACGATCTCCCACAAAAGTGGCAGGTGCAAGTTTTTTATTCAAAATATTAAGAAAACTGGACCAATAACATAGCAAGAAAGAACCACACGTTAACTAGGCAAAAATAGTAACCAAATCATAATATTATCCAGTGTATTGAGTTTTCATCCATAATTCAAATTGGACATTTAATCCATATATAGTGTAGTAGAGATTAATTAACGGACATGCACTCGAGCAGTTGGGAAATTAAAACACGTACGAACAAGAATAGATTAGGAAATAGTTCAAAGACCACATGGAGACCAAAAGTGAACCAACTCAGCATGATACCAACAACTAAAGCAGATTATGAATCACTAAGCCATCTAATTAACTAACCTGTAAACCAGATTATTAATCCAAACGATATTGACCTTAATTAATCCAAGGGGTTCTTCGCTAATTCAGCAATACTATAAACATAACTAATTAACCTAAATTTAATCGGCTTAGGGCTGAACTAGGTTTATAGTTGACCCTAGGTAAACCGTTGGATGCTCCATTCTGATCGAGTAAACCCTAGAATTAAAAAAAACAAGAGAGAGATCGATAACAATGCAGAATTGGGTTTTAAGCTAAACAAAGGCGAAAGAAAAAAGAAAACTCCTTAAAACTTAAATAATAAATTAGAAACAAGGTACGCATGCACTTAATCAACCAAAAAGGTTATAATAGTCCATATTAGTGTTTTATTTATGGCGGTGGTGTCTTCATTGCTAATATCTAGTTAGACTGGTAGTTTTTTTTTTGTTGATTCTTTTTTTTTTTTTTTTTTTTTGTAACATGATTTAGGTTGATTGTTTGACGATTTTAAACAAGTTCAGAGTAATATTTGTAAACAGTATTTCAGTATTATAAACCCATGTTCAAGCAGACATGATTTCTGGAAAATAATAGAATTATTATAATGATGACACCTTTCTTCCACTATGCCTCAAAAAGAAAACGAAACAGAAAAAGAAGAAGAGAGTAGAGAGTTAGCAATGACTTTTCCTGATGGAGTTTGAACTTTGGACTTAAACAACACTATTGCGCCTTTACATATATATGATAGCTGGACAGTAAAAGAGACTCTTTGTCAAAGTGTCAAAGAGAAAAATAAAATCAAAGTTCCATAGAAAACTAGAGATAACAATTAAAGCGAAATAATAAAACAATTTTTTCACCTAACACCTTATAATCTATTAAGGCTACATACTTGACGCATACAATGTGGAAAGATACGGAAAATGGAGCATATTCACATTTTCAGTTTTCCACGCATTAGAAAGTAGTAACTGCACGCTGCAATAACTCTGACCGACAAGCTTAATTATTTGATGAAATGCAAATAATCAACCTACGAAATCTAGAAATTCTAGTTGCAACTTGCAAGCTTATTTCAAGTGTCATTGTAGTGGTAGATTGTTGAAAAACTCTCTTTTTGACCCCTGTGCCTTGAGTTTAAACATGATAGATATATATATATATATATCTTCTTTTTCTTCACTAAATTAATTTAAGTTACCCTATGAAAATTATATCTATCTCCGCCACTCATACTCACTCTTATCCACAAGCTTAAAGGTCTGACAAAATAACTTGTTGTTGACCGATATAGCAGAACTCATGTAAACTGAAAGAATTATGGTTCTAGAATATATAATTTGTTTACAAGTGACACAGTAAAAAAGGGAAGAAAAAAAGAAGAAGTTTGCATTGGTCTAATTGGGTTTTGATTTAAGCATCAACATGATAACAACATGCACGTGGTCTACAAATGATGTAGACTAAAAGAGACTTTTGACATGAACAAAACTAAGTATTTGATTTGATATTAATTTTTGTTTACTTTCGTTGAATATGAAATTTTGTGGGTGTTTGGTAGGACCGTTGGGGTAGAGGTTGATTGCTACGTTCAAGAGAATTTTACAAACTTTACTAATTATATATAGTATTAAGATGATACAACTTTGTCTTCTCTATCCACTTCTTATCACAAAATTCACCCTTTCTTATATATACACATTAGGACAAACATACAAAATGGGAACAAGATAGACATAGGTTAATAGTTTTACAAATTCGGGAAAAACAAAAAGTGATCTTGATCTCTTTTCTTTTTCGCAGCTGATCTCATTCATGAATGATCATGTTCATGAGATAGAACAACATAGCTGAATCTTCTTGATGAATCTTTGTATAGTCGTGTAAAAGAAACCAGCTCTTTTGTTGCTGATCGTCTCTTGACCCAATTGATGCTCTCCAATATCTTGGCTCACCTAGAAACATATCAAAGAACCTAAAAAAATTAGTATTTTCTTGTGATATCAATGATTGGCGCAAAGTAGCAAGATTAGCATTTGAGTATAGTTTACTCACAGGCTCACCTTTTCAGATAACTTGATTGTTGAGTTAGGAGATTCCTGGAGGCCTGTGTTTTGGTCTATGCGGTGATTGGAGCTACCAAAACTATCACTAGTGCTCGAAGTTTGAATGGAACTCTGTCATGTGTAGCAAAACTTTAGCTTTGTGAGGTGAAATCTGAAAACAGAGGAGATTATCAAGTCAAGTTTTTGCGTACTGTTGTTGCAGAGATGAAATCAGAATCACTATCATCACTGCTATGACCAATGAAGACGCCGGTCAGTGACTTTTTGGGTATGTAATCGTTGCGATCCTCTTGCACAAACATATTATTCCCCTGCTCCTCGTCGTTATTGTTGATAAAACTGTTCAAATCATCATCTGACACTTTGTCAAGAGCCCTGCGAATTGCAGCTCCGAGTTGAGCTTCTTGCTGCTCATCAATAATACCACTAAACTGACGTGGATTCTCTAGCTCTTGGCCATGGAGGCCTTCAAACGACGATCCCTGGAAAAGGTAAAGAACACAAATGAGGTCGTTGTATATGAAATATGATTCTGGAGATATACAGAGCAATCACCTCAGGGTTGTTCACATGAGGGATCATTAAAGAGTGACTATGCTCAATTCCACTAGCAGCAGCAGAAGGAGGAGAAAGCTTTCTCTTGTCACCCTTAAACATAACTTTACAGAACGTATATGTCATCATCATCTGTACAAATCAAACACGACCCAGAAACAGAAATCAACCAACTCACAATCGCAGCAATAGCAACAACACATACTCCCCCAAAAAACGAGTCAAATCAACTCGGAATGTTAATACGGCTACGAGCAATCAAATCGCAGCAACAACAACAACAAAGACCTAAAGATTTGGATTCGAGAAATGACCTGAGTGGGAGACGAGACCGTAGCGACGTATTCGTGCATAACCCAACCGGATTTCGATCCACCGAGAGCCTTACTGTAGTGAAACACTAAAACCCTTTTCTCACCGATCTTCTCGCGATTTCCCCTCTTGCGCGTGATGTCCATGGTTACTCCGGTTTTCTTCCAAAACCCAGTTTTCGTTTTTCTGCTCTGTCGATCACCTCTTAGCTCCTTCTTACAGCCGAAGAAGAACCAGACCTTCTCTGTCGATTCCATCTTCGACTGGGCTGGGAAAGATCAAAACCAAAAAAAAAGTGGGGAAAATCCCTAAATCAGAAATTAGCCGATGATTCGATATAATACAACTATAAGACTTACAAGGTAACTCCCATGGATCAAAGCTACAGATATCGACTGTGCTAATGACTTCATTGACATGACTCGTGTTATTATCCTGATTTTTTCGCCGGAGGTAATGGTCGACGATCTCCTCGTCGTTCGGACGGAATCTAAAACCTACCGGATTCACCATTTCTAGAGACCGGTCAAAGCTTCAGATCAAAAACGAAGGGAATAAAAAAGAAAAGGAAAATTATCAGAATATGTTGCAGAGAGCTTCTTCCATGGTTATGTTCTGCAAGTTATAAACGTAGGAGAAAGACGAAGGGGTTTTATAGTCCCCGATAATAAAATTCGAAAAAATCTAAATAAAAGGGAAAAATATAATTAAATGGCAAAATTAACTTAGTAGATACGATATTTCAAACTGTAAATGGTTTTAGCCTTTTGTTAAGTCTTGGAATCGTATACGTGGCACGTTTGTTTATCACTTGTCGGATCAATTCTTATTTTTAAATTTTTTAACTTTTAGTGTCATGGAAAATCAAATAGACATGATATCCTTAATGATCCTTACCATACCCATCTTTTTTTTTCTTCTTCTGTGTGATAAATCTCCTCCTTACCAATCTTTTTGTGTGTGTGTGATATAAATCTAAAATCTCCTTACCAATCTTTGGGTAAAAAGTTATATACTAATTTTGCATTTTGGACAAAGAGTAATACTGTATAGTGGACAAACATTTTTCATATATATAATTATTGCACTTATCCTGTGGCAGTAATTTTCTGAACAAAGGTTGCTTGTGACAGTAGTTACTACCATCGCGTCATAAGAATATACTGTACATTTTTCTGTTGAATATACAGTATTTCCCATTTTGTGGATATATTAGGATGAGCATATATATGTGTATATTGTATATTTTTAGTCAAATAGGATGAGCATTATATATATAACTTATAAGAAAGACAAAAAACGTTAACATCGATGGCCCATGATTTTTTATGTCAAAACAAATTACGGTGATAAAAAGCACTAAACCAGAGTCAATTTGGAACCTTCCTCGAAGGCGCGTCGATTATAAAACACAAGGAAAATAAAGAAAAGAAATTGACATCAGCATTAGCATATAACATCAATTTTAAATTAGAGACGACGTAAAATAAAACATTTAGATTACGTTTATGTGCACATCTGCAGAGTAAGATGGACCACACTTGATGAAGATCATTTTCATATGATTACAGCAATTAAAAAATATTATGAATGGTGAAAATTAGTGAAATAGCTTTCTAAACCATGAAAGTTTGAATACATATTATACCATTCATCACCATATATATATAGCTTTGCCTTTGATAACTTGTTTTAAATGATAGAAATATGGATACGATGACAATAAATAAAATAAAAAATTAAGGTTTGAATATTGAATTACTAAAAGAAAAACATCAACTCTAATTCATGCAATCAAATTCTTCCTTCACAAAGAGAAAAGAAAGCATGTGTAGAGTGATTGAGACATGGTAAAGGGCACAACAAGAATATCAGACGCGACTACGATACCTACCAAACACAACAAAAACTAAAGAAGTTGATAAGATCTATAAAAGCGGTTTTTTATTTCATTTTTTTTTTTAATAAAGAGTTAAAAAAATTTAGTTTCACCTTCTCTAGAGACGGCCTTTGCATCTTAAAATCAATAACGACGAGTGCTAGTCGCTAGAGCAGTCCAAAGCATGCTTAAACCCCGAAGCAGATATATTAACATTCATAATATGATTAACTTATACAAAACTTAAAAGGTTTGTAAAACTTCTCGATGCAAATTTCAATCTTGTTGACCGGTATTGTACGGTGTGAGACATGGGAGAAAGTTGACACGTGTACGGACAAAACACAATGGAAAACTCCAATTTTAGACAACGTTGAGAAAATTATTTTACTTGGCAAATCACATGTAACGAAAATATTCCTTTGCCGTCAACTAAATGATAAAATATTATCCTAAAAAAAACAAAAATGATCAAATATACAAATAATTTGGAACAGTGCAGAAGCGGTGGGCCAGGAATGTTTCCGGACGCCAGCAGTGACCAAATCTAAATATGTAATTTGATTGGGCCACGTAGAAGACAGGCGCCTCTATTGCTTGTAGACAAAGGCTCAGTCACTTTCAACTGCTTCGAGAAATCTAAAACCTAAGTGGCTGTTTGATGCCATTTCTTTGGCTATATACAAATTTTAGATATATAATTTTAGATTTAGTTCCACTGCTAAACTATTTACTAAAATTAAATTTTATTTACAAATGATATTGTAAACAACAAAAGTTATCAACGTAGCATTAGTCTGGTACTCTGGTGTGGTGGTGTTTAGACTTATTACACATCAACATGATTCCACCAATGAATTTTTTCATTTAATGTATTCTTTTTAGTCAAAACAAAAAAACATGACAACATGCACGTGATATGTAGACTTAGAGAGAATCTTTTGCAAAATTAGTTTGATTCGGTAAAAAAAATTATGGGAATTAGGTAGGACTAGATGAGTTGAAGTTGATTGCTACGTCAAAGAAAATTTGACAATTTGTTGGTCCTATCAATTGAAATTACACAAATTTGTCTTTCTATTACCACTTTCTGATCAAAATTATACCTTTATGTATAAATTAGGACATACATACAATACCAACAAAAACACCAAAACAAGATAGACATAAATCATTTGCACATAAACAAGATAGATACAACTCTTACTTCCACAAATTTGGAAACTATAAAAGGTGTTCTTGAATCTTGATCGATCTCATTTACTAGTATCATGTTCTTGAGACAGAACAACATAGCTGGAATTTCTTGGTGAATTTTTGCATCATCCTGTAAATGAAACCAGCTCTTTTGTTCTTGATCATCTCTTGACCCATTTGATCCCCTCTGATCTCACTTCCCTGTGCATCGTCATAAGGATTCATCTTCTTCTCGGATGTATCAATATTGGACACTAACTCGATTGTTGAGCTAGGAGATTCTTGCAGGTCTGTGTTTTGGTCTATGCGGTGATTTGAGTCGCCAAAACTATCACAAGTGCTCGAAGTTTGAATGGAACTCTGTCGTATATATGAAACAAAACTTATGAGATGAAATATGAAAACAGAGGATTATTAAGGTTTCAAGTAAATTTGTTGCTTACTGTTGTTGCAGAGATGGAATCAGAATCACTATCATCACTGCTATGACCAGTGAAGACACCAGTCTGTGACTGTTTAGGCCTGTAAACGCTGCGATTCTCTTGCACAAACATAATCTTCCTCTGCTCATCATCATCAAAATCGATGAGGTAATCTTCAAAGATCCCAGTTTCTTGCTGCTCATCAAGAATACCCCAAAACTGATTTGGATTATTCTGTAATTCCAAGGAAGATCCCTGGAAAAGGGAAGAACACAAACGATCAGAGTCTCTATGACTATGATATCGAAGAAGTGGAGAGAAATTGATTTTAGATTTGACCTACCTCTGTCTCTGTACTCAGTCCTACAGGATCGTTCCCATGAGGGACCATTAAAGAGTGACTATGCATAATTCCACTAGCAGCAACAGAAGAAGGAGAAAGCTCTCTCTCGTCACCCTTAAACATAACTTTACAGAATGTATATGTCACCTGTACCAATCATATACGACCCAGAAACGGAAATCAATCAGCTCACCATCAAATCACAATCGCAACACAAAAACGAGTCGAATCAACTCGGAAGTCGGAACTACGGAGCAATCAAATCGCAGCAACAACAACAATAAAGGCCTAAAGATTTGGATTCGAGAAATGACCTGAGTAGGAGACAAGACCGTAGCGACGTATTCGTGCATAACCCAATCGGATTTGAATCCACCGAAAGCCTTACTGTAGTGAAACACCAAAACCCTTTTCTCACCGATCTTCTCGCGATTTACCCTCTTGCGCGTGATGTCCATGGTCACTCCGGTTTTCTTCCAAAACCCAGTTTTCGTTTTTCTGCTCTGTCGATCACCTCTGCTATGTTGCTGCTCCTTCTTACAGCCGAAGAAAAACCAGACCTGCTCTGTCGATTCCATCTTCGACTGGGCTGGGAAAGAACAAAACCAAGAAAAAGGAAGGTAAAATCCCTAAACCAGAGATTAGCCGATGATTCGATTCGATTCGATCCAATACAACAGTAACTGGGGGAAACTAGTAACACTTACAAGGTAACTCCCATGGATCGAAGCTACAGATATCGACTGTGCTAATGACTTCGTCGACATGACTCGTGTTACCTTCCAGATTTTTCGGCCGGAGGTAATGGTCGACGATCTCCTCGTCGGTCGGACGGAATCTGAAACCCACCGGATTCACCATTTCTCGAGACCGGCAGGAGCTTCAGATCAGAAAAAAAAGAAGGGAATGAAGAAGAAAGAGAAATCAAAATATGTAGCAGAGAGCTTTCTCCATTGTTGCTGTTCTGCAAACTGATCTGTAGGAGAAAGACGAAGTGGCTTTATATAATAAACTTTTTAAAAGATAATTTAAAAACTTATTATTATTTTTGTTAACCAGCCGGAAATTTTGATTAAACGGTGACGTCTTTTTTGTGACGTCCGTTCCGTCGGGGAAATACGTGGAATGGTAAGTACGTGGCACGTTTGTGACTTTTTACTTTTACTAATAAATAAATAAATAAGAATCTGAGCCAAACAAAAAAGAGGGATACATGCAAGTTGCTGCAGTCCATTTTTCGACGAAAGAATTGAATCAATTGATATACACATTTTGAAAATAATTTATTACTGCACTCCTCATGTGAGTGTGACAGTAGTTACTGGCTACACGTAAAATATAAATAAGTACATTAATGTTCTTGCGCATGTTTAATTAAAAACGTCGACCGATCCGAAATCTATAGATACGAATCTACGAAATGAAATGAACCAGAAAGTGTCGAACAATCAGTTTTGTTTCTGACCATTTCTGAAAATAAGACTTCGCATTAAAACCAATAAAAAATATAAGAACCAGAAATAATATAAAGGGAAAAGGAATTGGCATACGCATACGACGTGAATATTTAAATGACAAAAAAAAAGAAGCATATGCTTACGCCTTTTACACACATCTGCCGAGTCAGCTATGGATAGATCACTTAATGAGGATAATTTTCATTTGATTATCGCAATTGATTACTACCGAAAAAAAAATGTGAATGTGAGTCGCACTAATCACATATAGTTAAAGTGAGAAATTGAGAATTTGATATATATATTATGAATTTATTGAAAATTACTAGATTCAAACTGTAAAGATTAGTATTATATATCAAATCACTTTTCAAAAAGGTAAAAAAAGTGACGATTTGATAAATATTATGAATATATAATGAAAATTAACTGAAAAGATTAGTATACCAATATACCATTTCATTTGTCACTTTTAAGTTTTAAGTTGCGATACAACAACGAATGCATTTCAATTTCGAAGAATCTTCATTTACAGAAGAGTGTGTTAAAAAGAAACCCATATATTGATTCTTGAAATGAATTAACATTCCTTGACAAAGGAAAAAAAAAAACATATACAGAGGAGTGAGTTGTGGATTACTTGATAAGAAGTAGACCAATGGCAGTGACTATGAGTGTTGAAGGCAAACCGAACTTGAAGTGTTTAGTAAAAGTCAGAGTGTAGCCATGGCTCACTGCTCTACGAGCTTGCTCACACACTATCAGGTTAGCCGCTGAACCAAGCAACGTCAAGTTTCCAGCCACCGTGCTCACCCACGCCAGCAACAGCCACGCCTTCTTCTCCTCCTCCCCTCCCGCGGCTGATGCCGCCACTCTTGCTCCCAACAAAAGCACTGCACACAACAGAAAAACAATTCATTCGAGCTCACAAACAAAACACACGGTTGAGTAGCCAATAATCAGAAAATGCTAAAAATCACAAAACGTGTTTGTTTTCAAGGGAAATGGCGTTACCGGTTGGTACATTGGAGGCTACATTGGAGAGGACAAGAATGACAAGTGCTAGAACCGCGGTTCCTTTGGCCTGGTCGATTTTGGCAAATGGCTCCATTAGCTCCCACAGAGCCGTAGGGATACCGGTTTTGTTGAATCCATCAACGGTTATGAACATCCCGCAGAAGAAGATCAGAAGCGAATACGATACCTGCCAAACACAATTAAACACGTTTGAAAAATGATGGTTGCTTTGTGTTTCAAAAGAGTCAACAATTTGGTTTCAACCTTCTCGAGAGACGGCCTTGCGTCTTTGAAATCAAGAACGACGAGAGCTAGAGCCGCGGTTATCGCGGTCCAGGACATGTTTAAACCCATGAGCAGAGAGATTAGCATCCCTAATGTGATCAAATAAACGCTTGATTTCCAAAACACTCTTCTCCATTTCTTGGTTCGGAACACGTTGTTGCTACTGCTCTCTCCTCGAGACTCTGCGTCGGTAGATGCATTTGAATCTCGGTTTGCGACATCGTTTTCACCCGACGAAGCCGCTCTGTTTCTCAGCGTCTCAGGATCCATTCTCAAGTTCGATTCTTCGGATCTGAAAGAGCCGAGATGCGGTAATGTAGCTGGAGAGAACCGATGAGATGTGACATCTTCTTCAACGACAACCTCAGAAACCGTATTTTCTTCTTCCTCTTCTTCTTCTGCTTCCTCGTCTTTATGATCAGACAATAAACGCCAATACATTGCGAGAAGAAGCAAAGCGTTGACAGTAATCCCAACAATCATCGCAGGAAACACCCCAAGAAGAAACTCCCAAAACGGGATCTTGCTCTGTACCGCGATAACAAGATTCTGCGGATTCCCAATAGGAGTCGCGGAGGATCCGATATTCGCGCTCGTGGCTAAGGCGAGCAGAAACGGGTGAGGAGGGAGGTTCTTCTGCCTAGCGATCTTCAACACAAACTCGGTTAAAACCACACAGGACGTGTCGTTAGTGAAAAGAGCGCTTGAAACAGCGGAAACAAGACAGACTCGACAAAGCAAGTCTTTAGGTCCTCTGCTTCTCCAAGAGAGCAATGTGCCTAAGTACTTGAACATGTCAGCTCTCTCGAGGTATATACTAACAACCATTGTTCCAAAGAGAAGACCGAGGATCGGGAGATCGATGGCTGCGTAAGCTTGTTCAGGGGTTATCACTTGGAAGATAACCATTAACATCGCACCGAACAGAGAACCAGCGGTCCGACCGATTGGTAGGAATGGCACCGAAGGAAAAACTGCTAATACCCAGAAAATGGCAAAGGCTATTGAGCCTAGAACCAGCTTAATTACTGGTGCCATTGCCATTACCAATCTCTGGATATTCTTTGTTTCAGATGAAAGAATCAAAAAGCATGGATCTTTTGTGAAACCCTAGTAGCGGATTGCTGATTTGTGAAATCCTAAGGCCATTCCATCACTGATAAATCTCAGCACGATTCCGATTAGAATCGTTTCTGTTCAGAACAAGTAAAAGGGATCAATTTCGAAGTCAATTCTTAGATAATCAGACAAACAAACTACTTTCATGGAAAATACAAACAAATTGTTCAGCAACAGAGTGACGCGTAAGAGAATTTTCTCCGAATTAAAGTCATATTTCAGTTTATGAATCGAAGACAAATAGAACAGAACTAGAAGCTTCGACAGAAATAATCAGAGCAGAAAGGTCTCACCTTTATAGTCACAGGACGAACTCCAAATGCGTAGTAACCAAAAAGTCAGCTCTTTTTTCAATTACTTTAACTTCAAAAAGTGAAGAAACCGAAAAGCTTTTTCTCTGTTGTTGGGTTCGCTGTTTCAGATCTCCTTTTTCAATTTTCATGAAATTAACAATAATTTAACTCGTTTTTTCATTTTATTTTAAAAAGTAGTTTTTCGCTAAATGACAAGTCGACAACTACTTAATTGTAGTGATAAACTATTAAACTAGTCAACTATTTCGTTGATCGTTAAGAAACCAACACGATACTGAAAATAATTGAGTTTTAAATCCATCTAATTGACTTTTTTTTATAGAGGCACGTACCAAACCCAATGATTCTTTTTGTATTTGAGTACAGAGTCGATTGAATTAAAAATCACACTTTTAACTGAAACAGTGATGGTATTACAAATCTTTTCTCATTGTGAGAAAGAAAGATCAATCATTGCCGCGTGTTAGTCTCAGATCTTCATCGACATCAAAAGCCTTGCGAGCTTGCTTCAGTTCTTCTTGCATTGCCAAGAGTTCTCTACACCGGTTTAGTTTTGGCAAATCCTGCATAAAAACCGAATCAAAGACGACACAATCATGTTAATACAGAATACAAAAGCGTAGCAAGTCTCAGTCTCGGATTGTGAACTAAAAATGAATGATTTCACCTTGCGGATTAGATACAAGAAGTCATCAACTAGTAGTCTTCCTCGCTTTGAGCCAATTTCTTGAGCCTGATGTGTCTGATATTAATTCAGGTTAGCTACACAGCTCTCGGCTTGTAAAGTAAAGATGATTCATTACAAAAAAAAAAAAAAAAAAGAAGAGATGCTCACTACCAAATCTGTGACGTATTCCACAACAATGTCGTCTACAAGCGTCACGGTCTCTGGAAGCGGCTAACAAAAGACACAGGAAGAGATCACTTGAGGGTTTAAAACACTAATTACTCTTACAAGATTCACCAGCAAGAATCATACCAAATTTTCCAAAGAAGTTGATCCTTTACCTCACTTATTACTTTGTATATGAGTGATTCACGTATATTGGAAGGACACTGAACATTTCTATAATGTGCATAGGATCATATAGCAAGAAATTCAATGAAGATTGCTTACGTTTTGCTCGTCGCCAAATCCATACATCATATGCTGCACTGAAAATCATCAAAAGCAAAAGAAAAGAAAAGGGACCAATGTTACCGGAAACGCAAAAAATGAAGAATTGTGTTTCTGGCAAAGGAGAAAGTAAAAATCCACTTTACATTCTTTCTGAAAGAACGTTTTACGCTTTTCCGGCGCCTGAGAAGTTCCCGCAGCTTTCGATTTAGATGATGACGCAGCCGTTGCTGGTGTGTTACTCATCTTCTTCTTCGTCTTCCGACCCTTGAGTGGAAAAAACAACAGAAAATTAGCAAAATCCCTCTACCGAGAAAATCCGATTCAGTCGAATACTACTAACCCTAGGGTTTTAGGGGAAATTTTCAGAAAACAGTTTAAAAAAAAACACGAGCCCAAATTGTTGATTCCTTCCGAAATCGAAACACGAGAGATACCACAATGTTGTATTCCGGCGCCAGAAACAGCCATGGGGGGAGAAATCGACGATGGTTCTCTACCACAGTTATCGCCGCAATAGATAAGGAATCAAAATTCAAAAAGGGTGAAGGTGAGAGCAGAGAGCTCACCGTAGATGGATCACCGTAAAGGTGGTCGTGGCATACTCGACGACGATGAAGATACGGGAGAGAAACTTCGGTGATCACTATTCACTACTACCGTAGAAGAACCACATTACACTAACTTATATGGTTTTTTCTTCTTTCACATTACCGTTTGGGCTTAGTCGAAAAGAGGCAATCATCCCATAGCCTAAATGATTTCTTCTTCTTTCACATTAACGTTTGGGCTTACGCGAAAAGTGGCCCAATCATCCCATAGCCTATATGGGTAATACGTTTCAAGTTGTATCTATAACCGTCAAATGACTGCCCTCCAAATCTCCAATCCAATGATTGCCGACTAGATAAAACAAATAATTAAAAATACTAATTTTGAAAAGCTATCTAACTGTTAAACGAGTGGATGCAACATTTGGTGTGTAATATTTAGTGTATTTTCACAGAGTATGCAATCTAACAATCAATTTTTTTTATTTTTTTAATAATATAAACGGTGATAAGAACAAAAATCTACAAATATTAAATTTTTAAAAAGTTCTAATGATTTTTTTTTACAGAAAAGTTCTAATAATTATTATTTAAATAATATTAAAAAGCTATTTTGATTATTAAAAGGAGAAAATATGTTTATTGGCAAAATAAAAGAAACTTGATTACTAAAATTTACAATACAGTGTGAAAAGATGTTGAACATATAACACCTCTAACCGTCAAATGACTCGATGCCATATTCAATGTGTTTTCAGAGAATATGCAATCTAGCAATCAAATTTCTTTATTTTATCTAATAATTTAAATGGTGATAAGAAACAAAAATTTCATAATTATATTTTTTTTAAAAGGTTGTAATGATTATTGATCAAGTAATATTAAAAAGCTATTTTTTATTATTAGAAGGAAAAAATATTTTTATTAACAAATTTATAGAAACTTGATTACTAAAATTTATAATATGGTGCGAAAACATGTTGAACATATGATACTCCTAGCCATCAAATGACTGGATGCAATGTTCGATGTGTTTTCACAGAATATACAGTCTAGTAATCATTTTTTTTAATTCATCTAATTATTTAAACGATGATAAGAAACAAAATTTTATAATGATTACTATTCAAATAATATTAAAAATCTATTTTTAATTAGTAAAAAAAATAAAAAAAATATTTTATTAGCAAATTAATAGAAACTTAATTACTAAAATTTACAATATGATGTGAAAACATGTCGAACATATGACACTTCTAACCATCAAATGTCGGTGTGTTTTCACAGAATATGAAATCTAGTAATCAAATTTCTTTAATTCATCTAATAATTTAAACGGTGATAAGAAACAATTTTGTTTTAAAAAAACTATTATTTAAAAAAATTCTAATGACACATCTAACCATCAAATGACTAGGTGTCGGTGTGTTTTCACAGAATATGAAATCTAGTAATCAAATTTCTTTAATTCATCTAATAATTTAAACGGTGATAAGAAACACATTTTTTTTAAAAAAAACTATTATTTAAAAAAATTCTAATGATTATTATTCAAGTAATATTAAAAAGCTAATTTTGATTAGTAAAAAAAAATATTTTTATTAGAAAATTAATAGAAACCTGATTACTAAAATTTACAATATAATGTGAAAACATGTCGAACATATGACACCTCTAACCGTCAAATGACTGGATGCCGGTGTGTTTTCACAGAATATGAAATCTAGCAATCAAATTTCTTTAATTTATCTAATAATTTAAACAGTGATAAGATACAAAAAATTTAAAATTTTTTTTTTAAAAAAAAGTTTTAATGATTATTATTCAAATAATATTAAAAAACTATTTTATTAGTAAAAAATAGAAAATAGAAAATATTTTTATTAGAAAATTAATAGAAACCTGATTACTAAAATTTACAATATAATGTGAAAACATGTTGAACATATGACACCTCTAACCGTCAAATGACTGATGCAATGTTCGGTGTGTTTTCACAAAATATGTAATTTAGCAATCAAATTCCTTTAATTTATCTAATAATTTAAACAGTGCTAAGAAACAAAAAATTAATTTTTTTAAAAAAAAAAAAGTTTTAATGATTATTATTCAAGTAATATTAAAAAGCTATTTTCGATTAGTAAAAATGAGAAAATATTTTTATTAGCAAATTAATAGAAATTTGATTACTAAAATTTACAATATAATGCGAAAACATGTTGAACATATGACACCTCTAACGGTCAAATGACTGGATGCAATGTTCGGTGTGTTTTCACAGAATATGTAATCTAGCAATCAAATTTCTTTAATCGATTTAATAATTTAAACAATGATAAAAAAACAAAAAATTTAAAAAATCTATTTTTTTTAAAAAAGTTCTAATGATTATTATTCAAGTAGTATTAAAAAGCTATTTTCGATTAGTAAAAAAGAGAAAATATTTTTATTAGCAAATTAATAGAAATTTGATTACTAAAATTTACAATATAGTGTGAAAACATGTTGAGCATATGACACATCTAACGGTCAAATGACTGGATGCAATGTTCGGTATGTTTTCATAGAATATGTAATCTAGTAATTAAATTTCTTTAATTTATCTAATAATTTAAACGGTGATAAAAAACAAAAATATAAAAATATTAATTTTTAAAAAAGTTCTAATGATTATTATTTAAATAATATTAAAAAGTTATTTTTGATTATTAAAAAGAGAAAATATTTTTATTAGCAAATCAATAGAAACTTGATTACTAAAATTTATAATATAATGTGAAAACATGTTGAACATATGACACTTCTAACGGTCAAATGAATGGATGCTGTGTATTTTCACAAAATATGCAATCTAGCAATCAAATTTCTATAATTCACTAATAACAAAAATGGTGATAATAAAGAAATTTTTTTAAACACTAAAAATACTAGTTTTTTAAAAAATCCGTATGACTATTATTCTATTTTTCTAATGCCTTTATTAAATCATATCACCTAAAATAAGAAGCAAAAATGCATAACCCAACCAAAACAAAATGATATTTTTGCCAAGACAACTCCAATTGATTTGAAAAACAAATAAACGAAATCATACCAGAGTGTGTGGAGGTGGCTTGACCATTTGAGGACGTAGTTTGCGCGTAGAGCACTTGAAGCAACCATTTCTTGTTGGATATGAAGCTGCACATTTCAGATAACATAGCATCGAGATGCCCATAAACTAATCAATATCCTTTATTCAGATTTGTGTGATCTTGTTTGTAAAAACAGAGCAAATAATTCAAATCAAACAAAAAAACAAGAAAAAAGAAATTGCGAGAATCATATTTGACCTCTCATGAACAAACAGTCTTATACGGACTCAACTTCTCATGAACAAACAATGTACCTTGGACCAACCTAGCCTGCACGGTGCAGAAGATTATGATTAGCTGTTCAAAGATAAGCAATTTGCACCAGATGTGGCTGCGTTGTATCTCCGAAAACTTGCCAAACATTTCTTCTGTAATTGACCATCCCAATACTTCGAAGTTCTCTCTGATTCTCCCTTCATTTGTGCTTTTGGGAAGCACAATATGACCCATTTGAAGACCCCATCGAAGCGCGGTTTGTGCAGAACTGGGCTCTTTAGAACATCTGCCTTTACCCACGTTGTCCCTGGAGAACCCAACGGCGAAGATCCCTGCCACGATAAAAAAAAAACAGTCACACAAGTGTATAAAACATGAAACGTTTCATCATCTGTTTCCTTGAGTCTGTTTTGAAACTTACTGACAAGTGGATTTCTTTGGAATTGCAGAACTCATGTAGATTATGTTGTTGCCACGAAGGATGACATTCAACCTTGTTTACAGCTGGCTTATGTAGTTACGCCAATGGCTCGTGCCTTGCCTGAATCATACAGTGCCTCCATCGCCTTCCATGTGCTAGGAATATCCATAGGCATAATGTTCTCGGGCTTGAACTCGACAGTGCCTTTCTTCAACCGCACAGGCCAGTGCATCTTGACAAATGAAACCCAGTTGAAGTATAAGCAAGCATTGAAAAGATCAAGATATGAACGAACACATGTTGAAAAATGTGTGAATATAGTCTCTTGCTTACGAGATACAGATCGACGTAATCAAGCTGCAGATCCTTTGGAGTTCTGTTCAGTGCGTCCTGTACATCCGGTGGGTCAAGATCAGTCTACCTGTAATTGCATAATTTGTAGGTTATAAAAGGTTTAGAAGCTAAAGCAATTACCAGTTAAAACTAAAACAATCGGAGAAAACAGATCGAGTAGAGCGAAAAATCAAAGTTTTATGAAGAATAAACATACGCAACAAACAAATTTAAGGATCTTTATCTTCTCCTAAGGTACGCAACAGATAAGTTCAAGTAACTACACAACAAAGTCAGGTTTTTTTTTTGCGATGGGGAAAGGAAAACCCATTATCGGAGAAACCAGATCCAATAGAGCGAAAAATCAAAGATTTATGACGAATAAACCCTAGAGAGATCGCTGAGAAAATTACCAGAATCAGAAGGCGAAGAGGGATGATTCGCAGAAAAGTTGTTCTTCATTTCAGCACTTCCACGAAAACAGAGCAAGTAAACCAAAACAAACAAGAAGAAGAAAAGGAAATTCATTGGATAAACCCCTTTGACTTAATTGTAGAGAAGCTGGGAGAAGAAGAAAAAAAATTTGATAGACGGAGAAGAAGAGAAGATTTCTGAATTTGTTGTTTGTGGCATGGGTCGGTCTTTTATAAGCAACTTGAATTTGTTTTACAACGGCTATTTTTTTTAACGCTCTCTCTATTTTCTTACCGTTGTAAAATTGGGTCTCTGGCTTCATGACAAAACGTATAAGTGGAAAAAGCAAAATAATTTATCAGAAACAGTGATGCTATTACACAGGTTCAGTATCTTATCTCAAAAGCTATACAAATTTCAAAACTTGTCGCTGCAAATCTCAATCTCTCTTTTACATTTTTACATGAGCAAAAAAACTTAGCTACAGAGCATTTTGACAGGAGAGAAGTGTACGGTGAGACAAGCATGATCCGAGAGGCTGTAATTCTCTGGCCACAATCCTTTCTCTGCTTCTTCCGGAAACAGAACCGCTTTCTTCACTTTCAATCCAATCGCTTCTTCTTCTTCTTCTTCTTCTTCCTCCTTATCTTCTCCTTCTTCTTTCCTACTCTCCATCACACTCTCTTTGCAGTTTCCAGATTGATTCATCATCGTCATGTTCCAAATTTTCTGACATTATACATACACAGACAGACACGCATCAGAGTCTTGATTGACGTTTTTAAACAAAGCAATCTTTATTTAATCATTTTATCAGTTTGTGATTCCCGCTTTACCGCATCAACTTGGTTTATATTAATTTACCTTGAGTTCTTCATAGTCGAACACACCATTTCCATCAAGATCAGCTCGAACCCATAGCTCTTTTGTTTCTTGGAAGCTTAGTCCATGTGGAATTCCCGTCAGATTTACCTGCCACACATTAAGTTTGAATCTATAAGTAAAGAAACTCAAAGTCTACTCTCAAAGTTTCTACCCCACCCGATTCTTCGTGAGAAACTCACTTTAATCCTCACCATAATGTTAATTAGTGAAATCTCGAGTTGGTCACAGTTTTTACCTTTTGAAGTGCTTGGCAAAAGTCAGGGTAGGTTAGTGAATCACTGTGATTGTTTGCCCCAAGAAAAGTAAAGGCATCGTCCTCGGCTATGGAAGCTTTCTGGAGTTGATACTGCAAAACCATCAAGAGATATCAGAATTATACAAAAAGAAGATGAAATTATCAGTTTGGAGGAAAATATCTAAATCTAGAAAGAATGAGAAACATGACATAAACAGGCGCGGTATTGCAACTATGAAGTGACTTCACATTTGTAAAGGTAAAGAGAAATAATGTCTTTGTTTCCGAAGATAATATTGTCAAAAGCAAAAAAGTTGCAAGAATCAATCTCACCTTGATAATGCTGAAAACAGCTTCCACCCAACTTGTTCTCAATGGTTTTCTTGAATTGCTCGGGTTACAGAGCCATATGAAATCCACTCCGCATATGTTTCCCCTATGATTTCTGTGGCTGACCCACTGAAGAATAAAAAGAAGAAAAGACAGCTAAGGATGTGTAATATACAACATGAACCAGGTTTTCATAACATGGATTTTTTTTTATGTAAGAGATGTCTACCCTATGAGCATCACTGTCGGTATACTGATGAGCAACATCATATGATGATATGAACCCTTGAGATCTCAAGAATTTGTAGACATGCCCACGCTTGCTTCCATTCCAGTCACTGAAAATATAAGCATAATTCAAACTCTGTGGTTACATTGTACTGATGAAAGGACGCAATTTCAATACTTTTAAGACCAGAAGCTCACCCGCAGAGAATAATCGGCATGTGTGTAAGTTTATTTTCCTTTTGGTAAGCTTCCAGATATTCGAGAATCTTGTAAACCTGTTTAGAGATCATAAAGTTATCTATCACAAGATATAAGGGGAACAGGTCTCAAACAGCAAAATAATAGTAAGAAAGATGACCAACCTGATGCAATCTGACAATAGACAAACTAGAATCATGTGGGAACAAGAGATGAGTGTTCACTATAATAACTTCTTGCTGGTTGTCTTGTTTCCCACTAAGCGGAAAGGGAACAACTGATTTGACATGCAAGAGCTGAGCAACTCGGTCTCCGAAATCGTTAAAGAGCAGCTCCCTGTAGTTTACGAGCTTAAAGTAGTCCTTATGGATGGCAGTTAAAAGACCTGTAAGAAACAAACATATTCACATCCACACATGAGACAGCAAAGACGAAAGTGAGGCCATTTTTCAATCAAAAGTGTTTTTATAGCATAGAATGTTACCGTCACCACGACCGTTTGTTCTAGCCAGCTGGAAAATAGTGTAGCCTGCAGAGCCAAGGCGGTCGTGGTACATCTTCACCAATTCCTCATTCCCAACCCAAACTTCCTATCAACAGGTGAAAGTTTGCTTTGAGTCTCTCTCTCTCTCACATATCAAGTTGACTTTCTAAGAACAGTAACAAATATTCTCATTACCTGGAGACAGATGACTGAAGACTGTTCATGGAGTAAACAATCTAAAATCTTCTGGTTCCGCGTAAACCAAAGGGCGCGATAATCGCTCTCCCGAATGCTCTGATTCTGTATCCCCAAGTGTTGCAGATCAAATGTCACCAAATGCGAAAACTCCGATTTCGAAATCAATACAATCAGAAGACGAAGGAAACAAACCTGTTGATCAACCCGTTTATAAATCGGAGCCAAGATGTTGAAAGTGGTGCAAGAGATATTCGGTTCCGCCATTGAAGCTAAGTTCGAGCTGAGTCTCTGCACAATCACAAGCAGCGGTCACAGTCAATCAATCGAAAAGAAGAAAACATTAAAAACAGTAAACTCGGATTAGTGAGAGCCGACGCACCATAACTGAAGCCGCTTTGTTGTTTCTGGCGGAGAAAGACGAGAGCAGGCCGGAAAAGTAGATCGGAAAAGGAACAGCAGCGAGGACGACGAAGAGGGAGAGTGGTGAAGGGATGAATCTGGACCGTAGAATTAAGCTGAGCCTGCTTCGATTGTGATGGCTTTGCATTTGGGTTCTGTTGGTGGTTCTTTCGAATTTCCAAGGGATGGATCAATCAATCTTCTGAGATTTATAATTTTCCTCCCGTCTCTCTCCTTTTTGGCACGACTCTCATGTTTTTTCTTAATTTACTTGACTTTACGATAACCGAACCGTTGGTTTTCCACCTAAATTATTCTATACCACGTAATGCACAATTACAAAGCAAACCAATCGTAAGGTCCATAGCTTTTCCACATAATTTCCTTTTATGAATCACGAGTGACTAAGCAATTTCTTCACAAATTCAATGAAAATGATGAGAATCTTTATAAAACTGGTCTATTGGCAACTAGTGGAAGTTTCTTCAACATAAATTTATAAGAAAAATATCTATATATTGAGAAAAAGCCCATTAATCTGTTGCAAATTATTAAGCTACATGTAACATGTTATAATACAACCAAACACTCTTTAATCTCACCTTTATTAATTACTACAAGACACTCTCTCACACATGTTTTTTTTTTCTCTCTCACACATGTTAGATGTTACATGCATATAAATTATATATAAATCCATTTTTTATACAGAAAAATATGATTTTCAACGTTGAAAGGGATTTTTGTTGTTTTCGACTAACGTCCTAAAGAACTAAATAAATGAATTCGGTTAAATACGTAGTTTTGAAATCAACAATAGAAAAATATATATTCAGTACCAATCATCTACCAAACTTTTACTTCCCTTAGAGATAAAGGCTTCTCTCTCACATTCTACTACTCTCTAATACAAATTTCTGCCGAGAAAAATATTTAAACTTAAGCACAATCATCATCACTCTACAAACTTAAAACCCCAACCCCTCCTTTAAAATTCTTTCGAAGGTCGATTTAAATTAATAAACAAAAATTCAAGATAGGATTCATATTTCAGATAGAGTTTCATTTTCCATTTTAGCCTGCAGCTCAAGCATCCAAAATCCAGACAATGAAAGGGAATCAACTAATTGACATATACATATATACACACACATAACTTGTGTAGCTTACAAGGAAACCAAAAAAGGGGAAACCCAAATTATGAACTCAGAATGGGAAATGGATTTGGATCGAAAGCTAACGTTTTTCAAATGCAGAAAGTGGCAATTTGAAGACACACTTGATCCTATTAACTGCCCTTTCCACTACTTCTGCGACAGCCTCTACGCCGGCGATTACCCTCAGATCACCGACGTTCTAGTTTTCTTCTTCCTCACGGTTTCTTACTTGACAACGCTATTAGCCGTACTGAGGAAAGTAATATCAAGAAGAAGAAGAAGAAGAGGAGAAGAAGATGATGATGATGGTGCTGATGATAAAGCAAATAGGTACTTACTTCCTTCTGGTCCAATCTCTCTTCCTTTGATCCTCTTGATACTTGCAAAAGGTCACAGGATCAATACCCTTTTCCCAATTTCCATATTTGGACCTGCGATCCTGCAGCTTGTTCAACTCTCGGTGCTGATATTCGAGAACAACATCGAAAAAGAAGCAAGCTTTGTCTTCTTCGAAGCCTCTACTATCTCTGGAATTCTCCACGCCAGCCTTTACTTAGACGCTGTGATTCTCCCCTATTACACAGGATTCGATGCTCTGGTCACTTCAACCTTCTCCGGAGTCTGCAAGTCTTGCATCTGCAGGAAAGAGCCATTAACGGTGGGAGGCAAGATTGTTGCTTACAGAGGATGGTCAAGTACTACGTTTTTGGTGGTTGCTGTTCTGTGTTTGAGGATTATATGCAAGCTATGCAGAGAAGAAGCGAAGAGGAAAAAGGTTATGGTGATTAAAAATGTAGTGGAATGCTTGGCATGGACTATTCTTATACGGGATTGTGTGTACTTGGCGGTTATGTCTCCTGTTGAAGAGCCGGTCTTGTTTCGGGTTTTTGTGTTTGGCTCTGTTCTCATGTTGATCTGTGTTTATGTAATCACACAAGTATGCTGTTTGCTTAGTCGGAGACAGAGTAGGAAGACAACAAACACTTGACATATTAAAGCAAAAGAGAAGGCAAACTCAAGAGTGAAGAGGAAGTAAATGTGTAATTGTAAATGAGTAAATGTGTAATTGCTTAAAGAGGAGTTTTTTTTTGTTTGTGTGTGTGTAAACTGTAATGATGAAGTGATAATTAAACATTACTTCTCCCTTGGCAATCAATTAAAGTAGAGATTTCGTTTGCTTATCCTTACTCGTGCACGAACGTTTTAATTAGTTATTTTATTTTATTGTATGGGAATCAGATCTTGGAGGAGCAACAATGTCATTAAACCAGAAATACGCAATTTTTTTCTTGGAACAAATCTCTGTAAATTACAGACAAGATAAAGCCGGAAACAAGAAAATGCTGCAAATAAAATCGATAAAAAGAAAAAACTCTTCACCTTCTAGCTGGATCACAACAAAACCTGTTCTTCAGAGCTCTTAAACTGGCTTTCCACTTATCTTGATGTCATTTCTGATTGCTCCTTGAATCATCTTAAGGATGAAAAACTGCAAAAAAGGTATTAAAAAAAGATATGTTTACCAAATTCGAACAAGATGAGCAGGAAATCTTGAGGATGATGTTTTGATTTTTACCTGAGCGCCGATGATAAGAGGGATGAGTTTCTTTCCTCTATCATCAGAGTTAGATCCATCTACCATCTTCTTGTCTACATGAATCGCTTTCCTCTGGTTTGTTGCTACATCGGTTATCGCCTTAACCAAGTTCGGGATCCACGCTTCACCATTCGGTAGAGCCTAAACCGACAGAGAGAGAGAGACAGAGCACATAAGCCATTTTTTAACAATATTCGAATCAGGTCAAGTCAAGAGATTAAAAAAAAACCAAACCTTTTCTTCTTTTTCATTCTTGCTGCATCTTCCACTGTTCTCCGCATACACAACCCCAATTGCAGAATCCTACAAGACAGTAGAGGAATGAAGAATAACTGATTCTTGCCCAAAAACGAACCAAACATGGTAAGACTATTTTTCAAAGATGGGCATGTGTAACCATACCTCAAACTGTTGTTTTCGCATCTTAGCACCAACACGGATAGTTTTGAGGAGAGAATCTGATCTCTTGGAGGAAAAAGCTTCATAGGAAAGCTCATCGGGTGGGGAGAATTGAGCATGAGTCAGAACAAGCACGGTTTTGCACCATATCTCTTTTCCAAAGGTTTGGGTGATTGCTTGAACAACTTGCCTGTCTAGCTCATCCACTCTATACACATCCAAACGATCAACATACAGCAAGACATCTATGGTTCTGTTCACAAGAAACCTGTCCAAAATCCAACAAAAGGGATGTCAAGTTGACAACTTCATCTCTGAATAATAAGCCCCATTGGGTAAAAGTCTATCCTAAACCGAATACTCATAATTCAGAGATCTAATTGGCTTAATTAATCACAAAGAAATGAGATAAAGCCCCAAATGCAACAAGCAGATTTAATCACATCGATAAAGAGATTGTGAAACAAAATTCAGCCAAGCCAATCATTGACAAACACAGTGAATTTCTCATATGAGAGATTTCAGAAGAATAATACTAACCCTTTGATTAACTCGAGAGCTTGGTAATTGACATATCCAGCTTCCACAAGCCCAGGGGTGTCAATAATATTAATAGTGAATCCTCCCATTGTTCTTGAAACCATCACTGGCCTCAAACCTTCGGCCTGCAACAATCGAAAACAAAATAACATATCAGAATATTTCTTAATCCCAGCTTTAAAATGGCAGTTCAAGTGAGGCTTGAGGGAAACTAATACGCACCTGGAAAGGACTGACACGGACGACTTGTTCGCCGATAAGAGAATTGACGGTGGATGATTTTCCGACACCGCCTTTACCCATAACAAGAACTGTCATAGAGTTCATGTCCTGCAATTTACAAAACCCCATTATCCTTAAATCACAACGGAGAACCCGAGAAACCGACTTAATTTCAAAGAAACAGGGGAAAACTAAAAGAACAAACCTTTTGCTTCAATTTTCCGAAGAATTCACCTAACTTTTCCTGGGTAGCCGCTGGAAATTGCTGAAACCCGACCCATTCACGAACAAGGGACCCCATCACTAAATCCTTCTCCCAAAAAAAAAAAAAAAAATACAAAGGTAAAACTTTATTGTATATAGCGCTAAACCCTAGAGATGTTGATGATAAACGTTGAAAGCGATAACCTCCGGGAAATTTGAAGGAACGTACCGTTGTGTGAAATTTTGTGGTTGTGAGGTTTATGAGAAGAAGCTCTTCTCAAGCGTTTCTGGAGAGAAAAGCAAACAAAATCATGTGACCTTATCGGAACTCACTCTGTTTAATACTTTTACTTGTCCATTATTTCACTTTACTCCTCTATTTCTTCAATGATTTCTTTTACTGCCGTACAACTTTTAAAACAAACATATTTAACCACAAACCAAATCCATTTTTCCAGTTTAGCATTTACACAGTTCATATTTTCATGAATCTTCCACAATTGATTACAAAACAGTACGTGGAACACTGGAGTAAGCAGGCTCAAGCAACGCCGATTCCCTGAACCTTTCTTCGCTTGTAGGTCAATGAAAACAAATGATCATCATCACTTTCTCGAGCATGCAGCGGTTTCCTCACCACATTGGCTTCCCTCTGAAAGTTCTTACCATACAAAGCCTTATTTGTCTCCATTGTTTCAGAGCCGGGAGATTTCAGGTGGTAGTGGACATATTCTTCTTGCATTGTAGGCAGACTATGTTCTGTGATGGAGTAAGTTGAAGCACCAAAAGGGATGGTGCGTGTTGGATCATGCAGCACTGGTTCTGTCTCCTCGATTGAGCTTCTTCTTGTAGTTTCCAAATAGGTAGAGGAAGTGCCTTGGTGATTCAGTAAGCATCTCGGGAGTTCTGTGATTGAACATGCAATAGTTCCGTATGGTTTCCTCCTAAATCTAGTACTCTTTGAACCACTTTCATGGGTTTGCAGGAGATCATTTTCTGGAGATACATAGGGTTCCCCGAGAATAGCAGGAGAAGATTTAGGGACTATTTTGAGAAGACCCTTTGGCAAAGTCTGATGCTGATGTCCAGAGGAAACTAAGCTGGAACCATGGTACCGGAATATCCCTTTCTTGCTTATCTTTATCCTGAGAGTGTCCTTGGAGCCGCCACTGCGATGGGAGGTTACACTTTTCCTTCTTTCCATACTGTGTTTGAGATTCCCGGTTTGTGCTCGTTCAGACCAAAGGAGGAGTCTTGCTTTTTTACCCAATTCCTCTCCATATTGATCCCACAACCTCTGCATCTCGGTGAATCTCCTGATCATTTTTTCATGATAGAACTTTAAAGAGTAGTAGTACATTCTCCTCTTGACGAACATAATGCCTTCTTTGCAACAAGCTGCCTTCGGTGTAAACAATCCTCCTCTCAATTTCATGTAAAACGTATCCATTGGATTCCCAAAATATAAACTGGCACCAGCAAGAAGTTCCCGCATCGTCAGACAGAAGGTTTCTTGATCCATATCTGGCAGAAAACATGAGAGGAAGAATCTTTCTTCTTCAGTGAGAAATGAGTTCCATGTCTCAACAGACAATATTCCCGTTAGATCCGGTAGATCGAAGAGCTCGTACGGTATGCTACAGAGCTGGCCTTTAACCATAGCTAGCTCACAGTTTGCTTCCGCAACGTCATAATCATCAGAGTCGTCTTCAGAGTCTAACCCAGCAGCTGTTTGATTCTTGTTCATCTCTCCACCCTTAGTATTTGAATGATCAATGGTCTCACTGTGATCACTAACCCCTTACAACACAAATACGTTAAAAACTCCAACCACGAGCTCAGTGCCAAGGACCACCTTGAGGATACCTACATACAGAAGTTAAGACTACACATGTGAATACAATAAAATTGGCAGCAAGGAGCTGAGACTACAGTAGCAGACTGATTCTAAGCAGCAATCAAATCAAACGAAATGAAGTATTAAACAAAACTCGCATTATATAGATTTACTCATCACCAATTCGGGTTAAACTCATGAATCCAAAGGCTTATTAGATTGAGTTCAATGAACCAATATAAGCCCTAAAAGAAGAGGAGGAAATCACAGAGCCAATGGAAGAGACGGAATCCAGACGATCTCCCACCTAAAATACCTTAGAAAAATCATTCGACACAAACGATCTAGGGTTCAATTGTTAGAAATCATGAGAAGCAGCTACGCAAAGCTCGAACAGCTACAGAAGGCAAACCCTTGGATTTTCACAACCGAAATGTGGATGGAAGATTATACAGAAAAATTTAGAAATATAACCCAGAATCATCATAAGAATCAGCAATAATCGCATCGATCACCACCAGTACATGAGAGCTCCGATGAGTTCAAAAATCTACCGGACAAATCACAAAAAAAAAAAAAAAGAAGAATCTCGCGAAATCGATCCGAAACATGTAGACGAACTTACATGCTCTACAGATTTAGGGTTGAAGAAACCATCTCCGTTCGTCTGCAGATACGAACCTCGTCGCCTTCCAAGTTTCTTCTCTGCTCCTTTCTAGAGATTTCTTAGCGTTTTGATTATTTGAACGCCACAGTAGAGAAGGGGGCTAATAACTGTTGTTACTACAAGTGTTATTTGTTTTTTTGTAAATAAAGCCGCCTACACTCTAAACTAACCCCTTAATTAATCTTTTAAATTTTTACTAATCATTTCTTCTTAATCAACGGCCTATATATATTGGTAGTTGGAAAATCTCAACGGTCAGGATCTCCTCGTTGAATGATCTGTCTGCCATTCTTAAAAGTCTAAAAGATAAGCCTTTTTCTCTCTCCCTCTCTAATTATTAGAGAAGAAATCTTCGGCAAATCATTGTTTGATTCTGGAGTTCATCGAGGGATCAAACAAAAAGTGAATCAGAGAGAGATCAGAGGAAGGAGATTCATGGCCGATAATCGTTTCAGACTCTACTCAGCCTCTGTTATCTTGCTTTTAGGGATTATTAGTTCATCATTCAACTTGCAGGTACCTTCATTAATCTCTCTGTCACCTGTTTCTCTCTGGGTTTTAAGTTGCTTACGAAAATCCAGAATCATGAATATTGGTGCTTATCTTGTAGTTCGATATGGTTGGCCTTTTTTCATTTTTCTGGGAATTTGATCATTTGCTTATTGGAGTTTGATCTGGATTTGTATGACTCTTGTAGCTAAAAGCTTAAAAAGAATTCAACTTTGTGAATTTTCGGTGATAAGAAAACATTACATAATTAGGATTTTTATGTCCAGAAATTTTTTGAACTTTTGAAGCCGGGTTTTGTCTAAATCAGGGTATTGCAGCAGAAAATCTTTCCAACCAGAAACTGACCTCACGGATTCTTCAGGTTCAATCTTAATCCACACATTTATTTCTTTCAACTATTGTTTCCCCTTTTAAAAGATTGCCTTATCGTTGATTATGTACTTTTGCAGAATGAGATTGTGAAGAAAGTCAATGAGAATCCAGACGCTGGGTGGAAAGCTGCTTATAATGATCGATTTGCTAACGCCACCGTGAGTTTACCACCTCGATGATCTTTTTCTCTTTAAGCTGATTGTTCTTGTTTGTCATTTTCATGAAAACTTGACTCTCTTTTGGGTTATTGTGTATGTATGTGTAGGTTGCAGAATTCAAGCGCCTCATGGGTGCTAAACTAACACCAAAGAAAGAATACTTGGGTGTGCCTGTTGTAAGCCATGACAGATCTCTAAAGCTTCCAAAAGAATTTGATGCTAGAACCGCTTGGTCACAGTGCACCAGTATTGCAAGGATCTTAGGTCAGTTTTTAATCTCTCTGCTTCTACTATCTCTGTCTTCTTATCCAATGATTTACTACTAACTATCTTGTTTTATTTTCTTGTCAAATCCTCTCCTCGATCGTCATCGCACTAAAGATCAGGTATGATACTTCCTTTGTCTCGGGTTTTATATTGAGCAATGGGTTTCTCAGATGGATGAATACGTTTTTGGTTTTGGTTTGTTTAGGGTCACTGTGGCTCTTGCTGGGCATTTGGTGCTGTTGAATCACTCTCAGACAGATTCTGCATCAAATATAACATGGTAACACAGATATTTCTCCGTAAAGCCAATATCGATGATTGCTAGCTTCTTTCTCTTCACGAAATTAATAATCTAATTTTCGTTTGTTCCATTTGCAGAATATTTCTTTATCTGTCAATGATCTCTTAGCATGTTGTGGATTCCTTTGCGGTCAAGGTTGTAACGGTGGATACCCAATTTCTGCCTGGCGCTACTTTAAGCACCACGGTGTAGTAACCGAAGAGGTAAACTCTCAATATTTAACTGCAAAAGAACGTAGAGTGGTTGAGGTTTATTGAACTATTTTGCAATGTTCTTGGTTTCTGCAGTGTGATCCGTACTTTGACCAAACGGGTTGCTCTCACCCGGGATGTGAACCCGCATACCCTACACCAAAATGTGTGAGGAAATGTGTTAGCGGAAACCAACTTTGGCGTGAGTCAAAGCACTTCGGTGTTAGCGCATACAAAATCAAATCTGACCCTCATGACATTATGGCAGAGGTTTACAAGAACGGACCTGTCGAGGTGGCCTTTACCGTTTACGAGGTTAGATTAAAAGGTTTTAGATTTGATCAAACATAATGGTGATTATATTATGGAACTCCACATATATTCATGGTTCCTTATACAGGACTTTGCGCATTACAAATCAGGAGTGTACAAACACATAACAGGCGATAACATTGGAGGTCATGCTGTTAAGCTTATTGGTTGGGGAACTTCTGATGACGGTGAAGATTATTGGGTATGAAATCCTTTTTTGTTTTAACACTCTGGATTTCGAGTTTGGATCTCTCGCTGGAATTTTAACATTCTTCTTCTTTTGAATTGTTGTCAGTTGCTTGCAAATCAATGGAACCGAAGCTGGGGTGACGTAAGTTCTTCTTCCTCCTTCCCCAAATCAAACTTTTACTTTTGATCTACTACTTCTACAGATCCTAACATATAAAGTGTGAAAACAAAAAAAAATTGCAGGATGGTTACTTCAAGATCAAGAGAGGAACAAACGAATGTGGCATCGAACACGGCGTTGTGGCTGGTTTACCTTCAGATAGAAACGTATTTAAAGGTATTACTACCACTTCAGATGATCTTCTGGTTTCCTCATTCTAAACTAGAACCAGAAATATTCTATGTCTCTCTACCCTGTAATTATATAATAATCTGCTACGATGTTGTTGTTCCCAATGAAAGAATCAAAAAGACTTTTACCTCATATAGCTCTTACCGTGTGTTCATAATCCAAAATTCAGTTTTACATGTTTGCTTCTTCTAATTTCTGCAAATGTTTATGGGTTTCCTTCACTCAATTATGGACACACCAACACGACACCATTTAGTTTGAGGACATTTGTCACACATATAAGTTAATAAACATTTGCCATAATAAGTTAATAAACATTTTTGGATTTGTACATTTGTAAGATTTATCGATATTTTAAGTGATTATGGCCTAACTTTGACATCTCAAAGCCGTCGGTCATCTCGCCTTAACGTGTACAAAATATCTGAATATCTTTTCTTTAACGTGTCGTGTTACAGTCTACAAATGATGATCTAAATATAATTGACCACTGTGTTTTGTTGTTTCGAAAGAAATAATCAAAAGACTATATAAACCCAAGCAAAAGTATAAATATCTACACATATAGCTTTTTAGCGTTTGTTCATATTCAGTTTTACATGTTTCCTAATTTTACATTCTAGTTACTACTGTTTTTTTGTATCTACTCTGTTTCATTCTGCACTATGTGTGACTAATGGAGGATACTTGAGGTTTCTCAGTTTACTAGATTGCTCGGCGATAAGCTGAGCAGTAGTGTTAGGACCTTGTTGCATAAAGACCTCGTACCCATCACCTAACAGTCCCGTTCTATTGGTCGTAAGTTGCCAGAAAACTCCACCATTACACGAACCACCGGTGCTTGCACTGTCGTAGATAACATCATAGACTCTTTTGAAAAACTTGTTACGTTCCTCTAAGCTGAAACCAGGAAACTTTGAAGATTTCCCAAACTCTGTTATTAGTAAAGGCTTCTTGATGATGTTTTCACAGTCTGCTATGTGTGCTCCGATCCATTTGTCCACAAATTCATCTTGTTCTCCTGTTCTTGAGCTATGTAATGGTAGCCTGATCTTGATTTGGTACAGAGGGACGATGAAACAGAGACTCTGTTAGAAAGACGACCAGGAAACAAAAACCAAATTTTGACCCATTGAATAGAGATTAGAGACTGATGACTTACCAAGAATCTGGATAGATATGGATAGTGGCGAAATCAATCTCGGGTATCTGGTTATTCAAAATGAAATCTGTACCGGTTAAGACCGTACCGCCAGGGTTGTAAACGGTTCTTTCCGGTTTAGATTCTCCATAGAATCCTTCAAGTCCTATCTCTAGTAAATGGTTTGAATCTATGGACTTGACATAACTTGCCATTTCCTTCACCCAATTCTGCAAACGGCATCGTTTAAGTCAATATATACGTACATGTTACATAACATACACAGATAGTGACAGAGAGAGACTGACCTGTAGGATGTTAGAACCAGTGGAATCGTTGCAGCGAGGTTCGTTGATGAGCTCCCATGAAAAGATGGTTGAGTCGTCCTTGTAAACTCGACCAGTGATTGTGTTTTTCCTCGTCAGCACGGTCTGTTTCAGATTTTGTCAAATCGTCGGTTTAGTTCGGTTGATGTCGGCGCCAATATACAAAAATTCTCTATCTGATCCTTTTATTAGAAAATATCTAATTTGAGGCCATTTTACATAATAAGTTGATAAACATTTTTGTATTGGTACGTTTGTCATATTACTGATTCTTTTAGTTGATTATAATAATCTAACTTTTTGACATTTCAAAACCGTCGGTATCTCCCGTTAACGTGTTCCAGTAATGCCCTTGACGTGTCGTGTTACTTCTCGATCGATTTGTATAATGTATGTAACTGATACTTATCTAATCAAAATATCAAATTAAATTTTATATATTACTAACCTTCACGTGGTTCTTGTAGAATTGTTTAACAGCCGAGTTTGTGTAGAACTCATCCGGTTCATTTAAACCGGCCCATTCTACGTATTTCTGTCTTCCTCCATAATCTTCGAAATTATTGACTAAAGTAATTATTAATTTTATTTTAAATCTTCCAGCTTCATAGACCACAAAGTCTAGTCCCTGTTCACAGAAAACTTTGTATCAGTACTCACAAAACGCAATTATAATTATTTTCTAATTTTGTATTCCCGAATAATTAAGTCAACACAAAAGTATCAATCTTGTACTAGCTTTATATATACTCCATATATGATTCTACATATAAATATGATTTTTCAATACTAAAAAAATCTCTATTTTTTATTTCCCGATTATCGACTTTTATATATTGCCTTGTGACAAGGACACGACAATTTTTTGTCAAGAAAAAAAACAAAAGGTTTAAATTTCATTTGTCGGAAAGTAATATTTTGAAATTTGAATTATTTCCTTTTAGAATCAAGTTCGACAAACAATGGTCATCGAAGGATTAATATACATATGACCATATCAAACACCTGTCAATCTTGTTTACAATTCCGTAGCATAGTGTGAAATCATAATAAATATAATAGAAAAATGGCGAGAAAATATTTAAACGCTTAACAAACTTGATATTTTAATAACTTATAGAAGTACACAGCATAGTATTGAATAGTTGATAATTGTTCCCAAAAAAAAAAATTATATTGAATAGTTGATATACGATACTAAAGATATATAATATCATATTTTTCATATTTGCAGTTATCCATCAAAGTCTAACAAATATAAGTTGTATGTATCTTTGTGTATATGTGATATGTGTATATGCATGAGTGTTAATTACCTTGAAAACGTCTTCACTATATGAGCCAGGAGAGATCTGAAGAGGAATGTAATCTCCTTCGTTGAAACCCCAAATCCTAGCGACGTTCATTCCTACGGCGGAGGCTTGCCGGAACGCCGACGTGACGGTGGCTCTTCCTTTAGACGCCTTATCAGCCGCAGTGGTCATCATCCAATAAGCGTTGAAGCCGTTTAAGTAAACTCGTTCTCCGTTCAATACGAACTGCGTGCCGTTTGTCCCGACGAAACCTACCTTTTCGGCGACGCAAATGTGGTTGTTCCGGACGAGAAACGGAAGAAGGAAAAACAAAAACGGCAATATGTTTAACATTGTGAAACTTTTGCCGACTAGCAAAAAAAGAGGATGACACAACATATAAAACTGAAAAACATTTGTGTGCGTTTGTGTTATATATACATTACAGGTGTCTTAGTGCCTACGCATTTGAAAAATATTTATTTTTGTCATTATATTGCCTAATTATTTGAAAATATATGTACACGCATCTGTGTACTAACGCGTTAAATATTTCTATGAAGGTTATTGTTTTTTTTGTTAAAAGGTTTATCGTTTATCAAAATCATTTTTTGAACTTGTATATATCTTTTGGGTTAAGAAAAACTATTACATTTCAAACTAATAGAATTTATTCAAATGAGAAATAGACGTTTTATCTTTTGGTTAAAAGGCGTATTGTACTTTTTCAATTCTTCATTATAACGGTGGCACGCTTCTAGGTTTAATTTTGGGTTGAGAAACTTTTAACTTTTTTTTTAAAGTGAGGTTAAAGGAAATAATTGTGGCGGATGTCATATTTTCCCAATAAACGTCATTACATATTAGTCCATTTACTGAAGGAAATATATATTTCGATTTTATAACATCGAGTGATACGAAACGATCACAGTAATTACTTGCTTTTGAATATATAAGCATGACTTGCGCGAGGAGTGGAACTATCATACTAAAGCTAGTATATGTAATAAAGTTTTTTATTTCCTTGGGTCAAATGACTCAATTATGTAAGATGAATTATTAAACTTAAATTCCCAACAGAAATAATAATTGGCATGGACAAACTTCATATGGATTTGGTAAGCGCCAAAATTGATTCGAGCGATCAAATACATTAATCAAATTCTCTTTCTGGGTCCATTATGTTTGTACTTCAAAATGTGGATGGTGCACCACTTGAGTCTTTATATATAGAGAACTACAGTATATATAATCCACATCAACCAACATAAAAAAATTGTCTGCCAAATAAAAAAATAGCTTAGTCTACGCTAGGGGCTAGTGAACCTGTCACCATGTTAATTGTGATATGAGTTCTATCTAGCTGGGGCCTATTCTTTTATCAACTTTCATTGCTTATCATTTGGGCCTTTGAGAAGTGCGGAATAAGGATATGAAGTTGTTTTTCTAAAAAGACTTGACTGAAGAAATTACATAACCGTAATATTTCGTTATAAGTACCATATAGGGTCTCAAATCTGAGACAGAAATTTTTGTCTCCATCTTTTTCAGAATTTTTGTAACAAATTCGTTGCAAAATCAAATACCCCTCGTAATATATTCGTTGCATTTTTTTTTTTTGCGAAAGGGTTTCATGCAATTTTATATTGTTAACTTTAATATTAATTATTTGGGGTTGGGTTCATGTGTGACTTTTATCAAACGGATGGAGCCATGTGCCATAAGAAGGAGGACGTACCTCTAGATATGCCATCATATTAGGGGCACTAAATGGTTAATGACAGATATATAATGTTAACTTACGTACATAACTCATTTATATAACATTTTATATAGTTGGGAGCTATTTGATAAAAATTATCTAGCAGAAAGCAAACCTAATAATAATTTTAAGCATATAAATTTATTGATATTTCAAGTTGGAATGGCTCTGGACGACGTAAGAAATCTATTAGTAAATCATAGTAGTTAATTATGTTTTTGTTCAACAAATCATTACTGTTTTCATTAGTGAATATTGGTATACTATCAATGTCTTGTTTCTTGGTGGGTAAGTTAATACAGTACTGCCGCCGTACATGTGCCATGTAACCACTGACCATGTTGTCGATAATGTAGAATGTACAATAATCCATTCATCTGTTACAAAATTAAATAGGAAGACAGTCTATATATAAATAAAACGATATAAAATAATCAATAAACTTACCTTTTAGATTTTAGTTAAGCAACGGTCGTCTAACGTATCACGGCATTTACGAGTGAAAAGAGAACTTATCAATCTATTTTAGACATTTGTTTCCGCAAGTTAAGACAATTTGTCATGTGGTTTACATATAGTTTAGTTCTCCTCTGTACAGTTGGGTTGCGTATTAGCATTTTAACACAAATATTTTGTTATCATTGTAGTCGTTTCATTCAAGTCATAACATGTTGTAAAATTAATTAATAACTATTAAATGCCGAAGGAAATATAATTAAAAAAGTTTCAATTTATTAAAATAGAAAACTAGCTATGCACTTCTCACTATAAGTACTCGCTTCGTCGAAGCACTTTCTCCATCAACTTCCTCTTCGATCTGAAGACCTATATTTATTCAACACAAGCTAGAGACAAAAAAAAATGACGACGATTTTTTTATGTTTTTCGATCATCGTCATCTTCATCCTCGCCATGACTATCAGCTCGGTTTCAGCGGGTTGGATGCATGCTCATGCAACCTTCTATGGCGGCAGTGATGCTTCTGGTACAATGGGTAAGTAAAATTTTCCACCAATTCGAGGGCTTCTTTCTTCCTCCCCAAGAAATCCTCAAATGCAAATATTCAAATAATTCGGTTTGAAATGTTTGTCACCAAATTATAAACCAAATTTCTTTAGATTAGTTTAGTTTAGTAAAATTTCAGTTAGGTTCGGTTTATATAATCGGTTTCGGTTTGTAAAATGCAAACCGGTCCGTATAGTCTTAAATGAAGACTCTTCTTAATTAAACCTCTAGTATCCGTTTATCCCCGGTCCGAATTTCAGGAGGAGCATGTGGTTACGGCAACCTCTACACCGATGGTTACGGGACAAACACGGCAGCGTTAAGCACCGCGCTGTTCAACGACGGCAAATCTTGCGGCGGTTGTTACCAAATGGTCTGCGATGCGACCAAAGTGCCACAATGGTGTCGTAAAGGGAAATGGATAACCATCACAGCTACTAATTTCTGTCCTCCAAACTACGCTTTATCAAATGATAAACGGAGGCTGGTGTAACCCTCCCAGACCTCATTTCGATTTGGCTCAGCCTGCGTTTGAGTCCATCGCCATTTACAGAGCCGGTATCGTCCCGGTTCTCTACAGAAGGTTAGAAACAAACCGACCTTTTAAATTAACCCTCCGAGACCGAATAAAAGCGTTTCTTGGGGATGATTAAATATATATTGATTATCCTGTAGGGTCGGATGTAGAAGAAGCGGAGGGATGAGATTCACGATGAACGGTAGAGATTACTTTGAGCTTGTCCTCATCTCAAACGTAGGAGGTGCAGGTGAGATCTCACAAGTATGGATCAAAGGCTCTAAGAGCAACAAATGGGAGACAATGTCAAGAAACTGGGGAGCTAATTGGCAAAGCCTCACTTACCTCACTGGACAGAGTCTCTCATTCAGAATCCAAACCAGTAATGGCAAAATCAAGACAGCACTCAACGTTGTTCCTTCGAATTGGCGGTTTGGTCAGAGTTTCAAGAGCAACTTAAACTTCTGAAAAAATTACATGGGCATTGTAAATGAAAAAACTTGATTTCTTGAATGGAAATGTTACAGAATTCTAATACATTGACGACGACATGAGTCGAATATCCAGAGAAATGTGTTACGCTTTTTCAAAAATATCAATTTGTTACAAGGTCGAGTGAGTAATCAAAGCCTCTCTCTCTTATCTCCGCATAACACGGTTACGCTCTCTCTTGCGAAATCGTTCCAACATGATTTGATCAGTTGCAGCTTGTCTGCCTTTCCCTGAATCAGCAGCACCATTATTACTACTTGACGGTTTAGCTCCTTGGCCATCAGCTTGAGGGCCTCTCTCTTTGTATAGCTCAGGATGTTCTGCGTGACACAAGTTATATTCATCAATACAATGACAATCCACAGATATAAAGCCCTAACAAACTAAAGAGGCAAAAACCAAAAGATAAAAAAAGGATCCAAAAAGACAAAACCTCTTCTAAGCTTTTCAGCATAATCTTTCCCGCGCTGGAAATAATCCGCACTGTAACTAGACGGGATGTTAAACTCTGACTTTGGCCGACCCATAAGCCTCTTCTCTTGCAGAAGCTTCTTGGCAGCTTCAGTTTCCTCAATGTTCTTCAGCTTGTATCTATATCATTCCAGCATACAAATAAACACCATTAAGATCTTTTAACATACACAAAACCTTCAGTCTATGAAAAAGTATTTCATACTCGATTGGGAGTTGGACTTCTGCTATTCCGGTAGTCCACTGTGTTGAGCTCTCTTCCGAGCTACGCTTCTTAACCTGAGACAGTTTAACAAAAGTTATAAAAGGTTGAAATTCTGATCACACTAACAATAAAGTGTTACAAACACACACGAAAAAAAAAACTTACTTTAAGATGATCAGGTATCATATATAACTCATCTTCCACTCGCTTCAATTCGTTCTCAACCTCTTCTGCATCATCAAGACTTCTTCCCCTTTTCTTCGCCAGTTCTTGTTCAATGTACTTAACCCTATTGAATCAATAAGAGGGGAACACAATACTTAATGCTTACAAAGAAACCTCACTAACTAACTAGGTCAACCTGTTTTCTCTAAATTACTTTGGATTGAGGGTGGAAGAAATTTGTAAAAGAGAGTCTTACATATTGGGATCTTCAATTAAAACAGCAGTCTCTTGAGCGAAAGTATCCTGCAACACGAGCTCCTCTTTCTCTCCTTCGACTTCGGTCTTCTCCACTGCTTTCAACTTTCCCGTGCTATTTTGCGCCGTAGACAAAGCTGAGATTCCTAGCTTTCTCTCTCTCTGCTTCTGCAAAAACTTCACTTCTTCCAACGCCAATCTGCAAATCACACCCATTAGCCAAAAGACCGATTCTTTTAAACTACCCACTAAAATTAATTGAAGTAAAATCCACGAATTCGTTCGACAAAACCCTAAAAAGCTGTGGTTTTTCAAATTTGAACGGACCTTCGCTTCTCTTCTTCGTCTGAAATTTCGGCTTTACTTTGATCATCTTCTTCTTCCTCCTCGAAATTACGTTTCCTGAAATTCCTCTTCGGCGGCATCGCAGGAATTGTTCGCTTTGTCAAAACCTTCCAAGAGATTTAGCAGACTTTGAGACTTCTCTCTTCTACTTTCGGCTTTGTAGATTTGATCCGGTTTCACTCTGTAAATCAAAATTCTTCCGTCACCTAAAAATTACCACAAAACGCATCGTTTTAATATGGGCCTTGCGATGTTAGCCCGTTAGACATTTTTCCTCAGGCCCACGTTAGGTTTTCATGGTCCAATTATCATATATTTTTAAAGGACGGTAAACATAATGGTATTTAAGGAAATGGTAGAAGTGAGCTTCCTTAAATATTTAACCTGCTGCTTAAGGAGATGTCCTATTAAGAGACAAGAATTTGTTTTTTGGTCCCTTCGTGTTATGTTTTATGATATTGGCATCTGTGGATATTGTTTTTTATTAAATACAGTAGTGTCAATGAAAACCATTCTAGGTTTCTCATCTTGAACAGTTATATCAGAAAATTACAGTAATGTTTTGTTTTTAGTTATCATAACATCAATGGAAACGTTTCAAGGTTTCTCATCATGAACCATTACAATGTATATTATTATTAGTATCATTTAGATTATTATTTTATGAACATTTTAAATTATTTCTTCGTAGCAAGCCTTTCCTTAATCTTATCAACCATCTTAGTTCCCACCTGAAAAGTCTTTGTCAACACATCTTCCGGCAGAGCAGGCTCCGCCGCAAAAAGGGCCGCCGCAACGGAAACCGTCCCCGGCAACTGACTATTAAAGGCCGATAAAACCGACGCCGGAGATTTTCCATTATTCTTCTGAAAATGTACGAGCCCTCTTGGAAAAACGAAAACTTCACCAATCTTAATGGTTTTAGAGAAAAGCTTATTCGCCGTCGTGATAAACCCAACTTCGAGCTCTCCTTCGAGGACGTAGACAACCTCGGTGGCGCGTGGGTGAGTGTGAGGTGGGTTTAAACCACCCGGCGCGTAGTCTATACGCGCTAAGGAGACGGATAGAGTGTTGAGGCCTGGGATCTTCTCCACATTGGCTCCCGTCACGGCGGACCCCATCGTGGAGTTTATGACGGCGGGTTTTGAGATTCCGGCAAAGAAGAAGTCGGACGACGTGATGTTTGACGTTTCCTTACATGGAAAACCGTTCAACTTGGTGCCTGCGAGGCGCAGTCTGATATATAAATATTGGTGTTCATAAAATATGTAGTTGATTTACAACCTTACTAATTCTTACAAGTTTAACTTTATTTTGGTTTGAAATTTACTTATGTCCCTCTGTATAACTATAAAATTAACTTCTTCTTTCTAAACTATAGGAAATGAAATTTCCGTTACGGATATCGAAGAAAGATATCACAGATGGAATCATGGAAGAATTAATTAAAACATTCGTTATAGTAAATTAAATTTCTTAATAAAAGGATTATTTTACCATGAGATTTATCAGCAACGCATAGATCTTGAAGGGCATCGGGATCGTATGCACGAGTCGAAGCGATAATGCAAGATAACAAGATGGTAACGAAAGTTCTTGAATTCATCACGGCTCAAAGTATTTTGAAATTATATGATTATTGTTTAATTTTGAGAAAAAGAAGCTCGAGGTTCTTGATAGAATGGGATATAGCTGAGTTTTTGTTTTGATACTTATAGAACTTAGACCAGTCTTGTTGGTCGACGTCAAGTCATTTGCTTGAGAAAAATCAAACATTTCATTTGTCTTTACCAAACTAAGAAATGTACGTCAAAGCTAAGTAGGTAAAACTATAGCTTTCTGACATGTCTTTCACTACAACCAAATCTTATTTTCAACGACACGATATTCCGTATTCGGTTATAAGAAAAATATGTATCTACGTAGAATGTTTACCTTTGAATTATTAGAAGTGTGAGAACGTATTAATAATTCTTGAAGTCAAGTTTCCTGGTTTCTTTTGTGTAACATTATCCCTGGACCTATATTGTATAGTCTATAGTCACTGAGCTGCGAGCATGTAATAGACTTTTGAGACACTTTAGACTTTAGTATTAGAGAAAGGCTCATATGATTGACCCCCCAAAAAAAAGCTACGTCCAAAACACAGTTTTTTTGGGCTTTTTTTAACCTCCCTTTAATAGTAAAATTTTAACAACCAAAATTAGGTTAAGGCGTCTTTATAGGTTTGTGTTAGTGAAACATATGCTAAATTTAGAAGTTTTTAATTAAACGAAATGTAAGTAAGAACTTGCTGATTCTATGACCCCAGTGAATCTAAATTTGAGATGCTGAAGATAAACCCATTGCGCTGTAACTGAGATTTTTTGATAGGAATCACGAAAAGCTCTCATGTTTCTAGTTCATAACTTCAACATATACCATCACTAGGTTTCTCGTTTAAAACCGCTTATCTAAACAAAAAACTACGAGAGAAATAATTATATAAAAATCTGAAAATGAATACTCTAATTTACATCGTTATGCAAAAACATTTTCTCTAAATTATTGTAAATTATTATGATCAGTCAATCAAATTCAATTATTTAAAACACATACTATTATCATAGGTAAATATTTTATACCAAGACATAGATACATAAAGGGATACAAGAATAAATATGAAATTCTAAAGCTTTCACAAGGAGTCTCAACATACTTTACAAAATACTCCACATCCAAATAAGTCCCACCGGGCATTTTGTCATATTTTCGAATTTCTGTTTTTTCCTAGTCAACGAAACATTTCATACAAACTTTTCACTAGCAACTTACATCTCACTGCCTTCCTCCCATCGTATAGGAAGGAAAATCCAAGAAACTTGGCAAACATGGAACTAAACCGCAAAGACATTGAGGAGTAGAGGCTGGTGATGCTATTGTACGAAAGAGAGATTGGTTAGATGAGTGTGGGGATAAAAGATTGGGAAACGGTGGTAATGACCAATTTGACGCCGGGATAAACGGAGACGCCGCCATTTGATTCGCAAGATTTAGGCCCTGAGCCATAGCCATCGCCGTCAACAGGTGGACGTGGTTATGCATTCCGAAGTTTAATGTCGCCTGAGGAATATAAGGATTCATTCCCACTACTGACATCACCTGCAATATCAACATCATTCTTACAGGTTAGTTTCTGAATATATATATATATATATATATATATAATACTCGCTAATATATACATATATTGATGATCAAAAGATGCGTTAGTGCAGCAGTGACGCAATAGTTAGCACATATAGCTTTTAAATGGACATAACAAAAGTATAAATCTCATAAATTGGACCGATTGGTATCAAATAGCAAGACTAATTACTATCAAACAAGCTAAATTCGCACAATATATAGCAAGCCTCAACAATCCTTTTTTTGACACCCGCACCAACTTTATGTAGAATATATATAGGTTATATATATATACATATACTACACATAATCATACATAGATATACGGAATGAAGTTAAAATATAGACCTGGAGTTGAAGTTGAAGATTTTTCATATACTCAATGGCCTTGTCGAGAACCGAAACCTTGTCCGTCTGAAAGAAAAGAGAAACACACACACCGCCGGTTATTAGAAACGGAAATGTAAAGCAAAATTCCTTGAAATATATGGAATTGTATACACACATAATACATATATAGTAGTCGCACAGACATATATGTATATCGAGAGAGAGAGAGAGAGTAAAATATTAAAATATACCAACCTTGTGACAGTTAGGTACAAGCTGCTGTAGCGTACGCATCTTGTTACTCATCATCTCGTCTCTTCTTCTTCTTCTTTTCTTCGAACCTTTTCCTGTCACTGAAGGAACCTCTCTTGTAAACCCCTCTGATTCATCCTAAACAAACATTTATAGAGAAAAACGAATTAAATTCATCACACATAAGGCAACACGGAATCATGTTAAAACCAAAAGAAAAAACAAGGAAATCTATGTCCAGTATATATCGACTTACATCACTGAAGATCTGGATACGACGCCGTTTTGGCTTCTCACGTTTGTTTCTCAAATAGCATCGATTATCTGAACGATCTTTAGAAAGATGATGATGATCACCAGTTTCAGAATGTTCATCAGGGACAACCAACGTCAAATCTTTCTTCGAGTTTTCTTCTTCTTGATGAATCTCCGGAACAATTTGAACATGAATATCTGCGTGATCATGATCAACGTAGTCGTAGCTCCATTTCAAGCCGTTGATTAGACGATCTTCATCACTTTTTTCTCTTTCTGATATACCCTGACCTTTCACATCTAGTAATCCGACATCATTTCTCCAACCCAGTTCCATGAAATCTTGATTATTCAACCTGCAACAAAAAAAATTGTAAATTATTAGGGTTAACTAAAGAGAAAGAAAAAGATAACTGGAATCATAAGAAAAGAAACCTAAACTCTGAAATCTCCCTGTGAATTGTATACATACATCTTAATTAACTACAGAGATGTTGGAGACTGAGGATCCGATACAATTATTCTTCGGCGACTTGAGATTTGTAAGAGAAAATGGAATTCCATTCATTTTATAATATAAGAACGATCGAAGCCGGATGGTACAGTTGTCAGCCAATTTAGTGACCCACTTGTATTTCGCCACGTTTCCTATTGTGAATGGTTCTTTTGTTCTCTTCAGAAAAATGATTTTCATTTTCTTACGTACACCGACAATAATAAAACAATAACGACACATTGATGAATGGTTAAAGACATATCAATGTCGATTGAACTTAATTCGCTCTTTAATTAATTAAAGTTAAATACAATATTTTGGCTTTCACGAAAACTATTTTGATCTTAAGATATTCTCTTTCACAATTTCAGTTTAATCAATATAATTTAATTTAGTTTGTTTAGTTTGTCTATGGCAAAAAAGCCTTGTCTATAGTTAAATTTGCAAAATAAAACTTAATTTATATACTAGTTGTTATATGTAGAGATTTCTTGATTATTAAAATGACACTTACACTAAAATAGAAAACATCAAATATCATTATATAAATTATTTTGTTTACACTACTCCGACTTTTTTTTAATGGTTCTTATTCACATTTATACTATAACATACGACTATTTCTGTATTCATATTAAACTTTAAATAAAAAAGTAATAAAAAATAAAATCTAAAATTTACCCATGCAATGTACAACCACATTGCACATGCATGCATACAATACATACTGTACATACATATATCGATCGAGTTCAAGTTCAAATCAATATACATTAATTACTATTCGGACACATGAAATATTCAGACGATATATGTCGATCATATTCATACAGACACGCATACGTATAGATAGATATTTTTGATATATTATGGCTTGAGTGACATTTTGATTTACAATTCTCCACCAAGAACTGTGATGCCCAACGGGTAGGACCATTTTTATCCTTTTTAATTAATATTTCCTGTAATCATTATCCTTTATCTTTGAAACAGTCGTCGTTATACTTTATCTTTGTATTAAAAAAAAATTGATATCAGATGCCCAACCGTCTCTATGTATTGCAGAAAAGACCGCCTGTGGATATGATCTGAAACAGTCGACCAACGACCACCACACCTTTCACATAATCCATAAAAAAAAAATCGCTTCATCATTATCATGGCCTTTAATAAATGATACTAAGTTAAACAAACTAAAAGTTTATTGAGATAATTTTTGTTTGTTTACACGTAAGAAACAAAATTTATCAAAATTAAAGTTCCCGGTTATTTATTAGGTGCTAGAGCGGTCCCCGAAAAAAAAATTTGGACTCAAAACTGATCACAAAAAGGTAATGAAACCATTAATTTTACTAAATACATTGAGAATATATATACTCCATTATAACTTCTATGGAAATCTTTGTGAGTGTTTATGATATTTTCGTATTATGAAATCCTTTCACATAAAGAAGAGGTTCACGATAGTGCGCTCTTTTTTTCTCCCTACATTAATGTTCCGATTATCTCAGGACTCAGCTCGTGAGAACACAATTTATAACTATCTACAGAGGTGGTGTTATAAAAAATACTACCTCTGAAAAGAAAAGAAAAAAACATTTTTAGGGTTTTATCCAAAATCCCACGTGGGTTATGGACCCTAGGCCTATGCTATAACGAATCAGTTTTTTGTTTTCTGTAACCCCACGACACATTTATTGGAATTTTTAGCGTCGCGTCACTATCACCCATACACCGAGCAGGTGCGATGGTCCACATTATATCTTTAATACGACAGAAATAAAACTCCAATAATTACAAAATATTTTCTCTAACAAAGATCAGAATAAAATTACGCTTTAAGCTGGTTAATAAATGTTAACAAACCAACAGTGCCATTTCGGGTAATTTTTGCGAGTGAATTATTAAAGCAAATACTACTGTTACTTGTTTGAAAGAATGTTATGACTTAACTTTTTCTGTACCTCGCGTTGAATCAAATGGGCCTGAAAATCCTAAAAGAGGGGAAGAAAATGCGTGTCGTTCACGTGATGCCTCGTGATGGACATGCTTCAATGTCTGACACTCAGTACTTTTGCGTTTTGTTGGTGTCTTAGCGATCGACGAAGCAAAACTTCAGCCACTCCGTGTTTCCATCTCATAAACGACAACGACCTTTCGGAATATAAGTTCCAATCTACTCTTACCCAGTTCAAATAATTTATGATGGAATTTGCGTTCTATTTTATTTTTGAATAAATAGATTTTCTCCCATCATTTTCTTGGAACTGAAACAAGTGGAATGGAACTAATCAATGGTTGACATAGTACACACTAATTTCGACACACACCCCATCATCCTTTTTTTTAAAGGAGGTCAGATTTTTACTCTTTTTTTTTGTGTGGCAAAAATAGCATATTTCTTCTAGATATCACATCTAACCTAAAAAAAAACAGTTAATTATTACTATATAACTAGATGAATATATAACTTAATTTATGTCGTATTATTGTTTTCTGTTAATCATGTATCTGTGTGTATTTTTTATGGTCAGCAACAGCAACTATGTTTTGCACCCCAAATGACAAAGTTTCCCGAAATATTTGGGCTTTTAATTTGGCCCATATAATGCATAATATGTATATATTATCCAACCAAACTAAATATCGAATTGATGGCCCATCATAAAGTTTTCTTGCCTTTGAAAGCCTCTGGTGAGTAAAATCTTACTGGTGAGTGGGTTGACCGGAGAAAGAGTTTGACAAAATCGAGAAAAAGTGTTTTCTCTTCTCCTTTTCGCGGCGTTCGCCATGGAAATATTTCTTATCTGTCCGCCGGCGACGCAGCCATTTCTATCTTCATTCTCAATGCTTAATCCTCGGTTACGTGCTTACAAGCCTCTTAAGCTCCGTTGTTCGGTAGCCGGTGGATCGGTCGTCGGCTCTTCCCGATCCGTTGGTATTCTCGCGGTTTCGAATTCACTTAATAATTCATCTTTAAAAAAAATGCAAAATGCAATTCGATGTTCATGAAGTGAGGCAGTAGGTTTGATTTTGAAAGCAGAGAGATATATCTATGAAGTCATCCATGGAAGAATAGTGTTGTATGTTTGGTTTTTGTGGATTTATACATGTCGTTGTGTGGTCAAATGCAGGCAGATAGCCCTTCTTTGGCTTGATGAGCACTGGAGGGAAGATTAGAACTGGGCTTGGTGCTATTGGCATTCGACCACCACCTCCAGTTTGTACTCTGACCAACAGCATCTGCCGCAAAGTTAATGTGTTCCACTTTCATCTTTATGCAGACAGAATTTGCTCATGTTCTTAGAGTTTGACAAAGGTGACAGTGTCGTGAGGAATCTGTGGAAGAGTTTGTAAGGCGTAACCTTGGTGATGAGGTTTTTGTTCAGGTAGTTGCTTTGAATCTTGAATCCGTAGCAGCCTTCTTTTTGTTTATAACATGGTGTTGACAAATTCAGGTGCTTCGAATTTTGTGTGCATTCAGGTGTTTATGCGGGAGATCCTTCGAAACTAAGTATGAAAGCAGCTTTTGGGAAGGTTTGGAAACTAGAGGAGAATGGTGGCAGCATCGTAGGTGGTGCTTTTAGGGCAATTCAAGAGAGAAATAAATCCCCCAAGACCCGTGAGTAACACAAACCGTTCCATGGTTGTATTCTCTTTCTCTTTACATTCTCCTGTAAAAACTCTCAACATGATACTTGCAGGCGCCTGCCAAAGCCAAAAAGGGCCAAACAGTTGGTTCTTTTAGGAAAGGACTCACAATGCTGCCAGAGGCAATCTCTGCAAGGTAAATGAATATGTGCTAGTTTCGTTTTGATGAGAATAATGCAAAAATTTGTAGACAGTTTATTGTATGTTGTTTTCGATTTGGCAGGTTGGGTAACAAGCTGAAAGTTTCTTGGAAGCTCTCAAGATTCATTAAGCTGACCAGCGGAGAATATAGCTTAACTTATGAAACTCCAGAGGGTCTCTGTACACTTGTACAGAGCAAAAGTGTAGTGATGATGACTGTGCCTTCTCATGTTGCTAGTAGTCTCTTGCGCCCTCTTTCTGTAAGTTTCTTGTCCTGTCGAATCAATTGTGTGCAGATTCGAGTAGATGCTTGTGGATTCTGATTTTCATTCCCAAAATTCACTGCGTGATTGAATATGTACGCTTAAACTAGTAAACCTTAAATAAATCCACAAATAGATGAGCGAGTTGAGTATACTGCTGGTTTAAACATTGATGAACAAGTTGCTGAACCTATGGTCTATTTCAAGGATTTTTCAGCTGAAGCGCTCTCAAAACTCTACTATCCGCCAGTTGCAGCAGTATCTATCTCATACCCAAAAGAAGCAAATCGAAACGAATGATTAATAGATGGTGAAGTAAAGGGGTTCGGCCAATTGCATCCACGCACGCAAAGAGTGGAAACTCTTGGTAAATCTGAAGTCCTCTATATTTTCTCTATGCTAACAGTAATGGCATTGTTCATACCATATACCGTCTACGCATCTATGCAGGAACAATATACAGTTCATCGCTCTTTCCTAACCGAGCACCACCTGGAAGAGTGTTGCTATTGAGCTACATCGGTGGAGATACAAACACTGGATCTTATCGAAGGTACTAATAAACATGTTTCTTGAGACCCAAAATAAAAAGAAGAAATTTTAAAGATCTCAATGGTCACAACTTTTTGTCTCGTGCAGTTATAAGGTGAGCTAGTGGAAGCAGTGGATAGAGACTTAAAGGAAGATGCTGATAAAGCCAAGTTCGACTGATCCACTTGTGCTTGGAGTAAGAGTATGGCCTCAAGCCATTCCTCAGTTTCTGAGAGGTCACATGTGGCAATTACGGTGCTGGTGTAGCATTGGGTCGGTGTGTGGAAGGCGCTTACGAAATTGCAAACCAAGCCAACAATTTCATGTCGAGGTACGCTTACAAGTAAAGTAAAAACAAAATCAATTGGATACCAAGTAGTATATTGCAGTGTTTGACTTTAAGAACACTCTGTTTGTGAAGGTTTGAAGTCTCTGATAAATTGGATATGTATTACTACAATTTGTGGCCAAAAGCGCAAAAATATTACACAAAGGCGTGAAAATAGAGAGAGAGAGAGAGAGAGAATAAAGCCTAGAACAAATCGATCATAACTCTTGAATCTTGAGGATCTTCGTGAAGAGGTGAGATCTTGAAAGTGTCGAGTGTTGTGGGTCTTGGAGACTTCTGTTGCGTGTAGTGGGACGAAGATGAAGATGATGATGTCGTGAGAAGCATGGAGGAGGAAGAAGAAGAAGGGAATTCGGGGTTTGAAGGGTGGAGGATTTGTGTGAGTAGAAGCACAATTGACGCCATTGATGATGATCCAACTTTGAGGAAGCTTCTCTGTGTTGTGTTTTTAGGGTTTTGGTCTGGGAATTAATTTCCCCAAGTGATTTCGAATCTTTATATAGAGAGAAAAAAGTGGACCCACTGAAATAATCTAACGACCGTGGTTTTGTCGAGGGATGCGGTTTGTTTTAAAATCTAACGGACGAGAGAAACCAGTGGGACTCTTAAATCTTTGGGTAGCAAAGTGGTTTTGTGCTGACTTTTTTGATCGCATTTATATCTCGCCCCCAAAAACTAGCTGTTCCACCTGGCGTTGGAATCTTCCTACCCCTCGGTTTAATTGTAACCATAATATGATAATAACTAAATATATAGTATATCAGTTTGGATTAATATTTATATATTACATTTATGATTTTACGTTAATTTCGATATGAATATTTTCTATGCTTATTAGAAAGCAGACCTTTTTAGCAATATGCACATTAAATTACATCAAGAATTGTAAAAACTTGTGAAAATGACGAGAAACTTCTAAAATTTAGTATTAATTGACGATAAAAAGTCACAGATAACAACAGTGTAACAAATATAGAGAAACACATGAATATGATTTTTTATTTTATTTTAAATATAGTGGTTGTGTGTGTTGGAAAAGAGTTGAATGGTTTTAATATAAAATTTAAATTTTTTTTTTAGTTTTAAGATACCATGGAAATAACTTTCTATCAATAAATTTTGTAGGTAATAGTTGGCAATCAAGACGAAATCACATTAAATTGAAAGACGACCTATATAGAAGGAAAAAAAAAACGAGACTACATTATTGAATCACATATATCAATCCATGTGGGGGGCAATGCATATAAATTTGTTGACTTTTGTTTATTCATAGTAAAATTTGGGTCAACCAAATTATTTGTTAAGCGAAAGGCCTCTGCTTTTCACAATCCAAATTAGGCCCCGTTCCTACATTAAACAGCCCAGCATATCTCTGAAAATATCCGATCCGGTCATTGACCCGCCCGTCTCCTGCAATCCCACACTCTAAACCGCCGTTTATAATGTTTGTGGTTAATCCGAAACCGCCGGTCCGGTTAGCTGCCAAATCCGCTACCGAAGGTCGGTATTTCCCGATCATGACGTCATGGCACGACGGTTTGGGACTCTGCTCCGTCATCCAAAACCAAAGTGCAGTTTGGAAAGCTATCACTGAATTATTCGCCACTATTTCTGGATTCTTTAAACCGTCGAATCCTAGAGCTCGACCAGCCGGTCCGTAGTTATAGTTCCTTTCATCCATAAAAAAAACAATAATAATTAGAAACAATTGTGTGTACTTTGTATGATACCATTTAACTCTAACGAGCCATTGATTAGACTTGAAACTAGATCAAATATTATGAAAGGTTATAATATTCGGCTCGTATTTAAAAATGTAGTTAGGACCACTTGGAACGAATACAAAGGCGGATCGGTAATATATTGATTTTGATCTAAAATATGATCTAAGTCACGTTATACGTGAAAATAACTTAGGTTTAAACAAAACAGGCAAACGAACGTCTTGGTTGTTTGTGTTTTGATTTTTAAATGAACTCATAACTTCAAATAATTAAAAAAAAAAAAAAAAAAAAAAAACCTACCACGAGAGTTGAATTGGACCTCTTCCTTGATAAGTCTTGTTAGAGACACAAGGCCAATCCATATTAGAAGAATCGCAATAGATGCTTTGTGGGTTCACTTCTTCTTTAAAACACAACCCCCAAGCGTACGGTCCATCCGGCGCCGTCGGCCACCCTCCGGTCGTCTCGTGTGAAATCTGAGCCAAAAACGCTGCAACTTCTCGGCGCCGTGTCTCCGGGGATCCCACGCTACCGAATCTAGGAAACCGCCTCGTCGCCTCCACGAAGGATTCGTAAGTGTAGAATCCATTTGCGGGACAAGCGGTGTTGTCTTTGTGGATGAAGATTGAGTTGTAGAGCGATCGTGGTACCAAACGTGCGATTGTGGTGGCCTCGGTTTGGTTGGAAGACAGTATTGAGAAGATTGAGAGGAAGACGCGAAAGAGAAGAGCAGAGTGTTGAGCCATTTTTTGGAAGGATCTTGTTTGTTTTTATGCAAGAGAGGATCGAGATTTTCGTTCATTATATAGATGTAAAAATGGTCAACGCATGGACTTTGACTTTAACGGTCGACTATAAAGTTTTCACTGCTTTGTAGGTTCGTTTATACACATCATATATATTTATATTATTCATATAACATTCTCATGCCGTTGTGCGTGTCCATTTCATGTTAAGACTTACGTGACACCACTTTTCACATAATTCACACATACTATAAATATCAAAAGCGATAACTATTTTATTGTAAGTAAAATTTTTGAAGACAAATATTGATTCTGCACTGAAATATGAGGGAGGCATTAATGAAATAAATGAAATGGGGTAATATTTTTGACTACAACATGAAACGGAGTATAACAAAACCAAACAAACTTATCAGTATAATCATTGAATTATGATAAGTATGATAAAATACGATTAGAGTCATTGTTGATGACGATCTTTTATTCGGTCAACGATGCAATATTATAAACAAACACGAAGACCCATTCTTGCTATGGAATATATCCTTTTCTCCTCGATGAATAAATTGTCAAAGACTGGTTTTTCTTTTTCTTTTTTTTCTTTTTAATGTAGAAAGTGAAATAAAGGTTTCTCGTTCGGCGGCTAAATTTTTCTTTTTCAATTAATTAGCCGAAGAAGCTCATACAATCGGAGTTTTAAGCGTCTTTTACAATAGCATCGGCCATGCAATTTGTTTCTCTAGCTACAAACGTGAACGAAACTAACTGAAATAACAAACATAGATGGAATTTCTTTGATTAGTAACTAATTGATAAAATATCCATAAAAATAGCTAATTATTAATAAAAAACTATTCTAACCATTTATCCTCATCACTTTTTTCGTGAACTACACTCTGTTTTATCATAAACTACATGTAGTTCTAAACTAGATCAAACGACATAAAGTTATGACCTTAAACCTATACACTCCATCCTCGATAGGTTTTATACAAGTATTTTTGAGTTATTTAAGGTAGTTTTTGAAACATCTAAGGAATCCTAAAAACTACAACTACAACCCAAATCATAAACATAGCCTAATCAAAATCCAAACCAATTTAAGTTTTTAAAACTCTGAATTGAATAACATAAACCAAACGTAAGATAGTAAAATTAGAATCCATAGCTTTCAGTAATGATTTACTATGTACTATGTGATTTTATTTTTGCCCAAACTTTGCAAATGCATCGCTATTAATTAATTTCATCAAGATATTTTTATTTGAATACTACATAACCAAATTCTAAATCATAAGAAACCATATTGCTCAAGCTTCATCTCCTTTATTTTTAACCTCTTCAAAGCATAATTAAGTCTTTGGATCCTTTTGAATGCTATCACATCAACAACAACAAAAACTCTTCAAAACTTATTTAGAATATAAGCAAAGATAAATAAATATGATTATATCACAAAAATCTAAACACAAACTATGATGAGATATATTCTCCAATCACCTCTGTTTTCAATACTTGGTTTTGGATCTTGTAAAGTTGAACTGATTCTGCATCTAGCTCTATCTCTTTCTATTCCAAAGTCTTTAAATCCTTTTCCATATCGAGTTTTTCCACAAGGTCAATCATAAGGGAATTTTGCATGATTCCAGTCGGTCCAAACAAACTTGTACCTATCACACTAAAAACAATAAAAGATAGAAACAACGTTACATTTATCTCATCGAGTATCAGTTACACAGCAAAAGAAGCTTTAATAAAAGTAGATGATAAAAGTTAAAATGATAAAAGATGAAAAATACAAAGAAAGAAAGAAAATAAGGACATACTTTCTTAGAAAAATACACTCCATGATAAACATTCACTCAATTTCTCTTGTTTTTTCCATTTTATCTTCGATGTGAGGTGACCTGTCGTGGGAAAACTTTGACATGACGCTGTATGGTGTTACTCATGACACTGATGAGTTCATTTTTGTCGCTCTATGCTATTGTTACCCGAACCATATTGAGAATCTCATGTTTTGGAGAAGGTTTTTCGCTATGTGTCTCTCATTGTTTCATAATGATTATTTTTAAATGTTTTTATGTCTCTATTTCATATGAATTTTTAATTTTTGTAGTTTACATAATCTTACTTCTCATACAACCCAAATTATTTGGTATGAGATTCCATTTTGCTTAAACATGTCATACATTATTAATTAATTAATATAAAGAGAAATATATTTCGCTTAAACATGTATATATTAATTAATATAAAGAGAAAAATATTTTGGTTTGACATATGAATTCCCGAGATAATGGCAAAGAAAATAATAGATAGTAGGGGATAATACAGTTTGAATTTTCCCCCACATTGGTCAAATATCAGAAAGCCATCTAAATGAATCAATTTCCGTAATTTCTCTGTTAAACGGTCTTTGCATATCCGGCGTCAAAGCCTCTAGTGTGACGGGAGGGTCAGTGCTTCATCATGGAGGGCCCTTTGAGGTCTGTTTCTGTTCCTTCTTTTGTCATTTTCGCATCTCTTACTTATAATTTGTGTCATGGTTGATGCGTTTAGGAACAAAGAGAGATCGCTCACAAGTTGCAACGTGTTAGCTTAGAAGCGATGCACGGATCAATAAACTTTCTCGAGATGTGCAATGGTTCTTGCAGTTATCAGGCTGATTTTGCGGACTATGACCTATGGTATGCTTGGGATAATTTTTTCCCAGCTGTGCCATGAGACTTTTACAGAAAGAATCATCCGGACTGGAAATATCAAATATACAACTCAAGATTCAGTCCCAAGAAATATTAATTACCGCCCTTTTTTTTGTTGCTGTTAAGAATTGTTCATCAACAATTATTAACTATTACTCCAATACACAAATAAACTGATCATCTTTCACAAAAAGTTAACTAAATGTATTTCATAGCATAAATTAAAAACCAGTGATAAATGCCTTTTATTGTCTCTTTTTAAAAGAAATATTAAAATGATGGCTTTTCTCCCCAAATTTCATAAATTATGCTTCCATCTTTTTGGCGGAGTATTATGAACTACAGTCTTTAAACGACACCAAAACTTATGTACAGTTTTATAAACTACACGCCGGTTTTAACTAGTAAAAACGACAGAATGTTTTATCCTTAAACCCTATCACCATCCCTCACTCCCTCCGTCGAGAAGAAAAGCGTTTCGATTATTAACTGTAATCTGATAGCTTCGGGTTCTCGTCTCGGGAAGAGGCTCTGCGCGACGGTCTTCGCTCCGGCGGCGGATGTCGTCGAATGCTCTGTTTCTTCTCGGACGGCGGCGTCAAGGAAGCGAATGATCTACCAAAAACTGTCAAAGCTTCCTGTGACGGGAGGGACAGTGGCACAGACGTTGAATCAGTTCGTCATGGAGGGTATAACGTTCAGAAAAAGAAGAACTCTTTCGCAAATTCCGTCGACATCAACACGCCCTTGAGGTCTGTTTCTCTTTCCTCTTTCTCCATTTTCTCCTCTCTTAACTGGAGGTTTCATCATCTGGGGAAATACTAATCGAAAGTCTAAAGCTTTATCGTCAGAAGTTTTTGCAATATCACTGCTTTATAATTAGGGTTTAATTGGGAAACTTTTGAATGTGTGATTTCATTTGTTGTGGGTGTAATTGGGGCTATTCAAATGAAAATTTCAGATCTTTGAATGGATGGAGATGAGGAAACGTCATTAGTTTGTATGCTGGAATCTCGAAAGCTGCCGAGGTTAATCGAGTTTGGGAATCGCTGAAGAAGTCTCGTCCTGAGGTCAACAATATGAGCTATCTTGTTATGTTACAAGCGCCGAGTAATCTCGGTGACATGGATGGGATCAAGAAGATTTTCTCAGAGTGGGAATCGAACTACCAGGTTTACGAGTGGGAATCGAACATCGCCATCAACACGTATCTAAAAGGAGACATGTATCTAGAAGCAGAGAGGATTCTAGACGGTGCCATGAAAACATGTAAGGGACCTTTCTCCAAAGCGAGGCAGCTTCTGATGATCTATCTTTTGGAGAATGGTAGAGTGGATTCGGCTATGAATCATTTGGAAGCAGCGGTTTCTGATTCCGCAGAGAACAAAGACGACTGGTGCTGGAGCTCTGAGCTAGCCAGCTTGTTTTTTCTTCACTTCGAGAAAGCTAAAGATGTTGATGGAGCTGAAGAATTCTGCAAGATCCTGTCGAATTTGAGACCTCTTGACTCTGAAACTGTGACGTTTCTTTTAAAGACTTATGCAGCAGCAGAGAAAACTTGTCCTGATATGCATGAGAGATTGTTTCGACAGCAGATCCAAGTAAGCTAGGAGATTCAAGACTTGCTTGAAACGGTTTGTCCTTAAGTTCCTGCACTGATTGGTAATACTCTGTTTTTAGACTTCGTTGTTCTAAAAAGCTTAGTTTTTTTTATATTTTGTGGGTTTCATCAGATAAGATCTCAAATCTTAATAATCATATGGTCTAGATTCATTGAACTATATCTAACTAGTCTTTTTTTTATCATCAGATATCTTGGATAAACAGAGTTTGTTCTGTTTGCTATTAAGTGATAAAGAAAAGAGACTTTGTTATTCTTGATGAAGTCTTTGTTTTTATAGTTTGGATTCATATGTAGTTTTTTTTTTTTTTAAATCGGTTTCTTGATTGTGGCTAAGAGCCTAAGACCATGCCTTACGTTGGGGAAGTGGAATATCCACCAGTGCCATATCGGTTTAACATAAAGGTTCGACGTCTACGAAGAATTCAACATAATCAGAAAGCAAGAATGTTACTCATGACTCTGATCTAAGCTTTCAAACCATTTATGTTTCATATTATGATCAAACCAATCATTAAGTATCGTGAATCGTAAGTCGTAGGTACCACGATCCTCTTGTTTAGAAAAAGTTTTGTTGTTATTGTTTCAGAGTCTTAAAATTTAAACTTGTTGAAAGAAAAATATTTTGGTTTGACATATGAAATCATGGCAAAGAAAATAATAGATGTTAGTAAGAGAAGATGACATTTTCTCTTCTCCATCCAATCAAATATCTGATATTTCAGTAACAGTGGCCCTAACTAAACTCTAAATTAAGTGAAATCACAAATCAGAACAACGAGTATATATATCTCTAACTAAAACCCTGAAAGTTGAAATTGACATTTTCTCTTCTCATCTAATAGCAAAGACACTTTCTGTCTCCAATCATGCATTTTAACTACTTTAACGACTTAGATCCTTTGTGCTAAGAGTCATCAGTCGACTTATGAATTGTTACAAGTCTTTTAGTGTTATTTTTTCGAAACATCTAACGAATTCTAAAACATCTAACGTAAAATCAGCCCACACTATGAACATGGCCTAATTAAAATCCAAATCAACTTAAATTTTTAAATCTTGGAACAGAATACATAAACCAAACATAACATAGTAAAATCAGAAGCCATCATAAACTAACCATAACAACATAACATAACCAAATTTCAAATAATCTAACTGAGTTACCACTGTCAACTTCATGCATTTGGATCCTTTGTAATGCTATCACATCAACAACAACAAAAAAACTATTCAAAACTTCTTTAGATTATAAGCAAAAAAAAAACAATATAATTATATCACAAAACACAAACCTTCTGTTATAATGCAGCTTTTATCTTCTCATCAATTCACTCAAGAAACTTATTCTCATCTTGTGTCTCATTTTCTTGTTGAAGTTTCTCACACTGTTCGATAGCTGCGAAAATGTTATTTTTCTTCCTACAAGCATATGTTGTTACCATGAATTCTCCAATCTCTTTTAGAACAGTCACCCCTCTTTTCAATATTCAGTTTTAGATTTTGTAAAAAGTAAATAAATTTTGCATCCAACTATTTTAGACCTGGGGACTTATGCTTGATCCCAGCTCGTCTAAACAAACTTGTAGTTATTATACGAAAAATAATAAAAAATGGAAACAACATTACATATTTTTTTATTGATAATCATTTACAAAAGATAAAATAAATTAGAGACATACCTTTTTAGGAAAACACACTTCATAATCAATGGGAATCCCCCCTCCTTCCTCCACTGTAATTTATGTATATGATTATTCTCAAAACGAATATCGATCAAACTCAATCTTTGAATTTGTTCAGCATCAAACAGTCTTTTTTTCTTTTCATCCCATGGTTGATTCGAAATGTATTCTTGAAGCGAACCATATTTCCATTTGCTTGATCGTTCTTCATCCACTATGATTGTTGCAGATACACATCATATTCTAAAAGATATGCAGCAAATTCTCATTATGCTTCATGGCCATTCTTCCATGTATCACTACCAAGTGATTCTTCTTTGTTCGGTTTAAATATGGCTATGCGTTTCTCATTTATATTCTTTATGCAATAAACATAATCCTTATTTTTTTGCATATCGAATATCAAATACTCATTTTACCGTGATTCCAATATTTGTTGTTTGTGTTGGATAAACTTTCCAAGTCAATAATTAATTATATTTTCTTAATATGTAAAGTCATTTATTTGATTTTGAATCTAACGCTAAAAAGAGAAAAGACAACACTATATTAAATATTCTATATATCAAGTTTTTCATTAGTCATATATGAACGAAAAAAATGGTGAAACAAACAAAAAAAAAGAAGAAAAATTAACTTTCAATCTTGAAAGAATTAATAAACTACTAAACTGAAATATCTTACACTTTGAATGCAATGATTGCACGATCAACTTCTTCTTGACTGAAATATCTTACACTTTGGATTTAAAAATTGTACAATGGTTGTTCAAAAAAAAAAAAGAGAATTGCATCAGAAAGAGATTTTAACCCATAAGCTTTTTCCTTATGTTCTTATGTGATTTTCAAAGTTATAAAAATACTCTATATAAATTTATTTAAGAAATATTGAAACAATTAATGCTGGAAAAAATTGATAAGTTTTAAAAATCAATAAAACTAATATATCAGTTGACAAAAGCTACTAGTAATATTTAATTTTGGTCAACAATGCACCTCACGCTGTATATCGTTTAACTATTTGGTTTTAAGCTTTTTAGAGATCAGAAGGATCTGCGAATTGCAGTGGACTGACGTTATCTCCACCTTGATCGAATCTTCTTTGTCTCCACGGCTCCACATGACATACTTGGAAATAAAACTTTAGACTCTTTTTGGAATCTAGAAACGACACCAAATCTATAATTTAGTATAAACTATACGCTGATTTAAACTATTTTAAAACAGTAAAACGTTGGGCCTTGAAACCATACCATCAAAAGACCTTTTGATATGATGATTTTGTCTTACAATCTCTTGAGGTCTGTGGTTCTCCTTTATGAGTTCACGTTTCATGTTCCAGGGCATAGAAGAACTTGGCTCAAAAATTTCACCTTTTGACATTTGTGGATATTCTCGTGAATTGTTAATTTAGTTTTTAAAACGGCAACCAATAAATTGTTTTTTAATCCAAATCCAATAACCGACTACTACTGCGAAAAAATAAAAATAAGCTACAGTATTTGTTAATTGCGGTTCATCAACCCATGACCCATGTTTTTGTTAGTGCCAGCCACCAACAAAGTCAAAATATCTTTATTTTTTTTATCTCATACACAATTTAAACAAAACAAATAGCCGTACTTATCCAGTCTTTTAAATAAGATAACTAGAAATAGAAACACAAATACTGATTAGAGGGGAAATTTACAGTTTTTAAATATTTTACAATTTAGTAAATCAACAGTTTATTTTAACTGCCTATTCGTTTGAAATCTATCGTGTCACCAAAGGACACTGAATCTTTGAGAATTAGAAGTTATCCAATTCCAAATTTGTGATTGGTAAAAAAATTAAAGCAAATCTGTTAAAAAAAAAGAAAAAAAAAACAACGAACGGCGTAGATTATATAACAAGCTGGCACGTCTGGCTGTATCTGGTCGTAACTTTCCTTTGTCAATTCGTTCGGCGACATAACAATCCAAAAACACTAAACATTCTTTAGCTGTTTCTTGTTTATATATATACATACAAATACCAAACGGATATCTTTGAGAAATTTGGGATACGCAATCAATTCAAATTTCACCCACAAGAAGAACCCTAATTCGAGGTGTGTACTCTTATTCCTCTTTCTCTTTTTAATTTTCCAGTATCGCATTCACAAATTCGTCCCTTTTTCGTCTTCCTCATTCCAAGTAATTAATGGGTTTTGGCATTCACAACGAAAGATTTGATTTTGCTACTTCGTGAAGAAATTTCTGTGATTTTATTGCCGAGTTACTCTCAAGTGTGTATATTTGATTAGCTTAGGTGCTTTACTTCGAGGATGTGGTTTTCGTTAAATTGATGCTGCATTGTCTCTGAGCCACTGTTCTCGAATCGCCTGTTTGTTTGTTTTGATGTCTCTTTACATCGAGAGAATTTGGAAAATCCCAAATGCGCTCTTGTATCCTTTCTCATCGATTTCAAAACTCTCTCAGTTCCCACAATAATATAGAATAATTGTTCGTGAATGCTCTCAAATGTATAAGTCACTGATTTGGTGGGTTTAACTTAAGCAAAATCATTTTTTGTGCGGTTACTTTGTCTTCCGAGTTAAGGTTTTTGGTAAACCAAAATTAGCATTGCTCTGTTTCGTTTTGAGAATGGTTTGGTATGCTAATCTAACGTATGACTTGTTTCATGCTCTAGGGACGATTGGTTGAAGTTGAGAGAAAGCCTTTTATGAGTTTGCGAGTTTTGCAAGTAGAGAAGCCGTTGAATCAGCTTTTGCTTTTGTGGGCGTGAAGTAGGCAGTGTGAGAAGAAACTTGGGAGTAGGATGGATCAAATGTTTTCAGGAGAACAAGATCTTGAAGCTGGTCGATCTGATGTTACTACGCAAGAATCCACGTCTGTTTCAGGCGATGAGGTGAGTTTTGGCGTGTCTGAAAAGATTGCTGATGATCTGAACTATCCATTGATGGGAGACGAGAAAGCAGTAGAAACAAGGATGAGTCAAAGTTTGGATCTTTCAGAGAAAAAATGCGATAATGTAAAGCTTAAGAAGTCAAGAAAGGCTTCAAAGCCACCGAGACCTCCAAGAAGGCCTTCCTTGACTTTGAACGACCATAAGGTGATGAAGGAAATAGCAGAGCTCGCGATGAGAAAGCGTGCAAGGATTGAGAGGATGAAGAATTCCCTAAAAAGGATTAAAGCAGCAAAGTCATCATCTTCATCATCTTCGTGCATTACCCTCTTCTCGATGATAGTGACGCTTCTATTCTTAGGCTTTCTACTCTTTCAAGGTACCATTTGTTTCTAGTGTCTTAGTGAATGTTTTAGCTTTTTAGTTCCCTTTTCGACTCTTAGTCAGTATAAAAAATTGCTACTTTGGACTTGAAATTGCAAAGACTTGTTGCCCCAAATGCTTTGGCTTCATAAGTGACTATTAGCCTATGGTTTAGAAGTAAAGAAGGAAAATGTCTAAAACACAAATCTCCTTTTGATTTTCTTGTTGCAGGATTCTTCGAAGGCAATTCGAATATGACTTCAGACAAATCACCCGCACCGATTGTTTCACCTAACAACCAATTGGTCTCTGTTCAGTTCTACAATGAGTTTGCTCCCGTTGAGCAAACCGATCACAGCCCAAGTACCTCGTTCAGGTGAGGAGCTTGATGAAGAACAGTCTCTTTCCGTAGCCTGATTCTTATTGTCAATCAAAGAACGTCACTTTCGAAAACAGCCTACTAACTAAATACGAACAATCTTCTAACTTTTCTCGAATCTGTGTGAATTCATCAGATACACGAGGAAGCGAATTTCGGGTGCAGAAGAAGAAGAGGACTCAAGAGATGTCATCAGATGAGTTTCTGTGTTTCGTCTTTGACTTTAACTCATTCTGTTAACGCTTTTTGGTTCCAATTTTTGTTCTCTATCTTGTCTCCCTGTATATTTGTTTGTTTAGCTTAATTCTTGTAAACGACAGCGTTTCAAACATGTTGATGAATTGAATTGAACCATCACGAGCCCGGCCTGCTTTTTTTATAAAAAAAAATATTATTTGGAAAATAATAGTGATTGTGGGTAACGTCATAATTAGGTGATTGGGCCATTTAGTGAAGGGAAAACTTTTTATTGTCTTATTGACCTTAGAAATTAAACTGTTTCTACAACTTATTTTCTGATCATACAACAAAATGCCACGAATTTTTGTGAAAATGACTTCACAGCCAATTGGAGACTGCAACGTTTAATGGTCCATTAACAATTTCTACATTTAAAACAATAGTAGTTATATATCCGACAGCCGTAATAACTATATATGAACACTCACTTTTTGCGCAAGAGATTTCAATCCACAAAATCATTTTTTCGTCGTATATGATGAATGATACAATAATGGAAACGCAAGCAACACGTTTATAAATGTTTGTGATTCTGAACTTCCGGTTGGTAGTGTACATATCTTCCAAATGCGAATTATTAAGTTTTCTGTTCAAAACTAAACAAAAACTTGTATTGTTACTCTAGTTGTATATATATGTGAATTTCACTTTCATCTAAATGGAGAGGAATTGTGGTTACTAGTTTACTTCTTTTCAAAAAAAAGAAAAAACAAAAGAGTTTTACTTATTTTAGATGTTACGGTGACGACAAGACTCTCTTGATTATATGATAATGAGACTTTTATTGGATTGGATATACGAAGAAATAATTGACAGTTTAAAACCAACACAAGTACTCACGTCGAATATACCATTTGACGTAAGTTATAACGACGAAAGATCCACGTCCCGCGGTCACAGACAGACACAACATTCGCTTCTTTGCTAGTGATAATTTTGGAGACTGCCTATTAGGTATACGTCATACATCATCATTGATCTTTGATATTTTGAAGACATGCATTTATGCTTTTTATTACTGACTTTTCTAGAAGTTTTTGATATGATTGTTAATTAATACATGTAGTTTGTCCAATTTTTCTCATTTTGCTAACTCTAATTTATCTTTTTGCTAAATGGTTAATAGACTCTAACTCTAATTTATCTTGAACCTGGTTCTCACATAATATGTCCTTAACATCCATATTTAGTATTCGTACTAAAGTTTTTTTTTGTGGCTATGTTTTAGTTAATTAGTACGTCGTATAAATTCTCAGCCAGTAAATTAACATTTCGTTTTTTTCGAACATTTCAAGAAAAAAGGTATTTTTTCATGTCTTGTAAAACAATGCTAGAAACTTAAAATAACGATAACAGTTCGATTGCGTGGATCTTATAGAGTTTGAAAGTTGGAGTAAAATATATCGAGTTTCTTTTTCAGAAACTTTGCCAATTGAAGAGAACAATTCGCAACATTAAGCGGATCTCCATCAATAGATTAATCTCTTAGTCGATATCCAATTTTATATATGTTATTTTTGAAAAAGATGGTCAATATCGTTAATCAACATGGCTCTATCTCGGCAGCCGATAGTGATCGGAAATTTAACGTACTAAATATAAAAGTCTGAAACGAAAAGACTTGTATGATTGCGAAGTAATGTTAGTCTAGACATAAAATTTGACTTTACTCTTGCTAGTAGAATTTTCTCCACGCATATATATGTGTGTGTGTGTGAATGAAAACATTCTTATCTAAAAATATACTAGAAAACATTCTAAAAATCTTTCAAAATAAACTTCATGTATAGTTGAATTCATGAACTTGTGAAATAATATTTGCTTTTTCCTTCTTATAATTTCCATGTGCTGAGATGCGGGTAGGTAGACATCTCTAATTCGGCTTAGCGAATTTAACCAAAACAGTATCGAAACAACAGACAAAATTCAAAAAAAAAAAACATAAATTGTAACCGGATATATTTTAGTCTTATCCTAGAAAAAACATTTCCCAGTTTGCTACAAAAAGAAAAACTTAAATTTGGAATGGAAATCGAACTATATATCGACGCGCACGTATACTTTTCAGATAATACAATTCACATCATTTATTGTAATCATGCAAGCTGTACAGGAAGGAAGAAGTGGAACCATCATCAATGGCATTCATTGTAAATACCAAACACGTTCCAAGGGTATTTACGTCATGATCACATTCTATAAATGCCAACCCCATCTGTTTCTCCTCGACATGCAGAGTGTCTAGAATCCAGAGACTAAAAAAGTCAAAACCATGTCCGGTAATAAGCTATCGATTCTCCAAGGTCTTGCCTTCTTCTTCCACCGTTTTTTTATCCTCCGGCGTTGGTTTCATCGTAACCCTAAACAAAAACACCAAAAATGCCCTTCTCATCATGGCCTTCACCAAGCTCACGACTTATCACATCACACCTTGATATTCAACGTTGAAGGAGCTCTACTCAAATCAAACAACTTGTTCCCTTACTTCATGCTCGTAGCTTTCGAAGCCGGAGGGGTAATAAGGTCATTTATCCTCTTCATTCTCTATCCATTTATAAGCTTGATGAGCTACGATATGGGCTTGAAGACCATGGTGATGTTGTGCTTCTTTGGGGTTAAAAAAGAAAGTTTTCGAGCTGGGAAATCGGTTTTGCCTAAGTACTTTCTAGAAGATGTTGGGCTCGAAATGTTTGAGGTTTTGAAGAGAGGGGGCAAGAGAGTTGGTGTGAGTGGTTTGCCACAAGTAATGATTGATGGGTTCTTGAGAGATTACTTGGAGATTGAAGTTGTGATCGGGAGAGAGATGAAAACGATCGGTGGTTACTACTTAGGCACCATGGAGGACAGGAATAAACATGAACTTGCTTTTGGTAAATTGGTTCAAGAAGAACAACTAAGTACTGATCATGTCATTGGCATCACTTCCTTTAATTTCTCAAGTCAGCGATCTCTATTCTCTCAATTTTGCCAGGTAAATTATCGTATTTCGAGATGTATATACATAATCTAAAGTTCTATAGTTCTTTTTCTACATGTGGAACATTTTGGTATTTCTAAAAGAGGTTTTGGACCCAACAATGGTCTTATATAAAACAAACAGACGTAACTGTCTTTTTTTAGCTTTTTAAAGATAAATAAAGACAAACCTTTATGTTACGGTTTTTTTTCAAATTTTAAATATATATATATATACAGTATATAATTATTTTTTTGTTTATGGAAGATCCCTACCAAGTAGTTGTAGTTTTTGTTTTTGTTTTTAGTCTCTATTCTAATTTAAAAAATATTCATTTATACTTATTGTAGTTTCCGACGCCTAGGAACTCAATAATAAATTTTACTACATATATGTAAGTCTCCAATAGAATTTCGTTGGTTTTAAATGTGGCTCTTTGAACGAACAGAGAGATGTATTGATTTTCTTGGAATTTAAAAAAAAAAAGTTATTTATGATGCAAAATTCAAACCGTAGACTATTAGAAAAAAAAAAATGAGGTGAATGAATAATTAAGTTTTGATGCAATTAATGCAAACCATAGACTATTACAACTTGCTGTTAATATGTACTCCATGTACCTTCTGTTCTTAAAATTCTTTTTAATACACATAGGTGCCCACTCCATCTGATTTTACTTTGTTATAATAATAATCATCTCTAATCTTTTCATTTTTTGTCATAATCAGGAAATTTACTTTGTCAGAAATTCAGACAAGAAAAGTTGGCAAACTTTACCAAGAAATCAGTTCCCTAAACCATTGATTTTCCACGATGGTCGTTTAGCCATTAAGCCAACACCTATAGACACACTCGCACTATTCATGTGGGCCCCATTCGCCGTTGCCTTAGCCGCCGCAAGACTCATCGCCGGCCTAAACCTCCCTTACTCCTTAGCTAATCCTTTCCTCGCCTTCTCGGGTCTCCGCCTTACCCTCACCGTCAACAACCAAACTGGCTTAACTTCTTCCTACCAAAAGAAAGGTTGTCTCTTTGTCTGTAACCATAAAACGTTACTAGACCCACTTTATCTGTCTTACGCTCTAAGAAAGAAAAACATTAAAGCCGTTACGTATAGTCTAAGCAGATTATCTGAGCTTTTAGCTCCAATCAAAACCGTTAGATTGACTCGTGACCGTGTTCAAGATGGTCAAGCCATGGAAAGATTATTGAGCCAAGGAGATCTCGTGGTTTGTCCCGAAGGAACTACGTGTAGAGAGCCTTACTTGCTTCGATTTAGTCCACTTTTCGCGGAGGTTAGTGACGTCATTGTACCGGTTGCTATTGACTCGCACGTGACCTTTTTCTATGGCACGACGGCTAGTGGATTTAAGGCCTTTGATCCGATTTTCTTCCTCATGGATCCTTACCCTTCCTACACCGTCCGATTGCTTGATCCTGTCTCTGGAGGTGGATCAGCCACGTGTCAAGATCATGATGATGGCAAAACTAAGTTCGGGGTGGCTAATCACGTGCAGCATGAGATCGGGAAAGCCTTGGGGTTCGAGTGCACCAACCTCACGAGAAGAGATAAGTACTTGATCTTGGCCGGTAATAATGGAGTTGTCACGAAAAAATAAATGATTTCGAGTAGATTATCTCTTAATTAATTAGTTGTTTCTTTGTGTGACCAACATGCTTGATATTTTTTATAAGATTTTTTTCTATGATGTCATGTAACAATCTTTTTGTGACCAATACATATATATATATAGATATGTATAGTATATGTCTTAATACTAATAAGATTATATATATATATATGTCTTCGGAAATTAACGCCACTACTGAACTTTCTTAAGTAAAAGCGATATACTAACAGGGTGGAGAAATCAATGGAATAAAAGCGATATACTAACAGGGTGGAGAAATCAATGGACCAGATAATGAATTTATATATACATGATTAAAGACATTAAAGTAACGGATGGAATTAGTTGATTGTATTCCATTGACCAACACTGCCGTTATAATCTGTAGATTCGGTTATATATGCATCACTGATATGATATCTAACGGTCTGGCCGTACATTCATAGTCAAAAATCAAATAATCACATGCATATATGCTTCTTATTATTGTTTTTATAAGCATTTTCAAACGCATTCATATTTGTAAGGTAGATATATCTGTAGTTTTTTATTTTATTTTTTTGAACTAAAATTTAGATATCTGTAGTTTCATTCGAAATATATATTATGGTGATTGACATCCGAAAGATATACCAATTAAAAGACATTGATAAGGAAAAGTGCATTTGAAAAGATGTTACAAAATAATCAAATCAGTAATCTTAGGATAACGGAGGACGGAACCGTGGATAAACCGACTTATAGACGAAAGGATTAGTTAACTAACGATATGCCAAGTAATTTTTTTAGCATTAGTTAAATGTAAAATAATGTTTAAAAAAAATTATAGCTCTAACTGGTGACCAAATGAATGAGGAAGAATAATGAATTTTTTTTTATTTTTTAAAATTTTCACCATTCACTAGTAATATTTGTTCTATGTTATTCTTTCTCATTTCCTATTATTTAAAGAATTATAGAGCAAAAGTATTCCTTATAAAATATGAAAAGGAACAAAAAATATTTTTTATTTCTTTATATATATTTTATTCCTATTGATTTTTTTTTTTGTTTTTTTCATTTTTTTCCTTTTCATTTTTTTTTTTTATGTATAATCAGTTAGAGCCTAAAAATATTATGAGAGGGACTTATGTGCGTACTACGAGGAGGTGGGAGTTTGTGTCAACCCTACGCATCTTCCCACCTAACTCTGTTTAATGCTTCTTCAATCTTTGATTAATTAATTAATTTCATTGAATGGAGTATTTATTTGATAAAAGAAACATAAATTTAAAATGTTTTCATTATACAAAGAGGCACACGGAATTCACTTTAAGATATTCATTTTTTTCCAGTTATGGTCTTAATTATGGATATATATATATATAACAGATAATTCACTTTATAATTCTCATCAATACGTGCGCGCGATAACTTACGGGAATAGTGTAAAACTAGTTTAATAGCCAGAATATGAAAACGTCATTGAGTTTGGAATTTTGTGACGAGTAGTTATAATTTGGAATGTTCAAATATTTTTAAAAATTAGGTTTTCCAATAAAATTGAGTTTGGTATTTGGTTTGGGATTTTGGGCCTCAGCCTAAGGATACAAAAACCAGATTGATAACTTTGACTAAAAACAGATTATTGAGAGTTTAGTTGGTCGGATTCAGCATGATTTGTTTAGGATGTCACTGAGATGCTCGAATAGTTGTTGTGTGTGTTGAACTCCATACTCTTAAACCGATTTAGCCAGTGAGTAATTCATTCTATCAGCCAGTTTCATATAACACGGTAATTATTCACTTAGGAAACATTCCAATCAAATAAATCTGGACAGTATAATTAAATTATATGTCAAGTGTGAGTTGCCCAATTACAGTTTCAAATATATGCTAAGTTGTGTCCCTGTGATATGGGCCAGGCCGAACTGCAATAGTTAACGACTTCCTGGTTCTGTGTAGGAGACGGGACAAATTTCAGATAACTAACTTGCTACTGCTTTTGGTATAACATCGGCCACGATCGTTTTATGATTTCAAAATCGTTTTAGGGGGGGGAATTGTCATAATCATTGTGAAGGGGAAAATTGTCGTAATTCTAGTAATTGTGATAACCAAGTATTTTCATATTTATAATAAAAAAAAAGTATACATTTCACTTCTTCTTATTTTGCCAATGATACCATGATATTCTTCTATTTCTCCACCCCACATGATTTCCATGACACTATGTCGGACACTTAGTCTTGACCTGTTGACTATATGTCTTGTGGTATCATAATAATAAAAACATAAAAGGAAGAAAATTTTGATCTTTGAGAAGAGAGGAAAAAGCGTTTTAACGACCAAAAATATTCCAACGGCCGTTTGCTCATTCCATTCCCACGCATGTGCCATCCCATTTGCCTTTTTCTAGTTTATGTCGCCTGTTGTTTGCAGCTGATCTATCTATATACATGCCGCACACTAATTTATTTATTTATTTATGTTGCATAATTCAAGAATCATGATATATTATAGATCAAACAGTTTTTTCTTTGTTTAAGTATTGAATTGAATTTGAATAAAATAAAATAAATGGAAAAAGGAAAATTAATATTGATTGTCTCGGAGTTGGGTGACCGACTGTCTACTTTAAATTCGTAACTGCTTTTAAAATAAGTGTAAATATATGCATTAAAGAAACGTAAAAACCATAAAAAAAAAAAATAGTTTAGAACTGTTTTAAGTTAACAAATGGTCACCAACATTTTAAAATGATAGAGTTAGGTTTAGTAACCAATGTGTATGTTTCATTCATGGGATAATGTCGGCTAACATGTCAGATGCCATGTTCCATTGATCCATCCTGTCTCTGTTCAACTTTTCACCCATCCTTCTTTTTTATAATTTTTTTTTATATTTTTTCTATCTTCGATACATGGAATTGAAATTATTCCATTCATAACCTAATTTGTTGTTCAAATGTGTTTTTTTCCCAATCTGAGTTACCGTAAAACCTAACGAAGCATCCAAACAAAAATAAAATGTTGATTTTGTTAGATGGGTGACTTGTTTTAAGCTAATAAAACAACTTTGACATGCATGCAGTATGTTTGTGAATCATTTATGTTTTATTTATTGAAAGACTAATATCAATCAAGCATCGTAAACAATGAACCAACCAAAAAAAACAATGAAAGCAAAGAATTAAAACTTCTTTTTAAAAACTGGTCTTATTATAATCTATATATAATAGAGTAAATGGGTAGGTACTAGGTATTGGTACAGAACTACAGAGACTTGAGAAAACAATAATTGAAAAGAATATGGGCAATGAAAACAAATTCTATAGTTAATCGGACGGCTATTAAGAGCCGTCAAGGTTGACCATTTCCACTACGTGCCGACATATCAGCCTTACACCTGGCCCATCCTCACCCTTCCTACTTCCTTGTGACTCTTTTCCACGCGCCTCTTTAAGCATTTGTTTCTCATAATAATATAATCTTCTTTTTTATTTCTAGTATTTTAATTTACCTCTTCAAACTAAAAAAATATACTGTATCAAAAAGCTAACCTTATCGAAAGATAAATCATGAAATGTTATACATTTTGCTGGTCACAATTAAGATGATCAATCATGATTGAAATTAAGGGTTTGATTAATTCCCACTAACTTGGAAAAAATAAAAGAGAAAGGAGTGTTTTTTTCTCAAGCATGTACATGTTGCATTTGTCAAACCTGAATTTAAAACTCAAAGTTTTTAGTTTATATTTTTTGAATTATAAAGTAGTTATTCTGAAGATTTTTTTTATAACTTGTTCAATTCTTTATTTTGTTAAATGGTTGTTCCTGGATTCTTATGGTTTAATTAGTATTTATTAGTCGGATTTGAATAAATCATGATATGTTACTAATTTTTGCCCAACTTCTTCTGTTGACAATCTTAATCACCAGCTGATATTCTATACTTATTCTATTCATACAAAAATTTGGGTTATAGAGCACATACTAATAATTAAAAAATCAATATTAATTACACGCGAGTCTTTTGACCAACCAAACACGTAATTAAAGGCAATAAGTGCTCAATCTTTAAATTATTTCAAGAATTATAAACATCGACATCTATTACTTTCTTATCACCAAATTTCAATCTACCTAATTTCCAATACTACATAACAAGGTCGTGAAATAACAATACAAAAGCTTCTCAAACAATAATTAGAAATCTGTACCTAGCTAACTTGAAAATTTATTAAGCGGACTATATCCATTTGAATGGACATAAAAATGCATAAATCCATAGCCTTATTTATCTTGGCAATAATTTTGTTTTTAAAAACTCGACCGTCCCCATTGATGACAATATGACATGCCCACCTTACGCGATATGTCTGATGAGATGATTACTTTAATTTCCTCATTTGTCAACCGTATGGAAACCGTAGCATTAAAAATAAATTCGAAAAAGACTTTTAATAAAAAAAATATTCAATTTATACAAAATCTACCTTTCATCTCTTCCCATACACTATATATAATACTCGCTCTTCTCGGATTGTTTCATAATCAAAACCTCCTGATTTCATTCTCTACTAATAATTGCTTTTTCTTTTTGAAATTTTTATTTTTGTTTGAAAAATAATAGGATATGGTTTTGCCTTCTTCAACACCGTTACAAACTACTGGACAAAAGACGAAAGCCTCGCCGGAATATAACTTTCCGGTGATCAATTTCTCTTCAGACGACCGGTCAAAACTATCGGAGAAGATCGTAAAGGCCTGCGAGGTTAACGGGTTTTTCAAGGTGGTAAACCATGGAGTTAAACCGGAGATAATATCGAGATTTGAACACGAAGGTGAAGAGTTCTTTAATAAACCGCAATCGGTGAAGCTACGAGCCGGTCCGGCGAGTCCGTTCGGTTACGGATGCAAGAACATCGGGTTTAATGGAGATTTGGGTGAGCTCGAGTATCTTCTTCTCCACGCAAACCCGACATCTGTCGCTGATAAATCTGAAACTATCTCCCATGATGATCCGTTCAAGTTCAGGTACGTAAACCCGAGTTACCCGACGTATATATATTTCACATATTATTTATTTTTTCTTTGTGTGTGCATTTGATTATTGGTTCTTGAAACTACTCTAGTTTGTGATGCTACATATAAATTTTTTCTTTTACTACATAATTTTTGCTGTGTTTGATATTGGTTTTTTTTTTTTTTATTGTCAACGTTTGATATTGGTTATCGAACCATTTATTCCTAGCACAATATAGTATATATTTAACGTTTGCAGCTATGTAGGTTTTCATCCATAAAGAATCATAACATTTTAATTTTATGTCAAAGATTTGCATTCGCAGATAAATATATATATTGGATAAAAACAAAATTAAACATAAACACATATATACGCTAATACTTCAAACAACCAAATTTAAAACCATAGCTAGTGTTAGTTTTGTCGATCAGATTTTTTTTGTCAGCCTTAATTAGTGTATAAAATTTGTAGTTAACTACACCGGCATATGCAGAATTCCCTTAGTGCACATGTAAGAAATTCGGATATACCTCATGTTTTTTTGGAAAATAATATATGCATATTCATCATATATATATCCATAAGCGTAAGCTAAGATGCATGAAAAAAATGAACAGCTGCATAGGTATATATATATATATGTGGAACTCAGAAATTCAAGAAACTTTTGTTGCGTCTACAAATAAAAATTATTTTAATATTCTATCCGTTTCTCTGTGTGTGTGTATGAAAGTTGACCCAACTGAAATTGACGTGGATTGTGTGTGACAATGTGACTTGTGAGATACCTAAAAAAGAGAGAGAGATGCAATGTCGAATAATGGATAATGACCAGAAGACACGGCTTTTTATTATTATCACTCTTTGTTCCTTTCTTGTCATTAAAGTTGTCCATATTATATTTTTTCTTATGATGAAATTAGTACAAACTGGTGATATAGTACCAACCTAATTCCGGTTCACTAATTATTGGTTGTAATCATTAATCTACGATAGTTGGAATGTTGTTCCTGGTTCATAGTATATTGGTATGTGGTTACAATTAGGATGCCAGCCATTTATATATATATAGATTATACTAAAATATCAAAATGCGAAAGTGCTTTTGCAACCTTGACTGCGACATGGTCGATTAATCAAGATTCTTTTCATTTTCCCCCATAATTAGGCATAGTCCACCTTATTAAAGTATATATTTTTTTTTATCAAATTCTTGGTGGGAATCGACCTTTAAAATATCATTCATGGGTACATGTTAATACTAATATATAGACTAATTATAACTATTTTTAAAATAAAGATTATACACACACACACGTCACAAAGTATTGTAAGACTTGGTCAACTAATTGAAGATTGTGCATGAACACAAAAACAATTTGAATTGAAATGTCAATGGATGAAGATTTGAATCGTCGTCAGTCAATGAACCAAGATTTGAATTGACCTGTCTGGCTATTCAACTAAAGAAAAATGACAACTTGTAAAAGAAAAATAATCGTGGGGTCCTTGCTTTAGAACATTCTTTCTGATCAGTCCTTTTTGTGTGTGTGTGTTACTGTGTTATTGATAATCTGTAGATCAAACAGTTTGTCTAAACATCACGTGCTGATTATCTTTTGTAGCTCGGCGACGAATGATTACATACGCGCCGTTAAAGATCTGGCGTGTGAGATAATAGATCTGACGGTCGAGAATCTGTGGGGCAAGAGATCTAGCAAGGTGAGCGAGCTAATCAGAGACGTCCGTAGCGACTCGATCCTAAGGTTGAATCACTATCCACCTGCTCCGTACGCGTTAAGAGGCGTTAGCCAAATAGGATTCGGGGAGCATTCTGACCCTCAGATCTTGACGGTGTTAAGATCCAACGACGTAGATGGACTTGAGATTTGCTCACGTGACGGCTTATGGGTCCCTGTTCCATCTGACCCTACATGCTTCTACGTATTGGTCGGTGACTGCCTTCAGGTAATTCAAATTAAAACTAATGTTTCCATTTTTTTAGTCATTTCGTCACAAATCGTATTTCAATAGATTTTTTTTTGAATTTCAATAGAAATAAGGTCAATTTCTCTCGCCTGCAAATTTTTTTCGTAAATTAAAATCACAAATTAAGAAGATCTTTAATAAATTTATGTTTGTTTATAATAGGCATTGACGAATGGGAGATTCACTAGCGTGAGGCACAGGGTATTGGCGAACACGGCAGGGAAGCCTCGAATGTCGGCGATGTATTTTGCGGCGCCGCCTTTAGAGGCAAAAATATCACCGTTGCCAGAAACGGTATCGGCTGAAAATCCACGACGGTATAATCCATTCACATGGGGTGACTACAAAAAAGCTACCTACGCTCTCCGTCTAGGTGTCCCTCGCCTCGAGTTCTTCAAGTCCTCATAAACACATCTTCACTCATACAGATAAATTAGATATTTTATTCTTTTTTGGTTTGTTATACAAAAATACACCATGTGAAATGTATAGTTTTACGTGAAAAAGAAAAATAGAGTTTTTTGGTCGTTTAATTCGCAATTGATTCTATAAATTTTTCAATTGTCACATTTCTTAAGTAAGAAATACTCTTTAGAAATTAGAAATGTATTGTATACGAATAACGGTGAAACGTGATGGAACAATAACTAAAGAGTACTCCATGATGTTTTAGTTTGTTTATATAAATTAAGAAACTATCATTAATTATTTTTTTCAGTTACTTTTTTTTATTTTAATATTCTTTTATATTAATTATTATAATGTATATTTTCTCTTTCCAAAAATAAAGTATTTTTGAAAAAAGAAACAGATTAAATATAATCTAAAACATCAAACTTAGTGGAACAAAGAAAAATTCTAAAACATCAAACTTTCTAAAACGAAAAGAAAAGATAAAAGAATAAAATCCGGCTAATCCAGAATCCTAGGAATTAGTCTTTGGCTTCGACCTCTCGAATCATATTCCAAGAAACATGAAACCGATAACTCCAAGCACAATCAGCTTTACGGTGGTGAAGCTTTCTCCAGCAGCCGCTGCTCCAAGTCCAAAGTCATGGTCAACGGGGTAAATATCTCCCGGTGGAGAGACGTAAGGCGGAGGTGGCGGGCAGTACGACGGTGTTGGCGGCGATGGCGTAGACGGCGGAGGCGGTGGAGGAAATGAAGGAGGAGGAGGCGGCGGATATTGGATGCAAGCAGGTGAGCACTTGGTGGATCCCTCGTCGAGCTTTACGTCTGAAGAATCTGCGGCATGGATTATAATCGGAGATGCGAGGAACACGACGGCCATGAGGAATGTGGCGGTGAGAACCATTAAACGGCGATTTTTCTCCGGCATGTCGTAAGATAGTTTAATGGGCTAAGACGTGTGGACAAAATAATCAAATTTATGGAATGTATTTTAGAACCCTACCATATTCCTAATATGGATAATGAAATATATTTTCTAATGATGATGAAGATCTTGAAAATATTTAAATTCCATGACAACATTCCAAATCCAAAAATTGCAATCTTTTTCATTTGAGCTTTATTGGGCCATTTGCATAATCTGGGCTTACAATTAACTTTTGATTTAAATGTATGTGAACAGAAATTAAAAAGAACCGACTCTCTTTACTAAACCAGACAGACAAGTCGTAGTTTGACTTGTTGACTTTTTCTGTGTAAAAGTTTGTTTCTTTTTGTTGGTTTCATGTGACGTCTTTGATCTCTCTACCGCCGACGACACAAGAACGCCGTTGGTTTACCGGTAAGTCTTCTCTTTTAATTTTCTCTCGAATTGTTAGCCAGTCCTGGCGTCGTTTTCGCCCTCTGATTCGGGTACGCTTGGCCATGGCCTCGCGTGATTCGTGTTTTCCTTCTTCTTCATTTCTACCGACTATTGATGAATTTGGTGATTAGGAAAGGGAGAAAAAAACGTTTAATTTTCCATGTAGTGGCGCTGAAATCGATCGAATTAGTTCTAATAATGCCTTCTGGGTTCGTGTTTCTTGTGCTGATAATGTTTGTGTAGTGTCTCACGGCGTCTATCGATTAAGAATCATTTCTCTTCGGCCATGTCGTGGTCGAAGGCATGCAGAGGGACTCTCATATCTTCATATTTAGAGAGCCTTCATCGAACATCGCAGTCTGCAAGGTAAACGAGATTTCCCCGATTTGCACACTAACTGTTTGTTAAAATCCCTCAAAGAAAGCTCTATCCTTTTTTCGCAAAATATACTAAATGATTGAATAAGAGTTGCTGATGCGACTTCTTCTTACGTAGGACTGTGCCTCATGTTCTGTGCTCTCGTTATTACATTCATGGAGCTTGTAGAGGCAGTCAGCATAATCTCCGAAGCAGGAGAGGGCTTTGGGGAAGCTCATCTTCGTTTTCCCGTTTGAATTCCCATTCTGCTACTGCTAAATCGATGTTACTCGGTGCTCATCGCCAGTACTCTACTCACTCTCCGACAGAAACCAAATCACAGAAAATGCTCTATTACCTCACTGCTGTTGTCTTTGGCATGGTGGGTCTAACTTACGCAGCTGTACCGTTGTATAGAACATTCTGCCAAGCTACTGGATATGGAGGTACTGTTCAACGCAAAGAGGTATATAACCTCTTTCACTTTTTTTTCCTCCGAGGATTCAATTATTCGTAGTCTCTTTCTTGATCGTTGCTCCACTGGTTTCTCTGGGATTATACTACAGACTGTTGAGGAGAAGATTGCTAGGCATTCAGAATCTGGTACCGTCACTGAAAGGTGTTTATTCCTCTGTCTCTTAGCACCATTCGTAAACCCGTCATCTTTTTATTTCTCTATGTGTTTATGATGAACTTGCTAGCTTACTACTATACTCTATCATGTTAGGGAGATTGTGGTGCAGTTCAATGCTGATGTTGCAGATGGGATGCAGTGGAAGTTCACTCCAACTCAAAGAGAGGTTTAGATTTACGAGTCAAAAAGAGTGTTTTGGTTTTAATGTGTTTTTACTTCAACTGATAATAAGTCTTTTGGTTTTGGTATTTACTTATAGGTGAGGGTAAAGCCTGGAGAAAGCGCGCTCGCTTTTTACACTGCTGAAAACAAAAGTTCAGCTCCAATAACCGGAGTCTCGACATACAATGTCACTCCCATGAAGGTATGTTATATTAGCCTCGGTAAATAACTATCAACGTCCCTTAGAACATCTTTGGCTTGATTCTCGAACTCTTATTGGTTTTTCAGGCAGGAGTTTATTTCAACAAGATACAGTGTTTTTGCTTTGAGGAGCAGCGACTTCTTCCCGGAGAACAGATCGACATGCCGGTGATTACTCTTTTTGGTCTTTGTTCTGTTTAATAAGCAAAATCAAGAAACCAATTGTTTGACTTGGTTTTGCAGGTCTTCTTCTACATTGATCCTGAGTTTGAGACTGATCCAAGAATGGACGGAATCAACAACTTGATATTGTCTTACACTTTCTTCAAAGTGTCTGAGGAAAATACTACAGATACGGTCAATGAAAACAGCTCTGTTCCAGTTCAAGAAACCAATTTAAAAAAATACTGACTATTTTTTTGAAGATAAACTAATGTTGTGGCATAACCTCTTATGCAAGAAGAAGAGCCCCCCTTAGTTTTAATAATAAATTTCCATCTTGGGAAAATTGTTTGTTATTATTTTGTTCAGAATCCACGGAATAGAGACAAAAAGAAACTTGTATCTGTGCTTTTGTCGAATTTATAAAGGTATCTGTGATACGCATGTCTGTTTAGTTTTGTGCTTCAGTTATGTTTATGAAAACATGAATTTTTATTACTCGAATTAAGTAACTCTACAACGATGGAATATTAACGAAGTTAAACAAGAGAGAGAGAACTCCAAATTAGATAAATCTCTCAAACCAAAATAGAAAACGAATGGTTAATGATGGTGTTTGGGTTTGAAGGACTCTATCCAGTTGTTGAGGCGCTCCATAGCTGACAAGTCCACCTTCTTGGGGTAATTGGGAGAAGCAACGGCTTTGGGTTGTGGTCGCACCACCACTCGAAGCTTAAGCCCAGCCCCACAATGGCCCGGCACCGTGCTTATGAAATAATGAACTCCTGGTTCTGTGAGCCTAACGAGATCATGTCCTGTCTTGTGCACGCCCACAGGAGAAGTTGGGTCGCATGATATGAATTCAAGATCACCCCTGATCTCGAAGACATCGTTGACTTGGTTGTCGTATTCGAAAAGCAGAATATCTCCCACGTTAAACTCTTTCTCCTCGCTCCACTTGGAATAGAAGTCGCTGTTATAGACGCTCCATGCTTTCGAGTCTCCGACCTTGTACGTCTTTCCAAAAGGAAGGATCTTGCTCTGTGTCGGTGGTGGAGGAATCGGGCTTGACGGGTCATGGACGACAAGAATGTCCAGTTTCTGTCCGGATGCGCATTGAGCTTGGTTTGAGGTGATGAAATAGTAAAAACCTGGTTCCGTGAGAGTCACGACATCGTTTCCTGTGTTGTAGATGGCTTTAGGAGAAGAAGAGTCGCAGAATTCGTACTCCAAAGCACCGGAGACTAGAGTGACGTCGTTGACGTTGCGATCGTATTCGAAGACCAGAGAATCTCCCACGTGGAACTCCTTGAGGTTGGCCCAATCGTAATAGACGTCGTCCTTGGGAGTCCATCCGTCGGAGTCTCCGACTTTGTAGATCGTCGCCGAGCAGCAACCCAAGAGAACCGTGATCATCACGAACATGAAGCAGAAGATACTCCTTGTTGTCGCCATTATTGATCCAAGACGAACAAGAAATATCACAAAGATTATCGAAGAAAGAAAGATTTAGGGAACTCGCTTAATCAGAGATTCAGAGAACGTTTGATGAGTGTGTGTTGAGATGAGGAAAAATAGAGTCCCCTATGTCTCCTTTTATAGAAGGCTCTACAAATCCTAATCCAAAACCTTTTTAAGATTTAACTTTGTACTTTATTTCCTTATTTGAAGATTAAAATGAAGATAAAATCCGTATGAAGATATTCCTTTTCCTTTTCTAACACCTCTTATCTTGGAAAACAAAAATAAATAACGCTTAAAGATCCTTATTCATTTTTTTTTATTTTTATTTTCCACAATCCTTAAATTATTTTTTTATCCTTAAGATAATAAACTAGAAACTCTTATCTTTGTTTGGTATGGTGGATTTGGTTCAAATCAAATCGAGTTAGTTAGAAAAAACTGGTATGATTCCGGTTCGATGGAGCTTTAGTATCGTACCGGATTTTGTGCCTGACCTGTAAAAACAATTGCGGCTTGACTCTCTCTCTCTCTGGACTTTAACCTAAAGTGCATTACTCCATAGAAGCAGAAAAGTTCTGGTTATCGAATAGTCTTCTGTTACAGAGCCTTCGGTTTCACTTATCCGAGTTTCTTCTCCGATTTTGAGCGAAGCTCAGATTTTTGTAAACGATATTCGACGAAAGTCAATTTGCTGAAATGATGGTGAAGAAACTCAAGCCGTTATCTTCTCAGTGCGCTTCTCGCGTTCCCAATCTCCGTCTCTCTAAATCGTTTCTTCACAGTGTGGCAATACACTCCTCGGATGCGAAGCTTCCCGCAGGTGAAGACGATGACGCGGAAACCGTTTACCGGATGATCAATGGATCAAATCTGCAGGGAGAATTGAAGGAATCCTTGAGCTCCAGTGGAATACACTTGTCCAAGGACTTAATCGAGAGAGTGTTGAAAAGGGTGAGGTTTAGTCACGGAAACCCTCTGCAAGCCCTGGAGTTTTACAGGTACGCTGGTGCCAGAAGAGGGTTTTATCATTCGGCCTTCTCTCTAGACACGATGCTCTACATCCTCGGTAGAAACCGAAAGTTCGATCAAATCTGGGAGATTTTGATTGAAGCTAAGCGAAAGGATCGGTCTTTGATATCGCCAAGGACGATTCAAGTGGTGTTAGGCAGAGTAGCTAAGCTGTGCTCCGTTAGACAGACCGTTGAGTCATTCTGGAAGTTTAAGAGATTGGTTCCTGATTTCTTCGACACGGCTTGTTTCAACGCTCTCTTGAGAACTCTCTGCCAAGAGAAGAGTATGACCGATGCGAGGAATGTCTATCACACCTTGAAGCATCAGTTCCAGCCAGATTTGCAGACTTTTAACATACTCTTGTCGGGATGGAGATCATCGGAAGAAGCGGAGGCTTTCTTCGAGGAAATGAAAGAAAAGGGGCTAAAACCGGACGTGGTCACGTATAACTCTTTGATTGATGTGTATTGTAAAGACAGGGAGATGGAGAAAGCTTACAAGTTGGTAGATAAGATGCGCGAGGAGGATGAAACTCCGGATGTTATCACTTACACGACCATTATAGGAGGTTTGGGGTTAATCGGTCAGCCTGATAAAGCTAGAGAGGTCTTGAAGGAGATGAAGGAGTATGGATGTTATCCTGATGTTCCTGCTTATAATGCTGCAATCAGGAACTACTGCATTGCGAGGAGGCTCGGGGATGCGGAGATGCTGGTGGATGAGATGGTGAAGAAGGGTTTGTCTCCGAACGCTACTACTTATAATCTGTTTTTCCGTGTTCTGTCTCTGGCGAATGATTTGGGACGGTCTTGGGAGCTGTACGAGAGAATGTTGGGGAATGGGTGTTTGCCGAATACTCAGTCTTGTATGTTCTTGATTAAGATGTTTAAGAGGCACGAGAAAGTGGATATGGCGATGCGGTTGTGGGAAGATATGGTGGTGAAAGGTTTCGGTTCGTATAGTTTGGTTTCGGATGTGCTTTTGGATTTGCTTTGTGATTTGGCTAAAGTGGATGAAGCTGAGAAATGTTTGCTTGAGATGGTTGAGAAGGGACATAGACCGAGTAATGTCTCGTTTAAAAGGATCAAGTTGTTGATGGAGCTAGCGAATAAGCACGAAGAGCTTAATAACTTGAAACAGAAAATGGCTGTGTTCGGTACAGAGATCCCGCGTTAAAAGACCAGGACCAGTTTTGTTACATTCTTTCAGCGTTTTTCAAGAGCCAGTCGAGTCCTTCGTGTAAACCGTCTCCACATAACGCACATGAGCTCTGGACATGCCTAGCAAGCGAAAATCAAAAACACAGATCATCAGAAGAATCATTCCTCTTTGCAGGATCAGAGTCTTGAGGAAGGTTTTATTATCTTCTTACCAGTTTCTTTGCCAGTTTCTGTGACGAAGAGAAGTGAGATCAAGCTTGTTACTGATCTCAGAAGCAGACATGGCACCAGGAACCTCACGCTTGTTACCGTAAACAAGAACAGCCGCATTGTCCGGTACGTTCCCCTGTATCTATATATATATCTACGGAATCAAACATTGGTATTATGTATAACTTGCTTGATGTTTTAAAAGACACGGTTTGTTACCTCATCCATCACCATGTAAAGGAAACTCTTTGCCTCTTCAATTCGCTCTCTGTCCGTGCTATCGACCACATACACAAGCCCTGATACTTGTTGAAAGTAATGTTTCCATAACGGAATTGTCTGAAATGTTTTGTTTTCCTTATCAAGTATATATGTTTTTCTGTTTAAGCTGCTTAGAAAGTAAACGACTTTTTAATGTTTTCATACCCTATACCGTTGCTGCCCGCCTATTTCCCAGAAGCTGAAGCTGGAGTTCTTGTATTTCACGCTTTCCACGTTTAATCCTATAAGCAATGAACCGTTTTTTTCTCTTTCAAACAATGAAATTGAAAACTGATTTGCTTGATTCTACTTACCAACGGTAGGCATGTTTTGGGAAAGGATTTCTCCGGTTTTGAGTTTGTGGTGTATTGATGATTTGCCGGTACCATCAAGGCCAAAAAACACTATTCTCGGTTCGATTTCTTGGAATAAACCGGCAAATGGCTTTCCCATCGTCGTCCCCATTTTCTTGAATCAGCAATGATCAAACTGGTTTCTTCTTGCAACGAAGTTGACTTTGTCTGGATTTGACAATCACAAGTAAAAAGACCCAGAAAACAACTTGCGATTACAGCAAAGAGTACATACAAAAAAATGAGACGAATCTGAGGACTTTTGAGATTGAGAGAGAACCAACCTTGTTGTCTCTTCTTGAGTTTCAAAGTCAAATAGTTGAAGCTTGGGAGTTAAGAGTTGTGTAAAGTCCGTTTCAAGATCCGAGACTTGGCAATAGAAAAGTCAACTCGTTGACTTACGGCAATCAGTTTCAAGATTCCTAGTTTCCTACTCTCTTTTTTATAGAATACTATTTCTCTAAAGAAGCTCAGAAACAGAGAATGTGTGTTCAGTAGACAATAGTTTGTAACTCTGGAGAACCGGACCAATGTCTTGTTCACTGAACTGTGATCTAAAGACTGAAATTATACGAAATTTATACACAGATTGGGTTCTATCAACCAATCACTCTAGACTTAGTTAGATCTGGTGGAATTTCGAAATTGAACTTCCACATTTTACGATGATTTTTTTCTTCTATGAGACACGTTTTGAGTCGAATGAAATATTTATTAGTTAAATCCCAAATCCTAAGTGAACGTGAAACATAAAAAAAAAAAAAAAAAAAAAAAGATTAATTTACTACAATGCAAGATTAAGATCTAAACCCTTCTCTTCTTCTCGCTCCTTCTCTGTTTCTTCATCTTCTTCTACTTCGTCTTCTTCCTCTTCTTTCACCTTTGTATTCTCCTGCTTGTGATCCGAAACTGACATCGATGGCTTCAAGTCCGTACGACACTGAGAGAAATCCTCCGGTTGAAACGCCGGAACTACAACACCGGACCTCTCTCCGGCGTTGGATTTCTTCCTCGCGTCGCCGGAATTTTCAGTTAACTCTTCCCGTCTTCGTTTTCGTGCTTCCTGATAGTCTTTGATAAGCTTAAAGAACGTATCAATCTTCTTGTCTTCTTCGTCTTCGTCTTCTCTTCCTCTCTCATCGATCCTGTTCGCGTCCTTGATCTCCACATTTTGGTCATTCTTGTTCTTCATGGTCTTTAGGGCATTAGAGGGGTAATCGTGTAAATTAAAATGTTTGGGATACATTTAGGAGGTGAAACTGATTTTGGAGAGTGATGAAGACAATTATGCCTATCTGTCTCCTGATTTTCTTTTAAAGGAGAATTAGACGTGACGAAACTTCTTCTCAAATGACAAAAACACCTCTATTCCTAGCTCTTTTTTTTTTTTTTTTTGGGAATTTGCTAGCTCTTTAGTCCTTTTTAACATTTTCCTTTTCTAAGAAAAAAACATTTTATTTAATATATCTTCGTTCGGTGGATTATTATGAATTTTTCTTGTAACTATGAATTTGGGTATTTGTATTTTCTAAAACAACAAAAATCACGTCAAACACTCCAAAATCGTAGAAGATGTCTAAAAATGTTGAATACTAGCAGATATTGAATTAGTTTTGAAGAAATTCAAAGGTGAAAATAATCATTTCAAACACTTCGAAATGATGATGCCTAATTTTTTTTAATAACATATAATTTTAAAACTTTCAGCTGAATTTTGATTGTCTATTTGATTTTATATTCGTTTTGAATAGTTTTAAAGAATCAGAAAAAAATAAAAAAGAAAACATTTCAAAAACACTTAGAAATCATAAATATTTTTTTGTGAGAAACAACTCACAAGGGCACAAAAGTAAAAGAACGCGGAGATACCAACGTTTGATTGCGTCAGATGATAGTTTTGGATAAAACGACATGAAGCAGTTATAAGATTACGTCACCGCCATGACGTATCCGTGACACATTCATAATGTTTCTGTTGAAATAACAAAGACTCAGAGACTCATAATGAAAACCTTGACTTGATGCGTTTACTTTACTCGTGGTAGGTCGCGAGGGAAAGAGAGATCCAGTGGATCGATCACAGACTATTCTTATTTCTTAACCGTTAGATCAACTTTCCTGGAAACTATTTTTGAATCTAATGATGGAGAGTGAGTATATTATAATTGTATATAGTCTAACTAAAATCTGTTCGAATGATGAGATTTTTTATAAAGATTTGTCGAATCAAATTATATGTTGTCGGCCACTTGTATATAGAAAGCTAATTAATTCTCGTTTTTTTTTTTAAAGTAATGATCCATCCCAAACTATATCATTTCTGTTTTTCGAAAATTAATTACCCTTATTTTTTTGTGGAAAACTATTTTATTGTATTTACAAAAAACTAAACTATTATTCTCGACAAGAAGAAAGAAACAAAACAACAACTATTATCCATGGCCCAATAGGTTCAATTATGATTGTTGTCATTGAAAAAGACCCATTGGGCTTGTATCAAGAACTTCTCAGCTCCGTTATTACGCGTTTATATCAATATACCATATCAAATTTGCGCCAAATTTTCTCCCTCTTAGCTTTGTCTTTACAACCTCATTATATTAATATGTTCACCAAATTCATGAAGGAAAGAAAAATAGAGATAAAATGTAGATGATCGATCATACGCTTTGAATACATTTTCGTCCTTTTTATTTGACCATATGACAAAATAATTGCCACTTTGACATACTTTTAGTGTTTTTGAGTTCTTTGGCATATAATATAATTATAGTTTGTAACAAAAATGAAACAATTTCTTTTTCTTTTTTTATAAACGGAATGCGTGGAAAAACAGAAGAATTCTTTTTCGTCAGACAGAGAATCAAAATTAATTACAAAAAGGAAGTTACACACACACACATATATATATATATATATATATATATATATATTAGTCAATTGAGAATAGTGAAGGAGTGGCTGAGGTTCATGATCGAATCACACATATTACCCATTTCACTGCGACATTGTAAGAGTGTGGCTGTTATAAATAAGGCTTTTAGGGTCTCAGGCATCCTTTATTCTCTTTTCTCACTCTTTTCACTTTTTGCATCCTTAATTCACTTTTATGTAAATATTCTCTTTTCTGTTCATAAAAAATACACAACACACAGCACGGCATGTATTTAAATTACCATCTTGGTGCGTGTAAAGTGGAGACTGAGTCTTTAGTCTGAGTTAGAAAGCTGAATAAAATTGAATTTTGATGCATGGAACTAGTTAGTACTGGTCTAATATACCATAATTTTAAAGTTCTGAATTATAGACAGAATTGTATTTTAGAGTTTTTGCTTTTTAGTTTTTTTTTGGGTTTTCTGCTAAAGTCTAAAGTTCATGAAATTTTAGGTTTTCAAATAAAATAGGAAACTTGAGGCAAAAATTACTTTCCCCAGTTTTTATGAAAACCAAATTCTTAAAAACTTGATAAGATTATTAAATAAATTTCTAACTATCTACTAAATAACATATTGGATTTATCGATAGATTATATATATATAACAGCAATGTGAAGACCCATTAACAAAAAGAAAATAACAGCAATGCAGCCGTGCAAGAGGTGTTTCGAATATATATACATTTAGTTTTAGTTTGAAAACAGTAAAAATTATAGTATATATGTAATTGTGATTTATAAAAATTTATGCCGCAATGACAAAAATAAGTCACCACTAAATTCTTCCTTTGTTGATTCAATATAAGAGAATAGACTATTAGACAAGAAAGTGCCGGCGAAAAAAAAAGAGTGGATTAATTCATTGACATTTAAGGAGACAAATTGATACTATTCATCTCATTAGGATTGGGAATGGCCTAATGGGAGGATATGAGGGTGATGGACATAGAGTCATAGATAGAGAGACAATGCAGAAAAGCGGGAAGGAGAATCTTTATAAATTTATGAGTTAACCAAGAAAACTAGGCTATGATATGTCCACTCACTTGTTTCATTTTGTTGTTTTCACCATGATTGGTTATTTCCAGTAACCTTTCTGATATTTATAAACAGTTACTCTCTCTATTTGCAACACCATATCGACTTTAGATGATCCTATAAATGTTCCACATATCAAAGAAATTGTATAGTTATGACACTATAGTTATTTTAAGTTAGTAGATTACAATTCATCAAATGTTTATATATATATATATATATTGCAATATATATTTATAATTAAAAGTTCAATAATTAATGTCGTAATCAAATCAAAATTTTTCTTATTTTATAGAAATTCTGACTAAAACCATATCAACTCGATTTTTTTCTATTTATTACATTAGAAGGTTCAACTCGCGACTTATGTTGAGCTCTAAAAATGATTTATTTACTAGTCTAAATATTTACAGTATATATTTATTATTTACTTATTCTCAGTTTTTTTTTAATGCAACTTTATTTATTCTCGATTTTAGTTATTGATTTCCTTTACGTCGGGTTACTGGGTATCGAGTTAAGTACTATTACATGCAGATTTACTGATTTTTGATTACTTTACCAAATATATAATTATATATTAAATGTTAAATACGTTAAACTGGGATTACGTGGTCACACCGAAAAAGGGGAGAATCGGAGGTGGTTGTGTCTAACATTCCAATTGCGACCCACCAAACTTCTCCATTTTTTATAGAATATAATCTTTTAACGTAAAATAATATTTATAATCTATTTATATTCATATATACAAAAAATTAGAGTCAGACAGAACTTAGAATCTTCGAGTGACCTTGTAAGCTTTTCCAGTTTTCCTTAACCTCAAAAAGAAAGTTAAATGTTTCTTCTGTTTGTATAATTGCATATATACACAACATGCGCGTGATTGATCTCCATAATTATAGTTTACATCTTCGTGCTTAAGTTACCAAGAACATGCATATATGAGTGAAAATGGTATTTTTTATTACTATAATAAAGATTACGAAAAAAAAGATTATGGAAAACACGGAAAATATTATAACTTTACTTCTCTTAAAAAATACAATGCAGAATTTCCTTATGTATGCGTTGATTTACATGCATATCACAAATTTTCTCCTATAGAAATATAAACTGATATCACCCACCAGCTCTAGCAGTTCATAGATTCTATGGCTATGCATGCATATTTATATTTATGTATAATCGAAGACATGTGTGCTAACTCTAGTGGCTGCGCGTGCAGAGGTGAACCGGGTAAACTTTAAACAAGTTGATTATAAGATATCAACTTTATAACAAGTCTTTTAAAAAATAAAATAAAAACTTTAGAAGTCCAAAAGTAAAAAGGAGCTCGACACTGAATAACTAATCGTCAAGGGAAAATTCGTTGGAAAATAGGAAAAAGAGAAAGTTTTCTGGTTAAAAAAGGAAATTGTCTGGTTAAAAAGGGAAATTGGCAGGTTATCGTATTAATCTACGAATATTCCTCAATGTTGTTTCATTTTTGTTTTCATGATTCATTCTATTTTGTCCATCTTGTAATTTTGAAACGCATATTTCTACTTTTATTTGTTTTTACAAAATTCAATCACGAAAACATAAATAAAGGTTCTGCTCATCGTGTTTGCACAAAAAAACAAAAAGGTTCTGCTCATCGAAACTAGCTAGATTTGTTGTGTATATATGATTATGCTAAATTTCTTTGCAAAAATGCGGGATTAGTACAACTTAAACAATACATGTTCCATGTTTATTTGTTTACAAGTGATCGATTAATTTTTATTCGGTTAAAATCGAGTTTTGCAGGCCTCTTTAAAATGACATAACGCAACTCATATTTTACTGAGATTAAAATGCTACAAAAAATTACATCCTTATTTGCTTATGTGCCCTATAATTTCCAATTAAGTAATGTGTACTTCATATTTACAAAAGCAAGACAATTAAGTTAAAACCTATTGATTTTCCATATCATTATCTAATTATTTAATTGATGATTGATTAATTAGAAACATGCATATTTCTTGACTACGAAAGCTACACGTCGAGAGATCGATCGATGAAAGCAGGGTACATATTTATATAATAAAACCCATTGATTTTCCATATCATTATCTAATTATGTAACTGATGATTGATTAATTAGAAACATGGATATTTCTTGACTACGAAAGCTACACGTCGAGAGATCGATTGATGAAAGCAGGGTACATATTTAATATGATATCCAAACATTATAACCGTTATATGTATTATTAGTTCGACCTACAGCATCCAAAAGTTGGAATATTCTCTTCTACTTTCTACTCAGATAATCCACTAGTTCATATTTCTTCTCACATAATTTAATTGGCCACCGAGCACATAGCAATAAGCTTAGATAATACTATTATATTGGATAAAGAACAATTATATATAGACAAAACAAAAATGTTTCATTCTACGACCGAATTAAGTTATTAAGGAGTTCTATAGTACAATAGGATACAATTTTTCTTCTTTTTTTACAAGTTAACAAGAAAAACATCTTTTATGAAATGGTAAGTTTTTAATAGGTTGTGTTATGTTTAAATCAACTTAAGCAATAATATTATCCCAAATTAATAAATTCATAAAACTATTTTCTAAGAATTCTTTTTTCTTAAAATGTACTTAATTATAAAATTTGCAGTTTAGTGTGAACAATGAATATTCCACTTGTACTGGATTAGGACGGCACAATACTACCAGTCTCCTTGGTACTACCTACGAAGTATGAATAATAGACATACATACTCATAGAAAGAAAAAAAAAAAGCAGGCCTTATCCATAGTAACATATACAATTGAAGCTAAAACACAATCTTAATATTAATCACTCCATCATTAGCAAAACAACACTACAGAGCTCATTATGAAAAGTAAACAGTACGGTTTTAGAATATTTGGAGAGGCAAATAAAACGTACCACTCCTCAACGAAGAATCAAAAATATGATTCCCCTCAAAGCTTATATACATTTCCCGCTAAAATTATCGTAAAAAGTTTTGGAGTATCGTCTAACTCAATTATTGAACCGATCACGATTCACGATGAACCACATTTGTCAACAAGAGCACCTTGCAACGCCGTGGGGGGATCGGTCATGAGACACCAAACCGGAGGAATTGAAAGCTCTTCAGCGATTCCATAAGCATTCCAACAAAACGGATCTAAAACGATTTCGCCTTTCGCAGGAAGCAACTCGATGTCCGAAAGAGTTAGATTCGTGCATGGAACGGCATCGCTGCATCCGAAATGCATTGGAGGACTTCGAATATCGTAAGTTCCTTTGATGCCTTGGTATGCAATATCAGATACAAAAACCGCAGATGTTTTATTAGCACAATCTTTGGTCATGCAATAGTATTGGTCAATGATTATTGGGTTACGAACTGTATCCACGTGGATGTTGTTGAACGTCACGCCTGAGACCGAACCGGACCCGCCTTGCCATGTTTTGATCCGAACCCCGTTGTCGGAGTATTTTATGACCGAGTCTCTCACCGTTATGTTGGAGACGCATGCGTGTGAGTTGTGATTGCCCAAACTTCCAATGCTGAGAAATTTAATAATAGTTATTAATTGGGATCTATGTCACAACAAATGTTTTTAATTATAATTATTCAAGAGCAGAGAGAGATTATAAACCTAATTCCATGTCCACCGGGTCCACAAGTGAGATTCCGAATATCAACATCGTAGGATCCGGAACCAATCGATACACAATCATCTCCTGCAAAATAGAAGCATGACTTTGATTATTCAGACAAGGATCTTTTCGCTTTAGTTTTGCTGAAATTGTATTAACTTTTTTATTTCTATAATGTATTTTTTTATATTTAATTTGAAAGGGTGTAAAGTTGTAATATAGTATATTTATACACCAGATTTGACCCGTTGATCCACCAGTTTTTTATTGACCGATTTGAAAACATATATTTTTTTTTTAACTTTTAATAAATCTATATTTTTTCGATGGACCATTTTAGAAAATTTGTGGCTATGTTTTTAATGAACTCCAGCGATATTAACTTTAGATACATATAACATGTACATATCTAGTTTTGTATACCGTTGGAGATGATGGAGTTGTAGATGGTAACGGAGTTAGAGTTTTCGATGTGGATGCCGTCAGTGTTGGGACTTAACGGCGGAGCAGTGATGTGAAGGGACTCGACGTGAACTCCTTGACATCCGTCGAATCTGAAATGAAACTGCGGGCTGTTTTTTATCTTTAGACCTTCCACCGTTAGATTCGAGCTCATGAAGAACCTCAAAGCCTGCATGCAACTTACATCATTATTTACCAAAATAAATAAGGAAAATTAAAAATGGTTTCTTAGCTATCTTTTATGTTGAACTTACAATGGGACTGTCGCAAGGTCCAGCAACAATTGCAGATTTGTTGACAGACTGTAGAAAAATAATTAAATAATTTGTTATAAATTTTAAACCACCAAAATTTAAGATTGAATATGTCTTAATCAGTTTAATTACTTACCCGGTGAGGTTTGCAGGGAAGATCCCACCACTTTTGTCCCCGGCCGTCAATAACTCCGGCGCCTTTCAGAGCCATTCCGTTAACTCTATAAAAGACAAGCCATTGTCTTTTACTTATATTGCTCGGCCACGATTCTGGTCCGTCTGGTGTTACAATGGTCCCATCCACCTAACAATAACAAAAAAAAATTACATTTCAACCCCCAAAATTATAATTAATTAAGTTTAAAAAAAAAAACAAATACCCGTTTGACTCAGTTAGCTATATATTTACAAAACGTTAGAGATTTTTATTATGAAGAGAAATAATACTTGGAATAATTGGTAAGAGCGGCAAGGACCGGTAAAAATAGTGGACTGAATCATGAATGTGTAGCCGTACGGAACAACCAACATCGAAACGGTTTCGTTCTCGTTGCTACAAGATGAGTCCCACGCCGTTTTGAATGCTTCCGTGTCGTCTGTGACACCATCTCCGATCGCACCAAACTTTCTCACGTTGTAGACTCCGTTGTTGTCTTCCTCTGGCTCGTCAGAAGGTGATGGTGGCAATGAAGGTGACGGTGAGTCAGTGGGACCCGGAGGAGGAGTAGGAGGCTGAGAGATTGAGGAAGGAGGTGGCTCTGGTTTTGAAGAGTGATGGTTATGGCTATTGTGTTTGTGTTTGTCTTTGTGGTGGTGAGGTCGAGATTCGGTCAGTGAGATTAATGTGAGAACTAGCGTAATGAAACAGAGGATTTGGTTGCGAGTGTAAGTAGAAGTTATCATTTTTGTTGGACTGAAAATATTTGTTTTTTTTTGTTGTTGGTGATTTTGAGGTGTGTGTTGGAGATAAAAGTGCGTAAGAAAAGAGTCGCACTCACTAAGTTGAAAATGCTTCTTGGAAATGTTAATGCAGCAAAAGCAGACAAGTCTGGTTCCTTTATATATACTGCAAGGCCGTGGGCTAGAGGAAGTGGAAATCGATTCCGTAATGTTTTTATTTTATTTTGTTCATAATATTAATTTAAACAAGTGGAGTGTATATAAGGAGTTTACTGCTGATTTTTTTGTTTGGTTTCCGTTAGTTTTTTTTTTTTTACTTTTGTTTGTAGAAAACTACTCACCAGTGAAGACTTTACAAGATTATTTTTTAGGATAAAATGTATAGTACGAACTTGGAAGGTATAGTTTTTTAGTTTCGGTTCGAGTTTGAATTTTTTCTTTTTTTTTTTGAATTAAATGTGTTTGTGATTTTCTTTTTCTTTTTTAATTCGGTTCTAAACGAATTTCAGTTTTTGACATAAAATATAGAACTATATTTTTTTTTTAAGCGAAGGTTTAACTAACGTATATCTATTTTAACCAAATTAAAATTTAATTCTTGTAAGTATCTGTTTTTAAACAAGTTCAGGTTTGATCATAAACATTTATTTTTCTTGAATCATTTTGTGTTCTACGTAGTATACTTTATTTATTTATTACTACGTCTATTTATAGTAATTATGATTTGAGTGTCTACATTAATATTTATAGCCATATGGATGCGGCAAGCATGGGAGTATCTACACTAATATTTTCTATAATTAAACTTATCTATCATCATCATCATCATATGCAAATGATTGACTTGATCATCAGATCAATATTCGAAATTAGTTTAAATTGTCTTAACTTGAAAAATAATTAATTATATAGAAATAATATATAGTACGTTACGTCTTACCTCATATGTATGGTACAGTCTAAGACCATGCTGGATGGGCATATGTTAATCATTTCATGTGGAATCAGGGTAATATTAGTAGTCGTGATTCAGTATAATTATTTAGTTTATGAATGATCTCTTCCTATACTTTTATAATCGAAACGTTATCACAGACTTCACACAGTACATCTTGACAAAGTTCACAATTCACATTAGTTATAATTCTTTTGCACATCTATAAAATGAAAATTTACAATATTTTTTATCCTCTTTTTATTTTAATTTATCCCCACTTTGGAAGACTTTTCCGTTGGATATGTATATATTTTATATTTCGGACAGTTTATTCGATAGACGACGAAACATATAACATGTAAAAAAGAATTATTCTCCACTACGGATAACTGAGAAAAAAAAAAGCTATACATCTCTTACAATAAAAACAGTTTCGCTTATATAAAAAATAAAACAAGAAGAGAATGTCCACGAGTGGGTTATATCTAACTTCTTTCGGCTTCTTCAGTGGCCCAATTCATTTTTGTGTATTTTATATTTATAGAAAAGGTAAGGAACAAATGAATGGTTTAATACATGAACTATTTATTAAATTATCAAAGAAAATAAAATATAAGTTTGTATAACCGACCAACCCATTCATTATTGATTGTATACCCAGAAAACACTATTGTCTGATCGTATTGAGAATTTCACCGCCCCTCTTTACACTTTTCGGTGGAACTCAATTATGTTTGGTCTCATCACATTTTCTTCTTTATTTTTTCTCTTTCCGCTTTACCCCATTTGTCCAGTTGTTTGTAAAACTACAAGTAACGGTTTTGGGTGAAAAAAACAATAATGATTTTAGGTCGTTTTAACCTAAACTATTCCTGCTCATATAAAACAAAAACAAAATCACATCATTCTATTTAAGAAAAGGAAAAAATCCATTATTTCAATGATTTTATAATGCTATTTATTATGAAGGCGCACAATTTTGAGGGAAAAAAAAACTAGCACGTTTTTTTCTATTACACTATATGTCGTATTTTTTTATCGATCAATTATTTTTTTATTCAAAATTTATCAACCTACCTCATTTACCTAATTTTTTCTTTTTAGTATATAGTTAGTTAAGTCACCCTAAAAATGTCACATAAAAGCATAATGATTTTTTATTGTTTTGTCAACAATAGCATAATGAAGTATATACGTGCATCTTGTGACCTCATCCTCCACGCCAAAATGGCGGCTACAATACGACATTGCTAAAGCTTATAAATTTGCAAAAAGAATTGCCTAAGTACGGATACTTTATAAACATATGATTAAGCATCGTAATTAAATTGTGAGTGTGTGTATAATATTTGATTATACAAAAAGCCATATATCTAGTTACTTTGTACTATACTTTCTTCCATATATTTAATTATATTTTTCAAAACTTAAAAATTAGTGTAATTTTCAATTTATATAGTTATCCAAAAAAGTAAGATTGTTTTGGAATTATCTTATTAATTACATATAATTAAAATCATTTTTTGGTCAATAGCAATAAACACGTTGGACGAATACTTTTCTATATTATCCTCTAAGATAATTGATAAATTTGTGTATATATTTATATAGTCTACAAGAGAGATATAAGAAAGTGGAATCTATCTATTTCTCATAAGTTAAAAAATCAAACTACATTAATAATTAGATCGAGATTCTTAACCGAATGAGCATATACATATGTCATCATATATTTGTGAATTAGTGTGTGTTTGTTTTTCTTTCTTTTTGTCACATTTGGAATAGTGTGTTGAAAATGGAAGGTAAAGTCACAATCTAAGATGGAGATTGATATGAACAAGTTGGTCCATGTAAGGCAAGAGGCTATGTGAAGTGCTTAAGAATACCTATAAGCTATAAGACTCTAACATATCTATGGCTACTTTAAGAGTATGGAAGATGTGGCATGCTTCTTTACAAAGATACATATACATGTATATGCATGTGGATTAGTGGATATAACATTAGGAGTGTGTATCTTGCACACAAACAAGAAAAAAAAACATTGTGAGTGTATGAAATGGGATAATGTATAGGAAATAATTAAGTTAAATTCGTCTTTACAAAAATACATATATATTAGATATACACACGTGTGTATAATATTGTGAGTGTGAATAGAAGACTGGATCTTCAAACTCTCCCCAATCTAGAGGATTTGGTAGATACACAATTTGCTTCATGTCCAGTGCAAGTCTACACAGTCCATACTCCATACTTTGATCCATCTTCTAATTTATCCAAAGAGATAACAATTTACGTAGAAGTATAAATTTTGGTTGACCAATAATTTAAGAGATTTTACAGTGGATAAATTGAGTATCCGTTCAATTATTATGTGTTATTCGTCCAAATGGACCAGCGTTTTAATATGAAAAGTTTATTTTCAAAAAATAAAATTTTGAATTCTCTGTCGTGTAAGTTTTATATACTTACAAAATACCCATTATAGATTCGCATGCAATTGGTTTTGTACGCAAGGAAACATCCAAACATAAGTACCAAATTAGCCAAACAAATAGAATATAGTGCATATGTTTCTATAAGCTACATTCCAACCGTCAAAACGAACGGGCCAATATACACAAGAGTGGAGATGTCGGCTAAATTCGAAATGATTAAAGGAGACTTGTGTGATACTCCGCATGAGTTTACCCCACCCATTTACTGTTTCTCCCACTTCTCAGTTGCCTTACGAGTTGCGAGTTGATTAGACTTTAAACTTTCAAGTCTAATCGAAGCCATAGAACTATCGTGATTTTATCGTTGGCCACTTGCCCATAAGGCCCAAAACTATAAAATGGATATTTTAAGACCCAAGCATAGGGGATAATGACAATAATTTGGGAACAGATTAGCAGGTTAATAATAATGCATTGCGGACAATATAAGACAAGATTCACATGAGAACAATCTCTTTTTTGAATGATTTCTAACCTCTATTAATCATCATTATTATTACTATCTAAAATTAGTAAAGAAAGCATGATACAGTCAAATTACATTGAACAACAAATAATTGTTCTGATAAATAGTTTTGTCGTTATATTTTTTTTTTACTGTGGACTATTTACTTTCTACTTTTCAGTAATTTAACCAGAACATAACATTACTACATCACGTTTGGACATTTTTATCCCCAAAAGGAAAACACTACATAAAGAAACATCTTATTTGAACTAATTACGGAAAGGAAAGCATTTCTTGATTTCTGCCTCAAGTGGTCTTCACGAAGGCAGCAAAACGTTCCAATCCTCCACCAATAAGCTTCTCCATGAACGGTTTCATTAACTGAAATGTTTTTAACAATACATAATAATACATACAGACATAAAAATACTGAGCCAAAATGTTGACCAAAAAACATAAATACTTAAAAAAATAAATTTGCGAAACAATCTATCATCTACGATATGGAGAATAGGCTTACAAATGCAACTGGAGCTAAAGCATGTGGAACTTCAAATGAAAAATTAATCTGAAAAAAAAACAGTAGTGCATAAATGAAACTAAAAACAATTAAAATTTTATCATCTATGTAATGAAAATGAGAAAAATACTAACCTCTACTAAGCACGAGGAAGGACCTCTAGGGAAAAATCGAACACTGCCTCTGTTTTATAGATATAGAAAATATAAAAATATTTTTAAAAAATCAGCAAACTGAAAATGAAGTTAATTACAGGGACATGAAATAAACACTTGCTCAGAAACATTTAAACTATGGTTATGTTTGTGTAAACCATTTGAGTTTTACCTATTTGCAAAGCCTTCGATAGATCTCCAATGCAGCTTTCGATCCGGAATTGGCTGTTGAGGTGAAACTATGGTTAGTCCACAAAGAAGAAGAGATATTCGATATATTTCTTTTTGATGTAAAACTTCTTTACCTGTAAATTTTTTGCGAGAAAATGATATTCGATATTTTTTCCAAAAGACTCGAATTTCACCAAATAACGCGACAAATCTGGACTGCCCTCCACTGCCTAAAAGAAACAAAATACTGTTATGATTTGTGAGCAAGAAGAAGAAGAAGAATGAAATCTTCGAGACTCTGTTTCGAAGTTAAGTTACCTCAACAGATGACAAAAATGGCATCCACTTAGGGAACAATTTACGATCTGCATATAACTTGTAAGCCAAGGAAGCTGGTGCTTCCACTACCATCTTTACCCTGTTTAATCCAAACAACAACAAAAACTCTATACAGACTCTCTCTAAATAGGTATAAAAACTTTATAATATATAAACAGCTCTGTTTTTAAAGAAATTTACGTGACGTCTTGCCATTGCACTTGGCGGAGTCTATCTTCTTCAAGTCTACCAGCTTCTCTTCTGTGCATAACGGGTTTGAAGGGTTTAGGAGAAGAAGATGATGAAGAAATTGATGAACCATTATTAGAGTTCAGGAGTATTGAAGAGGTAGGTGATGAGGAAGAAGATAACGATGACAACATTAGCCGAGAAGAAGAAGAAGAAGATCGATGAAACGTAGATGAAAAAGACGCAGATTTTGAGATTTTCCCAAAACAAACAGCGGATTTGGTGGCTGGAACTGCACCAGAAGCTATTGATGACATCTCAATATGATCTAAGAGAGAAAGCAATTCGGAACTAGTCAAATGGGGTACTCATAGATTTGAATGATGAATTAGATTTTTGTTTTGCCAAAGAGACAGATTAGGAACAGAGACTTTTCAGGACCAATCTCTCTGTCTCTTAGTTTCTTCTTTCTTTCGAGTGTTATTACACTCCACGCAAAGTGTGTTGGCGTGTTCAGACAGATACGCTAAAAATTGGAAAAGGGAAAAAAAAGAAAACTCTCTTTGCGTGACTTTGTTTCTTGTTTGGTTTGTTTTGTTCTTTTTAGGTTTCACTCAATCACAGCCAACAATTTCTGGTTGTGTTCATTAATTTTCTCTTTTTCTTGGTGACCTAAACCACGAAATTCTGTTATGAGAGCAAGAAGAATTATTTATTCATACAAAAGTCACAGTATAAAAAGCCCAAATCATGGGATTTAGAGAAATTCTTAACACCCAGAATCAGAAAGATGCTGAGAAACATACAGATTCCTGCAAATGCAAAGTGTTGATTTTTTTCAGGTTTAGGTGTTTAAGATTTTGTTCAATAAGAGGATTTTAGAAGATAAAGCTGACCTTTTTAAGTAGTTTTGGCCAAGGCTGCAAATCTTTCAAGTCCACCTCTAAGCAATCTTTCTAGAAAAGGCCTGAGCGCCTGAATTGAGTCAAGAACAATAGGTATTAAGAAAACCACTCCGCGTCACATACAGATTTAAAGGTAAACAAAAAGGTTTACTCACCGATGCCACTGGGGTTAAAAGCGCAGGGACTTCATATGATACGGTTAGCTTAAAAGATTAAACAACAAAAAAAAGGAAAAGCATGAGATAATCATTCTAGTAGTAGAATGATTCTAGTCATGTGTAACAACAAAATGGAAATGTTGTTTACTTCTACAATGCACGACGAAGGACCTTTAGGGAAGAACCGTACGCTTCCTCTGCATCGGTCAGATTCCAAATGTTAGCCTCAGGTAGCTAAAAAAGGGAGGAGATAAAAAAAGTTGAGCATCTATCATCTCTTTGCTTACTTATTAGGAAGGCCTTCAAGAGATCTCCAATGAATTTTCTGATTAGGAGTAGGCTGCAACATAACAAAAACAAAAAGCCAACATTCTTACACCAGACATAGATTACGAAATCATCAGTCCAAATTGAATATAATAAACTATATATTTTCTTGCCTGTAGATTCCGAGCAAGCCAAGAATACTTAATGTCTTGACCAAAAGCATTGTACTTGAGTGACCAACGTGACAGATCAGGCTTATCCTTCAACACCTAACCAGAAACACAAAGTAAAATCAAAAAGCAAGAAGCTTCCAAGATCGAAACTTTTCAGTTAGTTAGGGAAATCAAACGTACCTCTACGGATGAAATGAAAGGCATCCACTTGGGGAAAGATTCACGATCCAAGTAGAAATTATACGCTACGGATACTGGAACATCTACTTCCATCTTCACTCTTCAAAACCAAAAAAACAAAAAGATTTGAAATTAGAGATTCATTTCAACTTCAACACTAATGTGAATTTGGTTTTGATGGAGATGAGCCGTTAATGGATCGAAATTTCAACAAAATTTTCCTGACAATTGAAAAATTGAAAAGCAGAGAAAAGAATAAAAAAGAGAAATTTACGAGCAGTCTTGCCACTCCATGGAGACAGATAAACGCTTGGGAATTTTGAATCTCGATCTACGATTGACGGAGGAAGAAGAAGAGGAGGGGCCATGTAGGGTTTTGGGAAGCAATTGAGAAACGGAATAGGGTTTATGTGGAAAAGAGAAAGCGAATCTCCGATCGAAGCAAATGGGTGATTGGAGATTTGTGATTTTACAGGTTCTTGCCAAATGATTGATCGTGCTCATGTGAGTTGCTGTTCCAGACATTGAAGCTTTCTCAGTTTTTGCCTCTTTTTTATTTTGTTTGTTCTTTCATGTATTGAAAAAAAAAAGTCTAAAACCTTCACAACCACAAATGGCGTCAGAGATTTGCTCTGTTACCATCTACGTCCATACACATTAAAAAACATATACATTGAATTAATGTTGTTGAAATAGTAAGAACAGAAGCGGGGATAGCTCAGTTGGGAGAGCGTCAGACTGAAGATCTGAAGGTCGCGTGTTCGATCCACGCTCACCGCATTGATTTTTCTTTTTGTTCCTTTCCTTTCCTTTCATATTCAGCCCATTGGACATTTCTTCTGTTTCAAATCTGAGCCCATTTAGTGGGTTTTCTATGGCCAATTTGCATAACCGTATTAACGAAAGATCAGAAACAACTAAATTCATACAAATTATTTAACTCAGAATTATTTCGTCCCGAAACATGTGACACTTTTTGAGATACCGGTTTATGTACTCCAAAAATATTAGAAAGTTATAGTCAAAGAGAAGAGCATGAGTTTTAATTTGCATGCTACAATATCTTATTTACGCCCTCTGATTTTTTTTTTATTAACTCGTTGACAAAGTAAATTTGTAGAAACTAAGAATAAAATTTCTTGAATTGATTAAACTGACTTACTGACGTATTTACTCCGCAATACCTAGGTCAATTAGACTTGGGGATAATATCCAATCCTATTAGGATTTAGGAATTATCTTCTTATATAGTATATACACAGAAAAGAAAATATGTGTCATATATATGACTTGTGCGTACGTGTATCTGATTCTCTTGTTGCTTGATAATCTCAAACAAGAAGGGATTTTCATATCTGATTTTTCTGAATCTATCGTGTACTCGTATATCGTCGCCTGGTGGATCTCTATGGGGCATGCTATGTCTTTCATAATAAATAAGGCACGGGAGAAGAAGAGGAAGAAGAAAACGTACGAAGCCCTAATCACTTTGCTTCCGGAGGACGTTTTAATGGACTGTGTAGCGCGTGTGCCAAAGCACGAGTATCCAAATCTCTCACTCGTTTGTAAGCTGTTTCGATCCATGGTTGCTTCGCCTGACCTATACGCGAGACGGTCTTCGTTGGGATGCGCCGAATCTTGTATCTATGTGCCCATCCATCATAGTAACGACTTGAGTATCCGTTGGTATACTCTCCTCCGAAGCAGCAGAAGTCTGATCCCTATACCGTCGCTTCCTCCTATGCCTTACTCATGTGTAGAAAGTCGCTATGTCGTAGTGGGCTCGAGGATCTTCGTCTTGGGTGGATATGACCAGGGGCAGGTGTGGAAGGAGCGGAAGGAGGGATTTTTATGCGGTGCTTTATTGAAATTTATGGAAGAAGCAAGGGCAGAATTGCAAATTACAAAATTGTTTCGAAGATTTAAAAATAGCATCCGAGGCATCTCCACGCCTCTTGTACAACGTGGATATGACAAAGGTACCAATGTGACAACCATCGACTGTCGATATGACATGGCACAACCTTTTGGGACCATGCCTAAGATGGCCATTAATCCGGCCGTCGACGTTGTTGATGGAAAGATATACGTAATCGGAGGTCATTACGGCAACAATGACTCGAGCTTTTGGTCATCAAACAGGCTGGTGGTGTTAGACACTGAAGCACAAACGTGGTTATACAAGGAGACAAAGTCGGGCCTAGAAGCTGGCCATAATTTGCTTACTTCTCTAGCGGTGGAAGATAAGATTTACATCAAGGGTTGTAGGAAAAGCTTTGCTTTCGAGGCAAAGGAAGGCAAATGGAAAGAAGAAGCGATCAACGAGTTGCTGCCTTCTGATTGTAGAGGTTGTATCATAGACGGCTTATTCTATAGCTACGATACTCGAGACCATTGTTTAAGGGCGTATGATCTAAAGCAGAGGTTGTCTTGCGGAGTGGTGAAAGGCGTGGAAAGGATATTTGAGGAGAGTTACAAGGTATACGTAACACGTTCTGGTAAAAAACGAATATTGTTGATGCAGAACGGAGATGCATTCAGACGAGGGATTTGGTGTGCTGAGATTGCTTTAATGGAGAGAAATCAAATAGGAGAGATTTGGGGAAATGTTGAGTGGTGTCAACTTTTGTTTGATGGAGGAGACGCTTCTTTTTCAGATTGCCTGAGTGTAACGGTTTGATAAAAATATTTCCTCTTTGTTAATAATGATTTATGATTCTTACACAAATAATTACTCATATAAATTAATTTTAGCTACTCATTTACATACGTATGACAGCCAAAAATCCCCAAACGAATGATTAGAGCCTATAGTCGGGGTCTCTAACTAAAGTACAAATTTCATTTTAGATATATATTGGGGCCCACTATAAAGTGAGAACCCTCCAAAAATTGGCGTATGCCACTTAGCGTGGAGAGCACACGGTATTCTTTAGTAAAAGGCGAAAGAATAGTTCGCTTTGTGCTCACCACATGGCTGCGTGATTTGTTAAGAGCGAAGGAGACCTCTATTTATACTACAACTACCGCTGCAGAATACTCCCAATCTTTCGATGTGGGACTGTCAAACGAAAGACCAGAAAATTTAAAGCTTTTCGTGGGCTTTGATGGGCCTAAAATAACTCGTTGACAAAAAACCTTGCATGCCACAATATGTTATTCACACCATCTGACTTTTTTTTTATTAACTCGCTGACAAAGAAAACTTGTAGAACCTGAGAATAAAAATTGTTTAATTTTTTTGACCAAAAACAAAATTGTTTGAATTTTTGACAACAAAAAAAGAAATTGTTTGAATTTATTTATCTTGTTATACTGACGTAATAATAATACACCTCAACGACCCAATCCTATTAGACTTAGGGATAATATTCATTCAATTTGACTTAGGGATACTATTCAATCCTATTAGGAATATCTTCTACTAATATATATATATATATATGCATAAAGAAAATATATGTTATGAACGTATTTAATTATCTGAATAAGACTCTTATCTTCTTCTAAAGTGTTCGTTCACTAATAACTTGTCGCCAGTAAGCTTGTATCTAATTCTCTCGTTGCTCGATAATCTCAAACAAAAAGTAAATTTCATATCTGATTTTTTTCGATCTGTCGGGTACTCATACATTGTCGCCTGGTGTATCTCTATGGGACCTGTTATGTCTTGCATAATAAAGAAGGGGCGGGAGAAGAAGAGGAAGGAGAAGACGTCCAAAGCCTTAATAATAATCACTCCTCTTCCAGATGACGTTCTAATGGACTGCGAAGCTCGTGAACCCCTAAGCGCCTCGCTTCCAGAGGCCGTTTTAATGGACTGCGTAGCTCGTGAAGCCCAAACTTTGCTTCCAGAGGACGTTTTAATGGATTGCGTAGCTCGTGAAGCCCTAATCACTTCGCTTCCAGAGGACGTGTTAATGGACTGCGTAGCTCGTGAAGCCCTAATCACTTCGCTTCCAGAGGACGTGTTAATGGACTGCGTAGCTCGTGAAGCCCTAATCACTTCGCTTCCAGATGACGATTTAATGGACTGCGTAGCTCGTGAAGCCCTAATCACTTTGCTTCCGGAGGACGTTTTAATGGACTGTGTAGCGCGTGTGCCAAAGCACGAGTATCCAAATCTCTCCCTCGTTTGTAAGCTGTTTCGATCCATGGTTGCTTCGCCTGACCTATACGCGAGAAGGTCTTTGCTGGGATGCGCCGAATATTGTATCTATGTGCCCATCCATCATCGTTACGACTTGAGTATCCGCTGGTATACTCTCCTCCAAAGCAGCAGAAGCTTGGTCCCTATCCCGTCGCTTCCTCCTATGCCTTACTCAAGTTATGTAGAAAGCCGTTATGTCGTAGTGGGTTCGAGGATCTTTGTCTTGGGTGACAAGAGTATCAATGTGTCAACTATTGACTGTCGATATGACATGGCACAACCTTTTGGTACAATGCCGAAGGATGTCATTAATCCGGTCGTCGATGTTGTCGATGGGAAAATATACGTGATCGGAGGTCATTACGACGACAACAACGAGTCGAGTTTTTGGTCATCAAACAGGATGATTGTGTTAGACATTGAAGCACAAACGTGCGTCTACAAGGAGACGAAGTCGGGCCTGGAGGCTGACCATAACTTGCTTAGTTCTGTGGCGATGGGAGATAAGATTTACATCAAGGGTTATACGAAAAACTTTGTTTTCGAGCCAAAGGAAGGTAAATGGGAAGAAGAAACGAACGAGTTGCTGCCTTCTAATTGTAGAGGTTGTGTCATAGACGGCATATTGTATAGCTACGATACTCGAGACCATTGTTTAAGGGCGTATGATCTAAAGCACAGGTTGTCTTGCGGAATGGTGAAAGGTGTCGAAAGAATGTTTAAGGAGAGTTACAAGGTATACGTAGCACGTTCTGGTAAAAAGCGTATATTGTTGATGCAGAACGGAGACGCATTCAGACGAGGGATTTGGTGTGCTGAGATTGCTCTGATGGAAAGAAATCAAATAGGAGAGATTTGGGGAAAGGTTGAGTGGTGTCAACTTTTGTTTGCTGGAGGAGACGCTTCTTTTTCAGATTGCCTAAGTGTAACGGTTTGATACTTTACTTACACCTTTGTGAATAATTTTAAAAATCCAAGATTCAAATTATTTACCAAGAACCAAAAAAAAATCACATATCTTTAGGCAAGCTTTTTTTAGTAGCATCACTCACAACATCGACGAATGGACATGACACTGTAAACAAATTTCGTAGATGGAAACGACCATGTGATATCAGCCATATTAACTCGCTGATAAATCAGCCATATTGCCTTCAAAATGAGCTCGGTGACCTTGTGATATCATAGCGATTAAACACGTTTATGTACTTGTATAGTCAAAGACGAAGAGCATGGGATTTGCATGCCACACATGTGTTTCGTACTTCAACATTCTGCTTCAACAGTTTCGTATGGTATTTAATTAAAGGAATCTTTTAATATATTTTTTTTCTCCCAACTAATTTAATTGTTCGGTCCACGGTACAACAGGTCGGACCAATTGGTCCCACAAGAGTAAAAAGAGTAAATACATTGGTAGGCCAAAACATTATAAAACAATTATCTCAAGTCCAAGTAAACCGGTGGTCAGTCAATAGTGTACCATTGAATTAGCTCTGGCTCGTCCCAAACCGTTCCTTCTCATGTAACACTTGTTCTTTAGCGAAAGGCTCGAGCCAGAGAGAGATCTGAGTTTATCTTTCCGATATCTGAACGTCGAGTCTCTCTTAACTTTCGACGCCGCAGGTACTATTCGCCATCTCCGCTTCTCCATACTCTTCATTACTTCTTCTCTCTCGATCCATGGTTCTGTTTCCTTTGATTTTGAGCACGTCGTGTTTATTTTTTCGACTTGGCGATGGAAGTAGATTAACGGGATTATTGATTGTCATATCTAGGATAAATTGCGACCAAAGATGATTTGAAACCATTATGTAACTGGATCTGCAACGGTTTCATTCGGGATTCTCAAATTTTCCGCAGATGTGTGGCGCTTAGGGTCAATTAGGATTGAGTTCGCTTGGATCTGTGTGTTTCACCTTCGTTAATGGTTTTTCTCACTTGGGTTGCTGCATTGCGAAAACTTTGAACCCAGTCCTGATTTTACTTTTGAGCGTTTCGGCATGCTTTTCACATGATTCTGAGCTCAGTCTTAAATGTTTTGCATTAAGTGGAGTCTTCGTGATTCATTGTATCGATGAGCAATTATTGCAAGTTTCAGAAACGCGTTAGATTTCATCTGTTTACATGTGCATCAGTGAGTAGCATGAAAAGCGAAACACTAAGGATAAGACTCAACCCCCTTTTTTGCTGAAAAAGTTTCAATTATGATTTCCGAATCTGTCTAGCTTTTTGCCACTTGAGAGCTAATGATTCTCCCACAGTTTTATCATTTGTTTTGTTAGTATCCTAGTTCTTTTAAGATAGCATGATACTGCTTTCATGATTCTAATTTGGCTAACTCAGTTTCTGAACAATTGTTGTAGCGAAATGGAGACTTTCCTATTCACATCCGAGTCCGTGAACGAGGGACACCCCGACAAACTCTGTGACCAGATCTCCGATGCAGTCCTCGACGCCTGCCTTGAACAAGACCCAGACAGCAAAGTTGCTTGTGAGACGTGTTCCAAGACCAACATGGTCATGGTCTTCGGGGAGATCACCACCAAAGCCAAAGTTGACTACGAGAAGATCGTCCGTGACACCTGTCGCGCCATTGGATTCGTCTCTGATGATGTTGGTCTTGATGCCGATAAATGCAAAGTCCTTGTCAACATTGAACAACAGAGCCCTGACATTGCACAGGGAGTTCACGGTCACTTCACCAAGCGTCCAGAAGACATTGGAGCTGGTGACCAAGGCCACATGTTTGGTTACGCTACTGATGAGACCCCTGAGCTGATGCCACTGAGCCATGTTCTCGCGACCAAGCTCGGTGCTCGCCTAACCGAAGTCAGAAAGAACGGAACTTGCGCCTGGCTGAGACCAGACGGCAAAACCCAAGTCACCGTTGAGTACTACAACGATAAGGGCGCCATGGTTCCGATCCGTGTCCACACCGTCCTCATCTCGACCCAGCACGATGAAACCGTGACCAACGACGAAATAGCCCGTGACCTCAAGGAGCATGTCATCAAGCCAGTCATCCCGGAGAAGTACCTAGACGAGAAAACCATCTTCCACCTGAACCCATCAGGCCGATTCGTCATCGGCGGACCACACGGAGACGCTGGTCTAACCGGACGAAAGATCATCATCGACACTTACGGTGGATGGGGAGCTCACGGAGGTGGTGCTTTCTCAGGCAAAGACCCAACCAAGGTCGACAGAAGCGGAGCCTACATTGTGAGACAGGCCGCGAAGAGCATAGTGGCTAATGGAATGGCTCGTAGGGCTCTTGTTCAGGTCTCATACGCCATCGGAGTCCCTGAGCCATTGTCTGTCTTTGTGGACACTTACGGGACCGGGTTGATTCCGGACAAGGAAATACTGAAGATCGTGAAGGGGGTCTTCGATTTCAGACCGGGAATGATGACGATAAACCTTGACCTCAAGAGAGGAGGAAACGGAAGGTTCTTGAAAACGGCGGCGTACGGACACTTTGGAAGGGACGACCCTGACTTCACCTGGGAAGTTGTCAAGCCACTCAAGTGGGACAAACCTCAAGCTTAATTTTTACATTTGTTCGTTAGTAATCCTTTTATCCAAAACACCAAGCTTGAAATTTAATCGCTGCGTTTCTATTTTAAACCGGAAAGGCAACAATCTACTTTTACTTCTCTGATTCTATTTTGGTATGTAAAGTTGACCTATTTTCTTGGCGAATACATGGGTTTCACAATGACTTTATTTCTGAATCCTAAGACAAACAGATATAAAAATTAGTGTAGTTAATAATATAGGAATCACATGATAGTTTCTGCAACCCCATGTGTGGCCATGTAAAATTCGCCAAGAGTATGATATATTCATATTTTTGTCAAAAAGGAGTATGACTTTATTTTCACATACTATTATGAAGCAAATGCACACAAATGTACGAAAGAAAAAAAACCCTTTAGTACGACTTAATTGAATAAGTTATTGGATTTGTACCACAACGATAAAATGTACCAATAGAATATCGTTTCTATTTATCAGAATACTTTTTTCCTTGTCAAGTCTCTCAAAACAAAAAAGTATCATCATCAGTTTTACGACTTTTTTATACATATTATCCCAAACACCAAAAAGAAAAACTAATTATTCACTCCTGTATGCAGCCAAGATTTGGAGCAAATTGTTACAATGAGCAGTTGGGCACCCTCAAAACTCGCTTACGACCAGCTTTATACCTGATCTCCCCACATTCTATGAGCTCGAACACATGGAACTCTGATTCACTAATCTTCCCAGCTTCTACAAGCTTGAGTCCATCGGAATCTGATTCGCTGTTCACGAACCAACAAAAACCCAGTCACTACAAACAACCTATGATGAAAGGCAGAAAACAAAATCTCGAATACTTAAGAAAAAGGAATCTTTACTTCTTGGGCTTGGGTAGTTTCATGACTGTAGTAGAACGAGCGATTCTCATCTCCGCGAGGTAAATAAAGAAACTGGCCATTGCGAGAGTGGAGAAGAGAAGCCAAAACACTGCGAAGATCCTCCCTTTAACAGATTTAAACGATTTGTCGCCGTAACCAACCGTCGCCACCGAGACAATCGACAAGTAAACGGAATCCACTAATTCCAAATGCTCGTGAAAGTGAAGAAACAAAGCTCCGATTACGATGCAGAGAAAGACGCCGCACAACGCTAAAGGAAACTTCCACCGTACCCTTATCCTCCCATTCCCGGCGTCGACAACGTGTTCTTTGATCGCGCCGCTTCCGGTGCTGATTCGGGCGAGAATCGCGTTTTCTTGAAGATCCAGAATGTGATTCACCACGCTTTTGAGCAAGAAATCAAGAAATCCGGCGCCGATCAGTACCAAGACGCTGGTCAGTATCTTCGCCGCTACAGTCGACGGGACAATGTCGCCGTAACCGACTGTGCAAAACGTGACGAAGAAGAAATACAAAGCGTCGACCCAACGATTGGTCTTGGTGCCGGAGAACTGGTCTAGAAGGAACCAGTAGACGAAAACCCCAAAGCATAAGTAGACAAAGAGGAGGATACTCGCTATCTTCATGATCGATCTCGATTTCCATACGACGGCGGTTGGATGATACTCAGAAATCCAAAGAGGCTTTTTCTTTATCTTCATCCTCACCTTCAAATTCCAAGGAGATTTCATGATTTTTCAGTTTCGCAGTTCATTCTGTTTTCTCAGGTAGGATCTATGTATACCCCCAAGTAGGCAACATTCTGTGCGGGAAAATATGTTATTCGCATTATTTGACTGGTTCATTAACAACGACGTCGTTTTTTAGAGTCTAAAGCTCTAACTTGGACTTCGAAATTTTAACAACTTATATTGGGCCTTTGATGGGGCCAATTAATCAATTGTTTTACTTCCCTAGTTACAAACAAATCTTATCTATAAGACTTCAAAATTTTAACAACTTATATTGGGTCTTTGATGGGGCCAATTAATCAATTGTTTACTTCCCTAGTTACAAACAAATCTTAGCTACAGTAAGAAAATGAAATTACTGTATCAGAGAACAAATTCGTATTCAACTGCCAAACAAAAGTTGTAGTCAAAAAAGAAAAAGGAAAAACATTATTTGATTCGGAATGATAGAAATCGTACAAATATAGTTTCGGAGAAAATTTAACATTTTGAGATGGATAAATTTGTATATTGGGTGTTCGTTTTGATTGATAATCCTGTTTTTATATATTGAATTTCATACACAGGTTAAAGATACATAGTTTCATACAAATTCATAGAGTAGTATTAAAAAATAATTCGATGGCTAAGTTTCCTGACAGTCATGCCTATAATAATATACTCTTATATGAAGCAACTGCTAGAAAATGCAAACGAAAAAGTCTCTTTGGTACCACTACAAACCAGTGATAAAATAAGAGTAGAAGACACGCTAAAAAAGATATTTCCGAGAAAAGTAACCTTTCTATTTCATTAGAATATTTTCTTCCCTTTTCAGAGCTCACAAAAGTATCATCATCTATATATACAAACAGAATAACTGATCATTTACTAACCACCATCCAATATTTGGGACGATGTGAGGTTTAGCAAATCGTTGCGATCGAGATTCTCGTACTCGCTTACAAGCTCCTCTATGTCATTTACACTGATCTTCCTACTTTCTTTAAGCTTCAACACAATAAACTCCCATTCACTAATCCCACTTTGTGATTCACTAAAACATTCAAAACAAAACAAAAACATTCATTACTCAAACATGAATCCTCAATGGCATGAAACAAGAATCTCGAAGGAAGAATAATCCAAAATCTTTTACCTCATGCTCGTGTGCAATTTCGTGACTGAACCGTCGATTCTCTTCTCAGCAAAGTAAAAAAACAAACTCGCCATAGCAATACTCGAGAAAAGAAGCCAAAACACTGCGAAAACCCTCCCGAGAACCGTCTTAAACGCTTTATCTCCGAAACCAACCGTCGTAACCGAAATAACCGACAAGTAAACCGAATCGCAGAGATCCAGTTGCTCGTAGACGTAAAGAAACAACGTTCCAACTCCGACGCAGAAGAAGACGACGCAAAACGCTAAACGCAGTTTCCACTTTGTCATTATCCTCCCGTTGACGTCGTCGACAATGTGATCACTGATCGCTCTGTTTCTCGAAGAAGGCGTTTTGATCCGAGCGAGAATGGCGTTTTCTTGAAGATCGAGAACGTGATTAACGACGCGGTTGAGCAGAAAATCGAGAAAGAAGACGCCGATCAATACCAAAAAGATGGTCAAGAGCTTCGTCGTCAAAGTTAGCGGGACAATGTCGCCGTATCCAACTGTGCACATAGTGACGATGGAGAAGTAGAGGGCGTCGACGAAGAGATTGGTGCCGACTCCGGAGAACTGGTCTCGAAGTAGCGAGTATGTTGAAACCCCGAGAAGTAAGTAGACACAGAGGAGGAAAACCGCTAGTGTGATGATCGATCTCGCCACGGCGGTGGTGGCGGCGGCTGCTGGAATTTCCGGTGAAGGCTCGAGGCGAGAATGTGATTGGGAAGAGAAAAGTGTCTCGTTGAGAATGGTATTATTTTCCATTGCCAAAAGGCTCTGCTTCTTCTTCTTCTGTTTCTTCTTCTTCTTTAACGCGAATCAAATTGTCAACTGTAATTTCATGACTTTTAAAAAAAAACAAATTACAGTGGTCAGTTGAGCAGAACAGTTGATTAATATAGCCCATCAAAGGCCCAATACAAATTGTTAGAATGTCAAAGTCCAATTCAGAGTTTGTGTTAAAACGACATCGTTGTTCAGTAAACAGTCAGTCAATCAATGCAAATAGCAGTAGCATATTCCCGTACAGAAGATCTCGCGGGGAAAATGGGAATTGTGGAAGGAAGCTAGTGGTCCCCACGACCACACGGGATATATATAACATTGGTTTTTAATTTATAAGTATTTGTTTGATTCATGGTGGTAAAATTTTCTCATCTGTGATGTGTTTGTACGCTGACGCAAGCAGTGACGCTACAGTTTGTTCGAGTTGTTTTCAAGATATCAACAATATAGTCAATTAAAAACTTATGCTACCTTTTTAAAACCTGTGAAGTAGTACTTTTCTTTGTAGTTACAACAATTCCTTTTGTAAATATAGTTTCACTAAAAAATGATTATATCCGTACATAATAGAAGTACTAAACTAATTAAACTTTTTGGATAACACGGAATAGCAATTCAGGAATTCACCAATTCACCATACATTAATCTTGAGATTTTCTTATATTTCACACTTAAATCCCCTACAAGTTGCAACATTTTACATAGGCTAGAACTTAAAATTTTTTGTCACGTAAATTCTTTTTTTATCAATGTAACAAACCTATAATGTATTTGTTTTGGTCTTATAAGGAGTATATTTAGCACAAAATGAACTTTTATAACGGTGATTTGGTTATAAAGCTTTGAACATTATCAGCACTTGTTTTATAATAATTGGACCATCATGTGTTCCTTATGACAGAAGACAACATAAACAGATGAGTGATCATAATTAATCATTCACCATTTATAACTCCATTTAATATTTGAGCATAAATACTAATATTATACACGTACATTATGACAGTTGATTATCAAAAGCCTTAGCGGCCAAGAAAATGGATTTCTTAACTCTCAAGGTGTGAAATATGTTTTACTGCAATATGTAAAGTTGACTTTTTGCTTGTTGCCAAGGAAATAGTCAACTTCCTCTAAAATGGGAAGATTCTCTCCATCTCCGTTTGTTTAGATTATCTCCGTAATTGCCTTCACCTTTTTTTTTAAGAACAAAATAATTGCCTTCATCTACCATTTAATATAGCACATACTCGTGTAATAATAGTCTTGTTTTTTTTGGTTTTCGGAAGAATAATAGCAAATAAGTGAAATACTAAAAAGGAAGTGAAAGTATAATAAGAACAAAATTAAAGTTATTTTGTATTGATAAATCATTCTTAGTGTTGACAAATTCGATTTAATTTATCCAAATTGAATACTCTTAATTCTTGATATGGTTACTGACCACACTCTCTTTGTTTTCTTACTTACACACAAAAATTAAAATGAATACTCCTAACTCATGTTTGGTGTTTACATTTTTTTATGTTTGGTGTTTACATAGAATGATATTTTTATAAATTATCTTGGACAACAGGAAAACCCACCATAAATTTCTGTCTGGTAGTGGTAAGATCTTCTATCTTAATTCTTATCTACTATTTCCTATTAAAGTCAGTCAATACTCGTGTGCAGAACATTACATTGGTTTTTACTTTTCTATACAATAACCGATATTGACGTTGAATTAAATTTTGCTTCAAAAATAAATGATGTCAGTCAATAATATTTTTTAAAATTACGCGACTAATATTAAAGAGGATCAGTATTTTTTTGGGACTAGGAAAAAAAGAGAAAATATATAATACTATTTTTTAATATACATTTCACAATGCATAATCATGATGCTTTTTGACCGATCACAATAGTTTATTCCCACCCTCCTTGCTTCTCAAGCAATTCTCACAAAACCCAAAATAAGAGTTGCATATAAAAATGCAAAATTCTCCTAATCTCTGCAGATACAAAGTGGAATCTACAAAAGTAGAATAAAATAATAATTAAACAAGTTTTAACAAGTTCAAGACAACACACAGTTTCGTCTCACGTCTTATTCCACCAAAGTTTCAAAATCTTTCGCTTTTCATAGCTTCACATCTTCAGGTCTGTTTTCTTTTAACTTCTTTCCTTTTTTTTTTTTTTTTTTTTCTGATTGGGTTTCGTTTTAATTGATCTCTGGTTTTTCGGCTCATCCAAGGCATGTGACTCTTTATCCCTAACAGACTCTGTTTCATTGGTGATTATTTCTGGGAACTCTTTAGATTGATACTAGAAAAAAAAAGGACAAATCTTTCTCCACAAGTGGGTTTTTGGATTTACATTAGCAAACTTTAAGATTTCTTAAAAAGGATTCGATTTTAAATGTCGAATTTTCGGCCTTTTCTGGGGTTTAGGAAAAAGTAATAGTATAAATCTTTCCTCTTTCGCTAATAAGCTCAGTTTCATAGACAAATCAAAGGTATTCAAAACCTGGAGAAGAAAGTGCGTAACTTTAGAGTCTTCTTTTGTTATATACCGTCGATCTCGATCTGGGTATTATCAGATTTATAACTTTTCGAATATACTTTTTTCTCTGTCAGCGCCGGAAATGAACCGTGACGGCGCCGGAGACGGCGACTCTGTTTCACACGAACCTTCAACATCTAGAAATCCCAAAAATGGAGAAGAAGAAGAGACTAAGAAGGAAAAAGACAATGAGAAGACGAAGACAGTTTCGTTCTACAAGTTATTTGCATTTGCAGATTCCTTTGATGTGTTATTGATGCTCTGTGGCTCAATCGGAGCTATGGGGAATGGTGTTTGTTTACCATTCATGACATTGTTGTTTGGTGACCTCATAGATTCCTTTGGACAAAATCAGAACAACAAAGACATTGTTGATGTTGTCTCAAAGGTAACAATAAAGTTAGAACTCGAAATCAAAACTTTATTATGTTGTTGGCTTAATATAGATTACATTTACTGATAAATGTTTCCTTTTATAGGTTTGTCTTAAATTCGTCTACCTTGGACTTGGAACACTGGGAGCAGCCTTTCTTCGTAAGTCAACCGCGTGTGTTTCTCCATTGCAGTTTTACATATGGATTAGATAATTGAGGAAAAACAGTTTTGGTCTTTTCTTTTTTTTGTTTCTCCATTGCAAATTTACATATGGATTAGAGATTGAAGAGGTAAAGTTTCAGTTTTTGTGTTGTTTTGTTGTAGAGGTGGCTTGTTGGATGATCACGGGAGAGAGACAAGCCGCGAGGATAAGAAGTATGTATCTGAAGACAATTCTGAGACAAGACATTGGATTTTTCGATGTCGAAACAAACACAGGAGAGGTAGTTGGCAGAATGTCTGGAGATACTGTTCTCATACAAGACGCCATGGGTGAGAAGGTATAACACAATGAATAGAGAAACTTCGTTGTTGCGAATCAGGCTTTATTACATATAATGACTGGATCTGTAGTAAGTGACACTTTCTTGAATCTTGCAGGTTGGGAAGTTTATTCAGTTGGTAGCTACGTTTGTTGGTGGATTTGCTTTAGCTTTCGCTAAAGGATGGTTACTAACATTGGTCATGTTAACTTCAATTCCTCTTCTGGCAATGGCTGGTGCAGCCATGGCGATGATAGTCACTCGAGCTTCTTCCCGGGGACAAGCCGCTTATGCAAAAGCAGCAACTGTTGTTGAACAGACAATTGGGTCTATCCGAACGGTAAAACTCAACTTCCCAAGCTACAAGAACAATCTTCAGTTTGAGAATTGTTGCTGAATTTCTTTTTTTTTTTTATTGTTTAAAAGGTTGCTTCTTTCACGGGAGAGAAACAAGCGATAAACAACTACAAGAAGTTCATATCTTCGGCGTATAAACAAAGCATTCAACAAGGTTTCTCCACCGGCTTAGGACTGGGAGTGATGTTCATGGTGTTTTTCAGTAGCTATGCTTTGGCTATTTGGTTTGGTGGGAAGATGATAGTCGAAAAAGGGTATACCGGTGGCGCTGTGATCAACGTGATCATCATTGTGGTCGCTGGTTCAATGTAAGTAAAGGCCAAGAAATTCACCTTATATATACTACTAACAGGATGAGTTCTTACTTTTATGCTCATCACTGTGGTCCTTTAGGTCGCTCGGGCAAACATCTCCATGTCTAACCGCGTTTGCAGCGGGCCAAGCAGCAGCGTATAAGATGTTTGAGACGATCAAAAGAAAGCCTTTGATTGATGCTTACGACCTAAATGGAAAAGTTCTTGAAGATATCAGAGGAGATATCGAACTCAAAGATGTGCATTTCAGCTACCCGGCGAGGCCAGATGAAGAGATATTCGACGGCTTCTCTCTGTTTATCCCTAGCGGCGCAACAGCGGCATTGGTTGGGGAAAGCGGAAGCGGAAAATCCACCGTGATCAGTTTGATCGAGAGGTTTTACGATCCGAAAGCCGGCCAAGTACTCATCGATGGAGTTAATCTTAAGGAGTTTCAGTTGAAATGGATCAGAAGCAAAATAGGATTGGTCAGCCAAGAACCGGTTCTGTTTTCGTCGAGCATCATGGAGAACATCGCCTACGGGAAAGAGAACGCGACGGTTCAAGAGATCAAAGCGGCAACAGAGCTAGCAAATGCGGCTAAGTTTATAGATAAGTTGCCTCAGGGGTTAGATACAATGGTCGGAGAGCACGGGACGCAGCTCTCGGGAGGACAGAAACAGAGGATAGCCATCGCGAGGGCCATTCTTAAAGACCCGCGTATCTTGCTGCTGGACGAAGCAACGAGCGCGCTCGATGCGGAATCCGAAAGAGTGGTCCAAGAGGCGTTAGACAGAGTGATGGTTAACCGGACTACGGTTATCGTCGCGCATCGGTTAAGCACGGTTAGAAATGCGGATATGATTGCGGTTATCCACCGCGGGAAAATGGTGGAGAAAGGTTCGCATTCCGAGTTGTTGAGAGATCCCGAGGGAGCTTACTCGCAGCTCATTCGTTTACAAGAGATAAACAAGGACCACGGTTCGAAAACGTCAGAGATTGCTTCGGGGTCGTCTTTTCGGAATTCGAATCTGAAAAAATCAATGGAAGGATCGGTTATTAGCGGCGGCACTTCCTCGGTTGGAAATAGCAGCCGTCATCATTCTCTGAATGTTCTTGGTTTAACTGCAGGACTAGACCTCGGTGGCGGTAGCAGTAGCCAGAGAGTAGGCCAAGAGGAACCTGTAACGGCGAGTCAAGAGGAGCTCCCAAAAGTATCGCTCACCAGAATCGCGGCTCTTAACAAAACAGAGATCCCTGTTCTTCTTCTAGGAACCGTTGCGGCGGCGATCAACGGCGCGATTTTCCCGCTTTTCGGGATTCTGATCTCAAGAGTCATCGAGGCGTTCTTCAAACCGGCTCACCAACTGAAGAAAGATTCGAGTTTCTGGGCGTTGATATTTGTAGCTCTTGGAGTGACTTCGTTGATTGTCTCACCGGCTCAGATGTATCTATTTGCAGTAGCTGGAGGGAAACTGATTAGGAGAATACGATCAATGTGCTTTGAGAAAGCGGTTCACATGGAGGTTGGGTGGTTCGATGAGCCACAGAACTCGAGTGGTACGTTGGGCGCAAGGCTTTCGGCTGATGCGGCTTTGATCAGGGCTCTGGTTGGCGACGCCTTGTCTCTGATGGTTCAAAACGCTGCGTCTGCTGCGTCTGGATTGATCATAGCCTTCACCGCGTGCTGGGAACTGGCGCTTATCATCTTAGTGATGCTTCCTCTTATTGGTATCAATGGTTATATTCAAGTCAAGTTCATGAAAGGATTTACAGCCGACGCTAAGGTCCGTACATCAATCAATTCGGTTTCGGTTAAGTTTCTTTTGCGAAATTTGGGTTAGGTTTAAATGTTCAATCCTATATCCTTTGTATTGTTTTCTTGTGGATCAAGAAACTTACGCTGTTTTAGGATTAACTTTGCAGTCAAAGTACGAGGATGCGAGTCAGGTAGCGAACGATGCGGTGGGGAGTATAAGAACAGTCGCGTCTTTTTGCGCGGAGGAGAAAGTGATGCAGATGTATAAGAAGCAATGCGAAGGTCCGATAAAAGACGGAATAAAGCAAGGTTTCATCAGCGGGTTAGGGTTTGGATTCTCCTTCTTCATTCTGTTTTGTGTCTACGCGACAAGCTTCTACGCGGGGGCTAGATTGGTTGAAGACGGCAAGACAACTTTTAATGACGTTTTCCAGGTAAAGTATTTTCTTTTTAGCCACTTGTTGAAATATGTTTGGAAATCTCTGTGAGCTAATAATGAAGAAGAATGGATCTTGGCCTGGATTCTTCAGGTATTCTTTGCGTTAACAATGGCAGCGATTGGGATTTCTCAGTCGAGTACTTTCGCACCGGATTCTAGCAAAGCTAAGGTTGCAGCTGCTTCGATCTTTGGAATCATCGACAGAAAATCGAAGATTGATTCTAGCGATGAGTCAGGGACTGTCTTGGAAAATGTTAAGGGAGATATCGAGCTTCGTCACATAAGCTTCACTTATCCAGCAAGACCAGACATTCAGATCTTTCGCGATCTTTGCTTAACCATTCGTGCTGGAAAGGTGAACAGATCTTTGGACCAAAACCAAAACCAGAACTCTCGCTTACGATTTTCTATTACACAGCTTTCTGATTAGTTTATGTCTCTTTTTTTGTTCACAGACGGTAGCTTTGGTTGGAGAAAGCGGGTCAGGGAAATCAACAGTGATCTCTTTGTTACAAAGATTTTACGATCCGGATTCTGGACACATATCTCTAGACGGAGTTGAGCTCAAGAAGCTGCAGTTGAAATGGTTGAGACAACAAATGGGACTGGTGGGACAAGAACCTGTCTTGTTCAACGACACGATCCGAGCCAACATTGCTTATGGCAAAGGAAGCGAAGTGGCTGCGACTGAGTCTGAAATCATAGCTGCCGCAGAACTCGCCAATGCACACAAATTCATCTCTAGCATACAACAGGTAAGGAGAAAGAAAAACAAAAACAAAATTGCAAAAGTACCCTGTTTTCAGAGTTTTACTTACGACGCACGCATTACTTTTTTAGGGTTACGACACGGTGGTTGGAGAAAGAGGGATTCAGTTATCGGGAGGACAGAAACAACGGGTGGCTATAGCACGCGCCATCGTGAAAGAGCCGAAGATATTGCTTCTGGACGAAGCAACGAGCGCTCTTGATGCGGAATCGGAGCGAGTGGTTCAAGACGCGCTTGACCGAGTGATGGTGAACCGAACCACGATCGTGGTGGCCCACCGGTTATCAACCATTAAAAACGCTGATGTCATTGCCGTCGTTAAGAACGGTGTGATCGCTGAGAAAGGAACTCACGAGACGTTGATCAAAATCGACGGTGGGGTTTATGCTTCGCTTGTTCAGCTTCACATGACTGCTTCTAATTGATATATATATAATATTTTTGGGTTTGTGAGAGTTAAAAACTTCAGTTTTGAGTCGCTTGAGTCAAAACTAGGCTATGCGTGTATTAAAAGGTTTTATTTTATTTTTTGTTCCATAACATATTTCTGTTGTTGTTGTATAATATATACAATTTACTCACTTTGTTTTGATGCTAAAACATCAACTCTGTGTCGGACACACTTGTAATTAAATACGTTATTAGCTTGATTTTTCGTTTCTCATATAAACAAAGTGCCCACTAGCTTATTATATTTTTGAAATTATCCCTTACCATCTTGATATGATCTGTATTTAGTTATTTGATTACCATAATGATACAAGATGTGAACAGGTAACATAACAACATTAACTGGCAACAAAAAAAAAAGTCTTGTGAAACTCTTCTGAAATTAGATAACCAAAATTACCCTAAAATTAGTGTTTCTGATGAAAACAATTTCTCCAACATCTTCGTCTTTAATAACCTTCTCTTGTCCATTTTCAAACAAAAAAAGGAAAAGAAGATGAAGAACTCATTACAATTGCTCTGTCTCGCTTTTGCTCTGTTTGCTCTCTTCTCATCTCCTTCCTCCTCCGTCGTCCCTTCCGCCGCTCCTTCTCCCGCCGTAACTACCGCCACCAAAGGCAGTGGAGATGAAACCAATGAAACCGACTTCTCCGCCTTCATGCAATGGAACATTTTAGACCTCTCCGATCTCAAAAACACCTTCAAAAACCTCCCGGATCTCTCTAACCTCAACATCTCCTCCCTCCACGTCTCACCCGTCGTCGACTCCGTCTGCTCCGGCACCGACTACGCCGCCGAATGCATCGTTTCGATCCTCCCGCTCCTCCGTGACTTCCGCAAATTCGAGCCAAAACCCATCGACGTACTACGAATGGAGATGAGTTCGCTCTACGAGAAAGCTAACGCCACGCTCGACTTAGCCAAGCGTCTTATCGTTGACCAGTCAACGTCTCGTGACGTGGCGGATGTGTTGGACTTGTGTGTCGATAACTACGAGTCGCTTCTCGAAGATCTCAAAGATGCTTCTGTAGCCCTCGATGATGGAGACTTTGGACGGCTCGAGAGTGTGGTAAGTGCTGCGATTGCTGATGTGGTGACTTGTTCGGACGCGTTCACTGAGTCGCCGGAGCTTGAATCACCGATGGCTAATGTTGATGCTTTCCTCAAGAAGCTTTGTAGCAATGTCTTGGCTATTTCTCAGATGATCTACATGTGATCAGTGTTTCTAACTCACTGCTCCAAAGAAAAACGATATATACATTAAAGATACAGACTACAAAGTCTTAAGAAATTTTAGATTGTGAAGGAAGACAATAGCACTGTTCAGTCTGAGAGAGTAAAGTGTGTAATATTGACGTTTCGGATACATTGATTTATGAAACGATTAATGAAATGGAATAAGTGTAATAAAGTATTTGCGATTTAAACCCATGATTTGCGATGAATATCATGTTGATAAATCAATTTATTGGCCTATTAAAAAACGTCGAATTTAATTTTTATTACAAAAAAAAATGATTTTACTAAAAAATGGAGTTTGCATGTGGACATTTATATTTTTTGTTTAAAGGCTAATTTTCTAAACTTTCCTCTCTCGAACGTGACAGCGTGACAGAAGCTAAAAACAAAATGCGTTTGCGTGCAATACCATCGGACCAGAAATTGATCCACCCCATTCCGAATTAACGGGTTAAACCCGACCCGATAGTAAAACAGATATCAATTAGAGCCTGTAGTCTCAGTTTAGTCACCACCATTTACACTCTTCGAAGAAAAGAAAAAAATCCCCAAATTTCGGAAGGATAAGAGCCGGGGAGTTCCTCGCCGGTGACGGAATTAGGGTTTCATTCATCCCAAACTGAACAAGAGATGGCTCATGCCTGCGTCTCCACATCGGCTTCTTCTCTCAGGTTTACGGCTGGATTCGTCTCCGCGAGTCCCAATGGCTCCTCTTTCGATTCTCCGAAGCTTTCCCTCCCTTTCGAGCCCCTTCGTTCAAGGTAGATGCATTTCCAAGTGTTCTTCACTGCGATTTCTCCCTAATTTACTGGATATTAGGTTAATTTAGGGATTTAAGAGCCTGGGCGAATTGTGTTTGCAGGAAGACGAAGAAGCTAGTTAGCGACAGAAAGAATTGGAAGAACTCATCTCCAAAGGCTGTATATTCCGGCAATACCTGGACGCCGGAGATTCCCTCTCCTCAGGGAGTTTGGTCCATAAGGTGAAACTTGAGTTTGAGCTGTGATTCTCGACTCCTTTGATGGCTAAATCTGAAAGTATGTACCTGTGCAGAGATGATTTGCAAGTCCCTTCTTCGCCGTATTTTCCTGCGTATGCTCAAGGACAAGGACCGCCTCCTATGGTGCAAGAGCGTTTCCAGAGTATCATTAGCCAGCTCTTCCAATATGTAAGCTGATGAATTCCCTTTCTTTTAAGATTATCAAAGTTTCTCCAGCTCAGTGTTTCTGCTAAAAAAATGATTTTGTTTCCTTTTCTTTTGATCATTAGAGGATTATTCGCTGTGGTGGTGCTGTGGATGATGATATGGCAAACATAATTGTAGCTCAGCTTCTGTACCTTGATGCTGTTGATCCTACCAAGGTCAGATATAGTAAATTTCATGTCTTTTTAGTTTTATTCAGATGTTTTCACTTGGGATTCTGATAGTGCTCATGTTGGACAGGATATTGTCATGTATGTGAATTCTCCGGGTGGATCAGTTACAGCTGGTAATAACACTTTGTCAGCTTACTTGTATCAGTTAAAGTTTGTCTTATGCATCAAATTTGATTTCGGTTCTCATTGTTAATGACTCATGTATCTCTCACTTTTCCCAGGAATGGCTATCTTTGATACTATGAGGCATATCCGGCCTGATGTGTCCACTGTTTGTGTCGGTCTAGCTGCTAGGTGAAACTTTCGCCATCCTTTAACTCTCATTATGCGTTTATTTTTTCAGGGTCCTATGTGAATTGATAGTTTCGTGTGGTTAGCTGATTTTTATGTTGGGACGATAAATTCTTTTTTTGTGTGTGTGGTTAATGTATGGATTTTTATGTTGGGGCGATAAATTCTTTTCTTATGTGTTGGTTTCATATTAATGAACAGTATGGGAGCTTTTCTGCTAAGTGCCGGAACCAAAGGTAGTCTCTTAATCCTTTCATTCATAAGTAAAGGCTTTCGTTAAGACTATTCTTGTTAATTTCCGGATGCGAGCTTAGCTTTATTTGTATAACTGTAGGAAAAAGATACAGTCTCCCAAACTCAAGGATAATGATCCATCAGCCTCTTGGTGGAGCTCAAGGTGGCCAAACCGACATTGACATTCAGGTCATTCATCCATGCCTTGTTATTTCGAATTCATTGCAGCCTGTCTTAAAAGTGACTGCTAGATTGAGCTGAATTTCAATTCAGTTTTTAAAACCTAACCTGACAAGTTCATGGTCTGAAACCAGGCAAATGAAATGCTGCATCACAAGGCAAACCTAAATGGTTACCTCGCATACCACACGGGTCAAAGCTTGGAGAAGATAAACCAGGACACAGACCGTGATTTCTTCATGAGTGCTAAAGAAGCAAAAGATTATGGACTTATTGACGGTGTCATCATGAACCCTCTTAAAGCTCTCCAGCCGCTTGCAGCAGCTTAATCGCCTGAAGGTAATGGTTCAGCTTAGCACTTATTTCCATGAAATGTGCCTTTTATTTTAGATGGAAAATCAGATTTGTTCGGGATTAAAAAAAAAATCAGTAGCTGATACATACATAGAGAACAAAGTAAAGTTTGTTGCTCTGCTGTTTGTTGAATAACATTGACCTTTTAAGCAATGTTTTGATATTTATAATCGAATTATTAGCCCATTTTGAATCCTTTGTTTCAACATTCTGCTTTCATGCTTATATATGCCTGTTGATGTTAACTCTCTAAAATTATCTGCTTGATTTTTTTGTTGGGGTTCAATTGGTGATTGGTTTAACTGTGAAAACAAAGGTAGTTTTATTTTATATCTAATATTTGACGGTAATGGAAATTAGATTTTACCAACTTAAGCTGACTTTTGTTTCCCAACTGAAAGTTACAAGTCCACTAGTCTTAATCCTGAGTTTGTCAATTTTTAACACAAGGATTTATAACTAACTTTTCTATTGAGCTATATTACCTGTCATTCAAGACCTTGAATTTATCTTTGCTTTAACAAAAAAAAAGCAGCGAACTTTTTAGTAATAACGTTCAGTCTAAATATAACTTTAGATACACACGTATTTACGATCTAACTAAACAAAATATACTAATAAATATAAAGGATCTTTATCCATGTAATGGTCGAACACTAAGACATGTCTGCTCCATCGGATGCATATTGGTCAATGTCCATTGGCACATTATATTTCGATATAAAATGCTACCAACTTGTAGTAATCAGTACGTTTAATACGATTTTTAACATTATCTTCATTACTATTTTTTTTTGTTTTCAAAGAAAATAAAACGAAACACGAGGAGTATCCATCGGCCGGCTGAGTTCATCGGTGAACGTATTACATATATGAAAATTTGTGGAGTGTCTTCATTAATTTTAATAACTATAATATATATATAAAAAAAGAAATAGAATAGAAAAGGAACCTTCGTAACTAGACGACCATAAACGTGGTTGCCAAACACACTTTCAAAAAGTTTTATATATATATCTCTATCTTACATCCTCTGTTTCTCCTCATCCAAGCGACAGTGTCTTTTAGTTTCATTCTTTCCCATTAAAATGGAAGATGAAGAAGCACAGAAGAACACAAGAAGCAGCTGGTCACTGGTTCGGCCATTTCAAATGATCTCCATTAGCCTTCTTAGTGTCCTCCTTCCTCTCTCTTTCCTCTTCCTTTCACGTCTCTCTCTCTCCTCCTCTTCCAAAACTCCGGTCATGGTCTCCGGCGTATCTGCCATTATTCATCAAGCCGATGTTGGAGTGTTATATACAATCTTGTCTCTCATCATCGTCTCCACTTTAATCCACAATCTCTCCGGAAAACCAGAATGCTCTGTTTTTCATTCCCATCTCTATATCTGCTGGATCGTTCTCTTCATCGTCCAAGCTTGTGTCTCCTTCGGAATCGAAAGAACCATGAGCACGATCATGTCTATAAATCCTGACAAAAGCTTTTTTCTTGCATCACAAGAAAGGTGGGTCTTGGTTAGGGTTATGTTTTTTTTGGGCCTTCATGAAGTGATGCTGATGTGGTTTAGAGTCGTAGTTAAGCCGGTAGTCGACGACACTGTTTTTGGGGTTTACGTGGAGGAGGAAAGATGGTCGGAGAGAGCGGTCGTGGCGGTGACTTTTGGTCTAATGTGGTGGTGGAGGCTAAGAGACGATGTAGAAAGTTTGGTGGTGGTTGCAGAGGCTAAACATAAACTTCTGATTCGTTTAGAGGTGTTTGACTTTTTGAACTGGTGGATGTATTACATTTGTGTTGTGATTGGTATAGTGAAGATCTTTAAAGGGTTTTCATATTTTGTAAATATGCTAGTTTTGACCATTAAGAGGTCGAGAAAAGGATTTGAATCTTGTGTTGTTGTTGTTGATGATCATGTGTAAGATATTTGACATTTTACTCTCAGTTTTTTTATAAAATTCTCGTTCAATCATTTGTTTTTTTTTCTTATTATTATGATGGACGTAACTGTCAATAAATAGCGGATTTTTCTAACCCCCACAAAAAATAGTGGATCAAATAGCAAAAAAAGTTCTTGTTCTAGTTATATTTTTAATACATCGATAATCTTAATTTGGAGAATGTTATATATGAACAATAATGCTTTTCATAACAATTACGTTATATAATCATATAATTAATATACTTTTTCCTACTTTTTTTTTTTTTAATTTTTACTACTATTTCTAGCACGATTATATTTCAAACATAGTACTAAACATGCATGCATGGATTGCTGACGATTAAAACAACTAAGATTAAATATACAAAAAACAACATAAATATAAAAATTTAGTCCTTCATAATTAAAATCTTGTAGTTAGTGAATGCTATATGATATTAACGACAATATGCGTCGTTCGATACGAATCGATACCCGCATTGTTGAAGGTTTTTCAATAAGAAAACGAAATAGAGTTGGAAATATTGCGATTTCGTAAAATACAAATACATTATGTATATACAGTGTCAGTACTGTATAAATCCATCTTTCAATGATCTCTCATTATTCAATCTGAAAACTATAATAAGTTTTGTAAATTTTTATTATTATTATAACTATAAAAACAATCTATGATTAATAAAATTATATTTTTCATATCGCGTAAGCACGGGATAAAATCGAATTCAAAACAATTAAGAACCAATCTAACAACCACATATATATTAAGTAATATAAATATATTCTTAATTTTTAAAAATATTTATCTCGCGCAAACGCGGGATAGAATCGAATTCAAAAAAATTAAGAGCCAACCTAACAATATATTCATCTCGCGCAAGCGCGGGATAGAATCAAATTCAAAACAATTGATAGTTAACCTAACAACCACATACATATTAAGTAATATAAATATATTATTAATTTTTAAAAATATTTATCTCATGCAAGCCTGAAATAGAATAGAATTTCAAAACAATTAAGAGCCAGTCTAACAATATAATTATCTCGCGCTTGCGCGGGATATGATCAAATCTAAAATAATTAAGAGTCAACCTAACAACCACATATATACTAAATATTATAAATATATTCTTAAATTTTAAAAATATTTATCTCGCGCAAGCGCAGGATAGAATCGAATTCAAAATAATTAAGAGCTAGCCTAACAATATATTCATCTCGCGCAAACGCGGGATATAATCAAATTCAAAACAATTGATAGTTAACCTAACAACCACATACATATTAAGTAATATAAATATATTATTAATTTTTAAAAATATTTATCTCATGCAAGCCTGAAATAGAATCGAATTTCAAAACAATTAAAAGCCAGCCTAACAATATAATTATCTCGCGCTTGCGCGGGATATAATCAAATCTAAAATAATTAAGAGTCAACCTAATAACCACATATATACTAAATATTATAAATATATTCTTAAATTTTAAAAATATTTATCTCGCGCAAGCGCGGGATAGAATCGAATTCAAAACAATTAAGAGCCAGCCTAACAATATATTCATCTCGCGCAAGCGCGGGATAGAATCAAATTCAAAACAATTGATAGTTAACCTAACAACCACATACATATTAAGTAATATAAATATATTATTAATTTTTAAAAATATTTATCTCATGCAAGCCTGAAATAGAATCGAATTTCAAAACAATTAAGAGCCAGCCTAACAATATAATTATCTCGCGCTTGCGCGGGATATGATCAAATCTAAAATAATTAAGAGTCAACCTAACAACCACATATATACTTAATATTATAAATATATTATTAAATTTTAAAAATATTTATCTCGTGCAAGCGCGGGATAAAATCGAATTCAAAATAATTAAGAGCCAGCCTAACAACCACGTATACATATTAAGTATTATATATCTAAAATAAATTTGCCATATATTTTCCATATTATTTTCCTTCCAAACCATGCAGTTCCATATGAGTGTCTTCCAGATTATATATTTCCTTGTTAATTCTTTTCCATGGTTTTTTTCTACCTCTTATTTAAACCACATGCATTCGCTTCCAACAACATCACAAACAAAACATGGGAGTAAGAGGCGCGGGGAGGATAGTGGAGAAGGTAAATTTACTAGTTACATGTTTGTTACACTCTTCTCTTACCTGTGATTTCATTATGATAAGTCCAGCTAAACAACATTTTATGCTGAATTATTCCTTCTGATCGATTTTATGTTATTCATCCCATGATCCATAAAACTGCTAGAAGCAAGGATCAATATCTTTTGTCATTTTTATTTGGGTTGTGGTGTATGATTGACCATCCTGCTTCTCTTTTCTTTGCATCACTTTCGTGATTTGCTGATCTATTTTATCATTGATTTTATTCAGCGAGATGATGAAGGTGGTGAGGATCTGCCACCCGAATTAAAACAGATCAAAGCGAAAATCGAAAGTGAAAGATCTCTGCATATAAGTGTAAGAATCTTTTGGTTGCTTATTTCTTTTTGCTTTATATCTTTTGTTGAAAATGAAAAAGAGAGTTAATCTGACGAAACATTGATATCGTATCCAATAGATTAAGACGATCCATACATATATAATGAATATGTATTGTGAATGGGTCTAGATATTTTGTCAATCTTTATTTCCGGTCCAAAATATAAAGATGGATGCCTATCCCGAATAAATCATAACTTTGTCACATCGAATAGACACAAACTTAATCAACTTATATCTAAAATACTAATGATGAACATTTCATATCCAATTTGGCTTCTTCTTCTTCCTTTTGTCAAGATAGTTTTACCTTATTTGATTGACAGAAAACATTCACGTTGAGATGCCAACCGAATGCGGCTAGTATTCATGCTTCTCAACATCAATTTCTTGCCTTTATTCGGTGTCTTGGAAAGAAAAATAATGGAAGAGACAGTATGCTTCTCTCGAGAATGAAAACACCGCTCCATCGTTTCAATGGCTACTCCAATGATTCTAAAGAAGCAGATGAAGCTCTTGTAGAAGTTCCATTACCAAGAACTGTCGAGCTTCCATTGGTTAAGCAGCTACCTCGATCCACTACATGGGTTTACACGGCTAGGCATGTTTGTTTTCCATTTCATATAACTATTTCAACAATCAATCATATACATTAATATATATATATATATATATATATCACTCATATTGCATTAACATATATTTCGTTACCATTGCAGTAGCCAGCTCATGCTTGAAAGTGCTTCTGTGTTTGGTAAGCAACAACTCCTCTGTGTGGATGGTGAGACAGTAGAATTGGGCGGTGTACAAGAAGGCGAGAAAGAAAAATTAGAATTTTCCGAAGATGTAGATCGGTTTATATGGTTAGTTTTTGCGTTATACATGTTCTTGATTATTAAGGGGCCATTTTTATATGTGCATGCAAGTAGTGCATTCGTATACAACTTTTGCGATTTCGAAGTTACTTAACAAAATTTTAGGAATTAGGGACTTTGCTTTACAATAGATTCAGACGATCCATACATATATAATGAAACGTTGTAAATAACATAATCAATAATTTTGTAGGACGATTGGGCAGGAACATCGTTTGGATGACCCGGTGACGTTGACTGCTCTCTCTAAGTTCCTTCGATTAAATGTTTCAGTTATATCGGTATAATAATGGAATCGAATCTACATCGGATCAATAGTCTTCCTGTTTTTTTTTTTGTTATTCTTTCAATTAGATGTTCTAATTCCTTGATTTCAACTCTAATGTAGGAGAGATACAAGGAGCTCAACAGGCTTAAGAATGAAGGAAATATTGGGGAAGTTTCTGATAAGAACAAATATATTTCTCTTTCGGAGGCTACTGATATGCATTTTTGCCGTCGTTGCTTGGTAACTTTTAAATCTTTCTTATGTTGTCACAAAAAAAAAATATTATACATGTTTTTATTTTATTTTTTTTTGTTTTTACAGGTATTTGCTTGTCAACTGCATGGAGAAGACCAGCCTGTGATTTATCCTGTAAGCTTGGATTTATTTATATAAATATTTTTTTGTTGCAGAAGTCTTGTAAGCTTAACTTAATTATATGACTTTGGCTTTTCAGGGAGAAAAGAAATGTACTATAGTTGAGAATGGAAATGTTAGAAACAAATGCAGTGAGCATTGTTACGTCAAGGTCTCTCTCTCTCTCTCTCTCTCTCTCTCTCTCTCTCTCTCTCTCTCTCTCTCTCTCTCTCTCTCTCTCTCTCTCTCTCTCTCAGTATTTGTTCATTTCTTAATTATGTTTATTACTGGTTTAATAGCTAATTAGGAGTGACACAGAAGGTGATCATGTGGTGGATAATGATAACTCTATATCGAACAAGAAAGGGAAGAATGTGGTCTCAGATACAAACACAGAAACTGAAGATAGTGCATTGACTGCTACTAATGAAATAATAAAAGATATCACAAAGATGTCCCTTGCATGTGAGGAGTGGACGTCATTGGAGAAGCATCTTTACTCGCAAGGAGTTAAAATCTTTGGGAGAAACAGGTAAAAAATTTACAAAAATGGATTCATGGTACAATTATCTAAAAAGGTAATATATGTGTGCTATCTTTTTGTGATATCTAACTTAAATGTGTCACTTGTCCATGCTTTTGCCGCAGTTGTCTTATTGGATTAAACTCACTTACGGGGCTTAAGACGTGTTTAGAGGTTTACAGCTACATGCGTGACCAAGATCAAGAACATAACGAAACAAACAATCAGGTACATAAAAATATGCAATCTGCATGAATATTTATGTTAAAAACACATTATTGAGTTCCATATTACAGGTATCCGGAAAAAAACCAAGGGTGGTGCGGAGAAAAGCCAAACTCCAAAAGCATTCTTGTTATCCGACTGCTTTGAGAAATACAACAAAGGAACAAAACAAGTCGTATAAGCAGTACACACCATGCGCTTGCGAGCCAGTATGTGGAGCTCAATGCCCTTGTTTAGCTAGTGGAAATTGCTGCGAGAAATATTGCGGGTATGTCAATATATAATTTGGACTATCTGAACCAATGGAACCGTCTTATAATATAGGTCTTCTTTTCGACGATATATATTATGCGGATTTGAATCTGATACGTAGCGTTTACAGTAGTATCACACTAAATCATAAGTTTTGTATTCATTCAGGTGCCTAAAGAATTGCAAGAATCGGTTTGGAGGATGTACCTGTGCAAAGGGTCATTGCGTAAACCGACAATGTCCTTGCTTTGCCTGTTCTCGTGAATGTGATCCAGATATCTGCCGGAACTGTACGCCTAGGTATCATTTTTCTTAATTTTCAATATAATTTTTGATGGTTATAATTTCAAAATAAAATTTACAAAGGAAACTTTGTTTCTTTTATATAGCTGTGGACATGCCCCTGCTCAGGGTGAGAGACCACGTGTAAACCAATGCGAGAACATGAGATTTCTCCTTAAGCAACATAAGAGGGTAATCGTCCACGTCAAATCACCAACGATTATTATTATATATGCGAAAACTTTTTTTCTAAGTATCTTCCTTTCTTCTTCTTATTCATCAGCTTCTCGTGGGAGAGTCTGCTATTCATGGATGGGGTGCCTTTACACGGGTAAGCAACTTTACTTATAACATCAGAATATAGATTTGAACCATATTAATGATGTAATATAATTTAATCCATCAGCACACTCTTAAAAAAAATGACTTTATCGGAGAATATACTGGCGAATTGATTTCTCATGAGGAAGCAAACGAACGTGGGAAAATATACGACGTTAGTAACGGTTATTCGTACCTCTTTACCTTGAATGACAAGGTAACTTTCGTCTATATACGACCTTCTCTTCGATTCAGATACGCACGAAAATGTTTACAAATTTGTTAATATTCTTACAGCTCGTCATTGATGCTCGCCGTCTAGGAAACAAAATTAGATATCTCAATCACAGATCAAAACCTAACTGCTACGCCAAGGTATTTGTACTTCTATCTCGGGCATATGTTAATTAAACCTCAGAATATCGAAAATTTCTGTATCACTTATGAATATAGTCGTTGCTGATCAGTTCTGATATATACAATGACATTATCTCCATAACATTCAAAGAAACTCAAACTAATGAAGTGATTAACTTTCTTACCTTACCTATGGTTTCGTTTGCAGTTGATGACTGTGAGAGGAGATCATAGGATTGGACTATTTGCGAACAGAGTTATCCAAGAAGGTGAGGAGCTTTTCTTCGACTACTGCTATGGAGCAGAACACGCGAGTTGGTTGGATAAGGACATCGATCCATCATCTAGCAGTTAGACTTGGATCTGAGGAAAAGCGACACAAGCAGTCGTCAGTCGTTTTAAGAGTTATAATGCTATTTGCGTTACTAAACACCAAAATTTATCCATCTGTTTTGTTTGCTTTAAAGTTTCCTTTTCGTATTCCAAATCCCCCATAAACAATAAGTTTCAGTTGAAAGGGGGTAGACATTGAAGAATTGTGGTTGTTCTTGGTCGTTTTGAGTTTATTGATTAATCTGCTTTTACTTCTTCTTTTTTTTTAACATTGGTTATAACTTTTATTGAATATAATAAGTCAACCGATAGGTGATTACAATGATAGATCAGCTAAAAAGATAATTTCTTACAAACCCAATCAATAAAGATTTCTAAAGAATTTGAAAAAATATTTAGAACAGATTTTCAAATCTTTTTGTCATCATTTGGTAATGAGTAGACTTCGGCAATTATGAAATATGCTTCTTGAATTGACGTGACGGAGTTTCTATTGAAGTGGTTTAAAACTGTCTAAAGATGTTGTAACTAATATTGTCGACAGAAAACGACATAGATCCGGTACTGCAGAGACAAAAGCAAATACAGATCTCAACCAGATCTGGTTGTAATTTCTAGTGGAGGAGACTAACCTGAGTCGTCCAAACTCAACACCAAACCAAATACATATGTTGTGGAAGATGGCACATAGAATCAAAACAAATAAAAATAATATGAAGAATTAACAAAATAAATCATATGACCGATGGCGGAGCTAAAAAAGCATCCAGCCATCGGCCAGAAACCATTAAAAAAACTTCTCTCTAAGCAGCTAGGACAGCTCTCCCATGATCTGTTTTTACTTCTTTAGTACAGACATAATTTATATACATTTTGGGGATGTTGAAGGAACATGTTGTTAATTGAAGGAAAATTAATTTTATGTACAAACCATTTAAAATTTTATAGTTTAAACTAAACCAAAAATATCTATACTATATGACAAATTAATCTGGCAATTGAAAATCAAAATTAATTCCATGGGGAAATACCTCTCTGAGATTAACCATAATAAACCGTAGAATGCTAACATTGCCATCAAAGTGGCTGTAGTTTAGTGGTAAGAATTCCACGTTGTGGCCGTGGAGACCTGGGCTCGAATCCCAGCAGCCACACATTCTTTTAACTTCTTGCTTTAGGGTATTTATGTCTTTTAGATCGCTACCGTTTATCTCTCTATCCGCATGTTGGCTTAAAAGTCCCTCCAACAACTTGTTCTATATATGTTGGGTTTTTGATTAAAATCCTTATGATTCTTAGCATAATTTACATTTGCTAGTGGTCACCGATTCCTATTTTTTTATGTTGCGACTTTAACATAATGCTTTCATAAAAAGACAAGAGGTCTGAAGAAAGAAAAATAAAGATCAAGCCAAATGTTGCTGTTGCTCTTCCTCCTCCGAGCCATCATCATCTTCTTCTCCAGAGCTCAACGTATCTTCTTCAGACTCCTACCAAAATTAATTCCGAATTAGTAAAAGTCACAAAATATTTTTAACAACTGGTATAGTTAATAATGTTATTAAGTAACTAAGTATTGGTGAATTAAACCAAATCTGGAATATCCCGATGGGATACTAATAAAATGATGATAATTAAGAAGTGGAAAAACGTTTTGGGAGCTCACGAGAAATTGATGTCGGAGACTGCTCTGAATAGCTGCGATGGTCCGAATGATAACGAGCATTGGCAATAGTATACCAATGGCCTTCAATGCTAAAACCTGTTTAATGTTCCCCCACCGAATTTAATTATAAAAACATACAAAAACCAAATCCTTTATTTTATATCTAAAATCGTACTTAGAAAATGAAAGAGGAATGTACCGTGAAAACCGTGAAGGGATACTCGTCGGTTCCGTAGACCACATCAAACGCATGCTTTATCAACAAAACCACCGAAAACTGCAAAAAAAAAAACAAAAAGAATTAATAAGATTAAAATGAAAGAAAATCCAATAAAAGTAAAGGCCACGCCGTAAAAGATGTACCATAAGAATATGGATATGTTATGATACGATATTTAGTCCAGATAAAATTGGTTTGGTTCCATTTGGGTAATGTCTTTAACAAATATGGGTTAAAGCTATGAAACGACACGACATCATGGGCAATGTGAGGCAATAACAACTGTGAACCATAACACACTTTGGGTTCCAAATGAAGAAAAACATTTTGCTTTGTTAGGTGAGAGTGAGACCAGAGCCCGTTCTGAACACTTTTTTTTATGAGTCTATCTGATTGTATGGACCAAAAACTAATTCACCAAAGAAATTATTTTCACAATTTTTTTTAGTCTTTCAAAAAAAAAAAAAAACTATTAACATCTATCACAGACAGTCGTTTCACTAACCTAGTACCGTCGGTTGTCATTTATCAAACAGTCGATACTAATAATATTGTTTAAACTTACGTGTAGACAATTGATAATGGTAACCACCAAGTGGAGATATCTGTGTGGTTACCAATCATGCAAACCTTAAATGTCATGTTTAGTCAATAGTAGTGGTTCCCATTTCTGATTTGGACCTCACTAATCCAAAGTATTTTCGTATCCTCCCATCATTAAGTTTAACTAATTTCTTTAATATATATGTATATCATGTAATTATTACTAAACTCATACGAATATAATAATTATGATGTTACATGAAAATCAAAAAAAAAACAACAAAAAAAACGGGGGATTATATTTAGTACTTACAATGAGAGCCAAGAACCTACAACAAGAGGCCCCTCTATGAGCATGAGAGTTGCATTCTGGAAAATCTGATTCAGCTCTATCCACTAATCTTCTATTTCTTCTTCCACCATTTTCTCTCCTCGCTATATGTATATCATCTCTGCTCATGCATTAAATAAATAAATAAATAATAAGTCATTCGTTTCGACTAAAAAACTTTCTCAATTTTGCTTCTTCTATTTTTAAGAAATTTAATTACCTGATTGTGACTGCTGCTTGTGGTTTTGAAGTTGTGGAATATCCAGGTTTGTATTCCTGCAGGAGTTATATATATATTTACATGTTATTTCTGGCTGCATTCATTTAATTGCAAGTACACGAATCGTGTACCGATCTACTAAACCGACGATTAAAAATACTCCAAGCAAACCAATCAAAATGGAACAAAAAAAAAAGTTGGTTTGATTTTATTTTCAAAAATTGTAAACGAAACCGTCATACAAAGGTAATAAACTGATTAAAAACATCCATTTCTTTGACTTTTTTTTTTTTGGTGTGCTAAAACATGAAACTAAGCCTAGGTCTTATTAAACCGATAACCTTGAAAATTAACAGTTTTAAACTAAAAGCGAACCGAAAGCCCAGAATTAGACAAGTACGTCCTCCAAGTATTGATGGGTCCCATAAAACGATGGATCCAGTTACCATTTTTTTGTTCCTGGCTGATTGTAATTCATTAAATTTATAGATTAAATGAATATATATATATATATATAAATAAAAAAAAATAAAAACTCGAATATGATGATATCATTAACAGGATGGCATTGGCTCATTGATTACGATATTTTGCGAGAATCGAATATTTTTCTTTTCTAACTACGCGAAAGATTTTGGGACACGAAGGAGAATGTTTTCGAAACACGTATCGTTTTTATTGAAGAAAATAAATGATAAAACTAAGTAGAAACAAGCAATGAAGGTATAGTTCAAATGCAATCCGCAATTCAAATTTCGGGAAGAATTGAAGAAAATATACTATTATTTAAAGCATCGCGTTCTTAAAAAAAGTAACATTGAACAAAATTTTGAATTGATTGTTTAATTCGAAAACTGGAATCGGAATCAAACCTGGAGACAAATTTCACAAATCGTGTTTCCTTTCTCATCGCACCATCGTTGTATGCAATCTCTGTGAGCGAACTGTATCAACGAAATCGAATATTCAAAAATCGGCCTTTCAAAGTCGAGTTCAAACTAACAAGATTCTTACAAAATCCAGTAGAAACAATTTAAAATCTCGAAATTCGATACCTTGACTGTTCCTGAACAAGAACAAGGAGCTTCAAAGTAGCTCTCGGCTTCTTCTTCGTGACAGATTCTGCAGCGAGAGATACTCGATTTTAAATCGGAATCTTCGATGAATAATATTACATCTCCCATCTCCCCGCCCCGATCGTTCGTCTCTTCGTTTGAATTTAGCAGAAAAATGAAGCTCTGCTTTTCAAAAGTTTGCTCTGTTTTTTGTTTTTTGAGAGAGAGAGTCCAACTTAAAAAAGGTCGCAAGGAAGCGTGGAGGAAATTACATGTTTACCCTTCCGGTTGTCTGTTTATTTGGATAGAATAGTATTGGTCCTCCTCTCCTAAATGATGTAGTAATCATTTTACTAATCCTGTAAGCTGTAATAACAATATTTCCAATAATGTAAGCTTTGACCGTAGGTTTTTGCTGTAAATCTGTTTTCGATGTTCATATAATACCATAGCTGTAACTTTTAGTTTTGACTATAAATTAATATGAATACTTGTCTAAGCGATATATTGGGTTAAGACAACTATAATTTTTGTTGGCTAAAAATCTCATTGTAGAAAAACTAGATAAATCATACTCCTTTTGTTTCATAAAAAATGTCATTCTACATAGATTAAAAAAACTTATAATTATCTGTTATACTCTTTATTTATACATTAAATCATTTTCTCTCTATAATTAATAAGTTAAAATAGTAAAGATAAAACTGATAATTAATTTAAAATTTTGCATTAAAAATCTAAAATGATATTTATTATGTAACAAAAAAAAATTACCAAAATGACACTCTTTATGAAACAGAGGGAGTAGTATGTATACAACCTACATGTATATATACAAAATTTATTTTTTGAAGATATGGCACATATAACAATTATAAAAATTCTAGTATATATAAACTACCACATTTGTTTATGGTTTGATCGTACGTATTTTAGAAAGTAAGTAAAGAGTAGGAAAACTACATTGTAGTTTATATAGAAAAGGTTGCATAATTACGAGATCACACACGTCAAACTTCAAAGCATAGGCTGTATTTTTGTCATCTATCTTTTGTTTAATTTATTTGGATAGCACGTTATAAACTCATATACTGTATATGTAACAAGATGCCAAAGATTTACAGTCATTTAGTCACAGTGTTTACATAAGTACGACAGCGACAAACCCACACGAATAACATAATATATAACTGATTCTCGACCTGTACTACGTACCACATAATGATAAATAACTCAAATATTTAATTATTCAAGAAATGTTTTCTTGTTTGTTAGGCATTCTTATAAAAAAATACAAAATGTATTTCAATACTCGAGATTTTTTTCTTGTTTTCTTGATCATTGTGAGATAAAGTTGTCTTTCCTTTTTGGAGTAAAATTAATATTGGATTTTTAAAAAATAAATAAATGTAGTACTACAAGGAGTTTTGTGGGTTTTTATGTGAAAAAGAAGTTGTTTGTCCATTTGATGTTATTTTCTTTTACAGAGTTATATTTTGGCTTTTATCTAGAGTAACTTTCTATCATAATAGTTAATCTTTGTTATGTGATGTACGCGAAAGCGACGTATATAATTAATATAACCTCGATGATGGCTTGTTAAGTTGCATATAAGACGCAATAGAAGATTATAGTATATGTTAGTAAATAAGAGTACTTATGCAATGCATACAAGAATATTTAGCTTTTTCCCCACTTTCTGAGTACACTTGGACGTAGACATTTGGGCTTATCTTTGTGGTTTTGATCTTATCTAAGATGGAGCCTTTTCCCAGCAGATTTTTTTATTAACATCCAATCAGCACCGGAGACCAAAAAAAAAAAAAAAAAAAAAAAAATCAGTATTGGGTGCAAATAAAATATATTATATTTGTGTGATAAAAAATTATCCTAGAATGAAGCATTCATAAATAAATTATCTAAGATTCTTCTTGACAAGAAAAATACATAATATATTGTTTACTTGCTGGAGTTACACTATTAAATAGCCGTTGTTAGTTCCTAAAACTCGGTTGCTAATCACATATATAAACAAATCAATCGGGATTTTCAGTTTGATATATAGTCGCTTTACTAATTCCTCAATTCACTCATTCGAATTTAAGTTCTGATTTATTTTGGCGTTAGAGAAAAATAAAACAATAATTAGAGATAGTATTTGAAAGAGACTATTCCACTTGCTAAGCAAATATCTCCACTCCATGGACCCTCCCCGTTTCATCCAAAATGCGTAGACCCCCACGGCGTCGTTTCGTGGTCCTTTACTTCTTTTCCAAATTTTAGGAATCTACACACTTCTTGCCGTTTTACACACATAACCCCCTTCAGAATCAATACACTGCTTGTCGGTTTTTGTACTTCCTCCTTAGAATATCCCCTCTTTGCTCACGAGTTTTTATTCCTCCTTGTGTCTCTTTTTTTTTCTTTTTCTTTACTCATCGTCTTGGAAGCTAAATTCCAAAAGGTGACAACGATCGCCTCGCGATCAGATTGGTTTGTGTGGATCTTGCAGCGATGTTCTTGGTGGATTGGTTCTACGGCGTGCTTGCTTCGCTTGGTCTATGGCAGAAGGAGGCGAAGATCTTGTTTCTAGGTCTCGACAATGCCGGCAAAACCACCTTGCTTCACATGTTGAAGGACGAGGTTCGTTTCTCCCTTCCCTCTCTTCTTGCGTCCTTCTTCGATCCTGTTCTAGCTTCAGCTATCGAATCGATCCAATTCGTTTTTTTTTTTCTTAAATTAATTTTCTTTCGTTCCCGTTGACACTCTTTGATTCGTCTCGATTCGTACCTCAACTGATCTCCGTCGACAATTAGATGTTCAATTTCTTATATAATTGAAATCAGATCGTAGAAGACGAAGTGTCGGAGTAGGTTCTCTAAATTTGATTTTGGAAAATTTGATGTCTTACTTGTTTCTGTATTCACTCAATCGAAAATTAGAGTTTTTAATTTTAGGCATTCAGGCTCTATCACATAACTCTGGGTATTACTTTGATATCAATCTTCGTTCTCCTTTTAAACGAAAGAGATGAGAATATGGTTTATAGTTTGATGGTGTTCATCAGTTTAGTTACTGAATTTAGCTGATATACCTTTTCGAACAGAGATTGGTGCAGCATCAACCAACTCAGCATCCAACCTCTGAAGAACTTAGCATCGGCAAAATCAAGTTCAAGGCTTTTGACTTGGGCGGTCATCAGATTGCACGAAGAGTGTGGAAAGATTACTATGCTAAGGTGAAATCTCCTTTACTTAACAATACAATCTTGAGAAGCCTTGTTCGACGATTAGTCACATGAGACATTTGATCTGTAAAACTAAATCCTCACCTTTTGCATAAGCCGATAAGCATTAGGTTTTTTGAGTCATAGTCATCCTAAAGTGCAGCATTGTGTTCAAAATATATCATTGTATCTTGATTCTTCTTGAGTGTTTTCACAGGTTGATGCTGTGGTCTACCTAGTGGATGCTTATGACAAGGAGAGATTTGCAGAATCGAAAAAGGAGCTCGATGCACTCCTCTCGGACGAATCTCTAGCCACTGTCCCGTTCCTCATCCTAGGAAACAAGATCGACATACCATACGCTGCATCTGAGGACGAGCTTCGATTCCACCTTGGTCTCTCCAACTTCACCACTGGTAAAGGCAAAGTGAATCTGACCGATTCGAATGTGAGACCATTGGAGGTGTTCATGTGCAGCATTGTTAGGAAAATGGGATATGGTGAAGGCTTCAAGTGGCTCTCTCAATACATCAAATAGATGGCGCCATCCGCGAGTCTATAGAATCCTTCTCCTCTGTTTTTTTCTTCTTCTGCTCTTCATATTTTGCTTCTGCTACTTAAAAGTTCTGGCTTGTTGCCCATAAACCTTGTACTTGTTAGTATATTTAAGATTCGTCGTACTCATCAGCGGATGATCTTTAAGACACGATGTCGTTTTTCTCTAGTGTGTTTGAAATATTTTTAGTAACATATACTAAAGGGTGTTTGTGCTGGTGTAATTTTGTGAGTTATATATGCAGAGAAATTTGTAAATCTCATGGCCCAATCGGCCCATTCATATTACTTTCGGCCCATTTAGAAACCCAACTTTTGAAAATCATAAGGCCCAATCGGCCCATTCATATTAATTTTCAGCCCATTTAGAAGCCCAACTTTGTAAATCTGAGGGTCCAATCGGTCCATTTAGACGCCCAACTTTGTAAACCACATGGCCCAATCGGCCCATTCATATTACTTTCGGCCCATTTAGAAGCCCAACTTTTGAAAATCATAAGGCCCAATCGGCCCATTCATATTAATTTTCGGCCTATTTAAAAGCCCACCTTTTGAAAATCATAAGACTCAATCGACCCATTTAGAAGCCCAACTTTGTAAAACTGAGGGCCCAATCGGTCCATTAATATTAATTTCGGCCCATTTATCAGCCCAACTTTGTATTTATCAGGACCCAGTCAGTCCATTCACATATTTTATCAGCCCATTCAGAACCCAACTAAATTACAAGGGCCCAATTAGCCCGTTCACATGATTTATTAGATGAATAAGGACACAATCGGCCTATTCAGATTTATCTAATACCGCCCATTTGAAACCCAACTTGAAGTATATCACAAGGATCCAGTAAGACAGCCCATTTACATACTAAATTGAAGTAATTTACAAGGGCGCAATCAGCCCATTCAGATTGATCTAATATGTAGCCCATTTGGAAACCAAACTTAGAATACACTACAAGGGCCATAACCCATCAATAAGACACCGTGGTTGATTAAGACGAAATTGAACCTCTAATCTTTTAATTCACAATTTCACATCTTTAGTTAATAAGTGGTGGAGACTGTTCTCCTAAAATATTCATGAAGATATCTTACCAAATGCTATACTTTTGCTTTGTTTTCAACACTTTGTGGCTTTGCCTTCTTCACAAGCATTCACAAGCATTCAATTGATATATTTCTTCTCTGTTTTCCATCTTTCTATAATAGTAGATAAATAAATAATATAGTTTATAATAAAACCCATATTATTCTAGCTAGAAGAGGATAGACGTGAAAGGTATTTTTGCTTCGCACGTAATGTGTCAATGTGTATTACTTGTTTGGTTGTTCCATAGATGATGTTTGGCTATCGATGAATATTGAATATCTAAAAAGCTATCTTAATGTTTCTGATATAGAAAGATGAATATATGATGGAAATAATATTATCTTATATGGTACCATCAGTCCATCCTTTTCGTTTTTCATTGGTCCACTGACATGAACAATCCCTACATAAATTTATGTAGAAGAAACAAAAACAAATCACACTTTCATTCCTTATCCCTCAGTCGATGGTGCAAGTGTAATATGGATAAGAATGCCCATTATGTGTGTCATCTTTTCTTTTGCTTTTGAGTTTTATCTATAACGAAAACGAAACTGAAAGGTCTGTTTCTCTAAATTATTGAAACTGGAACAAAAAAAAAAAAAAAAAAACAAGGCTTTTTGGTTTATTTCCGAAAAAAGTAGGTTCAGTTTATTTAAGCATTTGTTTTCGCTACGATTTTGTGAAAAAAAACAATCCTATATACACACAACATTTGTTGAACTTTTTTCTTCGTTGAAGTGATATATTTACTTTTTCTGTTAACGTAAGTGATGGGAATTAATAAGTAATAAAATGAAAAACTTATCTGGTAATGTCACATCATTTGAATGTGATGGTAGTGGATAAGTGTTTAACGTTATAACTGCCGCCTCCTTTTCTCCTTTAGCACCCAACTAAATTTCATTATTGTTACGTTAACAGACATCGTAGTCCCCCTCCTTCCGTCCTTTGTTCAACACTTTGCTTTATTAACAATCTATCTATTTTGATTTTTTTTCTTTCTATTTATATATCTCATAATACATTCACTTTTTTTCGCCATATGTCTACCTTACTATTGAGGTTAAAATATGTAGGGTATTCCGTGCACAAGCATTCATTAAACCTCGGAGAAATATATAATATATTTACTTTTTCTTAAATACTAGTACATATAAACATAAAATATTTGAAGATTAACTAATCTAATAAGAGAAATATTTGATGCAACGTACAAATCTCAAATAAAGTAGAAAATATTTTACACGGAGACTCTAATAATTAATAAAGTGTCACCAATTGAGACAAGATACATTAGCCCAAGTGGGTTTGGATTCCCTTTTAGGCTTTTACCCCCTTTATTATAATGTGTGAGTGAGTAGAACAGTGGCACATATAATCTTGATTCTATTAAGTTATTGAACAGGCGCCTTTCTCACTTTTGTGTTAGAGATTAGATATAGTACTAATTACCATCTATATTGAACTTTTTTATGTAGACAATAAGAAGCTCAGATGAGCCAGACCCAGCCAAGAACTGAGCCACAAACAAGACCTATTCCTAGAAAAACAACCATGAAGACGGCCGCAAGTTCCGCTTCGGATGCATGAACCGTTTTGGGAGCCATGATCATGAGGACACTAGTAAGATAGCCGTTGGTGAGGCCTAGCATGAACGTCAGAACAACCACTGGCACTTCTGTTCTAAGCCAATGCGGTCCACGTAGGCACGCAGAGAAGAGAGGATAAAAGAGAAGCCTAAGGACACAAGCCCACGTAGCGGATCTTATACTCTGCCATAGATAAAGAGCGGTGAGTGACTTACCTACGAAATCCGAGACGTTGTACACCGTGATGAGCAAAATAGGATACCAACTTTGGAGAAGTTGAGACTTCAAGTTCTCTGCTATAAACCCTGGAAATATCGATAAGGTAACGGTGTAGATTATTAGAATACCCGAAGCTGGCCACTTGATCTTCCTCCCAACCACCCATATTTTCAGATTCGAATACAGAGGTTGATCAAACCTAAGGTGCTGTTGCATTACTGGTAACTTGTGCAGAACGTTACAGCAAAGGAAGCAGCAGAGTAGGATAGTTGAGCTGACTATGAAATAGCAATGAGCACTGGTTCGCAGCCCCTGCGGTGTCTGTGGCAGCGAAGCTTTAGTAGTAATCCTAAGGATGGAAATGATAATACCTAAGCAGAAAATAGAGGATCACATTAGCATTGAATACGGCTTTTGTTCTGATCATAAACCTTTGCTAGTGGATAAGGCCAATCATATTCATGGCCGGTCTAATGAACCAAACAAAAAAAAGTTGGTGTTTTCACTATCTATAATTATTTAAAATTTCTTAAACTATTAGCTTTTTTAAAAAATCTAACAAATATCAATTTTTATTAAAACGACAAAAACAGAATTTTGGTGGCCTTACTCCTTAGAGATATAATACAACTATTACCTTTAGAAAAAAAGTGTCAGTCCTAAAGATATTGGTGGTTGGAGTAAGTGCTTAATGAACCCGTTTGATAATGCCTCGATCAGGTAATTACGTATTACATCGATTTAAATGGAACTAAAAGAGGTTTACCTGAAGAGGCAGTCCCGGCAAAAATTGCTTGCATGTACTGTCTAGGAAGCTTTCCGGCTGAACCGATCAAACTTCCTCCGACCAATCCATCAGCTAAACCACATAGGACGACTGATCCAATCATCAGTAGGTACGAAACATTCTCATTGTTTTTACCTTTCCAAACCCAATCTATAATTGGCGAAGCCATCATGGAGATGATGAACATGGAAAACCCCAAATTCATCCTCAGTCTATAGCTCAATCTTGTGTTCCAAGTCATCATCAAAACCAGAACCAGGACCGAGCAACTCATGTAAGCCACGGTGAAAGTCTTCTCTACATGCTTGTCGGGATACAAGTAGCCAAAATAATCAACGGCTGTGATCAAAGCGTTCCATGGTATTAAACTACCAGCACCCAACAAGAAATGGATCACGTACGCAACTCTATAAGCGTCTCTTGTCTCAACCTCATCAACAATCACTTTCTCATCCGCCATTTTCTCTTCTCGCAACTTTGCTTTAGGTTCTTGACAACTTTCTGATGTTGGTCTCGTTATAAAGCAATGGTGGTGGTGATTTGATTTGATTGTTGTGATGTTTGGTGGTGGGAAGACCAACACGAGTCCCATCTTAGCATTATTATTCGCGATTACGATTCTTTGATGTCTCTGGAGATCATCAGGACTAGTACAAAGAAACAAGAAACTATATGGTCTTTGGGTGGGACACAAAACAGATGGGTTAGAATTAAAGTTACTACTTTGTGTATGACATTGGTCGGATCTCGCCTTTTCGATACCATTATATTCCATTTACTGCATAAACCCAAAATGTAGTATGATCAATGCCTCTACTTGTCAAAAAAAATCTATTCAAAACGTAAACCTACAATGTAGTGCTAAGTTATATAGTCCGTGTAATTTTGTTTCAAAATTTATAATAAAAAATCAAAAGTTTTCGAAGTTCTTTACTGCTGATTAGGTGTTTCCCAAGGCTCGCAATAATCAATAATATTAGTGTCATAAAAAAAGAAGGTACTCCTATTACTTAATGAACACCGAAGATATGAGCCAATGGAGTGTGAGATTTGGGAAACTGAAGTAACGAGACCACAAGTTGTTGTCTGTTTCCGACACAGCCCATACTTTATTATTTTAATTAGGACTTATTACGTTGCCTTCTTCTTCGTGACCCGAATCAAATTTAATTTATTCCTTTACTATGGCATTTTCACGATTTTTTACCTTGCTTATTTTATCCATGATTTTGCATGTTTGTCACACATTTGTAATTTTTCTGTCTCTATTATACCTTATATGTATATAGCATGGTCAATAACTCGATACTATATAATAGTAAAATGGATTAACGAATCTTAAGGTAACTCAAAACTAGATTTGCGGAAATCAAATTTATTTATTAATTCTTATTCGAGTAACTAAACAGACGATGTTAACTAAACATCACTCAGCCTAGAAAAAAAAAAGATTCGATCTATATTTTTTTTATAACGTTGTATATAATTGATCATCCTAACAATTCGTTTCACAGCCCTTTAGTCTGCCCAAAAGATGTAATAGTACAAAGGATTACTCGTTTATTTATTATTCGCATATCTATATACTATATTAATATAAGAAATGATTCGTGGAATTCCACTTCACCGGCCACATGTAAGAGAAAAAAGAACCAAAAATATATATAAACAAAAAGAAGAAAATAAAGATCGTTTAGGAATTTAGAATGGTGACATCTCGTGTAAGCCAAGTTACTTTCTTTACCTGCAAGTGGGAAACCTATTGAAGAAAAAAGAAACCGCATTGCAAAACAGATAGCTTCGGATATAAACCAACATTTTCCTTTCTTCCGATGGAAAAAGATAATAATAACAATTAAAACGAAATTAAGCAAATTTTTACATGATTAAGAACGTCGATTAGAATCAAATCTATTTAACTTGACATAAAAATCTCGTAAAAATCGGGACCCACACTATGACAACTGTCTTCCAACATTTTCTCACCATGACATATCCAAAATGGCAGGTTAGTTCACTCATTCAGATCTACCAACTTGTCTTCTCCTCAAAATTTAAAATGTAAATATAAATTTATAATATATATTATATATACGCTTAAATTTATAGAACTAGATAATGATAATAATATGCTTAAATTTGTAATATTTATTTAAAATAGGGTATTTCTATGGTAGCGTAATAAAACCCATGAAGAGAACTACTCATTACCATAACATCATTGCCTCTATATAAACACGCAAACCTCACTCTCACAATCCTTCATCACATTTTCATTTTTCTCTCTTCCAAAAAAAGCCTCAAAAAGATTCGGAAGAGGAGAAAATAAAAGAAATGATTCTCCACAAAATGGCAATCATGGCCGCTATTCTCTTCTTCTTCATAAGCAGCGTCCGCGTTCACAGCCGCGAAACGTTTGCTTGCGATACAAAGGACGCAGCAACAGCAACGCTGAGATTCTGCCAGCAGACAGTTCCAATACCGGAGAGAGTAAAGGATTTGATCGGACGGCTGACGTTGGCCGAGAAAGTGAGCTTGTTAGGGAACACTGCGGCGGCGATTCCACGGCTAGGAATCAAAGGGTACGAGTGGTGGTCGGAGGCTTTACACGGCGTTTCAAATGTGGGTCCCGGTACTAAGTTCGATGGGCTCTACCCTGCAGCCACCAGTTTCCCTCAAGTCATCACAACCGTTGCTTCCTTCAATGCCTCATTGTGGGAATCCATCGGACGGGTCAGATCTTTTTCTCTCTCTCTTTTATCCATTAAATAAAAAAACCGCTCTGGCTATTAAACCCTTTTTAATATTTACTGTGAAACTGACGTAAGTAATAATGTTATTGTACACATACATGCCACATTAATTTAAGCAGCTAGGCTATAGTCTGTGTATGTATTTAATTATATAATATAGTTCGATTTTTTTTATTTGGAATACTTTCAGTGGACCGAAATATTCTCTTTTCTCGAAATTTTACTAATGTTTGCTTACTGATATTTACATAATAGGTGATATTTTAACAGTTCTCGTGTTTTGATTCGTCCGATAGTTCATGCAAAAAACGTAGGAACGAATCTTATTAGCCTACGCTATATAAAAAAACCTTCTTTTAAAAGTAACTTGCTTTAAATATTATTCTTCTTCCGGGTTTTGTTTTTATCCCTCGAATTTCTGACAAAGATCTGATTCTTATATAGTATTTTTTAAATGATGGATTAAGTAAACAGTATTTAGATTACTCGGATAATAATAAAAACGAAAAAACCAACAGTACATATATTTAAACATTAAAAAAGTGAGGAAATGAAACCTGAACTTATCGTACGCCTTTTTGCTAAAAACGAGGCGTCAAGTTGCATGATATGGAACTTGCAAGTTGCAACATTAGTCACGCGCATTTTATCATAATAGTAGTGTTACGACTAAATGACGCTTCCGAGGGTGTGCGCAGGTTGTGTCAAATGAGGCCAGGGCCATGTATAACGGTGGGGTTGGTGGGCTTACTTACTGGAGCCCAAATGTTAACATATTGCGGGACCCACGTTGGGGACGTGGACAGGAAACTCCCGGTGAAGACCCGGTCGTAGCCGGTAAATACGCCGCGAGCTACGTCAGAGGTTTACAGGGAAATGACCCTAGGCGGTTAAAAGTCGCTGCTTGTTGCAAACATTTCACGGCGTACGATCTCGATAACTGGAACGGTGTCGATAGATTCCATTTCAACGCTAAGGTTTGCTTCATTTCCTTTCTCCCTTCAATCTATTTTTGTAAATCTAATTTTCTCACGTGAGAAGTTCGCACGTGTTTGAAGGTGAGCAAGCAAGATATAGAAGACACGTTCGACGTTCCGTTCCGTATGTGTGTGAAGGAAGGAAACGTTGCGAGCATTATGTGTTCGTATAATCAAGTTAACGGCGTTCCGACTTGTGCCGATCCTGATCTCTTAAAGAAGACCATACGCAACCAATGGGGCCTCAACGGGTAAGATCACGCCACGTCAGCTCAAAACACCTGCAATACCGAATATGAAAATATCGTTGACCATTGACTTTTTATTTTGTAAACAGATACATCGTCTCCGACTGTGACTCTGTTGGTGTTCTATACGACACGCAACATTACACTGGTACTCCTGAAGAAGCAGCCGCTAAATCCATCAAAGCTGGTAATTAATTGTTATTTGATTACAATTTTTGTTTTATACTACTCATCAAAATATTTGATTTCAGCTGGGGTTCAACGTTTAAGCTCTAGACTAATACTATCGCTCGTCCTAGGAAATTTATTAGTTTTTGTAAATTATGACCAACACATATATGCATAAACAACTTGTTTACTAATTAAACGTAAACTCTAAAACAGACGGGCAAGCTCGAAAATTTATTTTGTCAATTTTCATGTAGACAACAGTCATTACTTTTTTAAAACACTTCTTAGAATGACAATTGGAGTATTTTTCCTCTTTACATAAATAACATAACTTTGTGTATTGTGTAGGCTTGGATTTGGATTGTGGGCCGTTTCTAGGAGCCCATACAATCGACGCAGTGAAGAAAAACCTGTTGCGTGAGTCAGACATCGACAATGCCGTAGCCAACACACTAACAGTACAAATGAGATTGGGCATGTTCGACGGCGATATCGCAGCTCAGCCGTACGGACACCTTGGATCAGCACACGTGTGTACACCGGTTCACAAGGGACTAGCTCTCGAAGCAGCTCATCAAGGAATCGTCCTCCTCAAGAATCGCGGCCCGACTCTACCACTCTCTCGTCTCCGTCACCGTACGATCGCCGTAATCGGACCTAATTCGGACGCAACAGTCACGATGATTGGTAACTACGCGGGGATTGCTTGTGGATATACCAGTCCGGTTCAAGGAATAACCGGTTATGCACGAACGGTTCACAATAAAGGTTGCGCGGACGTACATTGCATGGACGATAGATTGTTCGATGGTGCGGTTGAAGCGTCTCGAAAAGCTGATGCGACGGTTCTTGTGATGGGTTTGGATCAGACTATTGAAGCTGAGTTTAAGGACAGAAACAGTTTGCTCTTGCCTGGGAAACAACAAGAGCTTATTTCTAGAGTTGCTCGGGCCTCTAAAGGCCCAGTTATATTAGTTTTGATGTCTGGTGGGCCTATAGACGTATCCTTCGCAGAGAAAGATTCGAAGATTCCAGCTATCGTTTGGGCCGGGTATCCGGGTCAGGAAGGCGGGACCGCAATCGCAGATATTTTATTCGGCGGTGCTAATCCCGGAGGGAAGCTTCCAATGACATGGTACCCGCAGGATTATTTAACGAATTTACCGATGACGGAAATGTCAATGCGACCGGTCCGATCTAAGGGGATTGCGGGCCGGACTTACCGGTTTTACGATGGTCCTGTTGTTTACCCGTTCGGGCATGGTTTGAGCTACACGCACTTTACTCACAACATAGCCGATGCGCCTAAAGTGATCCCTATAGCTGTTCGAGGTAGAAACGGCACCGTTTCAGGGAAATCAGTACGTGTGACGCACGCTAGGTGTAGCCGTCTGTCGCTTGGAGTTCACGTGGATATTACGAACGTTGGATCGAGAGATGGGACACACACGATGCTAGTGTTCTCGGCTCCGCCAGGTGGAGAGTGGGCCCCGAAGAAACAGCTGGTTGCTTTCGAGAGAGTACACGTGGCTGCTGGAGAAAAGAAGCGTGTGCAGGTAAATATACACGTGTGTAAGTATTTAAGTGTAGTGGACCGCGCCGGGATCCGAAGGATACCGATCGGTGATCATGGGATTCATATTGGAGACGAGACTCATACGGTGTCGCTTCAAGCGTCTACTCTTGGAGTCATCAAGTCTTGACTCTTGTTTTTGCTTTTTTTCTTTTTGTCACCAACAATATTTTTAAGAAATTGAAATGTTTCTATAGAAACGAGTTAGATGGTTGTAACATGTCGATTGATGTGAGGATAATCTGCAAGGAGAAAATAAAAGAAATCTGATCCTTGTGTATCAAAGAAATATTTGAAATTCAGTTGTATGGCGTGTCTCTGCTTTCTCTTTTTCCCTTCTTGTGCCAAAAAGATTAAATAATAAAAAGAAAGAGAGAGACGTCAAATTGTTAAAAAAAAAAAAAAAATTAGTTACAAAGGTTCCACAGTGTATAACCTTTGGTTTAGCAACTCGGTTTGTCTTCTTGCCTTGAGACGGTTAATTGTCTCGTGAATGTTGTGCGCAGTGTCTACTCGTCTCTTATGGGATGGTATATTATGGATGCATCAGATTTTGTTTTATTCAAAATCTCAACAAGCAAGTGTTACTTGTTGTTACTTCAGTTTGGTTGTGGGCTTTTTGCTTTTTCTTTCTTAATTTGAATGCCATGTGTCATACGTTCAAAATTAGTAAGTGAATATTAGCAAGGTAAAAAGATGTTTGTCCCACAAACCAAAATTAGGACTAGTACTGAGTTAGTGCGTTTAAAAGCCAGTGTTACACAAACGGAGAGAAGAAAATGTATATAAACCCTATCTATTATTATTAATGCCATACTTATGCAAGGCTTACACATAATTGTCCGACTAAAATGAATTGACACGAAACACAACTAACCAACAATCTGAGTTAGAAAAAGATTTGAAGAAAAGCATACGATTAAGATTTTTGGCACGTGCAGTTCCGTTCGGATCTTTGAAAACTGGTCATAAATGAGAATGGGAAAGGTAATAAAAGACCCTTCTGACACTTGGGATATTTTTTGGGATTTTCTCAAATAAGATTTTACTTTTCAAAGAACAGAAGACTATTGAAAACATCAATTTTGGCTATTCAATCGATCTAACAAAGCGTTTGAACTTCACGTGTTATAAACATGGCGTGGGGCTAAAAAGTTAAACGCCCCAGCTAGATTTTCATGGTCGTATAATTTAGGATTGGTGACAACGTGCCTTGTTGGATTGGATAAACATCTCAATCCATTGGGCCACTTCCTCCACAACTCGTCGTCCAACTGATTTTCTCTTTTCGTAAAACATAATTAAAATCAAAAGTTTACAAGAAATAAATGGATACGACTACGACCACTCCTAAATTCCAGATCTGCTGCGGCCAAAGTAATATAACTCGACGATCATTTTAAAATCATGCCGGAAAGATAAGTCTTTTAATCGCAAATTAATTTTCCGAAACTACGTTTCAATATAGTAACTTAATGGGTTTTCATTGTTGGCCATTTTAATAAATGAAAACTTATTCAGCAAAAAAAATAAAAAAAATAAATGAAAACTTAGTATCCAGTGGTTACAAAAAGAAATCTTGAGTACGAATGTTGACCAATAGAGACTAATCAAACAGGAGCATCCCACTTGTTACACACATACTTTTTGAAAATTTATATACAAATATATTAATATTTGCTCCCTTTCCACAACCTTTATGCATGAAACAAATGTATCCAACCGGAAAAAGCCACCAATGGGCCCCAACAAACATACAAACAAGAGATATACTGTGTATATGAATAAAGAATGACCTAAACCGGCCATTACCCAAAATCCGGTATAAACCAGTGTAAGCAAACGACCCTTACCCGCCAAGGAAAAACATTTCAACGGAAACTAAAGACGTTGAAAGCTCCAAGGAACAACAACTTAACCGGAAACAACAGAACAACGATCAAAGGCATATGCTGAGACGCCACAAGGCGGCTAAATCTCTGCAACGACTTTCTTCCTGTCTTCATCATCCCGGAAAAATCCTGACCGTTGATTTGTCCGTTACTGATCGCAATCCCTGAGCTCCCGCTTTCTCTAGCCACCAGTATCGGCCACCATAGACTCCGGCGATGCTCCCTCTTCGCTCTCCTTATCTGATTCACTTCTTTTCTTATCACACTCCTTACCGCTTTGAGATAGGAGTTCATGTCGTGGTCCCTTTGTATGGTTCCGCTCGACCCGTAAGCCGATCTGTCGCCAAGAATATCCAGAGGATGCGGCGTGTTCAAGAAAACAGTCTGCGCTGCTCTTAACCTTTGTTCCTCCTCAGAATCAACACTATCCGGCGATTCAAAATCACCGGTTAGAAGATATAAACCATTTCCCGGAGGAAGAAGGTCGTGTCCCGGAGAGAATGACTCATCCGGCTGAAGGATTAGAAGCTCGCCCATCGGAGAATACAACATACTCTGCAGAAGAAGAAAAGAAGCCGTTAACTCGCTTGATCAGGTTCAAAGAACTCTGTCGCAAAGCTAGGAAATTTATGACGGAATGTAGCCATACCTGCTTGTTAAGACAAGGATGGCTACGAAAGTTTCCGTTAACAGCTTTGAGAAGCTCTGCGACATGGTACGGGTAGTTACAAGAAAAGGCTCTTGGGACAATGTCACGGTGCATTGTGATAGCTTGAACATGGCTCTTAGGCAATCCGAGCTTTTTAAGAAGACGGTCGCCTCCACATATTACAAACGGCGCACCAAATGTTATAACCGGGAGTAAAGAAGAAGCAGGTACTTCGCCTCGAACCAGTAACATGAGGTTCAGTAACAGCGATAAGCTTCCGCCTAATGAATGTCCGGTGAAACGGAATTTAGCGCTGCTCCCGTGGGTTTTGATATGGGCCTTGACTTCAGGTAGCATTTGTTCATACATTCCTTTTGCAGCTTCGTATATTCCTCTGTGAACAATCGCACCGAGCTCCTAATAGATCAAAAACAGCTTCGTGAGTTCTAAATCAAACGTTCTTGTCTCCAAGATTGTCGGGGACTGGGATTGTAAAAGTAAATATACCTCAAATTCTATTGGCTCAAAGAGTAGGTTTGCTTGCCAAGAAGCTAGAGATTCAGATCCCTACAAGCAATTTCATAACATAAGAATGATTTCTCGAAAGACCATATTTTAGAACCGTATATTAAAATAAACTTCGGGTGAACTTTTTCTTTTCTTACCTGAATCACAACGAATCTGGTGTGAGTTTGATCATCATCACATATAAACCAATCGCAAGGAGACGAAATGGTCGATTTCAAATCGTCTGCAACCGCTTGCTTCACATCTTCCTCAGCAGCAACAACAGAAGTGACGGAGTTGGTTAGAGATGAAGCAGCATCTGATGATGACTCCACATTTGCCGAATTGTCATCGTTCTTGTCTGAATTCTCGGTTTTCGATGAAGAGTTGAAAGGAAGTATGTTGTTGGTACGAGAGTGAAGGTAAGAAGCAGCTGATGCAACAATCTCATACGCGGCAGAAGCACTAATCTTGCGACCTTTGTTCTTCTCGTCTTTGCCTTCAACTACTTCTTCCTCCTCCTTTGGCTTGGTCTCACCTGAAACTTCGCAATCTCCCGCTTTTAAAGCTATTTCTGTTTTCTCAGCTGATGAAGTTACGAACCTAAGTCCGTAATACTTGGAGAGATTCGCAGGCTGAGTGAAATGTGCAGACAAGAGAAGAGATCAATACAAAACAATGTCTCTTTTAATTTCTAATCTTTCTCGGTTCGAAGACCGAATAAAGCAAAAGCGAAACGTAAAAAACAGAACTGAAATGGTTAAAATCCGAACCTTGATTTTTGAGATTGAATAAGCCAAGTTTCCCAAATAGGACATTTGGGCATAGAGTTTTGATTCGGGTAACGAAACCCTCTTCAGCAATTTTGAGAAGGATTCTCTATCGAGCTGAAATTTGTTATCTTTGTCTACATCATCCTCCAAAATCGAACATACATCGCATCCACCATCATCTTCAGACAATACGGCGTCGTCTATTTCCTCCTCTTCTTCTTCATCATCTTCATCTTCATCTTCATCATCTTCTTCCTCCTCTCTATCTCTCCACATAGATTGCACATTTAATATCTTCAGAACCCAGCTCCCATTTCTCCTCTCCGTCTCCATTTCCACAGCCGACGTCTCCTCGGCGATTGGCTTTCTCGAATCGCCAGAATCCACCAAAACGGCGTCTTCTAGAGCCAACCTGCTTCGCCTCCTCGACGCAATTCCTCCACCGCGAGACCAAAACGGCGTCAATGGGTGCTTGAATGAGAACCCAAAAGGTCCCCTTTTTTGCGATGGTGCCGTTGCGGTTGCTCTGACTTCAACAACTCCACCGCAACCGCTTACGCCGCTTCCAACCGCTGTTATAGCTGGAATAACGCCGTGTAAGCCTGTATTCAAACACAAACTATCCATCGTCTTATTTTCCTTATAAAAAGTTTTTTTTTTTTGTTTCTGTTCCTTTGGGAGAGACTCTTGGGTTCTTATTCCCAGTTAAAATTATTAACGATCTTTAGAATTTCTTGGAATGTAAATTCTATTCCACAGAAAGATTTAGAATTGAGAAAATTTAGACGGGAAGAAAAAAAATTGTTTATCAGCCGAACAGATCGCCGAAGAGGAAACTTCTGTGTGAGAGATCTTTTTAGAGAATGCTATATTTTCGTTTTTCTATTTAAAATAGAAAAAAAAAAGTATTTCTTTTTGTTTTTTTTTGACAAATAACCTCTATGAAAGAAAAAAAGTCAGTACCTCTTTTGCGATATCTTTAATTGGAAAGGAAAGAATTTAAAAGAAAATACATCAAATGAAAAATCCTCGCGAAATTGGTGGAACGTCGTCGTTTAGCTTAAACATACATACGTGTAATACGCGTGAGCTATCAGCTCAACACGTTTTACCCCACATGGGACCCATCAAGCAAATGGTAGTCGAGTTGGTTCAGAAAATTTGCCGACTTGAGGAAGGAAATTCAAAACTGATGTTTTTATAAAGGGGAAATATATTACATAGTATTTCATTTTACTTTATTTACTAGAGATTACAGAAAATTTATGGAGTTTTAACATTTACTAAATAGAAAATATATATTATTTCATTTAATATTTAACTTTTGTTCATTACGTTTGATAGGGAATTATTTCAAGTTATAAAGTTTTAAATGGATATCCACGTGGGACCACCAGGACAAGGTGGAAGACTGCCACGTCAGAGTCAGAGTGTAAATGGATATAGGTGGACAAACCATGTGACGTGTTCCAAGATTTTGGGTTCTATCCAGTGGAACACGTGGCATAATCGGAATGCTCACGCGCCTTGTCTTTTACTGTTAGTTGTGTGCTTGCATGTATGTTTGGTTGCTTCTTCCGTGAGGTAAGGTCCAAAATGAAATCCCAAGTACTTGCACGAAACCAAGAGCTCCAAAAATGAAGTGATCATCGAAGTCTTCCCAAAAATTAGAGCATAGTTTTGAGCCATCGAGAGACTAAAAACAAGCGGGACCATAAGAGAGAGTATGGTTTGATTTTTGAGCCGATTAGGGTTTTTTTGTGACAAAGAAAAATGAAATGAACCAACCCGTTAAGGTAATGGATAGAACTAATATGATGGGCCTTTATTAAGCCCAAAAGTCAAAGTGATCCGCTTGTAGAATATTCGTATAAATCTAGTAGTAATAATAATAAGCCCAACTCTCCCGTTTCTTGATTTCCGTCATCGTCGCCGATTTGCCACGACCACCTCATTCCGGTGAGTTCCCTGGTCTCAAATTTCCCCTTTTGAATTCTCATTCCATAATCTATTTCGGCGACTATTGTGATAAAGGACCATCGATCCGATGGCTGTTTACGCTGCCGGGATAACACCGTCCGTTTAGAATTCGGTGGGAATTAAAAATTCGGTCGCGGAATTTTCTTCCCTTGTTGAATTTAGGATGCTGTATGAAGTATTTCACATAGATCTTAGGGTTAGTATTCGACTAAAATAAAATTGGAATTTTCTCGGTTAGGATTTTTGCTAATTTGTTCTGTTTCCTCTCACAGACTTTTTTCGTGAGAATTGGAGTTTGTTGTCGGAAGAAGAAGATGAGTAACACACCAGCAACGGCGGCGTCATCATCTAGATCGAAAGCTGCGGGAACTTCTCAGGCGCCGGAAAAGCGCAAACCCTACTTTCAGAAAGAATGTAAAGTGATATAACACTCTTTTGCTAGAAACAGAGTTCTTCATTTTGGTTTTGTAGTAACGCACTGGTTTTTTTCTGTGTGTGTGCCTCTGATGATTTCCAGTGCAGCATATGATGTATGGATTCGGCGATGAGCAAAACGTAAGCTCCCTTCATTGATTTTGTTGCGCTATGAACCAATTAGAGATGTTTTCTTTTCTTCCATATAAGAGAATCAACTCATAGATAGTAGTAACAAGTGTTGCTTTGAAGTTTCCTTTTCACTCTGAAACTAATACAAAGATTCATATACCTCCTCTCTCATTTCTTAGCCGCTTCCAGAGACCGTGGCGCTTGTAGAGGACATTGTTGTGGAATACGTCACCGATTTGGTATTGAGTTTCTCACCTTTTTACAATTACATTACAAGTAGAGAGAAGCATGATATATCTATGTATATAGCTGCTAACCCGAGAAGAGATGTTTTTGGAATGTCAGACACATAAGGCTCAAGAGATTGGCTCAAAGCGAGGAAGGTTACTAGTTGATGACTTCTTGTATCTAATCCGCAAGGTAACTTACACTATCCAAAGACTGAGGCTGGCTGCGGTTTTGTATCCTATGTATGAGTATGATTGTGTTCTTTGATTCGGTTTTATGCAGGATTTGCCCAAACTTAACCGGTGTAGGGAACTCTTGGCAATGCAAGAAGAGCTGAAACAAGCTCGTAAAGCTTTTGATGTCGATGAAGATAAGCTAGCTTCTCTTGATTGATCTTTCCTTTGAAACTCAAGGCTGTAAGAAACAGATAGCCACCAAGCGGAATTGAGATTTAAATATATTTTTATCTTTTACCAGTGAGCATATATTTTCTTACATCAAACCGGTGAATGTTCGATCTCTCCCTCGGAAAAAAACGAAATTGCAGCTATCGAATTTCTTAAAATGCCACCAAATAACGATAGCAAAAACCAAAAAGAGAGAGAGAGTGGAACATAAAGCCCAAATGTAATAATAAGCCCAATATATTTTATGTGCTACGTTATATTGCTTTTTGGGTTGGTGAACTAAAAGCCTAGAACAAGGAGAGTGGGAGTTGAACATAAAGCCCAAAGTAACAATAAACCCAATATATTTCATAAGATGGCTAAATCTCTCCATATGAATGCCATCTCATCATTTTGGTTTATTGTAGAAATGATATGTGTTATTTTTCAAAACAATTATGATATAAATTATTAAACTTAATTAGAGATTAAATGTACTTGATACATTAAGTATTAAGATATTATGATTATAAAATATATTTAATGCATAAATTTAATGTATTAATCATAATACAAAAAGAATATAAAAATATGAAGTATTAGATAATATATTTTAACAACAATATATATTTAATATCTAAAAAATATTATTGAATATCTATTTTTGTTAGTTTTTAAAATCGACAAAAAAATTATGTTTCTTATTTAATAGTGTTTTTTTATTTCTATTTAATATTATAAGTTATTATTATAAAACAGTTATACAAATATAAAAATAATGATTATTTGATATTTTGAACCTAAAAAGTTAGAATAAAAATTTATAAAATATTATAATAAACTTTAAAACAATTTCTTTATAAACTAATGATTATTTGATAATTTATTTTATTCAAACTTGACCTATTAATAATTTTAAATTAATAAGATATCAAAGTCCTAATATATTTATTTATAAAATATTTAATGCAGATATATAAATTAGAATTATAAATCAATTATTTAAGCTCATAAAAATATAAAATGACAGTATTGCTATTGTGTAAATCTGCATCGTGAACAAATACAACATGTTAAAAAGGTCGTTTCTACCTATGTTGTGCTTGAAGAGTTTCTCTAATTAAAATTTGTTATATATTACTTCTCTAATTTGCAGTATATCTATTTAATATATTTTATATATAAGGTATAACATATTTTACATTTCCTTATCAATAAACCATTTATCACATATATTTTTAATATCCATATAGTATGTAAATACATATTGTATGTTTATTCAAATACAAAACATCCTTAAGAAAAATTTATATTGTGTAATTACACTTTTTAATAAATTATATTGTGAACAAAAATCCGTGCATCGCACGGGTACTCATCTAGTATTTATTAATGAATGAACTAATGAACGATTTATTGAAATTTGATATTCTTGTGCCAACATTTCCCACTCGTATTTCACTATTTATTTATTGATCTTGCAAACAATTTTTCCATCAAAATTGAAAAAGAAGGAGATAAATTTAAAACACTTGTGAATTTTTTAGAATCATCAGACGACGTCGTTGTGTTCTTTGTATTGCAAATAAGAGATTTGCCTTTGCAACTTCATCTGTTGATAGAAATTAGCAATGAACTCCTCTGCTCTAACATCAACCCCTTTCTCTTCTTGATCACCCTTAGCCGCGCCATCACATTTCTCACTGCAAGAATCATCGTAATAGCCGTAGGAATAGGATCTAACATCGTCGGTATCATCTTGACCGTCCAATTTAAAGTCGTAATCAAAGTCAACGGGAGGAGCAATGCAAGGCAAGAGGAACCTCATGGACGCAGGGCGATGCATCCTAACGTTAAAGATCGGCGTCTCGTCGAAAGAGAGCTGTTTCTCGCCGTAACGGGAGAGATAATGGCCGTTATCAACACTGCTATTATGATGAGCTAGGGCTTTGAGATGCTTGGAGAACAAGTTACGGAGCTCGAACATGTGCCATCTCTTAAAGATCCCACCTTTTCTTCCCCATAGAAGAGCCATTCTCACAAGACTCCAAGCTCTCTGTGTTGCTACTGATCTGCTCTTCTTTTTTGATTCCCCCATGAGTTTTGTTTTTTAGTGGGTTTGTTTGAGATCTGAGATGGAAACAGTAAGCCTTTTTTGTTGCTTTGGTGCTTCAGGTGATTGTGTGGGAGAAGTTGTGGACACTTATGTGTGTATTTATACAAAATCAAGCAGCTTTTTTTGCAGTTGTCGACGCGGAGAGAGAGAGATTTACATATATAAATTTGTTTGCTTTAGCAAAACAAAATATACTAATAAATTTGTTTAAGGACTTAAATATCAAAACTTATTTTCGTAACCCTGGATTTCAAGTGGGACCCATCGGGCTGTACGCGGCAAGATCTGAGCTGTTTAGCCGTTTTGTTTGTTTCTTAAGTTTTTTGGTTTGGTTTTAATCTCAAAACCAATACAGTACTACAAAATATTTGTTTACTTACCGAATCATGATTGTATTTTTTTGTTCAAGCGAGTTATTGTGTGTATAACGATTGATTTTGTTATTATATTTTCTGCCCCTGAGTTTAATCTCAACGCGTTACACGTAAACACATTTTAGGAGACATAACTCTACACAAATTACAAACATTTGTGTTCTAATTTCCTGGACCACGTGTCGTTTATTCTAGTATTAATCTAGTGATTATCACCGTTTTCGAATCAGTAAATAATGTTACATTTATATTTATTAAAGATTAGAAAGTGACTCATTAACTAAAATAATGAACCTCGTGGCAAAAATATAGTAAAGAATCATGATCGGTATATTTAAATTTAGTTTTCACTTTTTATGGACTCTGATTGTTGGTTTACTGTTGCAAACGTATAACGGTATAAAGGTATAAGGATACTTCGTTGGAATGTACCAAAATCGAAATAAAGAAAGCTTACAATTTTCTTACACAAACACCCACAAAATCGTTTAAAAAGTAGTATCATTAATCGTAATAAATCATGGTCGGTATATTTAAATTTAGTTTTCACTTTTTATGGAGACTCTGATTATTGGTTCACTGTTGCAAACGTATAACGGTATAAAAGTATAAAGATATTTCGTTGGAATGTACCGAAGTCGAAATAAAGAAAGCTTACAATTTTCTTACACAAACACCCACAAAATCGTCTAAAAAATAGTATCACTTTTTATGGAGACTCTGATTATTGGTTCACTGTTGCAACGTATAACGGTATAAAGGTATAAGGATACTTTGTTGGAATGTACCGAAATCGAAATAAAGAAAGCTTACAATTTTCTTACACAAACACCCACAAAATCGTTTAAAAAGTAGTATCATTAATCGTAATAAATCATGGTGGGTATATTTAAATTTAGTTTTCACTTTTTATGGAGACTCTGATTGTTGGTTCACTGTTGCAAACGTATAACGGTATAAAGATATAAGGATACTTCGTTGGAATGTACCGAAGTCGAAATAAAGAAAGCTTACAATTTTCTTACACAAACACCCACAAAATCGTCTAAAAAATAGTATCACTTTTTATGGAAATTCTGATTATTGGTTCACTGTTACAAACGTATAACGGTATAAGGGTATAAGGATACTTTGTTGAAATGTATCGAAGTCGAAATAAAGAAAACTTACAATTTTCTTACACAAACACCCACAAAATCATCTAAAAAGTAGTATCATTAATTGTAATAAATCCCTTCGATACTTAATTATTAAGTTCAAACAGTATTAACGATATATGATTGGGCTTGATAGATAATTGTGCGAGTATAAGCAAATAATACATGTAGAAATAATCAGAGACTTGTATAATTAAGCTTAAGAATTAAGGGAAAAGGCGTGATTGGTTTAGATGCGCTGCCGTTGAATACTGTCTTACGGCTGTCTCAATTAATTTAACTTTCCACGCAACCGTGTCCGTGGAATTTGAAACGTATATACATGTCAGGCCATATACTTAGATACTGTGAAAATGAAAATGCAGTACTATGTGTTTTAAACATTTGCTTTTACGTTCAACAACATTGTTATCATAATACAGCAGAGGCTTCTCCACACTCTCACCGACTGCTTTAAATCCAACAATGTGCTGTGCACAAGGCTTAGTCTTCATGCATCCCTGCTTTCACCAGTTGCAAACTCCAAGTACAGAACCTTGTTCTCATCATCTTGGTAGAACAAGAAAGTCTGACGATTGGCAATATCTTGCTTGAGATGTTGAATCGCTGCTTTGTACAAAGGAGACCACATCTTTATAGTAGGCAGCGAGTGTAGAACCTCCATAGCTCGAAGCTGACTGCAACTAAACTCAGGATGGCTCTCTATAAGTTGGTTCTTGTGTGAAAGAATCTTATCACGTGACTTACCACTATCCTTAATAACTTCTGCTACAGCTTCTTCTGCTTGTACAGACCTTGATCTTTTCCTACTACCCTTTGACCTACTAGAAGATGAGGGTCCACTGCCAACATCGGAAGATGAGGGTCCATTGCAAGTATTGCCCTGGGTAGGAAGGATTTGTCTTGATTCAGCATCAGCATCAGCATCTTGAGTAGGAAGGATTTGTCTTGATTCGGCATCAGCATCAGCATCTTGAGTAGGAAGGATTTGTCTTGATTCGGCATCAGCATCAGCATCTTGAGTAGGAAGGATTTGTCTTGATTCGGCATCAGCATCAGCATCTTGAGTAGGAAGGATTTGTCTTGATTCAGCATCAGCATCAGCATCTTGAGTAGGAAGGATTTGCCTTGATTCAGCATCAGCATCAGTATCTTGATCCAGATTCATTGTGTCAAAATGCTTTTCACCTTGCTGAGGAGCCCAACCTTCAGATCCACTTATATGAACCGTACCATAGACTTGTTCCATCAAATCCATGTTTGCCACTGGTTTATCTTTTATTTTCCTAGCTCCAGGCCATTCCTGAAAGCAAAATTAAATCTTCAGCAATAAGTAAAAACAAAAAAACAAAACGTGTAATAAACATATGTATACCTTACACCGCTCGTTCCACCAATCCTCAGGCATGTCTATGTACCCAGTTGAATCGTCACCAAGTCCAGTTTTGTTGCGAGTCAGTCTCTTGAAAGATTCGTACTTGATCCCGAATTTTTTACATATATGTCTTTCCCAATATGCGTCATAGAACTTGTCCATAATTGAATCGCTTCCAGTTTGATTCACCTCCTGATTTCTTATATTTCCTTTCAACTTCTCTTCACTTCTTAGTTGAAGATAGAAACGGGTTTGCTCATCACTCCAAGCAAGATTCTTATAAAAACAAACAAACAGATGTTTTGTAAACAATCAATGTAAAATTCAGAAAACTCATTCAGTAAAATATGAGTTTAGAGAGGAAGATACTCACATCAGTACCAGGGATTGATGTCATTGCATCTGTAAATGGCGTTGCAGAACAAGGTTTGAAACAATAAGCCAAGGCACACAAGTGACGCTTTGAAACAAAGAACATTCACCACACAGAGATACGTACATATAAGCCAAGGCACAAGTGAAGCTTTGAAACAAAGAACATTCATACTATACCAAAGCAAATCCACAAACCCATATAAAACACAACAGATTCGTGACTCTACACAGTTCTTCAAAGATTTATAAGTAACACAAAGTTGGTATAAGATAACAGAGCAGAGAGAAGAATCTATCTACATCACTGTATCAGCAATAAGATCAGTAAAAGCTACAAGTACACAATCCACAATGTGAAAATTTCCACCAAGCACAACATCGCACCATTGATCTGAAGGTCTAAGGAAAGATAGGTGTTCACTAGTCACAACATTATTCAAATCACAACAACACACAAAACATGAATCAAACTGAAACATTCCTGAAATTCTAAACAAGCCACATAAAATCGAGATTTATGACTAATAAAAGCAAAACCCAGAAGCCACATAAACCCAAAAGAACGCAAAACTCAGAATCCACAAATACCCAGAAGAAAAATGCGATTAGAAGAAGAGAGAAGAGAAGCTCACCTGAGGAGAAGCGGCAGCGGTAGAAGTCGCCGAGTTCTGTTGGAGAGAGTGAAGCCACCGATTCGTCGGAGAGAGTGAGAGATCGCCGAGTTCTGTCGGAGCGCGTGCGGAGATTGAAGCCGACGAGTTCCGTCGAAGCAAGCAAGATAATTGCAATGTTAGATCTAGGTTTTTCTGTGTAATTTTTTGGTTTAACTAGTGTCGCTTTTGTCATTTTCAATTTTAAGATAGATTAGTCATTCATCATTCAACTGAATTTTAAAATTTTGCCTAAATTTTAAAAAGTCATTCAAAGGAACCATTTGCCTGTTTTAAATTTTAATCACTAAACAAACACAACTCTCATCTAATACTGATGGTTTATCTGGATAAAGAAATAAATAAGAACTCACTAGAAATATATAGACTGAAACGTTCTTTAGTAAAAACAAAATATATAGACTAACACGTTTGTATGAACCACTTAACCACATATTTTTTTTGGTTTAAAATGTTCACTTAACCACATATTGTATACGTATGATTCATAATTCACATGTCAAAGTACGTAGAATGTATGTAAAATTTGATTTCATAAAAAAAAGGTTTGCAGTATAAAGCAGTTTAGACTTGACATTAAACACTCCACTCCCGAAAATTACTTTTGAGTTTCAGTCTATATATATTTACTTCCGAATATTTACAGAATCATATATGCATCTAGCATGTCACTAATATTTAAGAACCACACATTTTTTCCTGTAATTAAATTACCAACCGCTATAATTATAAAATTAGTTTATCCCAAAAAAAAGATTTTAAATTAGTTTGGTTTTAGGCTGTCTTTCTTTTCTTGATTCTCTTCGCCCCAAAACGACGGCTTAAAAAGCGCGCTGTTTCCAGTTAAATATCCTAATTTATTTTTAACCCCAAAACATTATAAGCTCTTATCACTTAACCCAATATTTCAATAACTATCATTTACACCCCTAACTACAGAACACATAAATAGAGCGCTGTACACAAATAGTTCCTCGTCGGAATCTTTCTTCAAAAGATAAAAAAAAATCTCTCTCCCTGTTCACCCAGGGAGAAGATTTTGACTTCCTTCATCTCTAGTCATCGTTTTGATATTTTCTTTCAATCTTTTTTTTTTTGTAGAATGGAAACAAAATATCAGAATGGTGACCAATTAGAGATAGAGCAAATAAACCCGACCATGAAGAAGAAAAAGGTATCACGTGGGATGCACGTCTTCTCCGTCGTCATGTTCATGCTCCGTCGTAGCCGGAGGAGAAAGTCTTTCCACACCGGGTTTTGGCGGCGTGTGGTTGAGTCCGTTCGCAATGTCCATTCCGAAAGTACGATAATGCCATCATCCAATTTTATAAATACAATCGTCCTTCCTCCGGCTCCTACTCCGGCGGCGGATATTGGCCACGAAGGTGGCGATGATGATGATGATGATGAATCCAGGGATCGCTTATCGGAGGTGAAGGAGGTTTTCACGGCGGCTTCTTCATCATCATCCGGAATCTCGGGATATGGATCTGCCATGTCTTTACGTGATTTGGATTATCATCATGATGATAATGATGTCGAATACTATAGCGATGTTGAAGGAGGAGATGATATGATAGATGAGAAAGCTGAGGAATTCATCCTGAAATTTCATGCACAAATGAAGATGCAAAATCATGTTTATTCTGAACGATGCAAAGCCAAAAGGGGTAATGACGATGAATTAGTGATCTAATTAATTAAGGTCGTACAGTATTATCCTGCATGGAGCAGCAATAAGGTAATGTCTCGTGAATGGCTTAATTCGGTCAGAGGAAGGATCCATCTTCATGTTTTCTTCGTCGATTTTTTTTGGTATTTTAATTTAATTAATTCCTTTTAACATCTTCTTCGTTTTTGGTTTGTAATTTGTGAGTGTATTTCAAAATTTCAATTAATTAATGAAAAATTAGGAAACGTGAAATGTATGTTGAGTCATGTATGTGTGTGAGTTTGGGAGTATATTATTCGTGTATTTAATTTTCACCATTTACCATCACTTGGAAAATGGTTTTATTAACAGCACATTTGACCTATTCATCGTCCGTATTGAATTCTGTTCGAAAATTGAAGAATTTGAATTTTTTTTCAACCATAAAAGTCGATGAACACATGGACGAATCAATTACCACTAATAAGAAAGTGAAATATCATAGTGAACAATGGTAACGATTACACTTTTTAACCCATTTCATCAAAGACTCATAGAAACAACGGTGACAAATGAAGCTTCCATAGCCAAGAGCTGGATCCTCAACGTGCGATCAGAAAACCAAGAAGACCTAACGGTGATCGTCTCTCTAAACTCCAAGATTCATCCTCGAGATGGTGCAAAAGCCGCAACTCTTCAACTATGCATCAAGACCAAGTGCCTGATACTCCAACTCCTTCACATGAATCAAAACACCAACGTTGAAGAATGCCTTAGTGATCTATTTCACGATGAGAGATGTGTTTTTGTAGGGATCAGTATTGCGAAAACGGTCGCGAGGCTTGACGGGATACTCAGATTTGTTAAGAGAATTGATGTTCGTGATCTGGTAAAGGTTAATTATCCTTTTAGTTATGGTGTGAGATCAAGGCCTGGCTTGAAGGCTATGGCTAGGGAGCTGCTGGGTTTTGGTTCGTGGGAAACGAAAAGGGAGATTTGTCCGAGAGATTTTACTGATGAAGTTCTTGATGATGAGGTGATTAAGTTTTTGTCCATTGATGCTTATGTTTCTTATGAAATTGGGTTTAAGATGCTTACACAACATATGAGGTATGGTGTAATTTAAACATATTCGTGTCGTCTGTTGTCTCTATTATGCTTGAATGAGTACTATTTTAATATATGCGACTATATATATTGTAAAATAACGATAGTATTAACTATTAATATAGTTCGTGAATATTATTGGAATTACGTTTCATAGTTTAAATTTGGAAAAAACATGCCAAGTGCGATGATTTTAGACAAGTAATTTTAGACTTGAAGTTCACTTGAGGCATGTTGAGAGGAAAACGTGGCCTCATAACGTTCACAAAAATAAAGACTTCTTTTTTTTGCTCGTTACAAAAGGTAATTTTCTTTTACGGCTCTAACTTTACGTCATAATCTCTTCATACCTATTACCTAAGCCTACCTTAATCCTACCACATGCCTTAACCCTACAATTTAGGTTTAAAAACCAAAATCAAATTAAACTAAAATATAATTTAATCTCGAATGGAAATTATTTCTAAAATTCATAAACACGAAAATCTAAATAGTCCAAACTAAAACCAAACAGAATCAGAATGTCCACAATATTAATAAATTGGCTTTATGTTAGCGATTCAACAATATTAATAAATTGGCTTTATGTTAGCGATTCAAATTCAAAACTAGTGGCAGTCCCGTGAATAAGAATAAAAGCCCAGGCCCAATATCGTACCGAACCGTTGTTGCCTCCTAAGTCCTGCCTGACGTCACGCTGTATAAATATATTCGGTGGACTCCTAAACCCTGGAGGACTTGACTACCAACCAGTTTGATTTCGTCTCTGTCAGAATCTACCGACTTTCTCTTCTCTGCGGCTGTTTCTCTGTTGATTCTGCCAAGCGACCATGTCTCTAAAGCCTAGCGCGAGGACGGAGGTCCGAAGGAATAGGTACAAGGTTGCCGTGGACGCCGATGAAGGTCGCCGGAGGCGGGAGGATAACATGGTGGAGATTCGGAAGAACAAGAGGGAGGAGAACTTACAGAAGAAGCGTCGTGAAGGTCTAACTCCTTCCATGGCGTCGGCCACCACGCAGCAGGGGCAGGATTTCTACTCGGAGAAGACGGTTTGTGCTTCGTATTCCCTACTTGACTCTTTTCCGCTCTTCTTATTTGGTTCCGATCCACGTAATAATTTTTTTTTAGATAGGGATTGATTCAGATTGGTATTAGCTTGAGAACTAATTAAGACCTAATCACGATGGATTTGAATTGAATTGAACTAATTGAAATTTCTCTGCTATTTTAAAAACTGAGATCAGGGTTACTGAATGTTGATGTGTATAGAACCACCCCCTAATTCAAATCTGCATTGTTTTGAATTGGATAACATGCATATTCGAAGCGTTTAGCGGTTCTAATTCTAAGCTTTCTTTATCAATTGCAGTTGGAAATATTAGTTTCTGGAGCTATGTCGAATGATAGGAAGGTACAACTGGAGGCAACAGCTGGCATCCGCAAATTGCTTTCAATTGGTCTGTGATTTGTATATCTTATAATAAAATCAATCTCTTATAGTGGTTGGTTTTTGTAGCGTTTGCTTCTTTTTATTAGTTTTGCTTATAATGGTTGGATTTTGTAGAGCGAAACCCTCCCATCAATGAAGTTGTTCAATCTGGTGTTGTTCCTCGCATTGTGCAGTTTCTTTCCTCGGACGACTTCTCCGAGCTTCAGGTAAGCCTGCGTTTATACATTGATGCTTAGCTTTGTGTGTATATATATATACACTTTCTTATTCACTTTTGGTGTCTTGTATAGTTCGAGGCAGCTTGGGCGCTCACAAATATAGCTTCAGGGACATCTGAGAACACTAAGGTCATTATTGAGAGTGGGGCTGTCCCGTTATTCATCCGCCTTCTCTCTTCTCCCAGCGAGGAAGTCCGAGAACAGGTTTCATCAGTTCACTATCAATTGTTTTTGCTTCTGTTTTGTTGTGTTGGATCAAATCAAAGGCTGAGTTACTTGTTGTCTCCTGATTACAAAGGCTGTGTGGGCATTGGGGAACGTCGCTGGTGACTCACCCAAATGCCGTGACTTCGTCCTAGGTTACGAGCCCTTGGTGCCTTTCCTGGCTCTGTTCAACGAGCATTCGAAGCTCTCCATGCTCAGAAACGCTACATGGTCACTATCAAACTTCTGCAGAGGAAAGCCTCAGCCTGCAGTTGACAAGGTTTCTTTTCATATATACAACCAATTCAGTCTTTCCTAAAATGTTTCGTTGTTTTTCAAAATTAATCATTGCTTTTGATGATCAGACAAAACCAGCTTTACCAATTCTTGAGCGCCTTTTGCATTCAACCGACGAAGAAGTTCTCGTAGATGCTTGCTGGGCCCTCTCGTATCTCTCTGACGGTGAAAACGACAAGATACAAGCTGTTATCGACGCGGGTGTTATACCTCAACTCGTTCAACTCTTAGGGTAACTGTCTTTTTTCTAGCAGCAAATTGCATATATATATTTAAACACATATACTTCATCTGACATTCATCGTCGTCTTTGTCTCTTCTCAGTCATTCATCGCCGTCTGTTCTGGTTCCGGCTCTCCGTACCATTGGTAATATTGTAACCGGAGATGATATGATGACTCAGGTGCCAATACTAAATTTAACTCTCTACCTTATATGCATTTGTTTATACCGTTTCTTATGGCTCTGAAGTCTGAAGTCAATCATCTTTTTTGTATCAGACGGTTCTGAACAGTCAAGCGCTTCCTGGCCTCTATAACTTTTTGACAAACACATACAAGAAGAGTATCAAGAAGGAAGCTTGCTGGACTATCTCTAACATTACTGCTGGAAACGAAAGTCAGATACAAGTGAGTTTTGTTTACATCAACAAATGGGTTCCCAACATTTCTTTCTTTTTCATTTGCAAAAGATGTTTAACAATGAAAAAAAATTGTGTGCAGGAAGTGATTCAAGCAGGGATTATGCAGCCTCTGATTCAGTTGCTTCAAAACGCTGACTTCGAAATTAAAAAAGAAGCTGTTTGGGCTATCTCTAATGCAACTTCTGGTGGCAATCATGAACAAACCAAGTAAAACGAAACAACTTCTCCAAGTCTTTTTTTCTTTTTCTTTTTTCAATAGTCATTAGTTCTTGAAATTTTGACACTAATAAATCCCTTGCAGGTTTCTTGTTGATGAAGGATGCATCAAACCGTTGTGTGATTTCCTTGCATGTCCCGATCCAAGGGTCATCACAGTGACATTGGAAGCACTAGAGAACATACTCAAAGTAGGTGAAGCAGATAAAGGCAACAATGGAGACTATAATCTCTACGCACAAATGATTGAAGATGCAGAAGGTTTAGAGAAGATTGAGAATCTTCAGAGTCACGACAATGATGATATTTACTCGAAAGCTGTCGAAATCCTCGCGTTGTATTGGACGGAAGAAGACGAAGATGAAAACGACATTGCTCCTGAGAATCTTCAAACTTCTGGTTTCCAATTCGGAACTATAAATAACGCTCCTACCGGTGGATTCAACTTCGGTTGAAGGTAGGACAAGATCAACGGATTTTTTAAGTTGCTTGTTTGTCAAGCTACATGATATTATGTTTAAGCTTGGCAAAAAAAAAAATATACTGAACGGTCCGTCTGTTTACGAAGAACGGATGTGTCCGTCACGTTTTGGTTTTATGTTTCTTTTTAAAATTAAGTAATTTTTGATTTTCCATTGAAGGCGAAAAGGAAATTGCGTCTTCTGCTATGTTTTTATTTTTGCTCTTTTGATTAAACAGAAATAAGCGAAATATTTAAAATATCCTGTCTAATCTCCAGAACAAGCAGCTTTTGTGAATTTGTGTAGTTACAAGTTCCATCACTACAGTAGAGGACAAACAGTATGAATGTGGCGAACCAAATTGTAAGATATAGTCGAATAAAAGGGTTGTTTTGCAAATATTAATAGATCAAGATTAATACTTCATCAAACTGTAGTAATGTAATTGGATGGTGAACTCAACAATGTAAAGTCAAGTTATGCATTATATTTGGCTTTCTGGATGAAGATGGACAAATCCGGCGACACCGAGTAGCTTCTAAACTTCTCTAGTCATTCCAAATTCGCCACGTCATTACCAACGAGGCAATACACGGACACGTGTCACGAGCAGTCTTCACACTTCAAAAAGCGTCATCAGAAATAAATCTAAGTACTAATTTGATAAAAATCACTACTACTTTCTCAGTCAGCGAGAAACGCAGAAAACATATCGCGAAGAAGATGATGATGCAATCCAGGTTATTAGCGTTGGCTTCAACGATGCGTTCCCGCGTTCGACCAATCGCTCAGAGGCAGTTAGCGTTTGGATCATCAACGTCTGGCCGAACCGCTGATCCAGAGCTTCACTCTGGTAACCGTGGAGCTGATCCAGCTATTTATCCGAGAGACCCCGAAGTACAAATTTCACTCTGCTTTTTCGTTTTATTTTCAGTTTCTCGTTTATCTTCAAAATTACTGTTGGATTATTTTACTTGATTTAGAAATCCAATAGTATTGTGTTCTTAATTTCTTATTGGGTTAACAATTTTCTAAACTGAAGCAAAACCTGAAATTATGTAAATAGGTGATACATGTTACCGGTTAGTATGTAAATAACCAACACTCTGTTTTTTTGTGTTTGATTGGTTATGTTTCAGGGTATGGATGATGTAGCGAACCCCAAGACTGCGGCTGAAGAAATCGTTGAGGAAACTCCACGTCCGAGTTTAGAAGCGCAACCGCTTATACCGCCTAAATCTCCACGCGCCACCGCACATAAGCTAGAGAGCACTCCCGTTGGTCATCCGTCGGAACCCAATTTCCAACAGAAACGGAGAAAAAGCGCCACCGCATCTCCGCAGCCGCCGTCGCTTGATTCTGTGAGCTGCGTCGGTTTAGACGGCTCACCGTGGCCGAGAGACGAAGGAGAAGCGGAGGAGCAAAGGCGGAGGGAAGATGAAACAGAGAGCGACAAGGAATTTTACGCACACCACAAAGCGTCTCCCTTAGCGGAGATAGAATTCGCCGATACTCGGAAGCCGATAACGCAAGCGACCGACGGGACGGCGTACGCGGCGGGGAAAGACGTGATCGGATGGTTGCCGGAACAGCTAGACACGGCGGAGGAGTCTTTAAAGAGGGCTACAATGATATTCAAACGAAACGCAGAACGCGGCGATCCTGAAACGTTTCGTCATTCTAGAATCTTAAGAGAAATGAGAGGCGAGTGGTTTTAAATTAAAGACGCAAAAGATGTTACTGTCAAATAATCTAAATAAACTTTTTCAATTAGCTTCACTGGTTCTTCCAAAACTGGAAAATCTCTAGAAACCCTGATAAAGAGAATTGGTTCGAACATTGTGGATTACAGTTATTACATGGTCCAAAAGGTTTTTGTTCTTCATCAAAGCTGTAAAAACTTATTGGTATCAGATTCCAAAGCTCTTCCTTTTCAAGGTTCTTAAAGAAAGTCAAGTTCTTTAAAAAGCCATAGACTTGTATATCTTCATCCTTCTCCCACCATTGAAAAAAACTGCAAAATTATTTCTCTCTTCCTTCTCCTATCAATGGAGCTCTTTCTCTGTTTCTTCACTCTGCTTTTAATATCGCAGTCTGTTGCGTTGGGTACAGCAGAGAAAACGCAGATTGAATGTGCAATGTGCTTAGAATGTGAGAACCCATGTGATCAGCCACCTCCTCCATCGCCTTCACCTCCACCACCGCCACCGCCGCTGGAAATTTTCTGTCCTCCACCGCTTCCACCTCCTCCACCACCACCTGTAGAGGTATTCTGTCCGCCTCCTCCTTCCCCACCGCCGCCTTCTCCTCCTCCTCCACCTCCTTCACCGCCACCACCGTGTACTCACTGCTCACTGCCGCTTCCACCGCCGCTGCCACCGATTTGCAATGAATGCGTTCCGAACAAGCCGAGACCGCCGATCATTATCACCGCCGCAGAAGCGTCGCCGGCGGTTTCTGCATCTATAATTTTCGTAACTGCTCTCGCGTTTTTCGTTGCCTCTCTGCTTCAATAAATCTTCTAGCGATCTTCGGCTAATGTTATATCTGCATTTTAATTCTTACAAATCACCAAGGGAACTTCAGTTTCTGAGATGTAGGAAATACTCTTTTTACCCTCGTGTAATGTGTAACACTTCTCTCCGAAAATCTCAATTAACACACAAAAAGGTCTTTAAAAGTATCTAGGATTTGAGGTTTTGGTTTTGGTGTGAATATAGCAAAGCTATATGAGACGTAAGATTAGTAATATATTTGGCTCATGGACATTCTTATTTATCTTTATAAAAAAAGTACATTTTTATTTATCTTCTTATTACCAGCTACTGTGTGATTACTTGTGATAAAATGCCAGTATGATATTTTTATTAATTGTGTTGGATTTATATAATGTACACGTAACAGATAATTAATAACGATTATTTACTGCTGGAATGAAAATATATTATACTAAAAACAGTAAAAAGAAAGACCAGTTAAAAGCTTCTATTCATCAAGGTTCATCGTTCATAGGAATACCGTACGTGTTAACGTTCTTGAAGCCAAAAATTTAAGATTTGATTTGGTCAACTGTGTGACTGTGTCAGTAGTAATTTACTGATTTGGCGGGACCTCATTTCCAATGTCAGAATCGTCGTTACAGTTTCGTTCGTTTCTACTCTTTTTATAATAGCAAATTAGCAACATTTAAAAAAAAAATAGCAAATTAGCAACATTAATGTCTTTTTACTCAGCAAACTCCTTAAGTTTTTAGCTTTTTCTTTTGAAAAGCAGATGCCACAGTCTCATGAAATTAAGATGGAATTTATATGTAAAATCTACATGTACCCAAAAAGAAATCGAATTTTAAATAGGTACAAAAAAATAAAGAGACTGGCATCTGCTTTTCACAATATAAATTTCATGAGTCCACTTGTTAATAACTCCAATAGATATCCCTCATTTAATATTAAAGATTTAAATCATTTATATTACATTCAATTTTCTCTATCTCTCTTAGATATTAGCTGTATTTTTGTATTATAAATTAAGATAACATCAACTGAAATATCATACTTAAAATATTTAAAACTTAAAAAATATTAAATAAAGTGTTAAGATTTTTTTTTGTTAAAAATTTCAAATAATTAATTAAAATATGAGATGAAATCCCACTCAAATTCTATAAATACAGAAACTATTAAATTTTTAACACCAATTATTACATTTCACTTTTCTCTATCTCTCTAATATTTTAAAGTATTAGATTTTTTATACAACAATACACTTACATATAATAAATTAAAGTAATATTAGTTTTTTTTATTTAAAACATGAAATTTTCCCATTCATAAATGCCATAAGTAAAAGAGGGACTAAAATTTAATAGTGAAATGTCTATATAAAAACAAAAATTTCCCTCTCTTCCTCGTGTCGTCGTCTTCTTCTTCTTCTTCCTTCAACTAAAAGAGTCATAGAGCTCGAGCTACAAGCATAATTTTCCATTGATTCTTTCCCCTTTCTCCTCTCTCTCGAGAAGGAAATTTTCCTGGTTACTGTTTCCTGAAACAACCAAGGTTTCGTTTCTTCTGCATTTTAGCCAAACTTTGGTCGATTCCGTTCAGTCATTTTGATTTCAATTTGGAGATAGAGGAAGTATTTCGCCATGCTTTGGATTACGGAGTTTTCAGGCTTATTCTCCGCTGCTTTAGCGATGGTTATCCTTTCTCCTTCACTTCAATCATTTTCTCCGGCGGCGGCAATCCGATCGTCGCATCTCGACGCCTACTTCAGACCATTACCGTCCGATCACTCATTGCGCAATTTCTCCTTCAGAGAATCACCAATATTCCGTAACGCCGACGAATGCCGGTTCTCCGGCGGTGATTCCGGCGTCTGCAACCCTTCGCTCGTCCATGTCGCTATCACTCTCGACGTCGAGTACCTTCGCGGCTCAATCGCCGCCGTGAATTCCATCCTCCAGCATTCAGTTTGTCCTGAGAGCGTCTTCTTCCATTTCCTCGTCTCCGAGACAAACCTAGAATCTCTAATCCGATCGACTTTCCCCAAACTGAATCTCAAGATTTACTATTTTGCCCCTGAGACCGTACAGTCTCTGATTTCATCTTCCGTGAGACAAGCCTTAGAGCAGCCGCTAAATTACGCCAGGAATTACCTAGCGGATCTGCTCGAGCCCTGCGTTAACCGGGTCATCTACTTGGATTCGGATCTCGTCGTCATTGATGATATAGCGAAGCTCTGGAAAACGGGTCTAGGTCCGAGAACAATCGGAGCTCCGGAGTACTGCCACGCGAATTTCACGAGGTACTTCACCGGAGCTTTCTGGTCCGATAAGCGGTTCAACGAGACGTTCAAGGGGAGAAACCCTTGCTACTTCAACACCGGAGTGATGGTGATCGATTTGAAGAAATGGAGACGATTCGGGTACACAAAAACAATCGAGAAGTGGATGGAGATTCAGAAAGCGGAGAGGATCTACGAGCTGGGTTCTCTTCCTCCGTATCTTCTGGTGTTCGCCGGCCACGTAGCTCCGATTTCGCATCGGTGGAATCAACACGGACTCGGGGGAGATAATGTTAGAGGTAGCTGCCGTGATTTGCATGCCGGTCCGGTGAGTTTGCTTCACTGGTCAGGTAGTGGTAAGCCATGGTTTAGGCTCGATTCCAAGCATCCATGTCCTTTAGACACATTGTGGGAACCTTATGACTTGTATAAACACTCCCATTGAAGCCGAGTCGAGCTCGACCTTTTCGCCTGTAAACTCTGTTCAATTGGAAAAAGCTTTCAATTTTGTGTGTTGTTCATACCATAAATTAGGAATCTTTTTCTGCTCTCCTTTTTTCTCTCTTTAGCACATGTGAAGTATTTTCCAATTTCTATGTAGGGCCTCTTCTTTTCTTTGGCACCCATACATCACATTAACAAAAAGATAGCAGCTTTATGATTTGATTTGGTAAAATAACTGATACCATTCTATGAACTAGATTTTGGGTTGCTTGATTAGTTAATACTACATTGTTGGTGGAGATTGTAATAGTGTCATTGGGTTAGTGGTAGGGCACATTTCTTAGTCCTTACTGGACCTGATGCATTGTGGATCACTATGAGCACACTGATTCAGTGTTTGGTTAGCTTTTATTTTTATTTTTATGTTTGTAGTTGCTACTTCATCTTAGCTTATTGAGGAAAAAAGGTTTTAGAGAGTTGCACATATGAGTGTATGAGTACAACTTCAAGAGGATCTCGAATCTTTTCCTAGTTTCTGCACTGGACAAGCTCTGTTTAAGACACTTCTTGGTCAGTTTTTCTGTTTCAAAGAATCTGATGACTTTAGTAATGGTAATTGACGTTTTCAACCAAACCGAAGATGCGGTGTTGAAGAGAGAACTAGTTATACTGGCGGTTGAATAGAAACCATGCAACAGAAAGAAAAAAATTGATAACAAAACCATAAAGCAAGTAATTGTCTAAATAATTTGTTGGAGGAGCCTGCTGTATATCAGGGTGATAGGCTGATGATGTAATTGTCAAACCCATACACAAATAGATGAAACTGTATTCATAAAAATCTGATTACAATCATGAATCCGAGAAAGAAGAACTTTCATGCCTTGTACCACAGAGAAAAAGAAAAACCCTAAAAATCAAGGGAACTGAAACTGCATAAAGTCTTGTTTCCCAGAAGGAGGGTTGATATAAACCCAAAGCAAAGAGACAATAATCGACAGCAAACCAGACCACACAAACACAATCGTCGGCACTTTCCCTCTTCTTCCCATCAATCCTTTAGCAAACGGATAAAGATGACAGAGCACCCAAAAGCTGAAGAACACTCCTCCCACAAGCTTACTCCACTGCGGAAACGGACTGTACAGAGTCCTCGCAACCCCAACCGCTATCGCAATCATGTTCACCATCATGATCGTTAGTGGAGGCACCATCAAAAAGCTCCATTTCACAACGTACAGATCAGCGAACTCGTCGTCTCCATCCTCAGGCGTTGCTGACTTGGAGGTCAAGGTAAACGAGATATCGACTCCTGCGATCACTTTGAGAAGACCTTGAAGAACAGCTGCAGGGTGCGCGCTTGTTCCACCAATTACCCAGAACTGCTCGTTTCTCCACCAGTCATGGAGAGTAATCCCTGACCACTTGACCTCAAGGAGTGATAACATACAGAGGGTGAGCGTTATGGAGAGGAGGAAGATCAGGAACGTTATGTCGAGTGATTGGACTATGAACTGTCCCGAGAAGAGCGAAACCGCAGGAAGAATGCAGTAGACGATGAGGAAAAGCGATGTGAATGGATACATCCCGACGTTGAAGTAAGCCACCCTCTGCAAGAATTTCATCCTTCGGGTTGCGAAAACCGCGTTGTTTCTTGAGAAAAAGATCTCGACGGATCCCGTTGCCCATCTCAGAACCTGGTGAAGCCTGTCCGTTAGATTGATCGGAGCTGTTCCACGGAAGGCGTCTCGTTTCGTCACGCAATAGATCGATCTCCATCCTCTGTTGTGCATTCGATATCCCGTGACCACATCTTCAGTCACCGATCCGTAGATCCATCCGACTCTCTTGCCCCACTCGGTTTTGTCCTCGTAGTAGCAAGAAATCACACTGATTGCTTCAGCTACTGTTGCTGCATCGAGCGGCTCGCGAGGGACTGCAAGTGATCCAGCTGGCCTACTGTTCTTGCCTTTGCCTTGCAGGTCCTGTAAGAGTCTCCCTTGGTACTCAGCAACCGGAATCGAAGCGACGAAAATGTTCGAGTTACCGAATCTCTTTGGGAGAAGCAGAGATTCGATATCTCCATCATCGTTCTCTTCTTCGTTGTTGTATTCTCCATTCATAGGCAATGAGATCTCATCGTCTTTCTTCTTCGTAGGTTTTAGATTCCTTAGAGAAAGCTTCACCTTTCTTCTTCCAAGCCAGCCATGATGCTCGGTTGCTCTCGGCGGGCTAAAACCGTAAAGAGCGGTTCTGCGGAAGATGCAGCCAGTTCCAACATACATTGGACCTTGAAGTCCATCCAGAGCTCTCATACTAACATCAAAGAAGACTGTGTTGTGGTTTGCATAACGATCGTTTGGGTCGATACCTTCGAACCTCTGAGGGAACTGAACATAGCAGATTCTGTCGCCACCACGATCAAGCATGAAGCACATTCCTTCCCTCAAAGCCATGGAGTTGTAGATGTAGTGGTCACAGTCAAGATTGAGGATGAACGGGCCATTAGACATGATTGCGCTGGTTCTGACTAAAGCATTCATGGCTCCAGCTTTCTTGTTGTGATCATATCCAGGCCGCTTCTCTCTCGACACATACACTAGCATTGGAAGCCTGATGTCAACCTCTGTCGTGTCAATCAAGTTCTCAGAATCTGCTTGAGATCCATAAACTGGCTCTGCGTTTGGAGGAGCCAACATTGCCTGCAGGAAACCACAAAGAGTATTGGTACACAAACCTCATAAGAAACATGAAACCATTAAGACAGTCATTAGCAGAACACTCTTGACAGAAGAAAGTTACCTGGATGATTCCAGCATGATCTCCTCTAGAGTTATCGGTTTCTCCAGAGTACCAAGTCCCTGGCCAGTGAGATCCATCAGACATCCAGGTGGCTTTCGCAACTTGAACAGTTTCTTCAGGGTTGCTTCCCATCATCATATCCATCTGTTTCTTCTTAGCCCTTAGCTCTTCGTGCACGTTATAAGCATCAGACCTCCTCCTTATCGCCTCAGGCAACGAGTTGACTCTCACCTTAAACTCATCATATTCTCTCTTCACTCTCCTCCTCTCCCTCACGAAATCCAGCCTCACTTTGTTCTTGAGAAAGTTGCGCTTCTGGCCAAAGTAAGCCTCAGGGTTTCTTGGCTCTATGTTGTGCTTCCTGCAAAATGGCACCCATGTGCTTGCAAAGCTAGCCGTCTCAGCTAATGCCTCGAACGTGAGCAGAGCTCCTCCATCGTCCGATAAGTAGCAAGCAAGTTTTTCCACAGGGTAATCAACGGCTAGGATGGAGAGGATGGTGTTGGCTGTTACCAAAGGCGGTTCTTTCTCTGGGTCTGCAGTTGAGACAAACACGTCGATGCCCGGAAGATCAGATCTCCCTTTTGGGTTCCTGAGGTTGGGAGATTCAAAGCGTTCCTTGAGAACATTCAAATCCGTTAATCTGTTGACCGGACAGAGTTTTGGAAGCTGGTCCAAAAGCCAAGACAAGGCAAACCAAAGCTCACAGACCGTTGACATTCCCCACAACCACATTGCATCTCGATTCGGGTGGCGAATCCTCCATGTCAGGAACAAACCAAGAGCCACCAAACGCAACGCAATGAGCAATCTGTTTCATCACACACAAGTAAACTCAACTTCAGCAAAATTCTCAAGTGGTATGAATAGACAAGATCATAGTGAAACGAACATCTAAGGAACAAAACATACTAAATTAATAGCAGCTAAAGGCGAGTTGTTACCTGTAAGGACTGATAATTGCAGCGGAGACACTGACTTTCCTTGTAAGAGGTCTCTTGCTTTTCACCCCAAACTCCGGTGGCTGTTCATACCCGTTTCCATTATTACCACCCGACCCGATTCCATACCCGTCTTTAGGCCAAACCGCGTTTCCGTACCCATAAGTTCCTTTGGTCTCAAACAACCAGCGCGAGTGATCGAAATCCCCAGTTTGGTTCTGCGCTTTGAACGACTTCACAACCGAAAGCCTCTTGTCGAGCTTCGAATCAGCCATCTGAGGAAGCGGTTTCGCCTCATCTTCTTCATCCTCTTCCTCGGTGTCCTGATCATCATCGTTGATGTCCTTGTACGGCTCTTTACATCCAGGACATTTTCCTCCGCCGCTTGTGGTACAATCAAAGTAACAATCTCTGCAGATTCTGAAACCACACTCGCATCTCCCATGAACAACCTTCTCGTCACAACCTTCTAACCAACAGATCTGACCCGATTTCTTCTCCGATTCGGCTCGATCCATAGTGCAATCGATGACATGCTCACGTGTCACCGATTTAAAACCTCCAGTAAAAATCGTGCCAGAGAGGAAACTCCTGTTCTGTAAATTCCCTTTTAGCAACTCATCTTCTTCACCCATACTGCTTTCATGAGAAGCGAAGACCGTCTGGTGATCCGGCGTAGGTGGAATATGAACCGTATAGTTCAAAGCGCACTCGGAGTTGGTGTCAGCCGTCAGATCTTCCACCGACATCGAACAGTATCTCCCTTCGCCACTGGATCTCCGAATTCCGCCGCTGAGGGAGCTGCGACGTGGACCTCTTGAGCTTAGAGGAGAGTTCAGGTTGTTGGAGACGGAGGCGCGTGGGATAGGACTCGTCAATCCAAGGCTTCTGTCGCCGGATCCTTTACATGGTGTCACCGTTATAGTCACCGGAGATGGTGACGTAGAAGAGCAAGCTGCAGATTTCACCATTTTTGGTTCAATCAGATGTGAACCACGGAATTATGAGGAAAAAAAAAAAATCAAGATCCAGATGGAATATAGTAGGTCTCAAACTGAAATCAGAGACTCGGAAGAAGAAATTTTGAAATCTAAGGAGGGGGAAGAAGAAGAAGCTGAAGCTACTTGGAAACAGAGCATTTTAATTTGAAAAACTATAAGAGAGAGAGAGAGAGATATAAAGAAGAAAGGGATTGCCATAAACGGTCAAGAGATCTGAACCGTTGATTGCTTCACGTCGCAATTGTGAGATCGGACGGTGATTGTCTAATATAAACGGTAAGTTTGAAAGATCCCCTGGGCCCAGGACGATCTATAAAGAAAAAAGTCAAATAAACGGAAAAATGAAAAGAAAAGAGGGGTTTATTAATCTCTCATTGTAACGGTCAAATAATTTATATTGGAGCTGAATAAAATATTATATGCTTTTCATACCATGTGAATTAAATAATTTTGAACTCATTGGTACAGAATTTTGTATTATATTAAGATACTACTCGAGTAGATAATCATATTATCTAATATAATGGTAATTTAGTTCAGATAACACATACAACAATTCTAGGATCGTAGATTGTATGATTCGTTCATGTGATAAAAATCAATATATTTAAATTCTTATCACTGTATTAGGGCTAATGTGTGTATTGATAGTATTTACTTTATGTCTCATTTGATGCAATCATAAAAGTTTTTACCGGTAATTCAAAAAGTTAACATTGAAAATGAAGAGAAGTTTGTAACAAAGATAATATATTAATATGGTGAAATTAGAAGAGAGACAAACACGATAATCATATTCCTAATAATAGAGAGACATCTAGCTCTCATTAGTCATTACATTACATATATATCAATAATAATACAAACAGAATACATAAACTGCACATAGTTACAACAATAATGACACGTCACCTTATATATATCGGATCCTAATCTTCTTTTTTCTCCATTTCTTCCACTACAAAAAACGAAGTCTGATTCTTCCTCAAGAACCTGTGTATTATCATAACGTCTATCCATTAGTATCGCCCACAAGTTATGAACAACAAAAAACTAAGTAGGAGACAGCAAAATAAACCTGAGAATATCGACAAAATTGTCCTGCAATTCCTTCAATGTCTCTTCCGACATATTCACATGGACTAGCAACTCAGGCAATTTCACTGCATATAATAAATAATTAGGATTACATAAGAAGACATATAAGCAAATAATGTGGTCTTCTCTTGGTGTGTAAGAACAGGCTTGATAAAAATAAACCAAACGATAAAGGCGGAAAAAGACCAATCTGCAAATAAAACGGTGTTTAGATTACAAAGAATGGCCTCACCAAAGAGTCGTAACAAATGCTCTGCTCCGTACACAGTTGAGGGAGAAACATCCGGTGATGATACGGTTTCCTCATATTGCTTGCGTTCATTGTTGTAAAGCAAAATCAGCGGTAAAGCATTGTCAAAGTAGCAACGCAAACCTTTCAGAATTTCCTCTGCTGAATCACTTACCCTTCATTGTACCAAAGAAAATAAGTAATATACATCACCAAGCCTGGAATAAGGAGATTAACAGCCGTAACACTTGGAAATCGACACAGTGCTTTACCTGCCATGTTTCTTCATTTTGCTGTCAATGTACTTCTTCAAGATGTCATCCACATTCGGTGAGCGCGGAAGTTGCACAAGCTAATCACACAAAATGCCCAAAAATGACTACGATCAATTCCTCAACATATGGACCTAAGAAAAAGCATATGACATTTACAACAAACTTAAGAATGTTTTTCCTATGACAAACTAAAATACGAAACACACAAAAAAGACCATCCGAGAATTGAAGAGAAAGAATGACACTAGGAAAACAGAATGTTGGGTGTTCTTCATTTAGATATTAGCACAAAAACTGAGACTACCTTGTCCATCTGAGTAACAAATTCACAGTCGTCAATTAGTTGCTTCCTTAACGCTGGTGGGATGTGGAAAGTTAAAACGTTGTCGGAGGGAACCACATTCTTCTCCTCCTGTATTCACCAATCAATTAGATTCAAGTAAAACATATTTCTCTTGATAAGGCAACAATGAAGTAAATATGGTGAAGGACTAAGCAAAAAAACCCACCAATGGAGAGACTACTGTGTCAACAGAATCCTGCTTCCGCTTTCTTCCTCTAGCAACTGCAACAAAAAATTAATAAAATGTTGGACCAAATATCAGCTGACTACATAATATTCACGTTATTACACAAACACAATGCGTATTTTCTAGTTTGATCTATAAAGCATGCAATACCAAAAAAAGAGCCACTGAAACAGACTCCGGAGCTAGAACTATACAAAAAAAAAAAGATTAAAGAAAAGAAAAAACCTGACCGTTAGGGCTTCTAGGTTTCATCTTAGATACTCTCCAAGCCATTGCACTCTTTACTCCTTGCTTCAGACCGAGTTCCCGCTGTTTCTCAATATTCTCCTCCGTATGTTTCAACACACAATCCAGGCCTATCCATTCGTCCCAACTGTCAGAAACAACACCAGTGGAAAAACTATCAATGTATAGTCATACCTCGAGATAATCAATGCATTAGAAACAAAAATATGAGATCTTGGTGAACATTCGATTCAACAAATCTAGAAAATCACAACTACAATGATTTCAAACCGGTGATGCAATAAGAAGCCAGTAACTACGTTGTCGCAAGCTCTACTAACCTTTTATTCCAACCCTGCCAAAACAAACACAAAACCACATCGTCAAAATTACATTACAGTAAATCAATAAATGTCTTTCCGTATTCGTTCTTGAACTTTTTTGTTCCGCAAACAAACATTCAAACATAATCTTACTTACAATGTAATGCACGAAATACTTCCATTCATTGACTTGATATTCAACTTTAAGAACCTGCCGGGAAAAGTGGAAAAAGATCACACTTACACAAAGCACAAAGCACAAAACAAATTCAAAAACTAAACAGATGGCTCCGGCCACTCTACCTTGGCTTCGTAGAAGCAATCACTGTGCTTGGCTAAAACTTTCTCGCCTTCTTCGAACTGGCTCAAGTGCGTCGGAGGAGGATGGGGAAAGTCGTCTCCGTAGCTATCGGTGTTGGACTCTGTATCAGAGCCAGAGTCTCGACGTCGTGTCGTAGGATCCGTTTCGGTGGCGGAATCATCTTTCCCGGCGGCGGCGTTAGGGCTTCCCATCGAAAGAGGGGGAGAGTGGAGGACGAAGAGTGAACAGAGTAGGAACAGGCGACAAAGTAAATAACAAAAACAATCTCAGATTTGTCGAATCTCGACGGGGCTTTTGTCCAAATGTTCCCGGAAAATTTGGGATTTTTTTTTTTCAATCGACGGGAAAGGAAAAAATAAAGCGACGCAACTTACCAAGAAAAAGCGAACATGGGCTTTTATATTTAAGCCCATTCAAAATGTTTTCAAGTCAAGCCTAACACTCGGCTATTAACTTGGGGAGCAATGCAATAATTATATCCTTTAAAAAAAAATTAATTAGATCGAAGATGCAACTAAAAAAGACAGAAACACCCCTGGTCTACCCTGAGGTTGAAAAGTCTACAAGAGAGGGTCGGTCGTTGAAGGGCACTTTAGTAATTTAGAAGTAACCCGAGGCATTCTTGTCCATTAAGTCTCGCTCCATTAACAAAAAGGTGCCTCCTTTGGGTTTTTTACCATTTTTTTTATCGCTTCTTGACATTTTCTCTCACAAGAGTCTCAAGCTTCTAAGCTGACATGTGCGAGTAAACCACACGACGAGGAGGTCTAATTACCTAATTAAAAAGTGTTATCTGATATTATTTAAAGGGACTCGGGTTTTTGCCGATTTGTGGAGATTCAGAATCAGAGATGGAAGACGATATGTGGGCTGTTTCCTCTTCTGGTTCTTCCAGGAGCCATCGATCAGCAACAGCTACTAAGTACCAATCTGGTTTGTATCCAAATCCCCTCAATTTCTGTTTTGATCTTAGGGTTTATGATTTAAGATGGGTATGAATTGGGTTTCGATATAATCTTGATTTGTTCTTGATTGAAAGTTGTTTCAGCGGTCCTTAGAGTCTCTTTGTGAGCTTCGCTGTTAAGAAAAATTGTAGCTTTACGTTTGCTTTAGATGAGAAGACTCTTTTTTCTCCTTCTGAGTTTTCCCATTGGGGGTTTTGTGCTCTCGGGCTGATTTGGTTTCGAATTTATGGCGAAAATTCCAGGTTCTTATCTAGATACGGGAGATTTTGAGGAAGATGATGATATAGCAGTGGATTACCCATGCCCGTTTTGCTCGGATGATTATGATTTAGTTGAATTGTGTCACCATATCGATGAAGAACATCAACTTGAAGCTAACCATGGGGTATGCTATATTCGTATCTTATCTCCATATCATTTACTGCGATTACTGTTTTACATTGAAGCTTCACATGAAGTAGTTTAGGTGTCTTTTAAAAGGTTTTTAGAGCTCTGCGTTCTTGTTTAAGAGGATAGGGTTGTGAGAAACAGGGCCACCTTAATCTTCGATTTGAGTTGCAGTATCTAGATTGATGCTTTTGGAATCCAGTTGCAACTGTGAATACTTTCGAATGAGAAACATAACCCTTGATCTTCGATTACTCTTTGAGTTGAATGTTATGTTGTGTGATTTTTAGTTGCACGATTTCAGGAGATGAATGTTTAGTTGGGTGATTGATTTCCAGTTCTGTAAATTGTCTTGTGGTAAACTCTTACATATAGTTTTTGGTTGTTTCTGATTTGTAGATATGTCCGGTTTGTAGCAAAAGGGTGAAGATGCATATGGTGGATCATATTACAACACATCATAGAGATGTCTTGAAGATATCCTTTTCTTATATTTCAAAAACTACTCTTTTAGCCAATTTTCGTCTCTATAATTTATTGCGATTTATTTGAGTTTCCTTGACAGAAAGATTACAGCGAGCAGAAGCAAACATCTTACATGGAAGATCCATATTCATCTGATAAATATCTTCAATCTCTTCTTGATGAGTTTCCGCCATCTATGAATCATCATCATACCTCTAAAGCTGTCGTCTCCGATCAGTTTTTATCGTTCATCAACAATTCTCCATTGCCGAATCAGACCAAGCCTGTGCAGCCTGATTCAAGTGTAGAAGACAAGACTTCGATTACGGAGTCTTCGACAGTGAAAGACGGTAAATCGTCTTCACCTTTGTCGGATACTGAACAACTGGAGAAGGCAAAGAAGTGTGAGTTTGTACAGGGACTATTGTCATCAGCCATGTTTGATGACGGATGTGACTTCTTCTTCTGAGTAAAAACAAAATAAAGATGTGAAGCCTGCAATGGCAAATGCAGGTCATTGGCATTGTTGTAAGTTTATTCAGTTCTATTTATTATATGTATCATTTTCAGACATAAAAAGTAGTTTTTGTCTCATAATATAAGCCGATGCGTTTTCAGTTTGTCTTCGCAATAGTTATTTAATTGTACATCCCTGTCCTTGCAAAGCTCTTGCTTTTACAGAACACAACAATGGGCGTTATGACTTAATACAGTGGTATGTCAAATAAAACAGAGTTGTTAGTTAGTCAACAAGCCCGTCTAGCTCAGTTGGTAGAGCGCAAGGCTCTTAACCTTGTGGTCGTGGGTTCGAGCCCCACGGTGGGCGATTCGTCAATCTTAAAATGAGTTTTTTAAGAAATTTGACAGATTAAATAACTCCATGCAGTTTCGTTGCTTCTAAAAGCTAAAGAACCAGTTTCGGGGAAGTTGTCTTTTCAAAGTTGAAGTACTCTTTCGGATATTTTTTAAAAATTTGAAAGGACCCAGTTTCTGTGAAATTGTCCTTTTTTTAGGTAAATGAAATTGCGAACTTAAGCTTACTTTAGAAATGCTTTCAGATTTCTCTTTCTCGTCGAAATTCAAAGTCGAGCGAAAACTAGTTCATGTTTACAGCTGTTCAAAAAAATTTAGTCGCCAGACTCGCCACCGTGGAAATAAACGAAACCGTTCGAACGATTGTAATTAAAGCGATACAAGGTTTGGATTAGACAAAAATTGATGAAGCTGTGAACATGATTTGTTACTTAAGTGGTGAAAGAAAACAGTAAGAATCAAAGAAAAAAAGCAAAACTTTTTGCAAAGCACGTCTTTTAAAAGACTGATAAGCTAAAAATCCGAAAGCATAACGATTAACTGACATAATAAGTTTGTGTTCTTTGATCAACGAAAGTACTTCAACAAACCCAAATTCATAAAACACTCAAAAACTTCTGCAAGACAAGACCGTGAGCTGATCTTATATGGCTAGGATCCACTTCACTTCTTAGACTTCTTCTTCGGTACCCTACACAAGCAAAAAAAGACCCATACATAAACCGATTAGATGAGTAACCAAGTTGAAAACAAATCTGAATTCAAGTCACCACTGAGATCAGACTTACTCTGCAGTAGTAGCAGTAGTAGCAGCAGCTGGTGGTGCAGTAACAGGCGCAACATCTCCTCCTCCAGGACCCTTTGCTAGACGCTCTTCTCTCCTTGCATGTTTCCTCTCTCGGCTAGCCTTGTTCTTAGCCCTCTTAGCCTCAAACTGGTCAGACAAAGTCTTCTCTCTGGCCTTCTCAGCCTTCGACTTGTGGATGCTCTCCATCAACACACGCTTGTTCTTGAAGACGTTACCCTTGACCTTCATGTACATGTCATGGTACATGTGCTTATCAATCTTCTTCGACTCTCTGTACTTCTTCAGGAGACGCCTTAGAACACGCATCCTACGCATCCACAGTACCTTTGTTGGCAACCTAGCTTCACGGGTACCCTTCCTCTTACCTTTTTAAACACACATATACAAGCAAGGGGGCAAAAAGTCATCATTATAGACTGCCGAGGTAGTTTTTAATTAACACAAAACATAAGAGATAATCAGTTCTCAAGTACATACCATATCCAGAGTGACGACCCTTCATTTTGGCAATCTTCATACGGCGAGCTCTGGAGCGAGAGTGAATCTTCGTTGGCTTCCTGATGATGAAACCATCCTTCACAAGCTTCCTGATGTTTTGGCCTACATTTTATTCAATTAAATATCAGATGATGGTCAAGAACGAGGCGATACATAAGCTAAAACACCATACGAATCCAGTACGTAAGAAGCAAAATCAGTATCAAACGGAACTTTGGCATACTGATCCTATGAAAATCACATAAGCAAACAGTACTCAAAACACTGATTCACGAGTCGAATTATATGATACAGAAACTTCTAACAATCAAGATATCACAGCTATATTAAGGCTTAAAACTATCAAAATCAAGCAACAGCAACAGCTACGAGCTTTAAAATTTGTAGATCGGAAAGGACACAGTGATTCAACATAGCCAACTGATCACACTACGAAATCTAAGTAACAATGATCTACTACCATCACAGGCAAACACAGGACAAAACCAAATGAAGAGAGAGTTAAGGACAAAGGAATGAAGAAGAACAAAAAAAACACATACGGGAATTGGCCATGGATATGTCGGAGCTTTCATTAGGATCGAGCCATACTTTGCCCTTCCCGCACTTCATCACCGATGCGGCGAGCCGCTTCTGGATCTTAAGCGAAACCATCTTTGCTTCCCTCCTCTCTGGAGATTTGGTGTGGCGGAGAACTGCTTATCCAAGGAGACGAAAGAATTTATATATGTCATTTCTCTAGGGTTTCTCCTCGTCGAGCAATCCATTGGGCTTTTCTTAGTAACAGGCTTTTCGGCAAGCCCATTTTAAGAACCCATTTGGGAATTAAAACATGACTTAAGTCTTTTGGGAATTTTGATAAACTATGGGATCCAATGATAAATCAATTAAAATGTGACTTTATAGAGTCTTTTGGGAATTTTTGACGAACATTTTGGTGGGCAAAGTGATGTGACAAAAAAAAAAGAGTTATGTGACGTGGCATTAAACCTTGATCCAACGGTTAAGATTTATTGACTAGCCGTTGTCGCTATTTGTGATTCTGGAGAAATTAAATCATCTGGAGCCAAAGTCTGTGCTCGTAATATGGATATCGGAAGAAATCGGTGAAGAAGAATCAGAGACAGAACCCTAAACCCAGCTGGAATCGAAGGTTTGTTGTGGTGGTGAAAAAGAAATCGAGGAAGGGGAAGAAGAATAGAGCATAAAGGGAAGAAGGAAGTGCATGATCATCGATCTAAGCCCAGTCCCGAAATCGAAGATTTGTTGTGGTGGCGAGAAAGAAATTGAGAAAGGGGAAGAAGGATAGAACGTGTAGGAAAGGGAAGAAGGAAGTGCATCAATCATCGATCTAAACCCAGCCCCAGATTCGGCGACAACAATTTGTTCGACTCGATTTGATGGGATTATCTTCCGGAAAAAACTATGATCTGGTGAGTTCTCTCGGATTATTGGATATGTTCGGAATACGATTTAGCAATTTGCCAACACGCAATTCATTGCTCTTATTTCGGATTGTTGGGTTCACTATCTGCTTTTAGGGTTGTTCAAAGTTGAATTTTGTCCTTGATTCGTTACCTTTAGACATACATAATCAAGTTTTTTCAACTGGTAGAGAACGGAAACCAAGCATTCAAAGAATCTCGCTTTGAAGTGGTGTGAATATGATTTTTTTTTCTTGCTGCTTTTCTAGGAATTGCATGAAGCAAATGGTTTATAACTTCGCTTCTGCCTTGCTTACACAAAACTCTTGAATGATCTTGTTCTGAATATATTGTGGTAAAACTCTGTATAGAAAAATATAAACACTCATTTGTAGGACAAAAAACTCCAAGATAGTCAATGGAAGACAAGATAACCTAGTTTAATCCTTCCTTGCTTAGAACACTTGTACCTAGTAAGGCTTGTTGCTCTTTATCAAAGGTCTGGATGAATAAATTACAATACTTGACTTATCTCAGGCCTTTTCGTTACTGCGCAATGCTTGATCCCTATCCGCGCTAAGAAATTGTTCAAGTTTCGTGCTGCTCTCTTGGCAAGCTATCACCGTAACGAGGTAAACAAGCAGTATCTGTGCTTTATGGAAACTAAGATTCATCCCAATTCAACTCTGTTATATGTGTTTGTATTCCGCAGGTGAAATATGATGAATGAGAGCCAAGTGGATCTTTTTACCAAAAACTGCCTTTTGAAACGAAGGAGAATGGTTTGTAGTTGATCATACAGATATGAAATTGGTTATATATTTGTCAGCTTCAGGTCAGTTTTCGTTTTTTTTTCACTTGGAACTTCAAAGGCTGGTAAATTTTTATCATCTTGTATCAGTGATATTGGTAACAATTATCCAGGTGGTACTGCTCGTGAGAATGTTGCCCAACCTGAGAACTCTGTCGGTTCAAGTAGAACATCAGAGAGCAAGATGCTTACCCGAGCTTCCCAAGAAGAGAAGAGTTGCAAATCAGAGCCTCAAAGCGATGGAAAAAAATCATCTGCTGATTATCATGATGATCATCTCTGGTTAGGAGCCTCTGGTAAGTCGTTTTCCTCGGTTTTTACATTGTGATATGTGTATAAATAGCAGGCTTTTCTCACGCACTATCTCGTTTTGTTTTCAGGTTCACACAACTTTTACCCTGAATCTGATCATATCTATCGAGGATGGATAAGGTAAGATCTCTAAATTCAAGTAAACGCTGCTGTTTAATTGGAATCTGCGGATTTCTTTCTCATGATTAGCCAAACGTGTGAACCTAAATATATCTCCATGACATGTCGTTGTATTTTAAATTATATTTTCAGCTCAAGCAGGAACAAAATGGTCGAAGTTTTGCTACAGAGAAATGTTTCTTAATGACATCAAAGATATGTTTCTCTTCTCTTTACTTTTTCATTTCATTAAAATGTGGATTAGTTTATAAGAAACCGGATTAGATTTGCATTAGTTGTTAAACTAACAGAACATAGTATCCAGTCAGTTGATCGTGAGAGATTACTTATGTTCAAATTGTTTCTACAACTAATGTAGATCAATCAGTTTCTAATTAGGAACTTAAATGATAATTCTATTAGAAATAGTAAAATGAAAAAAACTTTGGATCTAACCCAAACTTGTTGATGTCTTTTAATGTTTCATGTTAAAACTGAGAAAACTAAGAGATGTCGAGAGAGAAGAGATGGGAAAACTAAGGGGAGAAGCAGAATCTAGCAAAAGTCACTTGCTTCAGGTATCTTCTGAATAAACTTAGTTAGTTTTGATTTCATCGCCAAGAGTGTAGATCAGGTTAATGAGAAGCTGAGACTTAGGTATTTTGTTATTATGTTGTAGGGCTTCGGGTTGCTTATCTTTATTGAACAGACTTGTGGCTAAGAAAGCTGCTGGTGGGCTATGGAATCTCTATGTCGGAGAAGAGATTATCGTCTTCAGGTGGAAACATGAGAATCGTGCAACTCCTTTTTTTTTGCTAACCTGATGTTCTTCTTGTGCAGCTTAACCTTCGATACAATACTGAGGAAGTTCGTGGGAAAATAATAGAAAATACCAAAACCATCATCACAACACAAACACGAATCATCATCACAAAAACCAAAAATTTTATCACAACACAAACACGAATCACCATCACAAAAACCAAAAACTTTAAAATCACAAAACAAAACATGAATCATCATCACAAAAAACAAACACAAATCCCAACATCAAAAACCATAATTATCTCAAATAAAAACTTACACAACTAACACGTCACAAAACACCAAAAGCGAAATCTCAAAACACAAGCTATTTACCTCTCTCTCTATCTCTATGTTTTGTAGATTAAAAAAAAAAAAAGAATTTACCATTCATTGAGCATTGTAATTGTATTTATGTTATAGTATTTTATTTGAGTGGTTTCTGTTTTGCAAGTTGTAATTTTGTTTGCAATTTTTTTGTATTCTGTACACTCGAATTCAAATTTTTAATGCTATATCTGACATTAATTTAACAAATACATCATGAGTATGTATATTTATGTGTTCATGTTGTGATTATTCTCTATCTCTATTTCTCTCTCATTTTTTTCTAAACACACCAGTTTCGTCTTTATTAGTTGCTTGTGTATTCGTCTTTGGAAAAACATGTCTGCTTTCTTCGTTAAAATCAAGCTTCGCTTACGATTATTAACACAATTTGCTTGTAATATTAATATAAGATACACTTGAATCATTTAATAAGTAACAGAAAAAAAGTTGATCATTTCTGTGGCGGAGAACTGCTTTATCTAAGGAGACGAAAGAATTTATATATGTCATTTCTCTAAGCCCATTTTTGAACATTTCCTTAAATATGCAAATGTTTATATCTTTCTAAAGTATTAACTCTTAGTATGTTTAAATCCATATTTGTTTGTCTTTCCATCGTACAAATTGAAAAGAAAACAAAAATGAGAAAAGTTGTTTGGCTAAAAATGTTTAAGATTATGAACGTTTGGTAGGATGAAATATAACGGGCTAATTTTGCATCACTTAAACTTTAGACGTAGTGTTCAAATAAAAATTATTTGTATTGTCTTCTTATTATTAACATGTATCAGGCACATTAAACCACTATTTAAGTTTATTCGTGAAATCAGTCACTTTTCAAAGATTGTATATGAAATAAATAGAAACAGATGTTTTTGGGGGGTTATATATATGGATGATATTAGATCAAATACATAGTGTTGCTTTTACAGCAGGAATATCAATTTGAATCTAAAACATTTACAAATTCTAACTCAGGCTTCCCAAAACGATTTGGTGTGAAACTAAAAGAACCGGAACTAATTTAATTGAGATGTGAGCAGTGGTGGATGTAAGACATCGACATCTCAGTTAGCATGACCATTTTTATATGCTTTTTAATAATTTCCAATTAAGTTAAGCTAAATTCAAGAAACAAATTAAGTAAAGCAGCTGATGATTTTTCTTTTTTGTTTCTTTCGATCAGTGCCTTAAAAATAGAGTACTTTTATTTTTTTGTATACACTAACATTCACGGACCAAATTTTCTAACCAGAAACTTAATCAACCAGCTGAAAGGTCCAGTTATCATATACATTACCCAAAAAAATAGAAAAACAAAAAAAATCAAAAGTTAGGGGAAAACAAAAAATATCAAAAGTCAGTGTCCAATGATTATTTCTTGTTGATAAATTCCCAGACTAACTCACGAACAAAACAAATGTTTGTTGACTTTTGATTTTCCTTTTTTTTTTTATTATAGAATTATTGATCCCAAAAAGCTTATTTGGGACACATAGGGAAGCTAAGTTGTCCACCAAAGATAACATTGGCGTTGTCGCAAATAGCTCCGACCAAACCTCCTGACGACGACTTTGCTCCTCCTGCCTTGCCTACGAAGTCCAGTTTCACGTCAACGACGTTGACACCTTTGCACGGCACCGATTTGCTGCATGCTATCTGAACAATATCTTTTGTAATTGTTGTTCCTCGTACGTTCTTGAACAACACATCGCTTATCGCAACGTGTGAATCCTACAAAAACTCACACATTTTTGTAAGCTACGGACTGATCAAGATGAGTTTCGTTTTGAGATATTTGCCGGTTATAAATACTTACTCCGCCTCTTGAACCGTAGTTTTGGTCAATGATGATTGGGTTCTTGACGTTTTGCATGATGACGTCTTCAAACTTAATGTCTGCAGCCTTGCTTGCACCCGAACCACCCCAGGTCTTGATTCTAAGTCCATTGTCGGTCTCTATCATCGTGCAGTTCTTAACGTAAATGCCGCTAACGTCTTCCTCGTTCTTGTACTTGCCAAGACTACCGACACTTAGGCCGTGTCCCGGACCGCAAGTCACACGTTCCACGGTTACGTTGTTGGAGCCACGTCCGACCGAGACACAGTCGTCTCCTGTCGCTATTGTACTGTCGAGGATGCTAATGTTGTCCGCATTGCTCAGATGGATACCATCGGTGTTGGGGCTTTCAGCAGGCGCGATAAGCTTAATGTGGTGGATTTTGACATTCTCGGTTTTCACCAAGAACATGTGGAAGGCCTTTGCGTTGACCGAGCTAATGCCGTTAATTTCAAGATTTTTCATGTTCCTGAATTTGAGAGACTGCCATGCGTACGTATGTATACGTGTGGTTAGTACAACACATGTAACATAAGATAGTGACATATGATTAATTTATTCTTACCGTTGGAGGAAGATTGCACTGGACCTTTTTGCCACACCCATCTGCTTTCCAAACGGCTTCACCTTTGCCGTGGAATGTGCCGGTTCCGGTGAGGAGGACATCGTCGACACGCTCGAACAAGAACCACTCAGGGGTCGCGTATCCGCTTGTTGTAGCGATGATCGTGCCTTGAACTTCGACGGTCACCTTGCTCTTGCATGGACCGGCGAAGATAACTGGACCAGCCAAGAATTCTCCTTTAGGTACTAGTAGCGTTGCTGGTACAGGACTTTCACACACTTGGATCCATGTGTTCAAAAACGCCTGCATTGCATGTTACCAAGAGTGTTAGAAGAAACACATGAGCATTCGAACTATTTTGTTGCCACGTGTATTTTCCAAAAGATTATGAGGGGAAACTAAAACTAACTCCTTAATTTTTAAGAAATCTGACCTTGAAAGAGTTGGTGGCACCATCTCCTACGGCTCCAAACTTGGTAATATCAAAGACTGAAGGGTTGCCAGAATTAGCGGCGAGGCCACGGCGGCCGCCGAGATATTCACCATTAGCCACGCAAGAACCAAACACCAAGGCCATTAGAATCAATGAACCTACTATATTAACATTATTTGCCTTGGCGACCAACCCTCTTGCGTTAGCCATGGTGATAATATCTTTATTTTTTTTTTGCTTTTTTTGTTCTTTTAAAAAAGTTCACACAAATTTAAAAGTGATTTGCTCCTTGGAGGATTCATGATGTTTTTATACGGTTAGCTTGTGTGCTATATTTGGATTTTCTCTATTTTTTGTTACGTGAAAATTTTGCCGAAATATTTGAGTGTGCGATTCCATCTTCTTTTGCGGATGTTTGACCCCAAATGATAGGTGACAACGAATCTGATTTCACGGTAACCTTTTTTTATCTAAGAACAAAAAAAAAACGATAGTCTTTATAATTACCCGGTAACTAATAGTCTAAAATTGCAGCAAATTATTACCGCTTGTTTCTTTTGTGATCTTTGTTTCCTACAATCATGTGTATGTAATTTTGACCGACAAACAAAAAATATTTAGCTTAACATTAAAACCAAAAACAAAAAACTAAATTATTTGGGCAGTTCTTGTTTTATGTATTCTAAATGATATCCTTTTTGGTTTTATACTATGATATATTTTTTCATAGAATAGCGTTGTTAGTTCTAGTATCAGTTTCGAATGAGCGATGGCCACACCCATACATGGTAAAACACAATATACCATCTAAACACAACATACAGTCGATCTTAGCCATTCATTTATAGAATCATTACTACTAATTAACGTTGAAAAACCAACGGCTCATTGATTACGACTAAGGAGGCTTGATTAGACTTGGCCGAATGAGCTAGCGAGATAGGCCAAGGCTCCAACAAGTGGGGCGTTAATGTAAGTGGCTGGCTCTGACCGTTGGTAGTCGGACCGTTCGTCAGGAAATTGGTCGTTCTGGTCCGGACCACCAACGACCGCACCCACTAGATCGTTGGGATTAGGAGATTGGGAGTTGAACATGGAGAAGCCGTCGTGGCATTGGATCTTGCTCGAGTGGGCTGCGACGGAGGGGAGAGATGAGCCACGGTGATGAATCCGACGTGGATATTTAGGACCGAAACCAACCATGTATGACATTTTCAATGGGTTGTCCCCAAGTAAATAATCCACCTGACATATAATCATATATCAGTTCATTTAACATTTTGTACCGTTTTGGTTTTAATTTAAATGTCTAGAAAGCGCAACAATAGGTTATAAAAGCGTGTATACAGAGTATTGTGCTGAAAACTATCGAACCTGTTTCTTGGCAATGGAGCGGAGATTGTCGGGGGTGACGACGGAGCCACCACAGTAAGCGACGGTGCGAGCAGAGGTCAAGTATTTGGCGTAGGTCAAGAGCAAGAAGGATGTTGACGTCACGTACTGCATGTTGCTCTCACCCATCTTGAACAAAAGTCCACCTATATATGTATATATATACACACTTTCGTAAATTCCTTGATTTGAATAAGATCTTAAAAGATCAAAGTTTTTTTTTTATAAAAAACAGAGCTTAAAAGAAATCAGATTCTCTTTTAATAATTAATAAAAACAAATACATTGGAGAGAAGAATCCTGGCACCAACATGCTTATTATCCCAACTAAACATGTTATCAGACTCATCAGCTCCAAGGATTTGTCCATAAACGTTGATGTAATTGAGATATGTTGGGTTACTTGTTGCTTTGTGTAACCAAGCGGCTCCCCATAACAATTCATCCTGAAACACAAAACCAAAAACTTTAAGTTGATTTTAGGTTTTCGAAAAAAGTTAGACCCATTATCAAAATTTTAAAACTTTGAACCTGATATCCAGAGTAAGAACAGTAGAATGGACAAACTTCTGGTTGTAAACCTGCGCTGTAGGGTCCTCTGTATTTGTCCGCAAATGCAAAAACCTTTAAAACCCACAAAAATTTAAATTAGTTAATGCGCTCATATGACAATGGTTTTTTTGTTTGTTAGTTTATTTACCGTTATGGCTCGTTGAAGAAGGAGACTGGAATAAGAAGGGTCGCATTCGAGGAAAACAATCGAAGCGGCGGCAAGAGCGGCAGCGATTTCACCGGCGATATCAGAACCAGGATTGTTCTTGTCTACTTTAAACACACTTCTTGGTGTATCCATGTCTTCCGGTCTCTCCCAACAAGCATGGTCCATGTTAGGGTCACCAACCTACAAAACGCTAACGTAAACCACATCTGCCTCCGTTTCCCAAAAGTTTGTCCCTTTTTAAGAGAAAGTTTATGAGAAAATTAAGAAACCTGAACATAAATTGTGTCAGGATGTGAAGTGGCTTTGAGGAGAAAGTCAGTGGCCCAACGAACTGCGTCTTTAGCGTTTGACAATTCAGAATTCATGAGATCACCAAACTCAATCAAACTCCATGAGAGCATTGTGGTTGTGAATGCCATTGGGAACCCAAACTTCATATTATCCCCTGCATCGTAGTATCCTCCAACCAAGTCCACCTACAAATTAAACCCATTAACCAAAATTAGGGCTTTCAGAAACCCGCTCTCAAATGGCAAGGTATCAAATATTAGTTAACGTTTACTCTGTTTCATAATCTTTTGATAATTTTGATAGAACCTTTTTTTACAAAACCCATTAGCATAAAGAAGTGTTTCAGATAACAATAATAGGGTTTCTGCATATATATAAAGGATTTTCCCTCTGTTTTATGCATTACACCCATAAAGGTTGAATCTTGAATCTTTCGATGAAGAATTTAAGAAATCTGTGGATAAACAAAAACAGGATTTTTCACTCTGTTATATACTATAGATCAAATCAATAAAGGTTAAATATTTTGATGATTTTTTATATAATCTTAGCCTATATTGTTTATAATCCGTGACCAATCATGGAAAAAGAAAACAAACCCACGCGTTACATTTTCCCAAAAAAAGTAATAAAAACCCCAAGAAAGTAGTGTAATTTACGTTGAGGGCAGAGCCATCAGAGAGACCAGAGTTACTCCTCCAAGTCATCCTTTGGTTTGGAGGAAGTTTTCCGGATCTTTGACCTTCAAAGAAGAGAATGGATTTGGTGAGAGCGTCTTTGTAATTGTGGTTGTCGAGGCTGTGACGATGGTGGAGGCTAGAAGGTGAAGAGAAGCCATTGGAAAGAAGCAAGAAGAAAAATAGAAAGATGATGGTGAAACGAAAAGAAGAAAGAGGAAGAGGCATTTTTCTCTTGTTCTAAACGAATAGAGAGAGAGAGGGATTTGGCTAACCAATGAATGAACTATGTGTAGAAGTAGAAGCTTTGCTGCTAGGTGAACAGAGGAAGTAAGCTTTTTATAGAATAAAGATTGGTTTTCTCTCTCCTCATTTTCTACCTTCTCCCTCTCCGAGATAAACCGGTTAGTTTATGATTTCAAATGATACCAAAATCATTAATTATTTTCATTTGTGATTTAACTGTCCGTTCATATTCTCAAATTTCGGAGTTTGAATGAACAGTTTCAGACATGAATATATCAGTTTTTTTTATAACGAATTGGCAAAAAATAGACACACATATATAAAGTTTTGTAACGGTGTATTTACGTGGCTAGTTTCTTATTTAACATGATTCGTTCACATACCTTTGTAATAAAAAAAAAGCTTAGTCTGAACTTTGAAGTTTGAAGGATCTTGTAAATTGTTAATCACATACGAAAAAATCGTAATTGTTATCAGTGAAGATAAAATGGGGGAAAAAAATAAAATAAAATAATTATTCAAAGCGTCCAGTCAATTTTACGTCGTATGACCAAATTGATAATAATGAGACATGCATATGTTTGTCAGAGAAGAAAAGAGATGGAGCTGAGAAAACGAAAGAACGAATGCGGAAGTTGTGGGCCTTGTGTCCAAAATCAGAACAAATCCGGGTGGGTTAGGTGAAACATAATAACACGGAGGGGCTTTTAGTAATATTTTAAAAATTACTCATTCTCTCCGTACGCTTTGATTCCGGCTACTTGGGAGTGGGCTAACCGTTGAGGGCCCAACTTACAAAGTGGATAAGCAATGTCTCAATTTATTCTTTTTGTAAGATTGATGCATTGCATTTGCATGCAGACTGTTTTTTCATTATCTCAAAAAATGAAATTGGAGTTTTTCTTAGGGCTCCCATTTTTCAAGTTTAAACTTTACTTATCCAAGACATTAGGCAAACAAGAATGTTTAACTCTCAAATAATTTGACCAAACCCAAATGCCATATGCACAGCGATTTTAGAATAAAATTTCTAAAACTATATATAGTCATACACATTATCGGAAAGGAGTGAAGAAGGACTAATAATGGGGAGGTGTACATGCTGCATGCATGTGATAATAATAATGTCAATACTACTCAGTCGTTACATTAAAATTTAAAATAAAATAAATGGACCGATGGTGACCTTCAAACTGGGATATTGACCGGCTTGTCGTTTTCCACGTTTTGGGCTTCATGCTCTCTCTCTATATTTTTTAGATCTGTCTTAATGGCAAAATTATCGTTCCATTTCACAATTTACCATCATATTTATTCATTTCCACTTCACAAGTTACCATCGTATTTATTCATTTCAACAACCACAATTACAAAGATTCGCCAATATTGGATATCCATCCAAATATTTCAATTTCATAGGAAAAATATGATCGATTTTGTTTTGGAAAACTTATTGGATTGAATTTATTTCCAATATACTAGCTGGGCCGATATAATAGCAATGCTTAGCCCATACATGTTGTCGACAGATTAGAATTAGATTCATGGTTTCCTTAAAACAGGCTCGTGTTAACTAAATTCATCAACATTAGATTCGTGTTATTGTGTTAATATATTTTTTTCCAACAGATCCGGTGTGAACCAGATTCATCATATGTAACTAACTAGATTCGTGTTAGCCAAAAAAAAATGAATGTGTTAAATACTTGATGGCATATTCAGAAGGGTAGATGGTGATATCGAGTCATGCACAATTATATAACACCCAAAGAGTTAACAGAATTTGGAATAAAGTACTAATAGGTAACACTAACTAGATATTAATGTTTTGCAAATCTAGGCCAGAGTCGGTCGTTTTCGGACCGTTCTGCCTAATAATCTAATTAATAATTTTTGATCTGAAACACTATTCTAATTTAAACTGGTGAATTCAAAGGTCTTACTATTGTGAGCTGGTCGAATCTCAACGGTTACAATTTCATTAAATTCTATGTGCGCGTTGACAGATTAATTTAGTGACAACTCGCCTCGCTTCATTTGCATCAGTACAAAGCCTGTCTCAGATATTGCCTTTCTTTCGTATGTAGCGGAACCATTGACTCGAGAAGAAGATGGTTAGGATTTTATGATTAGCGACGTTGTTAGCTTGTTAATCAAAACCATTCAAAATCTATGTGAAGTAATTTATGTCTGTATTAAAATAACAAAATTCCTTACAGGTTAACGTGACGTCTACTTCGAAATGGCAGTCTTCGAGAGTACGTACGATATAATAATACACACTACTAATAATAAATCACTTGATCAATCATCGAAATACATAATCATAACACATAAATATTAAGACATATCTTGTATTTATTAATGTAATGGACTATTATTAAGATTCAAGACTGTGAACGAACATATGGTTCTGTATTAACAGCTAAGTTTGAATCTGCAACAGAGTATCCGATGATTAATATCCAGAAACAACCTACGCGTTTTTAAGACTCCCAAACGAGTTGACTTAGAAAAATAATCGCATTCAATATAATTATAATATCATACATTCATGTCAGATTAAATTGATATAAAGTAAGAACAATAATCTTTATAGTAATTTACAAGATGGACCCACCTCATCCGCATTCTTCATCATCAACACACTCTATATAAACCACTAAACCTAAACTTTTTATTCACATTATTAAACAAAAAGCATAAAATTTCAATAACAATGGAATCTCCACTACTCTTTCTCATCACAATATTACTGTTTTTCCAATCACTCCTTGTTGCTTCCCAAACTCTATCAAACTCTTCAACAGTCTGCAAAACGACGCCGGATCCAAAGTACTGCAAATCCGTTTTCCCACACAGCCAAGGCAATGTTCAACAATACGGCCGCTTCTCCATCCGCAAATCGCTATCGCAATCGCGAAAATTCATCCGTACGGTCGATAAATATCTTAAACGCAACGCTCATTTATCTCAACCCGCCGTTATTGGAGCTCTCCAAGATTGCCGTTTCCTAGCCGGTCTAACAATGGACTATCTCTTAACGTCGTTTCAAACCGTTAACGACACGTCAGCAAAATCATCCTCCTTCAGAACGCTATCGCTTCCAAAAGCTGACGAAATCCAAACGCTTCTTTCCGCGGCGTTAACGAACGAGCAGACGTGTCTAGAGGGACTTACCACCGCCGCTTCGTCCTCCGTCACAGACGGCGTCGCTTTGCCTCTCGTCAACGACACGAAGCTCTTTAGCGTCTCACTCGCTCTCTTCACTAAAGGCTGGGTCCCAAAAAAGAAGAAACGGGCCGGGTTTGCTTGGGCCCATCCAAGATCCGGATCATCAGCTAACACCAAACCATTCCGTCTGTTCCGTAACGGAGCGCTACCGTTGAAGATGACGGAACGAACAAAAGCCGTCTACGAGTCACTCAGCAGAAGAAAACTCGCTGATGGTGACGGCAATGGTGACGGAGACGACGGAAGCATGGTCCTGATAAGCGACATCGTCACCGTGATCCAAGACGGGACCGGGAATTTTACCAACATCACGGCTGCCGTCGCGGCGGCGCCGAATAACACCGACGGAAGCGGCGGTTTCTTCTTGATCTATGTAACGGCGGGAGTATACGAAGAATACGTATCGATCGCAAAGAACAAAAGATACATCATGATGATCGGCGACGGGATTAATCAGACGGTGGTCACCGGAAATAGAAGCGTCGTCGACGGTTGGACAACTTTCAACTCCGCAACATTTGGTACGTGACACACCACATGTTATTAATTATAATGTCTCGAGATCTTAAAGTATTTTTCCATAATATTTTATATCTCGGGTACGTCAATAGCTCCCTTTAATTATTGCATTTACAACTATAGGTCAAAAAAAGTTAGATTGAAAGCGGTGAATAGGAGACAAGATGCATTAATAATACCGAGTGTACAAACAACCATTTCATTTCATTATTATCTATAGTGGAAAGATGCATAAATAATATTTTTGGTTCCACTGATAATAATCGTGCACATGGTTTTTCAGCTGTGACAGCACCTAACTTCGTTGCGGTGAACATAACAATCCGGAACACGGCCGGTCCAGAGAAGCACCAGGCGGTTGCGTTACGGAGCGGTGCAGATTTCTCAATCTTCTATAGTTGTAGTTTCGAGGCTTATCAAGATACGCTTTACACGCATTCTCTGAGACAGTTTTATAGAGAGTGCGATGTTTATGGTACAGTCGATTTTATTTTCGGAAACGCGGCTGTCGTGTTCCAGAACTGCAATTTATATCCGAGAAAACCGATGCCGAACCAATTCAACGCCATCACCGCACAAGGCCGGTCTGATCCGAACCAAAATACGGGTACGTCAATCCAGAACTGTACGATTAAACCAGCGGATGATCTTGTTTCGAGTAACTATACGGTTCGAACGTATTTGGGTCGACCGTGGAAGGAGTATTCACGGACGGTTATCATGCAGTCGTTCATTGATGGTTTTGTTGAACCGGTTGGTTGGAGAGAATGGAACGGGGATTTCGCTTTGAGTACGTTATACTATGCAGAATATAACAATACCGGACCGGGTTCAAACACTACAAAACGGGTTACATGGCCCGGTTATCACGTGATTAATTCGACCGATGCGGCTAATTTCACAGTCACTGGTTTATTTCTGGAAGATGATTGGATTTGGAAGACCGGCGTGCCTTACACTAGCGGTTTAATCTCATAATGATTTCTTTTTGTTATTCGCTCTTAATTATTTTTTTCTTTGTTATTTCATTTGAAGAAAGAAAGTAGTATATTCTTTTCGTTGGAACTGTAACAAACCGAAAACCAAGCTCAACGCGAAAGAAATGTAGAGCCTGGTAATGTAACTGTATACAATTTATGCTAAAAATATGAAATTATTTAGCATTCCGTATTAAATAAAACAAAAGGCAGCCAAATCTCGACCGTTCGTTCATTCACTGTCTTGATCGCAATGTAACAACCCGCTCATCGTTCTCTACGTTATAAATAAAACACAAAGATCATCCCCAAAACCAACTTTTAAAGAGATTCAAGAACACGACTACGATTAGATTTAAAAAAAAAACGAATCAAAACACAAAAATCATCCGAGTTATAGAAGAAGAAATGTCCATTTTGGTCGTGTCTCTCCTCCTTTTTGCCACTTCTTTCTTTGTTAACGGCCAAAATCAAACTGCTTACGAGGTTGTCCAAAAGTACAAGTTACCACGAGGAATCTTACCAGAGGGTGTCGTAGACTACGACATAAATCCCAAAACCGGCTATTTCAAAGTATATTTTAACACCACGTGTCGGTTCCCCATCGACACATACAAGCTCAAGTACCAACCCACAATCTCCGGCTTCATAAGAAACGGACGGGTCACTAATCTGAAAGGCGTAAGCGTTAAAGTGCTTTTCTTTTGGCTCAACATCGCTGAGATTTATCGCGACGAAGACGAGCTTGAACTCTCCGTTGGCGTTGCTTCGGAGGATTTCTCGATGCATCATTTCGAGAAGAGCCCACAGTGTGGTTGTGGGTTTTATTGTCGTGGGCTCGTATTTTCCTCTTAAGGCCCATGGGCTTCCACTTTATTTATTAGCTGAATAAATAGTAATATTCGTAGTAGACCGAGTTTGTTTGTGATAATGTGGACTGGTGGTGACTGAATAAATTGTAGTATTCGTATCGAATAACTATAACGTAGTTGAATTGGGTGAAAACACTTGAGTTAGTATGACACAAATTTCGAATGATAATTTTAATCAAAACTTAAAAATGTTATTTTTTAGTATCGTTTTTGTCATTTGGACTACCTTAATATATAAACTTTCATTTTCAAACCACTTTAATAAGTTGCATGTGAAAACCAGAAAACGTAATTCGTGTAATAATTAATTAATTTTTGTTTGTGAATTATTTTGTTAATTAATTTCAACGTTTTGGTTAAGTTTTGTTATTTTGTTACTAAACCAAAAGGACACCTCATGTGCTCTTCGATGACACGTGTCCAGTTGTTTGTTGAGCGTGGCGTCATTTATTGGTCGCCAGATATTTTCAGATGGGCCAGCTTTAAAACTCCCTCACGCCTTTCCCGGAAAAGTCTCATTTTCTCTCCGCGATCGTGACGGCAGAACGAAATCCAAACGGGATAAAGATAAACCTAAAACCTAATCAGTTGGTTTTTCCGATTGGATTTCATCGGATGGAAAGACCCATGCCTCTGTTTCCGATTCTAACCGCCTCGTTTCTCTTCCTCTTATGCGTTGCTCCGCCGTTCACCATCGCCGCTACAGATGACGATTTGCCGACGGCGTACTCTCTCCTCCAGAGCTTCAATTTTCCCGTCGGAATCCTTCCAAAAGGAGTGGTATCATATGATCTGGATGAATCCACAGGGAAATTCCACGCGAATTTCAACAAGTCGTGTAGTTTCGCTCTTCAAGGTTCGTACCAATTGGATTACAAATCGACAATCTCCGGCTACATATCGGAGAACAAGCTCACGAAGCTTACCGGCGTGAAGGTGAAGGTTCTCTTCTTGTGGCTCAACATCGTGGAGGTCATCAGGAAAGGAGACGAACTCGAATTCTCTGTCGGGATCACATCTGCCAACTTCGCGATCGATGAGTTTTACGAGTCGCCGCAGTGTGGATGCGGGTTTGATTGCAATGGATTGAAATTGAAAAGGGAGAAATCGGGAAGAAACCCTTTTGTTTCTTCTGTCTGAAAGTAGTTGACTTGTAATATGAGGGGACTTTCTTACAGAATCTGTATTTGGGATGTTTTGTTCTTTATCGAATCAATTGACATTATTATTTGCCTCTTTTTTTATTTTTTTATTATGAGCTTTTTTGGTGATGGACTGCAAGTATAGACCTTTGGTATGTTAGAGTTGAGGTATATGAGAGCGAGTTTGATGTGTTTCTCTGGTTTAAGATGAATCAAGATTAGATTTCTTTTCAGAGAAAACTGGGTTCTTTCATCTGTGTTGGTTTGTGATTCAGATGTTTCAGCTCTTAGTTTGATTGACTCATGATGCCTCTGAGATTCTCTGCCACTTGCATGGTCGTTATGTCTTCTTCGTTAATGGCTTCGATTTGGATAAAATCCTCCATGTTACCAGGAATCATATTTGAACATCAAAACGAGTTTGAATGTTGTATTGCACTTAACTGTGATTAGAAGCTCAATTATAAAGTGGAGAAAGGTCTGAATCGTTGAAACAATAATAAATTCTGGCCAACATAACCAATCCAGCTAAAATAACTCACATGACATCACACGAATTTTATTAGACTTTCCTTTTATTTTGCAGTGTTTCATTTGACTTATATAATACCCTTTACTTCTCCATGTATGTGTGTTGTTGATTACTCCGAATGATGAAATTGGCATACATGTATACTTCTGATACAATTATAAAAAAGATCTGGACTGTGAGGTTACAAAGCTGTCCTAATATATTTGTTAGCCTAAAAAACGCCATTTGTAGTTACGATTGTGAGGTTACAAAATGTCCTAATGTCGTTTTTGCAAATTGGCCTTTGGGATTGAGTATGAGCCACTTCCTCGCTCAACCATTAACACGGAAATTATGTGGTCTTCTTTACACTCGAAAGTAAATTCCTGAGGCTCACAAGTTAGTTTCTGGTCTTAAAACTCTTCCACTTAAGTATTTCTATGATCACCATTTCGCCCTACTGCAACATGGCTTGCCACGTGGTTGAATCCTGTATGACCTTTGATTTGTTAGTGTTTAAGAAATATCTGAAGATGGGATTTTTCTAAGTATTATTGACCTTCAAGATTATTCACACGCAACTTTACGTCAATATAAACATTTGGTCAAAAACAAAACTAATTACGTCAATATTTCTCTAAAAAAATTTACGTCAATATTTTACGTTAATTGTTTACTTCATTTTAGTGATTATCACACACTAGAAAAGTATCGAAACCGAAACATTTTGGCGGTTAAAGGTAAACCATCAAACCGTTTTATATTATTTAATATTTCTTTTCAAAGATTAAACATATAAGTATGTTTTTTTTCTTTTAAAGCATAACAAATTAACAACTAACAAGACGGTCCTGGCCTTGATACGGTTAAGGATCCGTACTAACCATATTTATTAGTACCAAATGATTTTCTTCTGCTGTTGACATCAAAGTTTTGATTAACATAGTTTTAACTAAATAAATACGTATCGAGTACTAGTAAGAACGATCGATTTACGTTTGTGATTTTACAGATTCCTTTTACTAATCACATGATTATAGAGAGTGTTTAATTCTGTTATTCAACGGGATTCCAATCAAATTAGTTTTGACTTCCGCCTAGTAATTTTATTTAATATTTTACCATTATTTATATTTATCCCAATTAGAATGACATTACTAGTAAAACTTCATAGATGGAATGGAACGCTTATAAAACTTAGTATTATGATAGATCTAACGATTATTACAAAAATCGCAACAGAATAATATGGGAAGGATCATAACCCGCTTTCGTAATTATCGCCTTCAAACATAACAACATTAAAGAACATTAAAGCAATATATTAAAAAGCGTTTTTTATAATTAATTATTGCTTGTTGTTCAAGAGAACAGCTCGTAGCTCCGCCGGGTCAATTTCATCGGAAACGGTTTCAGGTCTGTAGTAACCGGTTTTGGGGTCTGGAACCCACGGCGCCTTCTCGCTTGACTCTTCCCCAACTTTCTTCTCCATCACCGCAGCAGAAGCGGCTTTACCGCTCGAAACGCTCCCCTGAAACGCCGTATTGGCTGCGACGGCGAACCTTCCTCTGAAACGAACCCAAAACGTCAGTGTTTAGTTAAAGGGAGGAGAAAACAGAGCAATACGTACGATCTGCACAGATGAAGGATTTTTACCTGAAGATGGCGTTGGAGAGCTCTTCGACGACGAAGGCAGAGAGGATCTTAGCGTTAGAGAGAGAGCGAGCCATTGTGGTTTGTGAAGTTTTTAAAAAAACCGAGATTTCAAAACAGAGCAAATGAGAGGTTCTTGTTCGCCGCCGTAGAAGGAAAGATACTCCGGTGACTGGTATTTTCCGCGGCAACGAGATCGAAGAAACTTAATCTCTTCTCTCTCTCTCCGTCTCTCGTGATGGATTTTCAAATTGCTTTGTGGGATGAGAAGGAAGGGAGAGGAGAGGTGGGTTTATTATATAGAGAAAGAGCAGAGGAATGGCTGCGTCATGTTTTTAGCCTTTTCAGCCCTGTTTCTGTTTCTTTTAATTTAAATGGGGCTTAGGGTTTTAACATTTTTTTAGTTGTAAGTTAAAATGGAATTGTTGTTGTGTTACGAAATTTGTTTCTAAATCGTTTTGTTTCGGCTGGTTTAGAGAAAAAAACGTCGTTTCGTTATGTAATTTGGAATTAGTTAAAATATTACCGAGGACAAGAAAAAATAAAAAAAAATGACGTCATTTTTAGCAAAATGGATTATTTCCTTAAAGCATTTTAAGAATAATTGTTTACATATTTTAAGATATTTTCCATTGAGTCGGCATCAAATCAATTTTTTTTTTAGCCGAGCCAACCAGAGCAAACAAATTCCCGGTTTACAATTGAATGGTTATCAAATGCTGTCGTTACAGAAGTAGTATAAAGCTTACTCATCATTCCTTGACTAAATAGAACAATCGAATCATTCAAACGAAACACAAATTGACAACAAAGTTTTTAGGAACAATTGAATCTCCGCAAGAATTAAAAGATAAGAAAAAGAAGAGCTGCTTAATCTTCTTCATCACCAGCGTCATAAAACGAGACAATGGCACATAGAGCTTTTTTTTCCCAGAAACTTAATGTGGAGGTAGCTTTGGTTCTAACACTGAACCATATAAGCTGGGTGACTGATGAACATGGTGCGAATCTCTCCTGTTGCCATAATAAAGGCTAGAGGACTCGTGAGTATTTGCAGGGAGATACAACCATATACAATACGCATAGGCCCAGTGGCTACCGGCTTAAATGCTAAGATATTTTTAGCTTACACTTCATTTTTGGAAGTTCCCGTTCCCACCTTTTCTCTTGATAATCAAATCTTGAATTGATATGTTTTTAAAGAAAAAATAATCAAATTAGTGATCGAATATTGCAGCTTCGAGTGAAAGTTCACATCATTCTCGACTGATATGGGCCAATCATAAAAGCAATGATGATACTATCACTCTCCCAGAGAGCTCCAGATTCGTGGCTTAGTGATGATCGCCTTGCTTCAAAAGCAAGCAATCGCCTAAATCGATAACCGACAATGCACTAAATCATTCCTTTCCTTTCCAGACCTGATTTGGTTATTATTATTTCCGTTGAAACTATATATTAGATAAGGATCTTGTTATTAGAATTAAAAAAGAAAATATTTGAAATTAAAAATAAAAAAGCCCATAAGAAAATAACAATCCAAAAGTCCCTTTCTACCTCTCTCTATATATATAAGAGAGGAAGGATTAAGTATGTTATGAGAATGTAGACGAAAAGATGAAACCCGAAAAAAAAACAAAGAGAAACTCTATAGGCAAGGAGGACTGTTCTAGGTTCAATTTAGACTCGCTCAAGAAGAGTATAGAGTCGATCGAAAAGGATAGTTCGAAGAAAGATGTGTTGGATTTATCGCCATTGTCGCATGCTTTGTCCTCTGTCAAACGCAAGATGAATCGAAGAGCGAGGTTTTGGAGAGCAAGAGCCGTCAGGAAAGTAGTGATTGAGACGTACGAATTGACGCAACTCTCAAAGTTGGTGAATTTTGAAGAAGACTTGTTTCACTTTCTTCTACACGAACCCACCCAAGCCTATACGCCCGAACCACAACTTCAGTCTGAGTCTGAACCACAGCAGCTTTGTTCTTTTAATCAACAGATTGATGTTCTCGATTTTTTCGGTTAGCTTTTTTTGTGTGTGTATATCTATCTCAGTTAGATTTTTTTTTTCTTTTTTTTTTAAGATACAGTATCTCTAAGATTTTCATATATATATAAATAAATAGATTCTTCGACTATTTAGCTAAGATTTTATTGAAACGTTAAGATCTTTTTTTTTTTTTTTAATAAAGGGTTTAGATCTTTTTTTTTTGTTAGCTTGTATTGAATTTACCAAAAATGAAAGGCTGGATTTTACACAAATATTACAACAAAATACTCTGGCACACTTCACCATTATGTGAGAGTCTTACGAAGAATTCAAGGAGGCTGCAAAATAACAGAGCACCATTACAATGAATAGCCTGAAAATTCAAAGACTTGTTATAAATCAAGTAACAAAACTAACGTTTTCGAACAATGAGAGAAGCAATACAGAGACTGTTCCAATGGTTGCGGCAACAACAAAATCTCGAATTAGTATATCTCAGGACTGTAACCAATGATTCATTGCAGATTGAATGATTATTTTTCTACCAAATCATTTGTATCAGTTTGCACAAATGATGGAATAGTTTATGTAGCAGTTCTTTAAATTGAACATAAAAAGGGCCCACGTGTCGCTCTGCTTACTGGTGGTATCATCCTCAACTTATCGCCAACTCCGAAACCCTAATTCCCAAATCTCGGAGCTTCCTCCTCACCGAAAGAGTAGAAATTTGTTGTTTTGATTTGATAAAAAAGAAGAAGGTAAGAATGAGTAGCCGCTCGAGTAGAACTGTGTACGTTGGGAACCTCCCTGGGGATATCCGCGAGAGAGAGGTTGAAGATTTGTTCAGTAAGGTATAATAAATGAGTCACATTTCTACTTTTAACCATCGCTGTTCCTCGTTTATCTTCAAAGTTTTATTCTTTTTTGTTGTTCATCCATTTCTTGCAGTATGGACCTGTTGTTCAAATTGATTTGAAGGTCCCGCCAAGGCCTCCTGGCTACGCATTCGTAGAGGTCAGCGCTTACCAACCATTTCTCTGTGACTCTGATTTCTTGATTCAAGAGAGTTGCTTCTGTGCCTTCCATCGACTATAAATAGCTCTGCTGATTTGTTACTATACTCTGTTTAGTTTGATGATGCTCGGGATGCTGAAGATGCTATTCATGGTCGGGATGGTTATGACTTTGATGGGCATCGCTTGCGGGTTTGTAGATATTTCAACATAACGCTTCTTACGCGTTTGCAGATTGGTTGATTTAAAAAATCAAATTTTTATGATTGTTGGCCTAATTTTAGGTGGAATTAGCGCATGGTGGGAGGCGTTCAACAGATGATGCTCGGGGCAGTTACAATGGTGGTGGCCGTGGCGGCGCTGGTGGTGGTCGTGATGGTGGTAGCCGTGGACGTGGGCCGTCTAGGAGATCCGAGTTTCGGGGTATGTTAGTCATGTAATTAGCATTGTCCTTGTCCAAAGTTGGTAGGAGTAATTTCTGTATTTGATTTTATCTGGACCACAGTTCTTGTGACAGGCTTGCCTTCATCAGCTTCTTGGCAAGATCTCAAGGTGAGTACACCAATGGTGGACAAACTCCCTCAGTTTCCCTTCTTATATCATCAAAGGTTTTTGAATTTCAACACGTATCACTTTTGCTGTAGGATCACATGCGCAAAGGAGGGGATGTCTGTTTCTCGCAAGTGTACCGTGATGGCAGAGGTAAGTGTGCCCATATGTTACTACTGATACCAGATGTGTATCTTATGCCGCTTGTAATCTTGTGCATCTAAATTAAATTGAAAGAACTTAATCTTGGGCATCCTCTTTTTTGTAGGTACAACTGGAGTTGTGGATTACACCTGCTATGAGGACATGAAGTATGCGGTGAGATATTTTCCCTGTCTTTGTCCTGTGGTTGAGATTTTACTTATACTCATCGTTTATTATTCATTACCTCCTCTTACTCTTCATTTTTCCCCAGGTGAAAAAGCTTGACGACACTGAGTTTCGGAACGCGTTTTCACATGGATATGTTCGGGTTCGTTAAAGCTTGACTTTCCTGTGAATTGTATTCCTTTTCATTGTCGTGTTTAATTTATTTTTTCATATCGGTTTAGGTTAGAGAACATGATTCAAGGAAGGATTCTAGGAGCCCTAGCCGGGGAAGATCGTATTCTAGGAGCCGTAGCCGCAGCCGTGGGCGGAGCCTGAGCCGAAGCAGGAGTAGAAGCAGGAGTCCAAAGGCAAAGTCTTCAGGTAGGTCGCCTGCAAAACCTCCTGGCTCTCGCTCAAAGTCAAGGTCACAGTCTCCAAGAAGGTAATGATTTTTTACCTTCTGAAGATGCATCAGACTGGATTTATCTGTTAACTTTATGATAGCCTGGTTAGAAAAGTCATGGTTTATTAGAAGGTAATGGTTTTCAGTTGTGCTCTTTGATTTCCTAAATGAAGATGGTTTTGTTTCATAGATACATACAATCGACTAGAAAATTGGAATTAATATATGGATGGAATTTCTTGGTTGTTCACAAAGTGTATCGACTCTTGAGGTAGGAAAACTTTGGAATCGAGACTTTTCTTTTCCTGGCTTTCTTATGATACAGTGCTCACTAATTTCCCCGCTACTGCTAGATGAACAGTGGAGACATTGGATCACAAATATTATATCTGGATCTCTGGTAAAACTAAATTGGCACAATGGATGATGACAATATGGAATCTGGGGACGTCGATGGCACATTTTGCTACACAAGTTGTTTTGACCAAATGGTTTAGAAATTCTTTATCCTTTGTTTTAAACTAAGTTGCAGAGTAGGTTTGGTTTGAGATACATCTATTTTGTTTTGTTGCAACTTCTTGATCTCTGTGAGATGGAAGAGGCATCAAGGATCCTAGTGAAGGGTATTAAACAGCAGCACATGCTTCGGTTTTTGAATTTGGTTTTGTTTTCTTGGACTTTTGCAGATCTCTTTCAAGATCAAGATCTCCTCTACCGTCTGTGAGTAACAAGATCCACCTCTTTTGGTACTATAACACTGTGTTCTGTTTTACATTGTTTGTTATCTTAATAAGTTTTGTATTTGTAGCTTCAGAAGGAAGCAAGCAAGAGCCCTAGCAAGCCAAGTTCAGCCAAGAGCCCTATCCGCAGCAGGAGCAGGAGTCCAATACCGTATGTATAATATCTCTCTCTTAGAAATGAAATAGTGCAATATTTTCGTAAAACCTTTGTAGAGAACAATCTGGTCTGAAAACATTTGTTTTTGCAGGTAAAATTGTGAGATCCCCAGGGGGGAAAAGAGAGGAGAAAAAGGCATCTTTGGCTTTTTGAAGTTGATCATATTATGTGTTAAAGGCTTATTCGTGACTGAAGAAGATGAGTCAAGTCTGTATGTTTGGTAACTCACACTGATGATGATCGTTTTGTAACATTATTATTCTTGCGGATCCTTTTGGTTTTTGGGAATGTTTCTGTTAAAGATATCGTTTTATTCCTCTTCTACTGCCTCTGTTTTACACGATTTTATTTACCTTCTAAAATTGGGATTAGGATAAGTATTGTGTTTGATCAATTTGAGTTTGGTGTTACCTCAGAAAATGCATCAACACGTGTTAACTTGTGGGTCCAAACAATGGGAAACGAAACCAAGGTCTTTGAAAGCCACATCATGTCTGATTTCTGAAACTCTTTGCTCCTTTGTCTTCTCCTCGAGTAAAACTTGTCAAACGCAACTTTTGCTCTTTACTTCTTCATGAAACTTGTCTAACGAGACAGACCCATTGTTAGAAAGAAACAAACAACGAAACTTGGTGTTTCCATCAAATTCCTCCGCTAGCGCTAAAGTTTGTTCTTCTTCTCTGTAGAGTGAGGAGAGCAGAGCGATGAAGAAGTTGTTAAAGAATAGTTTCATCATGCTCTTTCTTTTACTGTTTCTGGCATTTACTGCAGTCTCGTCCCTTGAAGCATACAGCAGAAATGATTTCCCTCCAGGCTTTGTCTTCGGGTCAGGCACATCAGCTTATCAGGTTCTTTACATTTTCACCTTCATGTTGGTAAAGATAAAAGATCCCAAACTATCAGATATAACTCAGTTTTTTCTGTTTGTTTGTCCATGATTTACAACAACAGGTGGAAGGAGCTGCTAACGAAGACGGGAGGACTCCAAGCATTTGGGACGTTTTTGCTCATGCCGGTTTGATTTCCAGTCGCTTCACCTGTGTGCATAGTTTTAGCCAATTGAATGGTAAATATTCATAAACCGGAGCGTGTTTTATTGCAGGACTCTCAGGAGGAGACACTGGAGATGTTGCATGTGACCAATATCACAAATACAAGGCCCCTTTCTCGCATCTATCTATTATTTTTACATCTGCAGAGATTTCGTGTGACAGGTGGACATTAACATTTGCCTCATGTTTGCAGGAAGATGTGAAGCTCATGGTCGAGATTGGATTGGAGGCTTACCGATTTTCCATATCCTGGTCAAGGCTGTTACCAAGTATTCATCGACAAACAATCTTCAAAACATTCTCTCAATGGATTGAGGAAGAGCATATATATATATGAAAGCTTTATCCATTAATTTTGGATTTATTTCAGGTGGAAGAGGAGCAGTTAATCCCAAGGGGCTACAATACTACAACAATCTTATTGATGAATTGATCACTCATGGTTATTAGAGTTTGTATACTGAGTCTGTTTCTAATTAGCTGCAAGACTAATATTTTAATGGTGTTTCTTACTTTCTTTGACTAAGCAGGGATCCAGCCACACGTTACGTTGCACCACTTTGATCTTCCACAAGTCCTAGAAGATGAGTATGGAGGTTGGCTCAGCAGAGAAAGCGTGTATGATTGATTTGATTTGATTTGATTATTCTCCTTTTTTCATCTTCCATTTTTTTTATTGGTGGGTTTTATCAAAACTGATTCATCAATCCTTGTTGTAGGAGAGACTTTACAGCTTATGCAGATACTTGCTTCAAGGAGTTTGGAGACAGAGTGTCACATTGGACTACGATAAACGAGATCAACGTGTTTGCACTTGGAGGGTATGACGCAGGATCAACACCGCCTGGTCGATGTTCTCCTCCTTTTGGACTCCACTGCTCCAAAGGAAACTCTTCCACTGAACCTTACATCGCCGTACACAACATGTTGCTCGCACACGCTTCTGCTGTAAACTTATACAAGCAACAGTACAAGGTTCTTGCTTCTTCTCTCTGCTTCTCTCTCTTTCTGTCTTCCACATGAAATCGTGTATAATTACCTCATTACACAGAGCAAGCAACATGGATCGGTAGGCATTAGCGTATACACATACGGTACTGTCCCGTTGACTAACTCAGCAGAGGACAAGCAAGCAGCAGATAGAATGAATGACTTTTATATTGGTTGGTAAGTCTTGAAGAATCCGATGTTGTTGAATAGCATCTCTGCTATATATTTCAGTCTCTGAGTTTCTTGATTCGGTTTTTTGTTGGTAAGGATTTTACATCCGCTGGTGTATGGTGACTATCCTGAGAGGATGAAGACCATGGTTGGGTCTAGATTGCCAGATTTCACAGAGGATGAGTCGGATCAAGTTAAGGGGGCAATGGATTTCGTAGGGGTGATTAATTACATGGCATTTTACGTCAAGGATAGCTCTTCCTCTCTGAAACAAACACTTGTCCATGATTTCAACACAGACATGGCCGTGGAACTCACTTGTAAGTCATATATAAATGATACCTTCCAAGATTAAAAGCTAGAGATTTGTCTCACTTGATTGCTCCAAATTTGCCTTGCAGTTGTTGGTGACACATCGTTCAAGAGTAAGGTTTGTATATACACACATCAATTCCATAAGTCATTACTTAAAAAAGAGAGAGAGAGAGAGTCTAATGTTTGATGATTGTGCTTCTTTCAGTATGCAAATACACCATGGAGCCTGCAACAGATACTGTTGTATATCAAAGAAAATTACGGCAACCCTCCTATCTACATCGCAGAGAATGGTCTCTCTCTCTCATTCTCTCTCTCTGATTTCAGTTTGGTTCATGTGTCTGAAACTCTTGAGTCTTCTTCATTTATAGGTCAGATGACTCCTCAACAGTCATCACTTGAGGACATAACGAGAACTAAGTATCTGAGCCCACACATTGAAGCAGTGCTTCATTCACTCAGGTAATTATAACACTGAAACCAGTAGCAGAAGTTGGATGAATGTGTCAGATTCTAAGTTTAGAAAAATCTCAAAGCAGGAAAGGATCGAACGTAAAAGGATATTTTCAGTGGTCGTTGATGGATTTGTTTGAGCTATTGGGTGGGTATAACATGAGTTATGGGTTATATTACGTGGAATTCAAGGATCCTGACCTTAAGAGGTACCCTAAACTCTCTGCTCACTGGTACTCTTCCTTCCTTGGGGGAACACTTCACCATCGATCGCATCCTTCATCTTCAGCGCTTTGATACTATCTTTTTGGCTCTAGCGGATTGTTAAGAAATCGAGTTCGGATATGAATAAGACACAATCGATCCTTAACAATAAACCCCTCACTTCTCAATGCTCAAATCTCAAATAGAAATCCAACAAAATATCATTCGTCTCTGCATTTAAATGGAACATCAGCTGCAACGGTGAACCCTCCGGGTCAGACAGAGGCTTTCGGTATTGCCAGCTCAACATTTTAGTCAACTCTCCTGTTGACCCGATGAATAACCTAGTTTTTTTCCTGTGTGCTTGGTCCTTTAGTGGCGATTGGGCCAGAATAACCTAAAGTCACAAAATTCAAATATTATTTCATACGCAAATACAAAGAGAGCTCGTGTAATAAATTTCCAATAAAAACCATATCATATGATAGCTTTCATTCGGATTAGCATGAAAGCTGGATTTAGCGTGTTTGACCTAGTTTGATAATATTGCGTAAGGAGAAAGAAATTACACTATCGTATCAAAGCCATAGGAATAGTACCCCTATTATTCCTAGGTGTCTCTTGCATTTCATTCACGCAAGGGACGATGCTTTCTCATCGAATCCAAAATTCATCATATTGTTTAATTTTTTTTTTATTACACATTGTTTCATTGTTGTATTTTGTTGAGAAACCTACCTTGTATTAAGAAAATCTTTGACCAACTTTTATATGCTTTTTCCCCTTTTGAAAACTTCAATCCCACCCACTGGTCACTGGGCCTATAAATATTCACTACCAGACGATTTGAGCAGTAAATTAGTGGTGTTCCTCTTTTCAACAAACTTTTGTCGATAGTTGGAACATTTTTTACAATAAATAATGAATGATACTTGCTAGTTGCTACCATTATAAATTCCCTTACCATCTCATTTTTATGACATGGGTTAAAATGACACTTTCCATAGTAAATAATAGTAAAAACTTCGATACTTTTTCAATGCAAATTGTCCCAAATGATATTGGCTGATAGTAGGTTGGCGTTGTCCACTAAAAATATAATGCCTTTTAGTCATTACAAATTTCATATGATGGAAACGAATTCTTTAAATTAAATGAGCTTAATTACAAGAACAAAACAGTAAGGAATCTGGACAGAAACGTTCAAACCAAGAAGATAAGCCACACCAAAAATCTTGATATTATGTCTTCACGTTACATCATATGGAATTATGTCTTCACGTTACAACATTATGTTGACATGTAATAAGAATATATGATCATATAGCTTTCTGTTAAACGGGTTTAGTACACCACTTCAAATAAAATAAAAGTTTCAAGTTAATTTGTCTTTGCTACTTGAGCAGCTTCTTTGAAACTTTTAGAAAACAAAAGAGCAGACCCCTCTAATTTTTTGTTTGTAAGATAAAAAGGAATCACAAAACATTCTTTGAGGGGAAAAAACCTATGTGAAAATTAATAGTCGTAACATTTTTTTTTTAAATGTAATTGGAGAAGAAAAGGATTTGGAAAAAAAGTTGGAGAAGAAAATGACAATGGTGGTGATTGGTGAGGGAATAATAATGTTTGGAGTAGAACCACATCATGCAATGGGGGACATGAAGTTAAAAACAAATAAAATGAGCGGCCTGAAAATGATAAAGCAAATATTTGGTGGCAAAATCCAAATCAATCTAAACTTCCAAGAATTTGTATTATATTCTGATTATTATCAATAAGTTTCAAATTTGACCCCACCAAGAACAGCAACATATCCCTTTGCGGTGGCATCTTCATCCCAATTCGACAATTGATGCTAATTAAATTCATAATATTATATCATGGATATTTTGTGTCAACTTCTTATATCATGTAAATCAAAGTTCACAGAATTATCATTTCTACAAACAGTTATAATCAGGAAGTGGAAATGTTACTTAATCATGGATTTGAAGTTACGTTTTTTTTTGTAGATTTTATAGTACCTTTTAACATTGAAAATTTGAAATTATTTTCTTAAATTTATGTGTGTTGAATCGATTCTAAAATCTATGCAATATACTTCTGAGATTCATCTCAAATCAAAAATCCATAAACGAAAATTTTTATAAGTATTTTAAATATTAACTACATAACACCTAACACTAAAATATTTTAAACATGATTTACAAATGTATAATAACATCATATTATAAAGTATAGTTAACTTCAACCAGTTTACAAATGTATAATAACATCATATTTTAAAGTATAGTTAACTACATAACATCATACTTTTTTATATCTTATGTCTAAATTCTACAAACATAAATTTGTGATTATTAACTTCAACCAGTGGGATAGCTAAACTCTGAATCCAGACTTTCACATCCACGCGACATTAAGAAATAGATCGAATGTGATGTGTATGCATCATATAACAAAATTAAAGAAGTAATTGAAATTGAGATCCACCAATAGTCAAGCTTTTTGTAGAGTATTTATTCACAAAACTCCATACACAAATAAATATCGCCTTTTCCCAAAAAACATTTTGACTTCTGATTTCCTTTTGTTTTTGTTTTATCACAAGTTGTTTTCCGCCGACCTCACCACCTTCTTCTTCTTCTTCTTCTTCTTCTTCTTCTGTTCATAAATACGTTTCTGTTCTTTTTGCTTGTTTCATAATAAAGCCAACACGAGACGCAAGAGAAAGAGAGAGAGAGAGAGAGAGAGGAGAAGAACAAACTCTTTGAGATTGTAGTATCCTAGATCGAATCCTCTTTGATTGAGGGCTGAATTTGTTGATGGTCATCTAAATTTATTTTTAAAAAAGTTTCTTGTTTTGTTGATTTTGATTTTCACGCATCTCCGTTGAGTAATCTGTGGAAATGAAGTTCTGTAAGAAATATGAGGAGTACATGCAAGGACAGAAGGAGAAGAAGAATCTACCTGGTGTTGGGTTTAAGAAGCTCAAGAAGATTCTCAAAAAATGCAGAAGAGATCATCTTCCTTCTGGGATTGCTTTAAACCAAGCAATCAATCAAAAACATGGCATCGACTGTCCTCGTGAATGCACTGGTACTGTTCGACTTAATTCCCCTAAGATAGAATCCTTTTTTTTCTCTCTCAATCCTGCAAAAAATTCAAACACCAGAGAATGTTTATTTGTTGTTAATTGTTTTTGCAGTATGTGATGGAACTTTTTTCCCAGAGCTTCTGAGGGAAATGGAAGATGTTGTAGGATGGTTTAACGAGAATGCTCAGAAGCTTCTTGAGTTGCATTTAGCATCTGGTTTCAAAAAGTGTCTTGCTTGGTTCAAAGGCAGTAATCGGAAAAGGAACCATCTTGGTTTGATCCAAGAAGGCAATGACTTGGTTAACTACGCCCTAATCAATGCCGTCGCCATTAGAAAAATCCTCAAGAAATACGACAAGGTGAATCCTTGTAAACCGCTTGTATCTATCATAGAAAGAACTCAAAGGCTTATGATCTTATGAAAACTTCTTATACAGTTGCATCTTTTGTCCTGCAGATTCATGAGTCTAGGCAAGGTCAAGCGTTTAAGACGCAGGTCCAGAAAATGAGAATCGAAATCCTTCAATCACCATGGCTCTGCGAGCTTATGGCGTTTCACATCAACCTGAAAGAATCCCAGAAGGAACCTGGAGCTGTTTTGGCTTCTCCTGCACTGTTTGATGGTTGCTCTTTGATGTTCGATGATGGAAAGCCTTTACTTTCATGCGAGCTCTCTGATTCTGTAAAAGTTGACATTGACTTGACTTGTTCAATATGCCTGGTAAGCAAACTTAAAATGGCTTGGAGGAATCTCAATGTCAAAAACTATTAGTTGACTTAGTAGTAATCTGAAATATAGAAGAAAGTATCAGCCTATAATGATAAAGTCTTAAGCTTCGTTGTGTCAAAGTGCTATTCCACTACCCTCTTGCAGAATTTATTTTAAAGACCAAGTCTTTCTTTAGTATCTGATTGAAAGGATCTTTTCCAAAATGTGAATCTTTTTAAATCAAATGTTTCTAAAAGGTCTTCTTCAACTTACGTGTTATACAATTGATGGCATACAAAAACAGGACACGGTGTTTGATCCGATATCTTTGACCTGCGGTCACATATATTGCTACATGTGTGCTTGCTCTGCTGCATCAGTAAACGTAGTCGATGGCTTGAAAACAGCAGACCCGTCTGAAAAATGCCCGCTTTGCCGTGAGGTTAGACCCATTCTTCACTGCTGATTACAACTTTTAGTAATCTACTAATCGTGCATGTTTCATACTCTTAATTCCTGTTTTCCGCCCAAATTCGATATCAGGTTTGTGTTTATAAAGGTGCTGTTCACTTGGAGGAGCTCAGTATTTTACTGAAGCGAAGGTAAAGGCATATACACAACCAATCACCTTATATAGTCTTTAGAATCTGTCTTTTAAGTTTTGAGAAGTCTTTTGGAGATAACTTAAAGAAGGAGAACTAAACTGTAATTTTTAAAACCTGCAAATGCGTACAGCTGCCGAGAATATTGGGAAGAAAGGCGTAAAACAGAGAGAGCAGAGAGGCTACAACAAGCAAAGGAGTATTGGGATTATCAATGCCGAAGCTTCACTGGAATATAACAGCAGTTTGATTCTTGGTTTTTAGAATAAGCTAATAAAAAAAAAACACAATATCGATTGTGATTTGCTTACGTCTGTGAGTGTTTTGTTTGCTTACACAGAGTGGTAGGGAAAATTTTAAAACTCGCAAGTGCTTTATATGGTTATCAGTAAAAGTTTGCATACGTTTTTCGATATGAGGATGTCAGTGGAAAGAGATTGTTTCCACAATGTTTGGAAGAGCTTTGTTTTAATTGGTTGTTCGCTAACTAAAAAAAACTCAGTTTGATAGTGATTTACTTTCCTCTGTGAGTGTGTGCGCTTACACAGAGTGACCATTAGTTTGAAAAACGAGATTTTTCGATTTATAAAAACTTGATAATCATCATTACTGTTGTAGTGTTGTTGTAAGTTTATAACAAAAAAGAGCACAAGATACAAACATGTCATCGAAAATCCATCAGCATGGAACTAAAATCGGGTTCTTATCCTTGTAAATCTGGTATCTTGTGCATAGCTTCCGTAGTGTTGCAACCGAATGCTGCATCGAGTTTAGCTTTCTGTCTCGGAACATGGACTGTTCAAACGAGTACAAGTTAGAGAGAGAAGTACTCAAAATGTTTGAAACTGTAGATTAGTATTATTAGACAAGTAACTAACCTCAAGGTCATCTCCGTGTTTCTCGACCAAACGTTTTACATGTGCACGTTGCATAGTCGTAAGCGGCTGTAAAGGCGCACTCTTTCCATCTTTTCTTTGCTTCCCCAAAGCTGTCTTAAGATCTACACATCCCACAACACAGCATTTGCTACATTTAGTTACCCAAAAATGGAAACTTGCATCAACTCTGTAAACTGCTTTAAACAGATAGAGAAGCTAAATGAAGCAGATACAGATTAGCTTGTGTAGTTGCCATTAGCATTTTGCACAAGCAATCTGACAAAATGATGCAGAATACTCGATAGATGATAACTTAAGAAGCAAAATCGAGATGTTTGTTTAAAGAGCTAAGATTTTTCACTGGCATACTCAGGTTTCCCCAATTTTTTACCCAAAGACCTAATTTCGAATTTCCTCAATACCAACTCGAAGATGAATCCACGAGACTTGTCCAAGCTTGAGTCTTAAATAGTAACAAAGAACAGAGAAGAAAAACGTACCGTCTTCCTCGAGATCGCTGCCGGAATCGATGGGCTCGAACTCCTTAGCAATAGGATCATCGGTGGGTGGCTCAGGAGGAGGAGGAACGTTGAGGGAATCATCCTGTATCATATGGTCGGTGCGGGATCGGATACCGAGCAAATTAGGGTTAGAGAGGACGCCGAAGGATTTGTAGTTCTGGATGACGCTAGCCTGATCGTCCCATTCGGGGACATCGTCCGCCATGAGAGCGCGGAGCTTCGGAGGGAAGTTGAAAGCTGGCTTAAAGATGTTAGGGTTTTTCTTTGGAAGAGCAACGCGAACCTTTGCCCTGGAGTTCTTGTACTTTCTCCTCGACCTCGCCATCTCTGTCTCTCACAGATTTTTCTCTTTTTTTCTGGTCGATGAAGAAGAAAGCACGGAGATGAAGTTCGCGGCGGAGAATGGGTTCAACCACAAGGGTTTTGAGTTGTAAAGCGTGACGACGTCGTTTCGCATAAAACTTTTTTTGCTTGCATGAATTTACAAACAAAATACAAATTTGATGGCCCATTTATTGGAAATTAGAAAGCCTTATTTATTGGCCCATTATGATAATGAAAAGCCTTCTTTGAATACCAGTTCTTGTATATAATTTGATGACTCTGTCTATGCTTTAAATCTAAACCCATGATGATGGCTTTTATATTTTACCAAATCTTGATTGGTTAGTCGAATTTTTATAACTTAAAAACGGTAGTTGTAAACCTAAATTCATTTCTTCCAAGGAAGATTAATACTTGCAGTCACTTAAGCTGCCGCATTGTGGTTATAACTTGAAAACTCATTTTCCCAAAAGTCACCAATTTTTAGAAAATCCCCATTGTAGCCTATATCATGATAAAAAAGAGCTTCTTCTCAAGAACTCTTAAAGTCACTACAAACCAACAAAAATATTGCAAATGTAAAGCACAACAACATTTTGGAATTGATAAAAAAGACCAACCCATCATCATATAAGAAGCAAACCGGGAATCCAACAATCCAAGAAGCAAAGGTAAAGATTTTAAAAGAGTAAAACCATTCCGCGGAATTCATAAACGCATAAAGACTCATCTCGGTTAGTCATACCAATCCGGTTTGAGGACAACGTCTTCATTTATCACTCTTAACAGCTGTTTGCTCTTCGGTTTTCGCCTCCCCTGCTCCTGCAGGAGCTTGAGCTTGAGCTTGAGCTTCCTCCATTTTCTCTCCAGACTTGACTTCTTCTCCTGCAAATACGAAATCGATTGGTTTCCAAGAGTTCTGAGCTAAAGGATTACAGGATGCAACACCCGAAATGTTACAAGATCTCACCTTCATCATCGCTATCTTCCAATCCTTCCATACCACCCATCCCGCCAGGTCCACCAAACCCGCCCATTCCACCGAGCCCTTCAAGACCGCCCATACCGCCAAGCCCTTCGAGACCTCCCATACCGCCAAAGTTCTACAAGAAGCAAGACACATGCAAGTATTTCTCAAAACTGTAAGTTATAAAAGAAGCAGAAGAATGTTAACTATAAGCTACAAAGCATACCGAGAAATCCATTCCACCCATTCCTCCCATTCCGGACATATCCATATCTCCAGGACCTATACCAAAAAAAAGGAAGAAACCAGAATTTATAATGCCAACAAATTTAGTCAAGTGCAGAGAATGGAAGTGAATGGATACGGTCAAGATTGGTACTAACCGGTGCCGGTATCTTCGTCTTCATCTACCCACTTGTCCCAGTCAACTTTAACATAGTGAGGCGGTTTCCCTCCACGTAATAGCTTATTCCACCATTTTGGTTCTGCTTTCTCCAAGATGCACACTATGCTTCTTAACCCGATGTTGATTTTGCTTTCCTGGATCGAATAGTTTGTGAAAGTTAGAACCTACTACTAGCCAGCACACAGAACCAAAGAAACACAAAGTCCGAGTCGATAAGGTATCATAGTCTCACCTCTACATTGACCTTATTATTAAGTTCAAGCTTGAGCTCATAAAGCTGGTTTTCTGGTCCAGCTTTGGCAGAGAAATCAAAGACTCCCTCTGGATCAAGTTTGACATCTGCATCCTTTGCATCAGGCAATAGCACTGTTAAGTAAACCTTATCCTCTCTCTCCGCCCACTTCACTTCGGGATGATGACTGTAAATTCAGATATAATCAATCAGATTCAACGACAACACTAAAGATTGCATTAATACCAAATGATTTTGCATTCAGAATAAATAAAAACCGCAACTTTAGAACCCTACAGGCACAGATCCCCAAACCCTAAATCTAATTTCTCCAAAGGTTTTCAGGGTTAAACCATAGTCCATTGAAGCGACATTCATATACAAACAATGCCAAAAAAAAAAAAATTCACAGATGTTACTGACCCGACACCATAAACCCTAGGACCGAATCTAAAAACCCAAAAATGTTTTTTTTTGTTCCCATTTTGCGGGAACCTAAAAGAAATCCCATCCCCAAATCCTGCGCTGATTAAAAAAAGACAGCGATTTTCTGATTATATACCTCATAGTGTACTCGAAGGAGAAGGAACTCGAGTAACCCTAGAGAGACAGAACAACAACGATGACGACTCGAAGATTTTCTTTTGATCGAGAAGAGTTCCAAGTACAGTTTCTTCAGATAGACTCTGTTTATAGTGCATTGAGTGGCTATCATCTGCGTGCTACTCCAGGTGATATATACAGAATCAACGGCTGAAAGCTTGGTAATTTTTCAGGGTTTGACGGTTCAGATATATTGGAGATGGTTTCGGACAGAAAGCAGTGCCCTTTTACTTTTTCGAAGCACGGAACTACTTTCTGACCCAATTTCAAATACTTTACCAAACATATAATTTTGGTATCAGACATAACAAATCCAATTGTCCTTTAACGCACCTAACGGTTTAAGCTTTTGTTCAAGTTCATTTACAGCATTTTAAAAAAAAAAATTTGCGATGCATTAGTTAGTCCTTCACCTTTTGGGTTTGGTTGTCTTTATAAACTCAACACTGTACCAACATCCCAGTCACATTTTGAGTTGAGACTACGACAAGACGAAGACGCCCCACACGAAATTGACAAAACCAATAAAATCATCTCACAGAAAGAAAAAGGCACTTAAGAATTCAAATAAAAAGATAGTAATGGTAGTGGTACAACCCAAGTCTTCATCCTAATTAATGGTATAGCGAAATCAAAATAAACACAAATAATATAGAAGTAGTGCGATGCATCAAGAATATCATAGAAAATAGCAAAGTGTCCTTGATACCCATGCCTAAGGTCTTGTCGAGTCTTGTTTCTTGATGGATATCGTCCACAGAAGATCTGAATCCGATTCCACTGTGATTTTCTCTCCTTTTACTATATTCGATGTACTTATTAATCCTCCAAACTTCATCTCAGTGTTGGCTTTGAGACGATGGTGGAAACAGATATATAAACCATAGTTAGATCCATGTGATGCGAATGATAAAACTGATCATAAACCATAGTTAGGTACGTGTGATGATGATGCAAGATATTACTTACTGAGATCCCATTGAAGCCCAGTGGTTGTGGTTTTCGCAGATGGAGTACCGATAGGGATGAGTCCACAATGAGGTCCTTCAAGAGAATGCTGGATTTGAATCTCATGTCGATGACTCTTTGGAAGGAGATGGATGAGGCAATCATCCGACAAAAGGACTATCTTTGCGTCTGGATATCGATACAGGACGTTGAGATTACCGGCTTCATGATCAAATCTTCCTCCGAGTGCTCCAGTGGCGAGAATCTGGAGCTAACAGAAGAACGAAAACAAGAGGAGAATATGTTTATTAAAAAAACATATGCAAGACAGGCAAAACACAGATGTTACGCTTATGAAAGAATGAATGGCAACTTACTCTGGAACTCTCCTGATTCAAAGTAGAGTCACGGATATACAAGATGCATTTATCAAGATCTGTGGTATCTTGATCATGAGACTCATCTATAACTTTAGTTCCCTGATCAAACAAAAAAGCCATGTTGAATCTCACAAAGACATCATACGATGTGGATCTATACAAAAATCTCAGAGTACTAACTTACCAAGCTGACATAAAAGTCGAGGACATCACGCCGAATAGAGTCCATATCTCCCTTGATAACATCTGGCTTGTACCTGAAGACATTCATTCCCATTCATTCTCAGATCCAATCTCTCCAAGTTTCTTCTAAGTAGGTAAAAAAAGATCCATTTTTGCTATAAAGACAAGATTTTTCCAGTTTATAGAAAAATATCAAATTTGTAAGACAAGAGTTTGAATACATAGGATCTTATTTATACATGATCTTCAGGAAGGGGACACTAATTATGACAATCAACCAAATGAGAGAAGTTAAAACCTGTTTCTAATGACGGAAGCGTCGTCATCAGGGAAGAAGAGAGGTAATTCATCGTAGATGCGATTAGCGCCTCCATCAGCACAGAGACGAAGTTTTGCTGTTCTACACAGAAAATCCAAATCAAATAAAAACAAACCTAATAAATACCGAAACGCAGAGAAGAATCGGGAAGAAAAGGAAAAGAGCGAGAAGGTACCATGATTCCAGAGAAGAGGAGTGAATCGCGGTAGATTCTGGTTGAGAACGACGAGGGCGTATGTGGAAGTCCCGTCGGTGGGAATCGACGGAAGGAGAAAGCTTGAAGAGTGAAACATTACTTCCATGGCTGACATCGGAGACAGAGCGATTGATTTACTGATATACTATATTCAATTCATTCATTGATTTGCTGAAAAGGCCATATTTATATAAATTATACACTGGCCATAGGGTTGACTTTTCAAAGAGGGCCACGTCTCGTTATTTTGTCATGTGACGTTTAACTAGCGCTTCGGGAGTATAAAATAAAGTGCTTTGTTTTTTCTAGCCATGAAAAGTTTTTGCCTTTTATAACCTATAGTTTCTGTATTACTACCATTTTCGGTTTTCCTTGTTGTTAATTATAAAAAGTAGAGATTACAACAGCTACAACAGCTTTTAGACACAAAAGGATTCATACGCAGTTATTTTTGATACAATTGGGATAAAACTCTAAGATGAATTGCGATCCAGAGAACTGAAACATCGGCTATCTATACTAATATATGAAGAGAGACGAATGCAAGGCAACATCGGAATCTATTCACCTAATTTGTGTCTCTTTCTCTCACACATCATAGCCTTCTGCCAAATATAATACTCTCGTATCATTACGGTGATGAAAAAAAAAATCGTTACTTGTAAAAATATTTACTTGAATAAATCAAATAGCATTTCAACTAATAGAAAGAGAGAGAGAGAGAAAAATAAATTATGAATAATTTTTTGTACAGAAAATTAGAAGTAAAATAACTAAATACATAGTTCAGAAGACTACATAAGCATGTAAGTAAACCAATGTACATCGGATGTTTATGAATTTTTGGGACTATTTTATGAGAAAGAAAAGAATTGAGGGGGCTCCGAGCAAAACATTTTAGACAGTTAAAGAGGACTCCTCTCTCTCTCTCTGTACATAAATTTATATAAATTAAAGGATCAAAGAGAGATTTCTTATATTTTGTGATAAAGGCCAAAAAAAAAAAAAAACACAACTCTGTTATCTCTCTGTTTCTCTTTACATGAAGTAGCTGAGTGATGTCTTCTTCCTCGAGCCTCCTTCTCCATAGAGCTCGTTCCATTGCTGAAGCTCATTCATGTTCGATGAATCAGACGACACACTCGCACATACCTACAACACAAACAATTAAATCCCAAAACTTGGACCAAATGTGAAACTAGCTTTGTATTTTTCACTCTTCCATACCTGTTCATGCGCGGACTTGAAATCACTCATGCTCAAGGGTCTAATGTCCGTACTGTTATACAATTGTGGCATTGGTTGATTTTCGGCTTCAGCCACACTTCTCTCCTGCGAGTCAGACAAAGCATTGATTTCTGGATTTTAAAGAAGGAAACCCCACAAATGTAATAACCACTTGTGATTTTGAAATAAGAGCCACAAACCTTCTTTTCTTTTTCCAGTATCTCTCGGATGGGAAGATGCGCCGCCGTCACGCAAAGATTCTGCAAACCAAGATTGTATGTTTTTAAGAAATGTTGTCATTTCCTTGATTTAGAAAAAGGAAAAAACCAAACCTTTAAGTCACTCCCTGAGTACCCATCTGTCATATTTGCTATTGCTTCTAAATCTACATCTTCTGCCATCTCTTCTTTCGCCAAAATCACGCTCAAGATCTTCGATCTGTTTGCTGAATCCGGCAGATTAACCATCAACCTGCACAGACGATCTTTTATAAGCAGCGGTTCTTCGAAGATGACAAAATGATACATCAAACCGAGAATTGCTGACAGTTTAATACCTTCGGGGAAGCCTTCTAATTACTGCTTCGTCAAGGTCGAATGGTCTGTTGGTAGCAGCTAGTACTAAAACTCTCTCTCTATCCTTTGTGCGTAAGCCGTCCCAGTTTATCATGAATTCGTTCTTCATCTTACGCATAGCCTCATGTTCTCCTGGATTCTCGCGTCTTCCCAACATGCTATCAACCTAAATGATTTTGTTCATCGTTCAAAGATATTCACAAGGAAAAAAATAATGTAATGAGATCGTGAAACAAAAAACTAATGAGAAAGTTTCAAACAAAAAAAGAGAGGAAAAGAGACAGGGAGGATAGCTATTTGTTATACTCTTGCAACATACCTCATCAACAAAAATGACGCTTGGAGCTATCTTACTTGCTAAAGAGAAAACAGCTTTTACATACTTCTCTCCCTCGCCAAACCACTGCAAGAAAAATCTAAATGTCACGTCTAATCTCAACGGAAAGACTACTGCTGGTCAAGTCACGGTTTTAAGAAATAAATACCTTTGAAGTAATGCTGGACATTGAAATATTGATGAAGTTTGCACCAGCCTCAGTTGCCACTGCCTTTGCCAGCATTGTCTTCCCCGTACCAGGCGGTCCAAACAACAGTATACCCTTTGTAGGCTGCAATGCAAAAAAAAAAAAACAGTTACGTTTCAGTTTCCAGAGAAGCGGAAGAGAAACAAACATTTGAAAATTAAGAGCGATAAAGGTACCTTTGTAAGCTGTCCTTTGCCAAACAATTCGGGTCTTTGAAGAGGAAGCATCACCAACTCCTTCAAGGTGTCTTTCACATTTTCCAAAGCCCCAATATCATTGAAAGAAACACCGATGTCACTTGAAGGAATGACATCTGATAGGAGTTTTTTCTCGAATTCATTCTCAGTAACGACGTCCTGAAATGATATATAGCACTGTAGTTGTTAAAAATCCAGAAGAAACTAGGTCAGCCTAGGAAATGAGATAAGGGTAATGAATATTACTTTGAGAGACTTCTTCGTGCTCTTGTTTTCGTTTTGAACTCCATGCAACACCTGCAGGCCAGAAGTGATGCTGCAAAACACGCCAAAAGTTTATTTTTCCAGACCATATCACAAGCAAAATCCAACTTACACTGCAGGATCTTTAATTCAGAGTTCTTATTCAAAGAAGCTCACCTTTCCGCGGAGATGATAAGTTTGTTGTCTTTGACCGTCGGTTCTGAGCAGCTCATAAGATGTTGACTCAAAGCCCAGCCAATCACTTTCTCCACACCTATTAATCATACAGTTCTGAGTTAGACAAATAACCGGACACTCAAAGAAGAAAGACAGAAAATGCAGAGTGAAAGATGCCCACTATCAGACGGAAGGGTTTGATCTTTGATGGACAAGGTTTCAAGGTCAGGGCATTCCAAACGGTTTTTGCTAAGGACCTGCAAGAACCATTAACAAAGACATAAGGAAAATACAAAATAAACAAAAACCAGGAACATTTAGTTAGACATGGGATTTCTCTGCTCACCGCACGGATGCTGGCAATGTTAGCTTGGGCCTTCAGGATCTCCGTATCACGATCAAGTTTCTCCTTCCAGTCCAACAGCAAAGCTTCGTCCTGTTAAGATTTTGAGAAGAAAAGAAAATAAAATAAAAAGAAACAAATGACCCTAGACAGGAAAGAAGAAGGAAAACGGCTCAGACCTCAGGTAACTGGATGGTCACTTTGTTAGGAAACAGCCTAGCGATTTGTTTCGCTGATTTCGGCATTTCTTTGTTCCTATCATGCAGTCTACCACCAAAGTTATCCTGCAGATGACATGAAAAATTACTCCCAACACATCAAAGAGATAAATTTGAGCATATGTGTATATGCTGCATCGTGACTTACAAGTTACAACTCAGAGGAAATTTTTTTTATTAGAAATGGAAATTATTAAAGATGATTCTGGTTATCATACCGGAAATGCAAGATCCAGCAATGCTGTCTGGTTGCTGCCAAACTTTGTGAACAAGAAACCTCCAGGGTGGGACTGTAAATGAATTATCAAAAATTCAAATTAAATTATTTTGAAAAGAACTTAACAAAATTAAGACAAGGTTAAGCATACGAAAAGAGAGGTTAAATAGATTTCCTACTTTCTCCTTTCGGCTGTCCAACTGGGTTTGTGAGGCTATGACAACAACATTCTCCGGTAATTTCTCGAGCTTGCTCTTCAAAGTTACATACACATCACTGTTCCCCGACAGAGATTTCTCAATGTCTTTCAGGAACAATATCAATGACCCGTTTTCACTTTCATTTAAAGCCACCTACAGTATCATCCAAAGAGATTGATTAAAAGGGTTCTTGTCGCTACAGGAACTAAGTAGTACTCTTCAAATTAGATAGAGAAAAATGTGGTAAAAACTACCTCAAAGATTTCTTTAACGGCAAGTCTATCAGCATCATCACTGGAAGAACAATCTAACCGAAGTGAACTTGCTGAACACGTAGAAGGACATTAGTACAATTATTTTCAATGCAAAAGTGCAGTAGATATTAGAACGAAACTTACCAGTACAAAAAAAACCCCGGTCTTCTTCACATAGACCACCAAGATCATTGCCATCTGCTATCGGCCTATCGAATCTAACCCCGATTTTTGAAGATCCATTGTCTTCAAATGCAAGGAGTACTTTTCCCTGGAAACCCATTATCGGTCCCCTAGATAGAATAGCATGAAAGCAGAAACAATATTGAGTTTTCATAACAAAACCAGCATTAGATATAAATACTTCAAACAAAAGATGGGAAGAAAAACAGCAAACCATACCTAAGTGGAGCGTGGAGAGAAGCAAGTGAAGAAGTTAAAGGGCCTACAAACTTTACTCGATCACCTAAGAATTACAGAAATGCTTCGTTCAGTTAAAAAGAAAGTGGCACAAAAACGAAACTGAAAAAATTATACATAAGCAACCATACCTGCTTTGAAGGTGTAACTTTTAGAGGTTGCAGTTGACACTTCTTGCCTCGGGATAGCCTGAGAACTCAGTGTTGACCCACCTGTTATATCAGCCTCGACACTTGAAGTTGGTTTCTTATGCTGCAAAACAGCAGCATGCGCAGCCTGTACGGCACGTTTAGCAAGCGCAGACAGTCTTTCACGCCTTGAACTTTCTTTGGTTGAATCTGCTTCCTTGGCTGTTGATCCCTGAAGCCATGCAGAAAAAAGTAGAAAATCAATGCTTGAGTGTAAACTCCCATTAAATAAAGAGATTGCCGGACAGATATAGAGGTGCTTGGAACTAATAGTCAACAGTGCCAAGAAAATACCAATATGCTCAAAATTCTAAATTAGAGAATTAAAACTGAGACAAATATGCATAAAACCAAACGCTCAAAATAAGAAAATAATGTAAAGGCTAGCTGGAAGTTTACCCCAGGTAACAAGAGAGAGTCGACAATCATCAATTTGGCCCCAAAATTTTTGGCAAGTGCTTTTGCTAACATTTCCTGATATATCTCAGAGCCTTCAAACATTCCATATGAAAATTTTGTTAGGAAAGTGAAAATGAGAAACAAAATAACTATAAGCAATACTTGTCCAGAGTTTCCCTCATACCAGCTGGTCCAGAGAGCAAGATACGGGGACACATTGTTGACAAATCGGATGTATACTTTGCGAACTTGCTTCCACACTTCATATGGACATATGTTGATGTAATCAAAACATCCTTGGTTGTGCCACTGTGACAATTCAGAAAGTTGTTTATCAAAACTTGGAAGACCACAACAATACGTGTTGTCCATCTTGTCACAGTTTGTATAACAGCAATTTAATGAATAAAAGTTGTATACCACCACAGACCTTAAGAAATATGGGAAGTTCTCAAAAGAAACTTCTATGTCCTGAGGATTGAGTACCCCAGCTCGCAGAAAATCCTTATGAGCTTGACGTCTAGTTGATACCAAAGCTGATGAAGTGTCATCTTCTTTAGGCGTCTCCTTCACTTCCCTTCGATCATCCACCAGTAATTTCGAAATGCTACCTCTTAAATCAAATTCAGAAGGATCCCCAAGTAAGCGCAAAATGGGTCTAAATTCATAACCAGAACCAGGAGTATCTCCACCATCAGCTTCTTGAAAAGGATCCAATCCATTAACATCAGCATTCTGGTCATCATCGTTGGTCGAAGCAACGGTTTTCTCGGTTGAAGCAATAGCAGCTTGGTCATTGTTACTATCAGCATCGTTCATGTCAACATCCGGAATAAAACCATTGCAACTAGAAGGGACTTCCGAGTTTTGCTGCCTTTTGACATTTTTAGCAGTAGGCGGTAGAAAAGGGACATTGCGCAACTTTGTTAGGGACGCCAATAAATCAACAGATGAAGAGTCTCCTGCTCTTGTCTCAACATGAAGCCCTTTCAGAGGGTCACTCTGCGCTTCGAATATGCTCAATGAAGAAGCTCTGTCTGGTGCAGCTAGATTTTCATCTTTAAGAGGCTGAAATATCTAAACACTCGTCAAGGAAAACAAAAAAAAAAAATTGAATAACCACTGATTCAAGATAGCAAGAATCCAATAAAAGCAGAAAATATATATGATCCCTAAATGTGGACAACTTTCCAGTCTGAAAAGGATACATAAGCATGTTTCCCAGGGGTGCTGAAGACAACCTCATCCCCACCTCGTAGGTGAACGCAAGTGCCCTTTGGGTAAATCTTGCCATTGACCTGAACAAGAACTCCACTTCCTATTATCTCCAGCGATGCAACTGATGGACCTCCGTGCTGCAAAAAGAAAAGCATTGTAACTATTAAAAAAAGGGGGCTCTTTTGTGCTTTAGGCTAGTGCAAGACCAATCAGATACATGTCCATACCTCGGACTGCCTCATTTCACATAGAACGCTGGGCATAGATTGGTCTTTGATACATAAATCGCATCCTCGCCGTCCAACGGTAAACACAGAGGCTCTCATGACACGATGAGGGTTCTACAATTGCAAATAAATTTCCGACGACAGTCAGCTCAAAATTGTACATACATTAACTCAACCTCTTAAGTCGAAAGCAACGATCTTTACTAAATCGCAGACAGAGCCTAACGGGGAAACATGCAAACAACATATAAAAGAAGCAGTCGCACCTGAGGATACTGAGAAAGCAGCTTCGCCCACGGAGCCTTTGCAGTCCGCTTCTTTGCGGATTTCGACTTCTCAGCTTCCGCCACAACTTCGCCTGCAAACCCAATTCCACACATATGAGAGAGAGAGAGAGAAAAGAGAGAATTTCCTTGGTGAAAGGACAACATGCAAGATGCGAACCTGCGGGCGTAGGTGTCACCAAGCCTTGGACTTCTGGATTCATGTCGGTATCAGGACACTTCTCCGTCTCCGGCACATCGGTTGTAGTGGCTGGCCTTTCTGCGTCATTAGTCTGCAGATCACAAGTTCTCAGTTCCGGCTCTCCAGATTCCGATCCAGGATCCGAATCCGGGTTTTGTTTTCCAATCGGCACCTCACTCGCCGACGATGACCCTGCCGGTTCCGCCGCCGCCGCCTAGAGATTCCCAAAACCAAAAAGCTCGAAATCAACGAGAAGGAAAACACGAAATTCGAAAAAAAAAACCCTTATTCAAATCCAGGAGACGAGAATTAAGCCTCCAAAAGCGAAATCCACAAATCCAATGGAAATAGTTACGCACGGATGAAACTGAAGCAGAAACGTTGGTCTCGATCTTAACCTTGGATCGTTTGCTAGGCCGTGACGATGAAGTCTCAGGAGAAGAAGAACAGAACCGCTTCGAAGCCGAAGAACTACGCCTTGTCTCCACCATATCTCTCTTCTTCTTCGCCGCCGCTTGATCCAAAGAAGAGACGCTTCGAGAGAGAGAGAGAGACCAGAGAGATTTCGTAAGGAATGGAAGATTTACTGCAAATTCAGTTTATCTTTGTGTATAATAATAATATTTTAGAACTGCAACTTTTTAATTATATATATATAAGTGCGTATCTGGATATATTTATATGTACAAATTTGTCATATTTCTATAAAAACAATTGTTACATTTCTTTTAGCTTTAAGGAAAGTATTTTATTCCCGTATTAAATGTTTTTTAAAAAGGACAGAACTTAATTGAATACAAAACCAGCTCCACTTGAGCTTTTGACCAAAGACGCAGATAATCTGTTTAGATATTTGAGGGATGTTTTGTGTAGATTCTCTCTTGCTTTATTGTAGAGATTAAAATTCTAACGCCCAACGGTCATTATTAATTTTGCCAACCAAAAAAAAAAAAAAAAAAAAGAGATCCCGATTATTATCTTACTATATGATTTCAAGCTTACAATAACAATTCGCTATACAGTATAAATTAATGGTTTGGAACTTACAAGTTACTACAAGACTTGAGAATATTCTGCAAGACCAATTGAATATTTTGCCCCCAAAATAAGGGACCAATTATTTATCTCAAATTATTAAGGTTTAATTGTTTATACGGTTTCAATTTTCATCGTTAATCGTGGGTTTAAATGTGGACAACTTGAGTTGACATGCGTTTATTGCATCCGAAGTAACAATTTTTACAGGCTTACAGAAAATCCACTTGATCATTATTCATATAAGTTGTACTCTCTGTTTTTTCCAAGTTGCATTTTTTTAAGGTTCTCGCAACGTTTAAAGATTTGTTATGGTAGTAAATAGAACCTCTTTTATTAAGGTTCTCACTTATCAATTTCATCAATTAGGAAATGTATTAATATACAAATTAAATATAAAAAACATATAATATGAATAAAAACAGAGATCAAAATGGATTTTAACAATAATGATCAGAAAAGAGAAAAAAATTCATATCCAAAAAAACCAACATGTATAGTTTGCAGATATGATGTTGCAAAATGAGTTTCAAACCTAAAATTCTTCAATTGTAAGTGGAAAAACTATGCAACCACCAAACTCCTTATCAGTTAGGAGACAGAACCGAATGTTGAATTAAGCACGTGTTTACGTGATTTGATCCCGCCATTTATATAAGCAGTAGTGATAGGCTAAAGGCCCATTAGCATGGTGTACTTTCTCGGCCCATTATCATGGTGTACTTTCTCGGCCCATTAGCATGGTGTACTTTCTCGGCCCATTATTTCCCTAAAGTGGCACTTCATGGTGAAATGGAAAAACAAAAAGGTTAATAGATGAAGCAACTTTTAAGTCAAACATCTTTTAGTTGTTGGGGTTCAGGTTGAGAGTTGGTCGCTTATGTGTTACAGCTTGAGCACGTATCCAACGCTTTTTAATCGACCTACAGGCTAGAAATCGGCCACTCAATCCGAGTTTTAAAAGCGGTTTAGGAACAAACCGAACCTGGTTTTGATCGAACACTTGGTTAAAGCAATGGACATGAATATTCAAAGCTTAAAGCAGAATTAAACACTTGATGGATCATTATAAACCCAAGATTATTCACATACAAATCCAACCTTGTGGGTAATATAAGTTAAAACAGCACGTAAAGAAGAAGAAAAAGAGAGCTTCTTTATGGATCTAACTCCTGCAACGAGCAATTGCGCTGCAACCACGACTGTAAGGATTAGCCTGAGCTCCGTTCTGACAGTTGTAATAAGACGCACCTCTCCTCGAACAAGGCACACTGTTCCGCTTCAAAGATTGATAGCTTATGTATTTTGTTGTCGCCAATATTCTTCTGTTGATCTCTGAGTCCATCTCCTCTTCCTCTGCCCCAATACAGTCTGCTATTGAACCGTGGCAGCCTGAGCCATGGACACCGGTTGTGGTCCATTCTAAACCGTCGAGGTCATTGGTGAAGCCGGCTTGGACCAGAGGTGAAGAGATTATGAAGAAGCTGAGAATCATAAGGGTTGGAAACAGAGTAAACGACTTGGCCATTTTCTTGGTTTTTCTTCTTTCTTTTGTGTTATTATTGTTGCTTAAGTTAATGTTTATATATCATGGTGAGTGCGTGGACTAAGTTTTTGTTTTTTGTTAGTGGTTGAACAATTTTTCTGTTTTTGTATTCTTATTAGAAATAATTGTTTTTTTGGTTTTTTACTTTGAACAAAATAATTAGGATAGCATGACGATATCCTTTGTTAATCCAAAGGCCTAGTTACGATCATCTTTTTTTTGTTTGTTCTCTCTGTTTATGCCTCTGGTATACTCAAGTTTTGAGAAATTCTATCGAGCTTTTGTTGATTAAATAGACGTATTTTAACAAAAAACTTAACAATATATCATCTAAAATTATCATGTATTGCGATATTCACAGAAATGCCACTTGACAATGAATTCGAAAAGATTATGCAAATTCATGATTAATTAATTGGAGAATTGTTGGGAGTGGTTGAATATTTGTTAGAACCGACACGAAATGTACTAAAACGATTTGATATATATATATTTCTGAGCGGTCAAGCCTCTTTTCATCATCCATTTGAAAATTTTAAAATCAACATTATCATCTTTTTAAAATTGAGCAGAAAGCATTGAATCTAGTTTACATAATGAATTTATAATTGGTAAAGTGGCAAATTACTTTTCTTTATCGATAACTGAGTCATTATATTGATTTTCGTATCTTCATTTCAATATATGCGTATGCATATTGTCATTTCTCTAGATACATTCAGTAAACATCGATTATTGGCATCGACCGATCAGATCAGTATTTAGTTATTGCAAATTATAGTTGCTAATAATGAAGAGGTCTCCCTTCGTACCAACTAATTTTTAACTACTGCATTTCAAATACATATATTTCTTTTTTACATGGTTCGCTCTCTAAATAGTAGAACAAGGAAAAGCTATGATTCGTTTTTATCTTCCCCAACGACTATGAAACGAGTTGGGCCATCGGTATCCCAAGAAAACAAAATAAACAAAACCTAACCCCTCTCAACTAATCTAAAATCATGGAGAATTATTAGACTAGCACTTTTTAATAAATCATGTTTTAAATGATACAATACTCTTGTTTAGAATCCCAGTTTTGATTTCTGACCGAATCAAAACGCGTTTCATGCCTAACAGCCTCTGATATAACAATCTTTAGATCCATGAATCAGCCGTATCATTAAAACAAGAATTAATGATGCTAATATGTAATGAGGTTCACAGCCTAACGACTCATTTAAGAGAGTCACCGAAACTAATACAAAATTAAATTTCCTCTTGAAAATGCAAAAACCTGTGTTCACATATATAGTATCAATCTCATGGACTTGTCAACACAATCAAACAATACAGAGCTTTCCTTCTCCTAAGAGCTCGCTCTCTCTCTCTCTCTCTCTCTCTCTCTCTCTCTTAGTATTTTCCAAGGTTTCATGAAGGTACACTATGCAAGAGAGCTTCGCAGTTTCATCTTTCTAACTTGCTGAGCACGTCATCCATCGGTGGCAACTCCTTCGAGATCTCAGCCCAATCCGGCATCCCCTGAATAACAGAATTTTTTTCCCTTGCATCTCAGATACACAAAACCGCTTTTATAATTGATGCACAGATATCAGAACAATAACCAAAACTATTCTCCAGTCAAGACCTCAATGATCCATTTTTGCAACATCCATGACCATGAGAAACAAGAAGAGGAGAAAGGTTTCTAGATGAAACTTACTTTACCGGATCTGCGGACTCGACCATCTAACCGCAGTATGATGTACACATCCTCGCCCGGGACAACTCCTTCAGCTATCTGTTGATCTCTTATCCACCTGAAACAAACAAAACCAAAGAGATCTTTAAGACTCAAAAGCAGAGTTTCTATCAAACTTTGATCAACAAAGAGGCGATGAAAGTTTCTACCTTTCCCATTCACCAGGCGAAACAATCTCCGACTTAAACCTGATTTCACCTTTCAGCTTTGATTGGGCAACTACCGACTGAGCCCGTGTATCGAAATCTTCCTACCAAGTAAGAAAAACCACTGCTTTGCAAAATGAGAACGAAGATGAATATTTGTATTCGTTCCATGATAGAATCTTTTTCGTTACCCCAATCGAAGGAAGAGATGTAGCTGACTTTGAAGAAGCTCCAAAGCCCTTTTTCTTCTCGATTTCCGGTGTTTTACGTTCACCCCATACCACGGGAACTAAGAGAACACCTCGTCGTAGGAGCTCCGTTCTGAACCTATCTGCCTTTTGCATCGCGAGTGTAACAGACTCTTTCTTTCCCGCTAGAATAACCTAACAATCACTTAAACTGATTCAGAAACTCAACACAGAATACGAATACTCGAGGCAGCAAAAAAGTGGTATAAAAGACTCACTGGTCGAACAGTATCCCTTAGCTGCACAAGTTCAACAACACGGTTCGTTGACAGGCGCAGAGGCAACCGTGAAAGAGTTTCGTCTCGAGTTATCTGAACCATTTGTTCTTCCTCTTTCTTGTTTTCCCAAAGGAACAATGAAACCAGAACAACAATACCTGTACATTGCTGTTCCAAAAGCTTAAGTCACATGAAAAAGAGAGAAAAAAAAATTAAAACTTTAGATTCGTATGGAGTCTTTGGACTCACCTCCAATGTTAATTGCAGCATTTCCTGTAGTTTCCAGAAGATCTGGAGCACCATCACCGCCTCTAATTGCCTGAATCAGTCTTGGTACTGTGAAGAGCGTCGAGATACCTGCTGCTGCAGCAAATGCAAAATAGAAGAATTTTCTAAAGCCACGAAACGGTGCTCGTACTTCGCTGATGAGCTTCAGATCTCTTCGGAAACTATCTCCAATATCTTCACCACCTAGCCTAGCCTGCGCAAATTCGGAAGAATGTTTTCGCCAATGAGAAAGTTCTTCTTGGGAAATAAGAACTGGATAACAAAAAAAAAACAGAAATGTACAAGACCTCTTCTTGAAGCTCCTTAAACTCAGGTAATGCGCGAAAGGATGCTAAATCAGGATCATTAAGGATTGTGGCAAACTTGAGATTATAATCTCTCAAAGCGACTCTCAAGCAATCAGCAGCTTTTTTTCCTTCGCCCCTACCTCGAGACGATAAACAATAGGGATTGAAATTAAAGAGAAGAGAGTCTCATCAGGATCTTCTACATGGGTGGTTCTTATCAAACTCCTCATCGGTATATGGTTCGAGGTTCTTACCGGTAAGCATGACAACATGCTTTGTTATAGTAAGCAGCTTGTGACTCAATAGGATTTGGATCTAAACTCAGTGCTGTTTCAAACTGGACAAGAGCATCTTTGACCTGAAATTAACCACAAAACAACATTCATTCAGTTTATACTCCATAGAATCAAACTGGTGGAAATTTTGTTGAAAACGGGTGACTGGTGAAAGTAGTTAAATTTCATCAAACTTAGGGTTATAAAGTAGTTAAATTGCAATCAAATTGTTTACGATGTTATAAAGAGCCATAGAAAACGAAAATGCGACTGAAACATTTTGACCTACGATCGTATTTATCATCCGGTTCGAGCTCGAGAACTTACCCGTCCTCTCTTAAATAGATCGAGGCCAGTGTTAACGCACGACTCCGCCGTGAGAGCATCCGTCGGAGAGTACGGAGACGGAGGTGAAGACGACGAAGATGGAGAAGAGGGGGAAGCGAAAACAAGGAGGTGGGAATCCCAATTCCGGCGAGAATCGAAAAGGGTCGCGTCCCCTGGTAGTAGCCATGGCCGTCGTTTCTTCACTCTCGAGAAAGGGTTCGAGACGCGGCGGAGGAAATGGCGGTTGAGCGACGGAGCGGTAGCCACAGCCATTCAATTTTCTTCTCCGCTTCTCCAAATAAACAAATCTTTTATCTTAGAAACACTTCCCCTTTTTTTTAAGTTCTCTATTTTTATTTCGGAAAATGATATTTATCTTTTTTTTTAAAAAGTATATGACAAAATAAAAAGTATTTCATATTAGATCATCATAAGAGTAGTAGTTGAAAAAAAAAAAAAAACAGTAGTAGTTGAAATCAAAAAGATAGGGACATGAACTAATTACTCTGTTTTAAATATAAGACTTGTAACTGAAAATTGCATTCAAACCAATTTCTCAATAAAAGACAGAGGACACATGAAAACAAAAACATAAATTACATTAAAAGGAAGATGTCTAAAGTCAAGAATGAGATTTCGTACCAATGCAGTAGCTAGACTTAAGATAGATAGATGAATTAACTAAAAAAACTGTTTTTATAAATCAAGACTCATATAACTGAAGATTACAATCAAATCAATCTCTCAGAAACAAAAACAGAGTACACACACACAAAGAGAAGAAGAAAAACAGAGGAAACACACACGCAGACAACAGAGTTTCCGAGGATTGGGCAATGAAGTCGCCGCCACTTATTGCAATATGTGGATGAAGAGTTTGATTTAACAATCCACTCAAACGAGGATCTTCTGAGAAGAAGGCCTGGAAGTGATGTCAGCAACCCAAGCAGTGACATGTGGACGCTCATCAAAGTGCTTCTTGATTGGAGTACCAAGCAAGTACTGGATCACAGGGATATGGTGAAGATCGACCAAAGTGAACTGATCACAAGACAAATACTTAGACTGGCCAAGCCTAGCTTCGTAGACATCAAGCACTTTGGCTAACTTAGCCTCTTCTGCTTCAACGACGGCTTGGTCGGTGGTCAAACCGAAGATGTGCTTGAAGATTATCTCCCAGCAAAGCTTTGAAGCAACTGAGTCAAACTCGTGAGCTTCTATTTCCATGCCCATGGCCATGATTGCCATGTTCTTGGGGCCAAGTGACAGAAGCTGGTTTCCTTTGTCTGAGTATTCATGAGCTATGTATTGAGTAATTGCTCTTGATTCTGCATTAAAATGAATAATAAGATTCAAGTTCCATTTTTGACCGAAAAGCTTGAAGTCCTAAAGTTAAGAGTTGTTGTTTTTTTACCGAAAAGCTTGAAGTCTCCATCTTCAAAAGCTGGAACTTTACCAAAAGGCTGCAAAACAATTTTCAAGAATTTCCGACCAACATTCAGTTATCTAAATAAAAACGGTCTTTATATTGACAATATTACTATGTTACAATATGCTTACGTTGCGGGAGAGGAAAGGCTCTTTCTTGTGTTCACCATCTTTGAGCTCGACATGAACAAGCTCAAAGTCAAGATCTTTCTCATGCAGAGCGATGAGAACTCGTCTCGTGGCTGTTGAAGCAGGGTGCCCAAAAACTTTGATTCCTGCCATTAATTTAATGCTACTTCTTTTTTTGTTTGCAATAACCTCGAATCTAATCAAAGGTGAGAGATTTCTGAGGTTGATGAAATAAAATACACAAATGGAGGAGTGTATTTATACAGCTGAAACAGGGTACTAAGTTAATAAACAAAAACCAAAGCAGCGCCACCAATCTTGAATATAGGGTTATTTCAAAGCCAAGTTGATATTTGTATGAAAAACATATTAATTAATGTACTATGAGTATGTTTTGCGTTTCTATTGGTTCGATACTACAGTTAATATAAAACACTAAAATAAGAGAAAAGCAGCCACCGCGTGATAACGACCAAAACTCTTTTATCTACAAGTCAAAGTTTGACCGGCACTGGTAGGTTCATGTGGATCGTCGGGTGCTCAAATTAGATCGTCGGTCTCTGCGTTTTCTTGATTTCATACCATATAATGCGAGTTAACAGTATGGTTAAGAAAAACAAACAGGACAAAGGACTTTCGGTTTCACACTTTTGACAATATGATACAAAGTCGGGGGTCAACAAATCAATCAAAGTTGAAACAGCGATGCACGAAATTATATAACTACCATATATAAAATACATTACGAAACTTAAAACTACATTCATCACACATATATAAACCAAACAGGACGCATCTTATAAGATCTCATCACACAACAAACAACACAAGCTTACAAATAAAGGACACAAACGCAACACACAAAGACATTAATCCACACAATTTTTTTATTTTTTTTTAAGTTCATTTACTTCCTTTGCTTACCAAACCAAGACTTGTCTTGATCACAAGCCATCTTCCAAGCCTCTCTACTCGTAATCTCATCCACCCACTTACGAACTTTAGGTCGATTTTCGAACAATCTCTTCGTAGGAGTTCCCAAAAGGTATTGTATATTGGGTAGGTGGTGAAGATCAACCAAAGTAAAGGTATTACAAGCCAAGAATTTAGATTCTCCGAGTCGTTTCTCGTAGATATTTAGAACCTTCTCTAGATTAGCCTCGCTTTGTTTGACGACCGTGTGGTCAGTTTCTAGACCGTAGAGAGGCTTAATGGCTTGCTCCCAAGTGAGTTTCGATGCGACTGGATCGAACTGGTGAGCTTCGATTTCCATCCACATTGTTAGTGTTGCCATTGTCTCGTGGCTTCGAAGATTCAGAAGTTGTGTGCCTCTTGAGCTATGAACATATGCGATGTATTGTGTGATGGCTCGAGACTCTAGAAGGAGAAATATTAGAAATTGAAATTAGTCCCAAAAATCTATCAAAATGATATCAGACGATAATAAACAAATTAACTCACCACACAGCTTAACGTTTCCATCTTCAAAAACTGGGATTTGACCAAATGGCTGCATCAATAGCACTTAGTTTAAGACTTGAAACCCTTTTACACTGCGAAGCTACTACTCTTTCGATTTTTATTATTGCGATAAAATAACTTACGTTGAGAGAGAGGAAAGATTCACTTTTGTGTTCACCGGCTTTCAAATCGACGGTAATGGGATCGTAAGAGAGGCCTTTCTCAAGGAGAACAGCGAGAACACGCCTCGTGTTGGTGGAGAAAGGATGTCCATGAACCTTGTAACCTTAATATATATTCCACCATATTTTTCTCACATTAGAAACGAAATTCAGAAATGAGATATATACTTGAAGTCAACTTTAGGACGAACTTACCGAAATCAAATTCTATATCTTAAGTTTTTTTTTTTTTTTAAATATATAAAATCTATATATATATATATCTTACCGAGCTTTTTTACTTCTGCCTCACGCTTCCAATTTGGCATAAGCTTGAACACCATCTTCATGCAGTCCATGGAGAGAGGACTTGTATTAGTATTTGTATAGCTCATTGATAACTCGATGATAAATTGTACATCTGTTTATATACCAGTCATGTTAGATGTCTTTCTTTCTTTTGCAATACAAAAGCGAGGAACATTTTGCTTTTACCTGACATCGACGTAAAGGGTTCCCATCTTTCTTGTGTATCAAGAGATGAATTGTTCCAATGATACCAATTATCAACTAGGGGTTTAACCGAACCAAACCAATACCAAAATCATACCGGGGAGAATATTATAAGAAAATGTTCCTTCTGTGCTTTAGTTTTAAGCAAATTACGATTTTATCATGTTATTCTTTACGTTCCATTATTGAAGTGCTAAATTAAGACAAGGACGAATAGTGGCCTTTTTAGCTTCGAGAGGTTACCACAAACTATAATTATATTAGATTTTGAGATTCGCCAAATTAAGCTCAAGAAAGGCATCAAACCAACAAAGGCGAGTTGAACAATAATTTGCAAGAATTGATTTACATTACGCCTTTAATGGGTCCAAAATCAACTCTGATTCATGAATCGCACAACATTTCTAGTATCCTCTTCTTTTTTTTTTTAACAAATCACATAATTTTGGAAAAAATGTTATTTGCGTTCTACAGTCCTACTATTTTTAATATAAACAAGAAAAGTCCAATATTCTGCAATTTTTCAGTTAAGTTGATTATTCATTTCATTTTCCACGAACCCGCTAATCAGAGCTTTAAATATCGATTTTATATGATGTGATCAAATCATTTGAAAGTTTTTACATATTGCTTCTTTTTTGGGTTTTAGTGACATTTGTGTGAGTTATACATTACAGACTTGAGAAATATGAACACAAAATAATCACCTCATTGGTGTTCTTCATTTCCATTTCGTTCCTGTTGCAATTGAAAAGAAAAATATCACAAAAGAGTTTAATGGCATATTGACATGAGATAATAGCATGAAGAGTAAATTCAAAACTGACCATGGCGCATATAGACGGACAAAGCTCCCGATTTCGATATCAACATCCGCGCAAACTTTAGGATTGAAGATGATTGTTGTTTCTGTTTCTTTGGCCGCAAGAGCTTGTGTGCTCTTAAGCAAGAGGGAGTCCTACAAAACCGAGTGTGTGTGGGACTCAATGCTTATAAAATCAAATTGATACATCTTCAAGGGGTTTAGCTAAAGGAACTGTTTTAGTAGATCGAGAGAGAAACCCCAGAAAGGTCGATGACAGAGCATTTGCAGACAACCAGCTTTCCCTCCAAGTGTCTTGTCATGATATTTACATCCACATAGCTCGACGCATCTGAGTTGGGAAACGGGAAATGAGATAAGGAAGCAGAACAAAAGTATGAGCTAGGTTTTGTTTATATGGGAGTTAGGAACCAGCATTACCTGCTTGTCCGACTCCACCCTGCAATTTCTTCGTGATTTCTATTTCCGTCTCTTTTTCTTGTTTCATGATCTGTTGTAGCTTCCCATACAGGCCAGAGCCGCTGCACATACAGGGTTTGATGTTAAGTGATATGTAAGATTTAAAGTGTGGAACCCTGAAAGGTGTTGAGAATTTGATTACCCAGATAGTTTAGGTGAACCGAACAAGAGACCTTCCTTGCTCAAAGAGGAAGCTTTTATTGCTTCATCAAACCGGTCTCCAACAAATTGTTTCTTCTGGTTGGAATCGTTTGGCACTGGGCTTTGATAACTAGGCTGTGTACCAGAACAATATTGTTTGTATTTGGTTGTAAACTGAGAAGAAGGAAACGAACCAAATCATAGCAAAGAAAGAGAACAAAACCTCATCATCGTGTGATGATGATTCACAATCCATGGGTCCAGGAAGTTCATCATCAGTATCACAATCTTGGAAGTTCGATGAACTTCCCTTATGAGCAAATTTCAAACTTTTTCCCAAGCGCCTGCTGTACTGGAGCAGAAAGGAGGCCAATGAATGAAACAGAGAACTGAGCAAAGTAACAAATCAAATAGCTAATCCACTGGATAAAGAAAGATCACCGGTTTAGAGCTTCTTTTCATCACTCTAAGCTTGTCTGAAGGAAGGACTAAAAGCTTGGCTACCGCATCCTCAGTGTACCCGTTTAGAACCTCCATCGACTCAGCAACAGAATCGTTGGCGCATTCAGCGATTGGATCTTCCTCCTCCTCCTCCTCTATCGCCTGCTCAGCAGCAGGGTCAAAGTTTTCGGCCATGTCACTTATCTTAGATAACGTTTCTCCATGAGTATGTGAGTGGAATGAAAATTTCGGCCTCATATGATCTTTGACAACTGCGAAGACAATAGAAACCCAACTCAAAGATTTTCAGAAGTCTAAGACCTGCTTCTTTTGAGTTTCCACCGTTCTTCAACTTGTACGGTAAATATATCAAGAACAGTTATGGATGAAACAGTACCTCTCTTGGCTCTGAAGCCAGATGCATGGGATGATGAGTCTGAAGCAATACCATTCAAATGGATTAGTGACTTGGTTTCTTTACTTATCGTAGACCAAGTTGCCACTTGTTCATCATGTGGAATCTGAAGGCAACAATAATCATCGTTACAAAAAAGAAGAAGCAAAAGAACTCGAGAGTATCTACAGTACTTTTCAAGATGCATATGGTTGAAATGGACTACAAAGAACCAAAAGAAGTCGAAGATTAGATCATGACCTCATCATCTGACCCACTTTGCTGAGCGGATATGCATGTTATTGATCCGGCTCTTGTTGAAGAAGCAACATAACTCTCCTCGGGGGAATCAGGAACTTCTACGTCATCCCCAAGAGAGGAAGATATCTTCCTCAGCTAAGAGTAAGAGTAAAATCTCCCATCACCCACACCATTTGATTCCCATTAAGAATTTTTGAACCAAACAAAAAAAGACTCACAGTTGCTTCCCTAGCGTAATTTAGTTCACCACCACAACCTGGAAACAACGCAGAAGCCCTCTGTGAAAACCACTTCCCTCAATGGAACTTATGAAACGCAAGATAAGGGAAACCTCACTGAAGTTAAGATAACTGACCTATGAGTTTTTCGAGCTTTGTTTGAAGTACTAATCCTCCCTATAACTCAAAGACACAACAATCAAATTTCATTACAAGTTGTCATGTTCAAAAGAATCGAAAACTAGAGATTAAATGTTACCTCTTTCTTCGCATTCTCACTTGGCCACATATCATTTTCTCCCAAACTAACATTGTCGTGCTCTTCCTCTTCCTCTGAAAGACCAAAGAGCAGCTTGAGAATCACTCTATAGGCAATGAAATGCATCAAAACGAAAGCGAAATTTCAGATGACAAAGCAATCCTCAGTCCTCACCCGATATGCTCTGATCAGAATCTGGGTTTCCCTGAATATCCAACAAGAAAGGCAAAACGGGAAATCAGATGAATGTTCGCGAAGAAGAAATTCGCAAAAGTAAACAGTTCACTAGGCTCTTGCATAGTCACCGGTAAGTTACTTCGCCGCCACATTCGTCTTCACCGTGCAAATCGATCTCGCCGGTGTTCGCCTTTCTACCGGCGTTGCCGAGAGTATGATTGGATTTGCGATTGGGCTTCACTAATTTTTAATCGGATTTGTCATCGGGCTTTAATTGGCCCAATTTATTAACACTCTCCTACATTTTAGAATTTGTTTTTACCCCACATTTTGGAGTTAATTAGAAATCGATACTGCATTTCCTCACTTTAACATTCTAGCCCAGATCAGTCGTGTAAATACTAAATACTCTTTTAGTAACCGTAATTTACAGATGAGGAGTCTTTTGGTAATCAGAAGAGAAAGCAACTTTTAGACAACTTTTAAATTAGTTGGCCAAAAAAACACTGTAAAATTCAATTCCTAATCGTAATTTGGGAATAAAATTAAACATTATTATTATTTTGACTTCATACAATTAAACATTTTGTTTATTTCTAAGAAAGTGCAATATTAAAAAGGAAAATGCCTTCGTGCCTCAAGTGCTATTATAGAAGAAAAATAATTATTATTTGAGGTCTCAAAGCTTACATGACACGCTCCACAGAAGATCCGCTGCACCTCTACCTAATCTCTGACGAATGCTACTACCTGGAAGATCTAACGGCCAGAAATTAATAACAGAGAAAGTGCACCGTAATCATTGCTGCAGCTGATTAGTCCCAAATTAAGGCTCGTAACTCTAAGAGGCTAGAGCGCGCAAATTTTAAAATTTATTGATTAATTTCATTTCATTTTCTTTACCTCCACCACGAAAGTATATTTCATCGTCATGTTCGAGAAGAAAGGAAGAACACTGTTGGCGAAGAGGAAAACCCTAGGGACGATCGAAACGAGAATAACGAAGAAGAATCGGAAGATGAAGGGGACAATGGAGCGACACTCGCTGCTTCAGCTCGGGCAATTGTCGAAGCTTTCGTTCGATAATCTCCCGCCATCGAATGTCGCGTCGTCGGCGTTTCAGGGTCTCCTGGATTCGGAGTCGTCGGAGCTCCGGAATCAGTTGGGGGGTTCCGTTGATGCAGATGCCGATTGGGGAGAGAAGGAATTCATTCTCAGCCAAGACTTTTTCTGGTAAATCTTCGTCGCTCGGATTTTGAGGCATTTCTTAGCTGTGAGGTTGAGATCTATCTTTATCTTCCTGGTCGGACTACGTCTTGGATCCTAAATTCATTTTGGGCTTATCTGATCGGTCAAAATATGTATTTGATTCTGTAGATTTTAGGGGGTTTCCCTTAATTTCACTAATTTGAATCTAGCTTTGTCAGAAGTCTCAAACCGAAGCTAGCTACACTTGTAGAGATCTATGTTTAGGTGAAAAATACTTATGGGTTATTGATAAATGTTTTTCTAGATTACCAGATGATATATTGATATATACGAATCGTATAATACTCTCAGTCTCAGCTACTGATAAGTTCCTTTTCCCCTTTATCTTTCAGCACACCTGACTATATAACTCCGGACAATCAGAACTTGATGAGCAGTTTAGACATCAGCAAGGTGAATTGAGAGAAAGCAGCTAACTTTTTTTTATGTATGATTTTTATTTCAGCAATATCTCCAGTTTATAAGTTTTTTTCTCTCTTTCGTTTCTGTAGGATCATTCTCCTTGTCCGAGATCTCCTGTTAAACTAAATACAGTTAAAAGCAAAAGATGCCGGCAGGGTAAGCTTTCTTGTCATCGACGTGGTACCTGGATTTGGGATTTGTGTGTAAATAATAATAAGATCTTCTGATGGGACAAAGATATAGGTTTCAGAACGTAACTTGCTTGACTGCTTTGTGGTACAATTGTTGTTTGATCTCTTGTTTCAACAATAATCCAACATCTCCTGTTTCTCCTGATATTTGGTGGTGTGTTATTTTTGTAACTTCATCAATAATCAAAGTTTCTCTGTTCTAATGCAGACAGTTTCACAATGAAGACTTCAAATTCTACCTGGTCTTCAAAATATAGAGTAGATGAACAAGAGAATGATGATTCTGACACAGATGAGATCATGGTGGATAAACTCCAAGCTAATCCAATAGAAAGGACTGGATATGTTTCACAGACTGCAGTTGCTCTGCGGTGTCGGGCCATGCCACCCCCTTGTTTCAAGAATCCATATGTGACGAATGAGTCCGAGACAGCTTCTGATCCTTTCGGATATCAGAGGTCAAAATGCGCCAGTAAGTTTGCTGTCACAGTTTTCCTTGAATTCTTAATTAAGTAGTTCCTGAAAGGCCCTACAAAGTTAAAGTCATTATGGCTCTTCAGTAAAATGTTTCAAATGTTACTGTTATGCAGGTTTTCTCCCTTCGAGTATAGGTGGGGATGGCTTATCAAGATATCTCACAGATTTTCATGAAATTCAGGTAAACCAGAGAAGATGTTTCAAATCTTAATTTAATCAAATTCCAAACTAAAGTGATGGCACTATATTGCTGCGTTTGACATAACTACTTGGTTTGGTTTCTCCAGCAAATCGGTGCTGGGAATTTCAGTCGTGTATTTAAAGTTTTGAAGAGAATTGATGGTTGCTTGTATGCTGTGAAACACAGCACAAGGAAGCTGTGTCTAGAATCAGAGAGGTAGATTTCTCCCTTAGCTTTCTTAGTAAAGGAAAGATTTTACAGCATTTAAAATCCTTCATCTTCTTTGGATCGATTTATATAAGTAATCATCATAACCAAGTCTATTGCAGGCGTAAAGCTATGATGGAAGTTCAAGCTCTTGCTGCTCTAGGTCAGTACAGTCCCTTTGTTTTGCATTCTTATCCTTAATCTTTTCTGTCACTCGCTCTTTAAACAGCTTTTCTATCTTTTCTGTTTGTAGGATTCCATGAAAATGTAGTAGGATACTATTCCTCGTGGTTTGAAAACGAGCAGTTATACATTCAATTGGAACTCTGCGATCACAGCTTGTCCAAGAAATCTTCTCTTAAGATCTCAGAGAGGGAGATCTTGGTGATTATGCATCAGGTACACACTTTAATAGCGAGTTTGTTGGTTCCTGAGCATTCGTATACACAGACCAAGTATCAACCAATTGCACCATGTCTCTCTTACAGATAGCCAAGGCGTTACAGTTTGTGCATGAGAAAGGAATAGCTCATCTAGATGTAAAACCAGACAACATATACATAAAGAACGGTGTCTGCAAGCTTGGGGACTTCGGTTGTGCTACCCGGTTAGACAAAAGCTTGCCAGTAGAAGAAGGGGATGCACGTTACATGCCTCAAGAAATACTAAACGAAAACTATGAGCATCTCGATAAAGTCGACATCTTCTCTTTAGGTGTCACGGTTTACGAGCTGATAAGAGGATCTCCTCTTACAGAATCAAGAAACCGATCCCTCAATATCAAAGAAGGCAAACTTCCTCTCCTTCCAGGCCATTCGTTACAGTTACAGCAACTGCTAAAGGTACGTTATTTGCTTTCGTACCTCTGTCTTCTCATGGCATTTAAGTCAGAACTTCTAACATGTTTTTGAAACAGACAATGATGGATCGTGACCCAACACGTCGTCCTTCTGCTAGGGAATTAATGGACCATCCCATGTTCGATAGGATTCGAGGTTGATTCATAGACTGTCTAGAGGTTGAGAAACTAAAGTTTTGTAAATTATGGTACCAAGAACCGGAGGTTTTTGAAAACCATTGGCGTACCATAAATTTAGATTACAGCACAAAATATCCGGTTAATCCAAAAAGCCAAAAAAAGATCTTGTGTTTTGGTTGTAATCTTATAGGTTTTTGTATATTGGTGGAAGTAAAAGTGCGGAAACTTCAAATCGGATTGTAATTTCATGTTTCGTTATCGATCTCAAATGCTAATTGATATCTGAGTCGAATTTGTTTCTAGAGTTTATTTTTTTTTAAAATGCAAGATAAATTTGTTTCCAAGAAAATTCTGAAATTAAAATATTTCTGAAAAAAAGAGAGTAATCTAACACAAATGCATCCAATTATTCGGGAGAAAAAGGTAAAGAAACCTTTACACAATCCGAAAACTATAACACTTCTTTTCCCCTCATCCTCTCTCTATGCACTGTTTGTTAACTAAGCGATGTACTTGAAAGTGTTGGGGTTGTCGCTGTCTCTCATCAAATAGTCTCGGGTGATCAAGTCTTCAATCCGTTTTTTAATCATCTTTATGTCAGGCTGCAAAAGAAAGTGTTAATTTTTTTTTTAACTTTTGACATATAATTAAACCAATGTGACTAATGTTTTTTTTGATAAATACCTTGAACATTTTGCTAAGGAGCTCAACGCATTCCGAGACTAGCTGCTGATGGGGCAAGACTTTTCTGCTCTTCATAATCCGCACAAGAGCAGCATCAATAGCATAACGTCTATCTTTATCAACATCTTCAACTATTTTCTTCCGCTCATCCACAGGAGGAAGAGGTATCTATCCCAAACATAAAAGAAAAAAAAAATCAGTAGCTAGTCATTTTGATCCAGATGAGATGAAAAAAAAAGAGGCTATTATGTACCTTGATTCTCCGCATTTTATCGGTGAACTTGGAGTTGAATTCGAAAGAATCATCTTTAGAGATGGTTTTAGAGACGGGTTCCTTTTTAAGAATCTTGTACTTTGCGCATGAGAGTGAAAGAAGCAGCCTGGTAACATCTTCCGGGCTAAGGTTAAGTTGTTCAACGATCTCCTGGAAGGTTAATCTGTCTGAATTGTTGAAGAGCAAAAGCACAGCAGTCTGGAAAAAAAAAAAGAGTCAAATTATATAAATAAATAAAAATATATAGCTAAGCTACTAGAAAAGAAGCCAAGATACCTGGTAGGTTGAAACAACTAACTCGACTGGTTTTGAATCAAATCTTCCATTAACATGACAAGTTCCCAGCGAATAAATCCACATAAGTCTCCTATGCTTGTGATCCTCATCATAAAATGCCTTGAAAGTTTCAATACCATTGACCTGAAACAAAAAAAAAACAAAAGTCAACCCAATTCTTTTTCTTTTCTGTTCCCAATAAAAAAGTAAACAAAAATAATGTCAAAAAGAGTTACCATTTCACTGGGTAAATTGATGTCGGATGTTTTGTAACTTGGCCAAAATCCGGTGGTGAGAACAGTGACGGTGAAATCATACCCCACTTGTCTCAGAGTGTGTTTGATTAGGTGAGTACCGAAGTTGTCCTTTAGTTCTTTTGACAATGTCATATCCGTCAACTATATAAAAAGATTAATGGAGCATAATTAACCTCAAAACAACCATTTTGTTAAGCAAGAACAAAAAAATAAGTAATCAAACTAACCATGCCCTCCATCTTAGAAGTAAATTGCAAACCGTAAACTTCTTTGAGCTTTGCAAGTACATTTTTTTCAGGCTGTCCTTCATTATCTTTACGATCGAATAAGAGCCTACGGGCTAGCTTCTTCCTGCATATATACAACCATATTTACAACTAATCTATGTCAAGATATATATACACTATCTTGAATAATAAAGTAAAACAAGTATTAGAAGCAGAGATGTACCTGTAAAACTCGGCGAAGAGATCCTTGTCACATATATACGCAAGCAACTGAACAGCCTGTAATCATAAAAAAAATATAAACTTTTAGCATCAACCCAAGAAGAAGAATAAAGTGATATTGTCAAAGAGAAAAGAAGAAAACATACATTTTCGAGCATCTTGTCGACAGCGTCTTCACTCAGCTTCTCAGCTCCTAATGATCCCTTCCTGAGGAGATTGTCGCAAAACGCTGCAAGCAATTCCGCGCTGGAACTTGCACCCACTTTCTTGTTACAGAAGATTTCAAAAGCCTCTTTCAAGGCCTTAAAGAAGAGGGAGTGCCTCAGAAAACACTCTTTCACATAGACCATGTATTTATCGTGCAGCTCGATTATGCTTCTGAACAGCACCTGCTCCTGCACGCCACCACTAGCAGCTGCATCTTCGGCTTGCTTGATGAGAGCGTTACCCTCTGCAGTGATATGGTTCTTGAAAGCGTCCGCGACAGGTTCCAAGCCTTTAGGGATTGGCTCATAGAGCCTGTACATCCTCGAGAGATCATCCATCTTGTCGTCTCTCAGCAACGCACTGCACCCCGAGTGCTCTTTCTCCAGGAGCTGTTTCGCAACCGCTACCAACAACTCGGCTTGTACAATCGCTACTAGCTTGGGCTCGGTGCTCGCGTGGAGGTAGTAGGCGACTCGCTCCTTCTCCTTCTTAAGGCACTCCTCGGCCTTGACCATGTACTCAGGGCAAGAATACTCCTGGATCCAGCTCGAGGCCTTGCGAGAGTAGTAAGACGTAGAGTCTTGGAGCAAGAACTTCTCCAAATCCGCTTCGTATTTTTCCATCGTCTGCATCCCGTTCTGAACATAGATATCTATCACGTTCTTCAGCAGCGCCCTATCAATCTGCTCGCCCTCCCGTTCCTTGTGAATCTGAGGCAACAGAAAAGCTTGCGTAAGACGGAATCAAACACCCCGAAAAATCAGTGCTCAACGAGAGATTATATATGTCTACACACTTACGAGTGCTAAAACAGAGTCTTTGGCGCTGGACTGCAACTCCGTGTAAACGAGGTCGCGGAAGCATATGAGGCCAACATCAGTCAGTGAGGAAAGGGACCTCCTTGCGACGTAGTAGCGGTCGATGTAGCAGAAGAAGCGCGACAGCCATCTAACCATCACTTTGTTATTTGCCCATCTCAGAGCAAACTCTTTGAGCATGTATTCATCATGCTTCCCTTTCAAAGCGGGCAACACCTAAACCCACACATATAAACAAATATTGTAAACCCTGTATACACTTATATTATTTGCTCCTGCGCTACTTAATTAACAGCAATATATCACTCACCGTTTGCTTAGAATAGTCTTCAAAGACTTTACGGTACCTATCGTAAAGGTCCTGAGAGTAATCGTTGGGAGGTTTCTGAATACACATGTTGTAGGAAGTCCTGTGAACACACACAGTACGTGGTAAGAATCCATAATTACACAAAGTGCACTAAAACCACAAAGCAAAGTGTACATAAACGTACGTGTAAAGACGCATATATGCTTCAGCCTCAAAGGGTGACTCAGGCTCTCCTTCAAGGATCCTTGTGAGCTTCCTAACACCGACCTGCATCACGGACCATCCTTGCTCCAACTCAATAATTTCCACCATCCTTCTTTCTATGCAATTTCTGCAACAAATTTATAGAATCGAGTACTTTAGTATCGATATTCAAACCTAATCTTATCACCAAAACTAATTAGACACTAGAACACATATGTTACGCATACATGGCGATCGAGAAAAAAGAGATTTAGTCAAAAGAAGAAGAGTTAATGATCGATCTTGAAGTGGATCGTGACGTACCCGAAGATTTAAGAGAGTATCAAATCCGATTTCTCCAGGGTTTGTGAGAGCTAACTAAATCGACAACCGAAGAATAAAAAGAGCTAGGGGAAACGATACGTATTTATAAAGTCCTCCTATATCGAGGGCGGTGAAAAAGTATTCTTAAGTTTTTTTTTAATATTTTTAAATATATAGAAAATCCTTATCAATTACCAATTGAAAAAGGAAATAAAAATCTGGAAACTGTATTTATGATATACAGAAAATATAACTTTTCTATTTTTATGGTATATTGATTTATGCTATTAGAGTAGTCTTCAAAAACTTTATTGTCAAAGTTTATTACTTTGTTATATATTTTTTTTCAATGTTTTCTCTAAAATTGTTATTTGTACATGTCATTTCGTATTTATTTTCGCGAAATTTGTTACCTAATTTTAGTTAAAATTTTAATTTAGAGATATATACAAGTTGAGTTTAGTTTTTGATGATAAGTTTTCTATTTTGATAAAGATATAAACTAAAAAGATATTTTAACTATTATATTTTTAAATAAATGTTTTATTTGTTTATTATAATTCTAGAAGATTGGGAAATCTCTGGAATTTAAGAAAAGTAAATTATATAATTTACTATTTTTTTGTAATTCGAAGATAACTTCCACCACAAGCAAGAATAAAAAGCGGTTTATCATTCTGATATCGACGAGTTCGATTGGTATAACCCAAATCTTTTGTAGTGGTAAGTAGGACATATAGGATATAAGAACAAACATGCATATAGAACATATAGAACATAGCACGTTGCATCTCTAAAAATGAACCTTATAACTCTAATCTTGGGAAGTGAAGAGAAATTGTTAACCTCTTCCTAAAGATTTTTTATATATATATATAAATATATGTACAACATTACACACAAAATGTAACACTTTAAATCTTTAGTCTTCCAGCAAGTCTTACAAATAAGGTCCTAACACTATATGCTTTGAAAAAAGTAAAACAACAAACAAATTTAATAGACTCTTGTCTTCAATTTTCCAAGCAAAACTCAAAGGTCGCTTTTCCTACTCTTGTCTTCTCTCTCTGAGTATGGTATGGTATGGCAAGTGAGATTAAAACTTACTTTTACAGGGTGGGGTCATAATTCAAAGTCACCGGTTTATGGATTCCATTGCAAGCCTCACCACATGCAACAATTTCTCCATGTCCTGAAAACTGAAATCAAGAGCCTTTTTGATGGATGTTATGCCATCACTACTGTATCGTGTATCAGACGACTTTCCCTTAGCAGATGCAAGTGCGATCTGTGCTTTTCTTGATGCATCCATAGCAAAGCTTACGTTTTGTGACTGCATGACCAAACATAATATGTATCTAAGAAACACAGCATCTGATGATATCACACACACAACAGTATATCTTATGATGATGGTAATGATACGTTGCTATGCTTGAGGATGATTCCAATTCATGTTACTCAACCAAGCAACACTACGTACTAAAAACCTTCAACAAGCGGAAATGAAAATAATTACTAGTTTAAATCCACCCTACCTAGGGCACCAAATGGTTTTGTAAACCTAAAGTATATATATTTATGGCACAAGATCACAAAAATAACTTAATTGAACTTACAAATGCCAAAAGCTGTGAAAGGGAGGAATTGTTTCCTGAAGAGAGAACATGATTTCCGGTTCCTCTAGGGGATGATCTCACAGTGTTTGACAAGGCAACCTTTTCCGCAGCTAATGTGTGATTTGAATTTTCACCATCAGAGGCAAAGGAAGGAGACTCGCCTGTTTGAATCCCAAACAAGATATAATTCATCACAATCATGCTCACAAGCAAATACGAACAACATCTTGTATCTGTCTTCATGTGGTTCACAGGTATACATACAACCATCCAAGAGTTTTTCTAAACTGTGACCGAAACATTTAGATTATAGCTTTTTTTTTTTTTTAATTTCTAAATACCTGAAGGAATCACTTGCAGAGCTGCTTGCAACTCATATCTGTATCTGCTTATATTTCCCTGGGAAGAATAAGTTATCCTTAGATAAGCTATTTCCATACACTTATAAGCCAGAGCAGCAGCCCCCATATCTCTATTTTTCTCATATTCATGAGCACAGAACCTGTTACATAAACAGTATAAATTTCATAACTTGAGGATACGGTTCAATAGAACATTTGCACATCTTGACATGCCAGAAATATCTATAGGCGACAATGCAGAAGCTCAGCGAAAATGCGAGGGCAACATGAACAAGTAACATCAGAGTGAAAGGCTCCCTCTAGACAGTAAAATGGAGGACTTAATTGCGTGACTATCAGACGCACAACAAATCGAGAAGAAGAAAGTCACAAAGTCAGATCTTGCTGAATGCCAAACTTACTCGCAGAGTTTTGCTGTGCTGCCATAAATATGCCTGGATCTGGCAATACTCTTATTCGTGGCATGCTCAGTGCCAGAGGACTCCAAAAGGGAGGCACCATGAAGAAACTTTAGCGCTGCCTGAAAGTAAACACCAGTGCTCTCGTGATCGGACCCACCATTCTGCAAAAGGTTACTGTATGTTTTAAGCCAGGGGAGATACAGGACAGTAGACATAACCACTACAACATTTTGCCATAAATTTGCCAAACCTTAAGACGATCAGCCATGTGTTTCAAGGCTGTAGCCTCTTTGATTGAGTTGGAAACAGCCTGAGTCGTGGAATCCTTTTTCAAAGGACTTGAGCCAATAGGATCCTTGTGCGCACTTCCATTTTGCTTTTGGTTTCGTGAACCTACATCGTGGGTCACACTGTGATTATCACTTCTCATTATCTGTTTCTTTGTAGTTGATACCTCATTGACTTCAACTTGATCTGTGCCAGCAGATGGAGCTGATTTATTCTTTAATTTCTCAGCGGTCACTTCCAAGTGGTTACTTTTCTCACAAGAAGATTTTGCTCTATCCGATTTCTGTGGAGAAGAAAAATGACTACCATTCATATCTAGCTTAGTATTAGGATCTTGATATTCCCTTGAGCCTTCTTTATTACTCTCCGTAGACACTTTTCTAGCAGGTCTTTTCTTGCTTCTGCTTTCTTTTGTTTTTACTTCAACAGCAGTGCCAAGATCTTGCACTTCATTTACCGTAACCCTGCTAATCTCTTTCAACGGCGTGGATGACCCCCTTTCCTTATTCTTTCGTTGAGATTCACCGTCTGTGCAACTGTCACCAGAATATCTCCCTGACTTCTTTGGTTTATAATTTTCCGTGGAACAGTTCTCACCGTCTGCTCTGTCTTTATCCCATGAGTGTGTGGCTTGCCCTGTAGTGAGCAGATTATTATTCTTGGAAATCTCTGCAGCCTTCTTTGTTGTCCTTGGTTTATCGATAGTGCTATAACCTTCACCATCTCGACATCTTTTTAAATCACCAGCACTAGAGTTAGTATCATGGTGTTCATCCCTATCTGAGATTCTTCCAGATTTAAGCTCACGTGGGTCTAATGCAGAAGGAGATAGTGATTCATCTAGCGAACCTTTGGCTTCGTGGACATTAGTTTTGATCATTTCAGAGCCCAAATCTTTACATAATAAACTTGGAGAAGACGCCGTAAAAGGTGGATGAGAAGCACTATCTCTACCATTTTCCTGACCAACAACTCCTCTGTCCTTATCACAACTTTCACTACTAAAAGGCAGCTCCTTTCCATCACAACTTGAACCCTTAAGCCTCTTTCTCTTTCTAACTTTCTCTCCACTTGACTCCGTTACTGCGGCTTCTCTAAGTCTCATACAATCCCCACTTTCTGTATTTTCCTTCTGTTTCCTCTTTCTGTCATCGTATCCATCATGCGAGGAAGCCTTAGCAGTATTCTTCACTTTTTGTGCTGAGGCTTCCGCAATCGTAGATTTGTTAACAGCATCCAGAATTTTGTTGGATTCAGGTTGATCTACAGCAGAAAATCGTGATTTCCCAGTCTTCGGTTTCTTACAAGTCCCAGAAAGTTCTCTTTCAGGTTCGAGATTCTCCATTCCTCCTACAAGCGTATTATCAGGTGCATCAGAGAGTTTGAGCAGAAAGGTAATATAGATAATAGGGAAAAATCAATACTTTTCACAAATAATACCTTCAACAGAATGCTTTTTCACTTCCCACTTTACACTCTGCTTAGTGTTGTGCCTATCTTCGTTACATGCCTCTTCATCATTTCTAACACTGTTGAAACTCTCCTTCATTGCATTTTCTTCTGAAAGCTTTTCTTTCTTAGCTCTAAGAACAGGACTACTTTGTTTTTTTTGTTTTGATTCTCCTGAACCACCATCATACACATCTTCGGATCCTCCAATATCTTCCTGACATTTATCTGGCAAATTCGTATTACTTATACTTACAGCAGCATCCTTGCCTCTCAAACTATTCTTGCTTGAACTTTTTTGTGGTTTCTGTGCTTTAGGCAGTTTCGACTTCAAAATTTGCTCTTCACTCTTACTAACCTTATTCACAAAAGAATGATCTACATGTTCGAAACTTGAAGCTTTCTCTCGCTTTGATTTACCTTCCAACGAGTTTAGTGTTTCACCTTCTGTCAGGTACACGTCTTTTCTTGTGTCAACACTTTCAGTTTCCTTAACAGTTCGATCTGGAGACGCCACTACATTATCTTCCAGTTCAGGCTTTGAACCCACCAAAGCTGCATCTAGGCCAGTGTTGTTCGTTCCTCTTAATCCAACCTCGACGTCCTCCACATGAGAATCTGATATTTTATTAATCTCTTTTGCCGGGTGGATATATGGCGGTGATAGACAGGACAAAAGCGGAAGCTTCAGAGTCTTGGAAACAAGCTCCTCACATGACTGTTTATCAATCTCTCTTTCAGTATCAGATACAATATGATTTCCGCCAAGCCTGTTTGATGGTGGCATATACTTTACCCTCTCCTTAAACTTTTCCTTCGTCCCAGCAGCCTTTTGTGCATCAGAAGCACCCAAACCATCGTGTTTACCTTTTGAGTCTGACTTGTTGACAGAAACGTATGCAGAATCTTTCATAAGCTTTTCGTTCTTTCCCAACTGAATAAGATCATCAGAGAGAGGTGATAACAGCTGATCTTTATGCAAGGGGAATGACACCATAGCCTACACAAAAGAATGCATCAAGAAGAAGCTCATATTCACCATTGTTCAGTTTTCATGGCGAACAAAGAAACAAAAAAAGAGAGTAATAATAAGTACCATAAGAATTTTAGTGGGCGAATCATGAATCCCATACAGTAACCCTTCCTCAACTCGGGATGTTGATGGTGGCATATTGAGACATTGGTTACCATTTTGGTTTGGAACGCTTTTCAGCGACGAGAGGTCGCTTGAACCAACTTTTATACGGAGTCTGAGAGTCTTTTGATTAGATGGAGCAGAAGCAGAAGTTTTGGTGAGAGATAATTGTTTGCTATCAGGTGTCCCTATATGACTTGATTTGACCAACTTTTTCAATTTGACCAAAACATCTGAAGCAGGAGCTCCTGAAGTGGATCCAGATACTGATACCTCAGGTACAAGCGATGAAGCTGAGCAATTAGATCGACCAACCTATAAAATAGATTTTTGACCCTTAGAGCAAAATGTGCATTCACTGTATGTGAAGTTTCGACCTTTGAAGCTTGAGTGATCTTACCACTTGGTTTGGAGCTTGTGGTGGACTCTTACAAGCAGGAGATCTCTGATACATAGACAAAAAAGAACCATAGCCACCATACTTTGCACCTGCATACATTCAAAGCCGTTAAAAGATGCCTCAAAAGGTAAAACATAAGAAAGCAACTAACTTAACTTACCCAGATTTTCAGCTGAAACCCCACCTTCAAAATCCTTCTGGAAATGTCCCAATACGTTCTCCAGCTTCTCATCCTTGAAAAAACGGAAAAGAGAGGATTTTTGTCTAAGTAGGTACATTACTAGTAGGAATCAACAACAGTTAAAAAAAGGAAATATCTTTTGAGGTTAGAGAAGGAAGGTTACATACAATATAAGAGAGAGCAACGTCAGGGTCAACGCAAGAAACATAAGAATGTGTGCTTTCTTCCTCAAAGTCGCTCTCCTCCTCCATCATCCCTTCTTCTATCCCACCAAACCCTAACCCTATTTCGCTTCTTGCATCGCTGCTGCTCACCGAAATCATCTAAAACCCAACCTATATCTATCTTCCGATGAATCGCAGAAGCAAAACTTGCAACTTCTCAGAAACCCAGATCGAGATGGGAGAATTTCTTAAATACCCCCGGGGAAAAAAGTAGCCGGAGAATTTCGTCGGAAGTGATCAGAATCCAACGGCGAATGTAAATTGGAGCTCACCTGAAGAAAATTGGAGAGGCAAGAAGACACTTCAAAGATCGAAACTTGTGTCCTCACGTTGGAAATTCAAAATTCCCGTTTTCTGATTCCTCATTCTCTCTTGTCGCTATTTTCTCGAACAAACAACAAAAAAAAAAAAAAAGGGAAAAATGACTCAACAGAAAATAATGTCCTAAAAGAAAGGGAAACTCAAAACGATTTCGGACCAGCTCGCCCAAACAAAGCAAAATTCCACGTGACGTGATGATGTCATTGTCCGCCCAATTTTGTCTTTTTTATTAATCTCCTTTCAGTCTTATGAAAATGTTCTCATATATGCTTATCAAGCTCTGATCATTAAAACACATGTTAACACAAAAGTTATTGGTAACGGTTTATTTTGTTTTGAATGAAAAAAAAAACTAAAGTTGCGACTGTAAAACATACATATCACTTAGTGTTTGGAGACTGAGAAGCAGGAGAGAAAGAATCTCTTGATGAAAAAGTTTATGAACTCAAACGAAAAAACTTTAGCGGATCTCATCTTCTCCTTGTCCTGTTCAACTTTGAGATCACACACAGTCAGTTCCACATTCTTGACCCATTCTTCACGTTGTTGAACCCAAGTTCCATCAGAAAGTGCTTTCTTCCTCTCCAAAGAAAGCTCCTCAAGCTTTGACTTCAACCAGTCGAGCTTGAAGCCGGCTTTCATGAGCTCAGTCAATTCGCTTTCAGCCCTGCTTAGTTCAGTCACAGACAGGCTCTGTGCAGACTTTCTCAGCGTCTCAACGAGGCCGAGTAGGAGATCCAGGTGTGCTGTTTTCATCTTTTGTGATACAATACTTGAAATGCTGCAAGTGATATTCCTTTGAAATCAAGTGCTTAGAAGCTTTAGTGATGGATGAATGGTTTGAATGATGGAAAACCAGTTGTACTTGAACTCCAAGCACAAGAGTTTAGACTTTACTAACTCAAGAGCTAATCCTCACAAGAGTTAATAAATTCTACACAATTCTTCAAGCTTTGATTCCACAAAACATAAGAAGAAAAGCAGGAACAGAATTTGATTCAAAAGATAACTTTCTTTGAAACAAAATAAACTTTCTTTGATTTTATAAAATGATTGGTGGTTTTCAAAATACAATGCTTATGAGCTTATATAATGCTCAGTATGAAAAATATAAAACGGTAACAACAATTAAAAACAAAGCAAGAATCAAGCTATAGTGATAAAATGAGTTAACTAGTCATTTAGGCTTAAATGGGGGGAATGGCTTGAATGGTATAATGAAAGGGAATGATTCTTTGACTCTTCTGCTTTGTATGGACGTGTGGGAACTTTTGAGAGGATGGAGGGTCGAGATTGAGTAGAGGTAATGGTCGTTGGCCTTGCTTTCCTTTGAAAGCAATGAAATCATCTCCAAGAAAGGAAACTCTCTTTATGTTGATATCTTCTTTGGTTTGGCTAGTTTTGACTTGGTTATTGGCTTGGTCTGGTGGTTTGAATCCTTTGGTATCTTCTGTGGACGTCAGGGAAAGCAAATGATAAGAACTGATATAAGATATGCTCAAGGTTTCCTTGTACAGCTCCAATAATGCTCCATTTGCTTGATTTGGCAGTTTGGATAGATTTGATGGTTCTTCTTCGGTTTGCATAGAGGGGCTCCGGTTATTGACATCTATATCTTCTTTGGCCATACCATAATGTATATATGGGACATTGATGAATGATTTCTCTTTAGCTTCCTTATATGGACCTTTGAATGTGAATGTAGGTCCATAACTTGGTTCTGGCGGTTCAGCTCCAATCTCTTGAGTTTTAATCTGAACCAACTCTGATTTAACTCGACCAAAAAGCTCTCCTTGGTGCATAGGACGGTATTTGATTGATCTTGAAGCTTTATCTCCTTTGCTTTCAGCTACAAGCTTCCCTTGATCCTCAGCTACAAGCAAGCTTAACTCCAAATTTGTATGTGAATGCTCTCCAATGTCTAAGGGAGATTGAGTGGTACTGATGCTTACATCACTTTGGCTCTTTGGTATGGCATATGGGTGCTGTGTGATAATCTTGCTCAATGGAGCGGCCTAGGAAGAAGAAGAAAAAACAGAGAGAAGATTGTTATTATGCAAACCCTGACTCTCTCTTTTGTGTGATTTAAAAGACTCCTTCAATTTACTTGAGAAACAAGGATCTGGAAGTTTTCGAATTCCAACATATCATTGGCAGTTGATTTTCCTTGATGAACAACTTCAAGGACTTTGATGTAAACTTGAATGGTTATTTTGGTCTTTGTCCAGAAACCCTTTTTGTTGGAGCTTCTCAGTAAGAAGGAAACCCCAGCCTGGAGCCTCGGCACAGAACATTCCGCATAGGTCTGTAAGATAAACAAAATAGATGTGTAAAAATTTCATCTTCCATTACAAAAGCAGTCAAGTACAGATTCAGCGAATAGAGCATAATCACGTTCAATACCAGGTGATTTTAATAGCTCTTTGCCGGATTGATTCAACAAAACAAAGCTATAAATAGCTCTCCTTTTCCATCCAAGTCTCGGTGGTTTAGGATTTACAACGTACAGGAATATATTTAAGTGACCATTGCCATCGTATCGTTCGGGATAAATACTAACATACCTGAGAGAAAATCCTTTTAAATCTAACAGATCAAATATCAAAAAAATATGTGATTCTTCTCTATTTACCATTCAAAGTCGCCGCAGGAGAAATGACTCAATGTTATCTCTTCGGAGAAGTTGTCAATCTCCCAACTCATCAAGGTCTTCTCAAACTTCGTCCCCATCTGTTTAAAAACAATATTCTGCTTTGATTAGTTGCTGAAACTCTACCAAACTTTTTCTTCCCATTTAGGTTACATAACTATGTTTTCTATTAATTAATTTTATGTCGAAAAATCAAAAACTGGGATTACTACTACACACAAATGATATATATGATTTTACAGTTACAATGTCGAAATTAGATTGAACGCATTGAAAAAAGATAATAACTGTAGTAACAATAACATGATTTCTACTTTCGAAACAGCATCAGGTTTCCTCTAGTACCATAAAGGGTAAAAAAGCCTATGTATGCATACACAAATTTGAGTAAAATACATGTCCAAGAAAATATAATTTGGCTTGTTACAAAACATTAACCGGTTCCCTCGCCGATACAATCTAAGTCGAAAGTAATATACAGTAATTGAGTTTTCTTCTTCATAGAATCCTGGTCATCCGTGTGTTATAACAACGTAATTTCAACTGTTGGATTAAAAAATAAAAAGTTCGCTAACGCAAATTCTGTACATTATTCTTCATATGACCTGTAAGTAACTTAGTTTAACTGTTTTATAATTTCTGTTTAAAATTTATTTTGTTTGGACTAATTGGTTGGTTTCAGGGTGAGTAGAGTGTTATTGTTCACGATTCACCATCCTCCTGGTGATAGTTTACTATGCTCTATTAATTTGGTTTTATATTTGTGAGTAGAGTGTTTTGTTGTTCTCGGTAATCTATTAATTTGGTTTTCTATTTTTGAAAAGTGGATCTTTTTTTTTTGTCGTCGGTTTTTTGTATTAAGACCCATAAAGGGTAAAGACAGGTTTATACAAAGCCCACGTGAGCCCAACAAACGAAAAATATTACAAAGAAACACTAATGGGCTAGTAACACGTGATTCAATAAGATAACCTAATCACGACACCTCAGAAAAATGGGTCCTTTATTAAATTGGTTTTTTATTTATGAAAAGTCGGTTGGTTTTCTACTTATGTTAATTTTCTATTTATCTGTAGCTAAGGTTAGCATCCCCCTATTTAAGGCTTTGTATTCGACACTTGGTTATTGAATTTATTATTTTCAAAGTTCAAGACCTAATTACTGCGGTTTGTTTTTGTGGTTGAAAGAGCACTTGGTGATGATGATGCAAAACAAGGAGAACGGCGTGGCTAAGACGGTGTGGGTGTGGTGGAACATGGACCTCTGTCCGGTTCCCCGTGGTTATGACGCTTATCACGTGCGTTCGAGTATAGAATCGGCGCTCGTCAAGAACAAGTACTTGGATCCTGCAGGTCGTGTGGACATCACTGCCTTTGGCAACCTAAAAGGCGTCCCTAATCGCGTCTTGCAACCCCTCTCTCTCTCTGGAATCTCTCTTAGACACGCCCACCTCGGTGTGTTAGACTTTCTGATGGATTTGTGGAAGTGGGAAGATGATAATCCACCTCCGGCTAGTCTAATGGTCATATCCGGTCGTGAGTCTATGTTGCACGAAGATTTGTCCCGCCAAAAAGCCCTGGGATACACCATCTTTCGCGCAATTCCACAACGTATGGGATTTTCCCCCCAATACGCTTCCCAAGTGTGGCTCTGGAAAAGCTTACTCACAGGTGAAACAGGAGACAAGAGGAGGCTGGAGCATCGTGAAACGGGTGAACCTGCTTTGTTTTGCATGCTTTGCAGTTTTGCTGCCCAAACCTTTGAAGGTTTCACCATGCATCTCAAGGGTAGAGTACACGCAGTGAGTGAGTCGCACACCGTGCCTGGAAACTTGGATCCTGAGTATGCTGATGAGCAAATCGGGTGGAGACCAGGACGACCCTCGCGTGATGCCATGGCATTGGCTGCTGAGGAGGAAGAGGCTTTCCTTCTTTCTCTTCCCAAGGATGAGGATGCTGCTGGGCAAAGCGGGTGGAGACCGCGAGCCTCGGGTGATGCTACTACCATGGCTGCTGACGAAGGAGAGGCTTCCCTTCATTCTCATCCCAAGGATGCTACTACCATGGCCTCAACAAGTGGCCTCAACAAGAAGCCGTGGGAAAAGCAAACAGGAGTGGAGACCACGAGCCTAGCTCCTCAAGATCATTGCCCGCAACAACAGGAAACACGAGCTGTGGGAGAAGCAAACAGCATTGGAGGATTAAGAACTTAGACTAAGATGTATTGTTAGCCCATTGATTTTGTGTAATACGCTGATTGATGGATTGTGATGATGTTCTCAACTTTTGCTGAATGAAAAAGAGCTAAGCGCATCCTTGTATCATCGTCATCATTACAATTTTTCATTTGTCTAACCATTGCCACAAGTAAGAAAATCTCTCGTTTTCAAAAATTTGTTCCACGGTTTACTAATAAACCATGTCTTGCGCACCAGTCTCGGCCATCTTCTCTAAATCTTCTTGTGTTAAAAGAGTTTTCCTGCCCATAGTATTAGTACCCGCCTTATCGTACGGTTGAGCCATTTTCCTTAGAAACTGCACAAATAACCCCAAGATTTTTATAGTTTCTTTAACCTGTGTTTAAGAACCCACGTATTTAGAGTTAAATTTTGTAGGCTTACCTCTCGGGCAATGTGGATAGCCATGTCAGTGCTTAGATTCAAGTGCGCGTCACGCAGATGTGAAAGTATCCAACCGGGTAATTTCGACCGCTTGTCATGACGGCTATATCTGCACATCAATGGCACTTTATTATTAGGCCAACATTACCATATATCTCTCTCTCTCTCTTCTGTCCTAAGAAAAAAACTAACAGTGTGAGCATGATCTTCTTCTATTCACATTTGGCAAATAGCAAGGACCTAAATGATCAGACTCAGATAGGGAGACTTTAAGAACTATAGATATACCTCTTGTCTGCAAATGTCATCATTCCATAATCAGCCTTTGACCGGATTACTCGTCCTACACATTGAGCTGCTTGCCTCTGTTTTGTAGCAAACAAAAAAGTCAGTTACAGACATGTAAAACATTTTACAAGAATCCACCACAATATGATAAGATCATAGAATAAGAATCATACCAAGGCATCAAAAGTTAGGAAATCTCCTTCATTTATTTGAAATGTATCACGCAAATACTCCAACCTTGCTAGTAATATCCTGACATTTTTTCCCGTTCCCGTCTTAGAATCTACCACTGATTATATGATGAAACTGTGGAAGCAGAACCTACCACTAAACGTTTTCTTTTAGTAAAACTTACTTGCTTAATGTATATTGAAAAGGCACTCCAAACATTATAACCAGTCTTCCATAATGACGATCAAAATCGATACCTTAAGCAACTTCTCCCCTGCCGTTCAAAAACTTGAGATTACTCCCTTTGAAATTTCCTAAAGAGATGGATCCAATATTATCATCTAGCACTCAAAGATCATTTGTTTACCTGGCTACAGAGAAGAAAACTGCACCTCTTCCAGAATCGCAGGCCCTGCGATAATTGTCCAGTGCCAATGTTGTTTCTACAACATCTTGCGTTCCGAAGAAGACAAGTTTATGTTGCATAATATCCTACATTGAAAATTAAGAGCACTGGTCATATTTGGAAACAAGTATACATTAATCCCTGTAGCAACTAAAAAGTATATCGTATAAAGATTTGCACTTCATGCAAAACTGTGTAAAAAATCCTCTTACCGTAAGAATTCCAGTTTCATTCCATGTGGCAATAATACCATCCATATATGAGTAACTAACAAAAAAATAGATACCATCTCCACCAAAAGCTTTCCATAGTTCCTCACAACACCAGGATCACTTCTCATGTCAAATTTGGTGCTAATAGGAAGCTGATCACTGAACAAGCAAGAGATATAATCAATACTGTAAATACAAAAAAGACAAACAATAGGGCTAGTGTTTAGGAAACTTTCTTGGCACTTTCATTCCATTGCAAGCCCCACCACATGCAACAATTTCTCCATGTCCTGAAAACTGAAATCAAGAGCCTTTTTGATGGATGTTATGCCATCACTACTGTATCGTGTATCAGACGACTTTCCATTAGCAGCTGCAAGTGCGATCTGTGCTTTTCTTGATGCATCCATAGCAAAGCTTACGTTTTGTGACTGCATGACCAAACATAATTCGTATCTAAGAAACTCAGCATCTGATGATATCACGCACACACACACAACAGTATATCTTATGATGATGGTAATGATACGTTGCTATGCTTGAGGATGATTCCAATTCATGTTTCTCAACCAAGCAACACTACGTACTAAAAACCTTCAACATGCGGAAATGAAATAATTACTAGTTTAAATCCAGCCTACCTAGGGCACCTAAATGGTTTTGTAAACCTATAAAGTATATATATTTTTACAGCACCAGATCACAAAAGTAACTTAACTGAACTTACAAATGCCAAAAGCTGTGAAAGAGAGGAATTGTTTCCTGAAGAGATAACATGATTTCCGGTTCCTCTAGGGGATGATCTCACAGTGTTTGACAAGGCAACCTTTTCCGCTGCTAATGTCTGATTTGAATTTTCACCATCAGAGGCAAAGGAAGGAGACTCACCTGTTTGATTCCCAAACAAGATGAAAAGATCATTCATCAGAATCATGCTCACAAGTAAATACGAACAACATCTTGCATCTGTCTTCATATGGTTCCAAGAGATTTTCGAAACTGTGATAAATTTGCCCAGACCGAAACATTTAGATTATGGCTTCTTTTTTTATTTAATTTTCTAAATACCTGAAGGAATCACTTGCAGAGCTGCTTGCAACTCATATCTGTATCTGCTTATATTTTCCTGGGAAGAATAAGTTATCCTTAGGTAAGCTGTTTCCATACACTTATAAGCCAGAGCAGCAGCCCCCATATCTCTATTCTTCTCATATTCATGAGCACAAAACCTGTTACATAAACAGTATAAATTTCATAGTATGAGGATACGGTTCAAAAGAACATTTACACATCTTGACATGCTCGAAATATCTCTATAGGCGACAATGCAGAAGCTCAGCGAAAATGCGAGGGCAACATGAACAAGTAACATCAGAGTGAAAGGCTCCCTCTAGACAGTGAAATGGAGGACTTAATTGCGTGACTATCAGACGCACAACACATCGAGAAGAAGAAAGTCACACAGTCAGATCTTGCTGAATGCCAAACTTACTCGCAAAGTTTTGCTGTGCTGCCATAAATATGCCTGGATCTGGCAATACTCTTATTCGTGGCATGCTCAGTGCCAGAGGACTCCAAAAGCGAGGCACCATGAAGAAACTTTAGCGCTGCCTGAAAGTAAACACCAGTGCTCTCGTGATCGGACCCACCATTCTGCAAAAGGTTACTGTATATTTTAAGCCAGGGGAGAGAACAGGACAGCAGACATAACCACTACAACATCTTGCAAACTATACCAAACCTTAAGTTATGTGTTTCAAGGCTGTAGCCTCTTTGATTGAGTTAGAAACAGCCTGAGTCGTGGATTCCTTTTTCAAAGGGCTTGAGCCAACATGATCCTTATGCGCACTTCCATTTTGCTTTTGGTTTCGTGAACCTACATCGTGGGTCACACTGTGATTATCACTTCTCATTATCTGTTTCTTTGTAGTTGATACCTCACTGACTTCAACTTGATCTGGGCCAGCAGATGGAGCTGATTTATTCCTTAATTTCTCAGCGGTCACTTCCAAGTGGTTACTTTTCCCACGAGAAGATTTTGCTCTATCACATTTCTGTGGAGAAGAAAAATGACTACCATTCATATCTAGCTTAGTATTAAGATCTTGATATTCCCTTGAGCCTTCTTTATTACTCTCCGTAGACACTTTTCTAGCAGGTCTTTTCTTGCTTCTGCTTTCTTTTGTTTTTACTTCAACAGCGGTGCCAAGATCTTGCACTTCATTTACCGTAACCCTGCTAATCTCTTTCAACGGCGTGGATGACCCCCTTTCCTTATTCTTTCGTTGAGATTCACCGTCTGTGCAACTGTCACCAGAATATCTCCCTGACTTCTTTGGTTTATAATTTTCCGTGGAACAATTCTCACCGTGTGCTCTGTCTTTATCCCATGAGAGTTAGTATCATGGTGGTCATCCCTCTCTGAGACTCTTCCAGATTTAAGCTCACGTGGGTCTAATGCCGAAGGAGCTAGTGATTCATCTAGCGAACATTTGGCTTCGTGGACATAAGATTTGATAATTTCAGAGCCCAAATCCTTGCATAATAAACTTGGAGAGGACGCCAAAAGGTGGATGAGAAGCACTATCTCTACCATTTTCCTGACCAACAACTCCTCTGTCCTTATCATAACTTTCACTACTAAAAGGCAGCTCCTTTCCATCACAACTTGAACCCTTAAGCCTCTTTCTCTTTCTAACTTTCTCTCCACTTGACTCCGTTACTGCGGCTTCTCTAAGTCTCATACAATCCCCACTTTCTGTATTTTCCTTGTGTTTCCTCTTTTTGTCATCGTATCCATCATGCGAGGAAGCCTTAGCAGTATCCTTCACTTTCTGTGCTGAGGCTTCCGCAATCGTAGATTTGTTAACAGCATCCAGAATTTTGTTGGATTCAGGTTGATCTACAGCAGAAAATCGTGATTTCCCAGTCTTCGGTTTCTTACAAGCCCCGGAAAGTTCTCTTTCAGGTTCGAGATTCTCCATTCCTCCTACAAGCGTATTATCAGGTGCATCAGAGAGTTTGAGCAGAAAGGTAATATATATAATAGGGAAAAATCAATACTTTTCACAAATAATACATTCAGCAGAATGCTTTTTCACTTCCCACTTTACACTCTGCTTAGTGTTGTGCCTATCTTCATCTAAGTCACTCGACTTGTTAAGACGTTTCGAATCTGGTTCACATACCAAATGAAGATAATTACATGCATCTTCATCATTTCTAACACTGTTGAAACTTTCCTTCAATGCATTTTCTCCTTCGAGTGTAACCCTCCTCACACTGACGCTGAGTGCTTCAATACAGACGTTATCTATATTATGGGCCTCGTCAAACACTACCACAGACTCCTTTTGTAACTCCTTGGATATGATTCCAGCAACCTTAGGATCAAGCAAGTACTGGTAGCTGTAAACAATGACGTTGGCGAACTGAACCATATGCCTCGCCAGGAAGTAAGGACACCATCCTCGATTCTTACCAAACGCCCTTAAATCCTGACATTTAAACACACACACACGATTTCACCATCAGCTAAAATCACCATTCGAATCGATCCAGAAACAATTGTGAAAAACGCAAAGCCTTTGCTAATCTTACCTCTAAAGTGTAAACACCAGGAGGCAACAACGCATTCTCAGCAGCCTTCTCGTAGTTTTCAAAGTAGTCACAGAGTTCTACATTTGGATTCTCGGCGGACAAAGCCCTAACCCAACTAGCTGTCCGTTTCCTACACGCTGCATCGACGGAATCGCGATTCTCCGCCGCCAAAACCTGAGGATTAACGCAGAGATTCTTCCGGGAGGAAAGACCGATGGCGAGGATCTTTGCCTGGGCGCCGAGATGGCATACTTGGTATTCATGGAGCAGCTTAAGCTCGCCGAGCGTTTTCTCCATCTCGTGGACAGTACGAGTGCAGTAGACAAGCTTCATCGGAGAATCGGGACGAGGGAGCCGGTAACTGGTGATAAGGGAGAGAAGCGCAATGGTTTTGCCGGTTCCGGTGGGCATCTCGAGAAGACAATGTTCCTTGGCGTCGTGAAGGAGAAGTAGAGAGTAAAAACTTTACTCATATTTGTTTTTTTCACTCTGACCCCTCGTTATTTGTTTAATATATGTTTCGCCCCTATTTTCTACTGTTTAAAGAACATACATATATATTCTTCTTCTTCAAATGGGGATTAAAACCATCTCCAATGTGTTCCTCTATTTTTTCTTCTAAAATAGAGTAACTCTAAAATAGAAGTGTACTTCTTTCCAATGTATTCCTCTATTTTTTCCTCTAAAAAGAAATATTTTAAAAATATTCTCTTTATAATTTATTATTAATATCTTCTTTACATAAAATTCACAAATTAACCTCATTTATATTATTGTTTACAAAAATTTCCATCAATAATAAAAATATATTAAAACTAAACATTTATTTCATAAACAAAATTCAAAATGACTATAGTATTTGTAATTTTCCATAATTTTCAAAACATTTATTAAATCACTATGGTATTTATTATTTTCTATAATTTCTGTATTTTTAAAAAATTATTGCAATTTATCATTTTATTTATAATTTAGTTTGAAATAAATGAGAATTTTCCAATTTAGTTATATTATATGTTCAAAAAATTTTCTCAAACCATAACAAAATTATTAAATTTATTTATTTATTAGGTTTTTGTATTTAATAACATATATTTACTTATATATTATTATTTTTAATTAAAAGAAAAAGACTTTTTGTATTCGGTTTGACCCCTCTAGCTCGGGATGTTAATTGGGCCTCCCATTTTACTAAGCCCATTAGAAGTAACCTCTGAAAAGTGAGCCGTTAGAAGTAACCTCTGAAAAGTGAGCCGTGACCGACAATCAACACTCATCCCACACAAGATTCGAATTCTGGCTCTTTCAACCTGCTTTCAACGTTCTTGTTTTCTCAATCATCTCTAAGAAACCCTAAACAACTCGGTTCTCTCCATGGATTTGAAAGCAGAGCAACGTGTTCGGGTGAAGACCCCTGTTTTCTTGGTGCACAAAAAGGGTCGGTTCCTCGAGTGTGACTTCTTCACCACGGATCGCGATTTCGGGCCTCATGTGTGCGGTAACGACGTGGAAGAGGCGACTCGAAGCTTCGGCCAGCATAAAAACGACGATCAGGTTACTGAGCACTATTTAAAACCCGGTCTGATCCTTCTCGGCAGAAACTCTTCGTCACCAATCTGTCCCCTGGTACGAAATGAATATCTACTCTCCTTTTCGATTTCTTGGGATATCTTCGCGAAAATCTGAGATGTCATCCGAAATTAGATTGTTTCTTGTGGGTTTTTTGTTTCCTCTTCGCGTTTCTGGTTGTTAATTGGATATGTTCATTCGAATTTAGGGTGCGGAACATGGGTTAAGGATCATCCGAAATTAGATTGCTTTTTTTGTTCATCGTCTTGTTTTAATTCCCTATTCGCGTTTCTGGTTGTTAATTGGATATGTTCATTTGAATTAGGGTGCGGAACATGGGTTAAGGACCTGAAAGTCGAGCAAGATGTTAGCGTCGAGGTTAAGGAAGGTGATGAAATTACGACGGGTTGTCATTCACGGGCTTATATGCTGAAGTGGATAACGGACGAGCTTGCGTATGATATTTATAGTCACCGTGTAGACGCATCTACACTGATGAAGCAAGACGATGAGAATAAAATGCTAGAGTTTGCAAATCAGGTTCGGCCTTGTCGCGCATGTTTTTTTCTTGTTTTTAGGCATTTGAAACGTCTTTGCATAACTGCAGTGAATCTTTGTTGTTAGTCTAGCTTGTCCTTATATCCTTGCCTTCACTGCATTGGAAACGTCAGTGAATCTTTGTTGCTAGTCTAGCTTGTCCTTATATTACTGTAGACTGAAAGTACAATCTTGCCTTCACTGCAGTCACCAGCGAAGGATGAATTGGTTCAAGTCCAGGGTTCACAGAGTAAGGGAAAGATTGATGGCTCCTTTAAAGCCTCTGCTGCATTTATACTGCCCCTAAAGGTTGAGATTCCTCGCCTACAGTCTGTGGTTTGGTGGGATCTAGAGAACTTACAGATTCCCACCGACTGTGATGTTCATACCGTAGTGAAACTAATAGATCAGGCTCTGGAGGAGCTTGGATTTGATCCGCCGAAGAGGATAAGAGCAGTCATCGCTGCACAAGATCGTGCTCCTCCCCACGTCAAAGCCATGCTGGAAAAAGCGGAAAAATGCTCAAGAATTAACCGGAGAGTGATACTCTCTTGCATAGACGACAAGAAGAAGGATGCTAGCGACAGAAGAATACTCAGTGAAATGGACGGGAAGCTGACTTTGCACAAGCCGCCTCCCAGTCCTGCAGTCATAGCTCTTTTCTCTGGCGACCATTGTTTCGCTCCAATGTTGAAAACTCTGAAAGCTAGGGGTTACACAACTCTTGTTGTCTACATCCCAAACTCTGCTTCTCAGGCAACCGTAAATGCAGGAGACTGGACGCGACCTTGGAGAAATCTCCTTCGGTTGGGAGTAAGCCAATCAGAAGCTCACTGGAATTCAGAGGCTGTAGTGCTTCCTGTACAACCACGTTCGAGCTCAGGACCATCACGTCGTTGGTTTTAATAGAGGAAGATCTAACCCGCAAGATTATAAATTAATTTTTAGCTGTAAAAAAATGGGAATGTTTGGTTACATATAATCTCAATATTGGTTTTGAAGGCGAGTTGTGATACAAAAGCTGCAAGCGGGTGTAGTTACAATAGACCAGTGACCACAAAACTCAAGCAATTCTAATTATTCGTCAACTGGTTTCTGGAAAGCTAATCCCTTTATCACATGCCGACACTGAAACCTGCAATGAAACCGAGGGGATTATCAAGAACCGGTGATGAATTACTTCACTTGTTTAGTCTGTCAAATGGAAAAAGGTGATGGAGAATTACCATATTAGATCATTTGTGCCAGAGTTGAGAGGAGAGTTTGTCGCCTCGTCTTGAGCTCTGCACTTGAATCGCAACTTTAGAGGCACAAACTGCAATAACAAAGGTTATTTCATCCCGGTGTGGTCGATATCGAAATCATTTAACTTGAATAGCTACCAAAAGTTTATACCTTTCTGTTGTATCTGAAGTCACGCTTAGGAATGAAATGCTGGGGAAGGTTCAAAGAAGGTGGAGCGTGAACCAATATGAAGAGCCTCATTGGACCTACAATTCACAGGGAAGTGAAAATAATCAATTCTACAGTTTACACCATAGTTTACCAGACATTTAATGAACAATGCTGATGAATTTTGAGATTTCTGCAAAAGTTACCTGGGCAGGAAGTTGATCCAGCACCCGTCGAGATCAGTGCTCGGATAGTCTAAAAAAGCCAAAGAGAGTGAAGAGATTACACTCTTTTTTACGTTCTTATAGCAGATTATATGAAATGGAAATGAATCCAAGTAACATGAACTCAGAGGTAAGATACAAACCTTTTTTGAAAGTGCTTCTGTAGCTTTGCTTTTGAAAAGTCACCTTCGAAGCTCAGAACATTATCACTGTGTGTGAATAACAACTCGTAAGCTTTCTGAGGCCGTAATGGACTACCACCAAGGATCAACACAACTCTCTGAATGTCCGGAGCTTCACGGATCATTAACTGCAGAGCGCTTCGGAGACTAGAGATGGAGCTCATCAGTTTCTGTAGTTTCTTAATTTCATGCTTCACCTCTCTTTTTCTACTCACAAGTTTTCTTCTGGCCAAGGGCTTCACTTCTGGTTGTGTTAGATGCGCCTCCTACAACCTAAGATTCTTAGAGTGTGAAAAAGAAAGTAATCGTACAGTGACAATGGCGTCTGTAAAACGAACATACCAAATCCATAAACTCTGTTTGCAATCCATCAAAGTCAAGACTCATGTCTTGCAATACCCTGCACAGATGAAACCAACAAGCAATTGGGTAAAAGAGTTTTGAGTGACCAGAAACCAAACGCTGAAAATTGAGGTCTCTCACTTTGATTTTTCAATTAAACGCTAAAGCACACAAGATGCTCATTAGTGGATTCGACATAGTTAATTCTAAAATCAAATGAAAGTAGTGTACACAAATGATCAATCTGCGCGTTAAATAAGATCTGTTGGGGTAATTCACAATAGCTGAATTGAGCATAAGATGAACAACACACATCTCAAGGAAGAGAAATGTCTTGAAGCTTTTCAATTTTTCTTAGGAACATAACTCACCTACCAAGACTTGATGATCTAAACTCACACTAATCCATCCGGAATCCTTAAAATCCATAACCAGCAATCTTATATTCTTATATCAAAACCAATTACTCGCGGGAAATCGAACGCAGTAAACATTCGAATCCACGAAATTAAGCGAGAGATGGAAGTATCAAACGAACAGATACATCGCACCAGATCGAACATCGAATGAGAAAAAATCGAAGCATGTAGATACGAAAAGAGGGAGGAAACGCACGAAGGGATCTGCTGGTGCATATAGAGGACGAAACCGACGATGTCATTGATGATATGGAATACGCCGGAGCCTCCGAGTGATGAAGCGGTGTTCGCGATGTCTACGTCATTTTTCCCCTCTGTAGTTCCTTCTCCTTCCGCCAATTCCATCGTGATCGAAAGCTCTGATTAGATAAGCCTGCGTGTTTGTGTTGTTGCTGAAGAAATTTTGAAAAAAAAATGGTTGCCGTTTTTATTTATTTATTTAATATTTATGTCGTAATAATTCGTGCGTGCGTTTATTGCTCTTTCTCACTACAGTTCGAGAGCCCAATGGGCCTTACGGGCTTTGTCGCTTACTGTCCGATCGCTTACTCTTTTCCCCTCTTTCCTTTGTTTGGTTTGGTTTGATGAGTGAGTGAGGAGCTTTTGCCAAGGAAAATTCAGTGGAGAAGAAAATTGATGGGAAGATGAAGAGTGTGGCTTCGATTCCGGCGAACTACGTATCCATTGGGTTAAGGAGAAAGAGTGGAAACAGAAGGAAAAAGACTTGGCAGAGAGCGGAGTGAAGCAGCAGGCTAATGGACAAGGAAGTAGAGAAAAAAATGAAGGTAGTTGTAGAGGCCATAGAACCATTTCAGGGTGAAGCTCGAGAAAAAGGGTTTAGGCAGAGGTTTTCCATGGAATCGTTTGGAAAATGAACCAAATTGCGTTGAGAAAGAGGAAGTTGTCGCGGAAGAGAAAGAAGAAATGGTGTTAGAAGAAGAAAAAAGAATCAAGGTGGCTCTGTGGAGGAGGTCGTCAAATCTGAATCAAAGGCGATAACCAAACCAACCAATTAAAAATTGTGATAGCCAAACCAACCCATTAAAAAATTGTGATAACCAAACTAACCAATTAAAAAATTGCTGATACCAAATTGATCAGCTGATTCAGCTCATATACCAGATTAAAATCCGGATCTCGAGATACACTATACTACTGAGAGTTTAGCTCGAACGGCCTTCGAATTGGTCTCGAAGCGCCTCATACTTCTTAAGTTCACTTATGGAGAGTGACGGCGAAAGCTGATCCATCGCCTACAAAGACAAAGTAATAATAATTTCAAGACGCAGAAAACCAGACATCTTTGTTAGATGCAACGAGACTGGAGGAAAAAGCTTGTACCTTTATAAAATCCACATACTCTACAACAACAGAATCCGGATCGTCTTCTGGAAGAGAATCCCCTGAATCTGAATTCAAGACCTGCATTTGTATAGAGAACGTGGTCTTTGATAAGCTTTTACACAGTATATCATCAAATAAATAATACTACAGAAGAAGACTACAAGAGGCTATATATAAAACTAGTCTAATTATCACCTTTCGCTTAGCTGCCTGAAACCAAGCATCGGCACACAGCGCATACATATCAGCGCCAGTGAATGTCGATGGACACTTGGTTGCTACTGAATATAGCGATACATCTTCACTTAGCTTAAATTTCCGAGTCAGTGCTTTAAGGACCCTGTCAAATCAAGAATCAGATACTTTTTATATTTTCCATGTCACAGCTAGACAAGAAAATCATGCTTTTGATTATTTAACTGCATAACCTTTCCCTGTAAGACGCATCAGAGTTGACTCCAACATATAGAAGTTTGTCGAATCTGCCAGGTCGTAGAAGAGCTGGATCAATCAAGTCAGGCCTGTTGCTTGCTCCTATTATAAACAGATCCTGTGAAGAATCACTCAGTCCATCAATCTCTGCAAGCATCTGAGAGACCACTCGATCCATGACTCCTCCAGAATCACCAGAAGCACCTCGTGCTGGAGCAAGAGAATCCAGCTCATCAAAGAAGATCACACAAGGCCTCGCAGACCTCGCCTGCAATTCAACAAAACATATTTGTTTTTTTTTTTTAGGAAAGCAGGACCATAGATTCAATACTCTCGCTCCCTCTAGGGAAGAAGAAATATAAATTACCTTTTCGAATATATCTCGAACATTTTTCTCTGACTCTCCAATATACATGTTGATTAACTCTGGACCTTTTACACTTAGGAAATTTAAGGAGCACTCTGTCGCCACAGCTTTTGCCAGTAAAGTCTATAAAATTAAACCAAAGAAACCATCAATATAACTGCCACAAACAGAGACTATTAACAGACGCTAAAAGTCGCAAAACAAACCCGGCTAACTTACTTTCCCTGTTCCTGGAGGGCCGTAGAGAAGCACACCAGAACGTTTACGCAATCCGGACGAGAACAAATCTTTATGCAGGAGAGGTAATTGAACTGTGTCCAATATCGATGTCTTGACATCCTCAAGCCCTCCAACATCATCCCATTTCACATTAGGAACCTACGAATGCAAATAAAACCTTTTAAGCCATCAGCATCTCCAGTAACAAGTATGTATGCAAAGCTGCCTCACGAGAAAACACCACAGAAAAACCCTGTGGTAATGTTACCTTAGGAGCACCAAGCGCTGATGCATTTCTCTTTTTTGATCTGTCCAATGCTTTAGTAAAGTCTTCCTTAGCTGTTAATATCTCATTGCTGCTTGCTTGGTCTGCATCAACTCCATGAAGATCATCTGACAGAGAATTAATCTTCTCGGTCTCAGACTCTTTACTGTTGAACAAGTTTGCGCCAGCATCAGCTACAAGAGCATGCAAGTCCCGAGGGAAGAAACCAGAAGTCTGTCCCACTAATCCTTTCACAAATTCATCTGAGCTAGTCTAGAAAAAGAAAATGACAGTAAGTGTCGCATCGACCTTGAAGTACCTAACTTTAGTTTGACGGTATCATAACACAAATAATTTAAACGGTAGAGCATTGTACTCACATACATTAAGGAATTGAGACACAGCTTCGAGGGACTGAGACAGCATCTCAGATCTCTGTTCGTCGTTTAAAGAACCCATTCGTATTTCATGGCTAAAGCAACGCCTGATTGTTGGAGAGAGACCTTCAGTACTTTCAGCAGATGCGATTAACAGCACCTGGTGTCCCCTGAACTTCCTGACTTCATCTACAGACTGCATTAGCAGATATACAGACAAGGAAGGTATCATGAGAGGAAGATATATGTTTTACAGGGTAAGAGTTCTAATATTATTATCAGTTGTTTGTGAACTTAGCTATAATGGATTATGTGACAACAGTTTAGTAAACTGAAGAGTGAACTTAAGTGAAACTGTGCAACATGCAATGGAGAACCAAGGAAAGAAGTGCAAATCTTACGAAATCGCTATTCGGTTTTTCTTCCATGGAACTGTATTCACCATTAGAAACTGGCTCAGTGAGTTCCCTAATAACCGATGCAATATCAGAGGCCACACCAACTCGATCACCCTGTGAGCCATCCTGAGATCCCAGATTTTTAAATACATCGAAATGGCGGAGCAGAAGTATCGTTGGTGTATACCTGTGACAATGAAAACAGGGCAGTGGCCAAGCTGGATAAAGCTACGTTCCCAGAATATTTATGAAGGTATAAACTTTACAAAATACAGTCATTTACTGAATGTGGAACATATAACAAACACATTGCTATGCATAGTACGAAAAATGAATGAATATCTGGAATAAATCAATAAACAGACTATACTGATTTACCTTCGAGCCATATTAAAAGTCTGGGCCAAAGCAGTAGATGTTTTCCTTTCAGATGATGATAATAAACTGTGGCAGCTATATTCAACTACATGCAGCCCCAACCTCCTAGCAACATAGTTAACAACAGTTCTCTTCCCGCACCCTAAAATAGGCATTAGATAGAAAAAGCTATTTGCACATGATTCATTTGTATGTACAAAGCATAAAATGTTGACTTCCCAAATTACTATAATTGCAAACACAAAAACATATATAGTCTTTCCTTAAACATTTTTTATCCAAGTGAAAAAATTACTCAGTGAAATAGAAGCGAGTGTACCTGGCAGACCATGAAGTAAAACAGCAACCCTAAGTTTCGAGGAGAGTGCTGATGGGCATAGAGGTGCGGAAAGCACCGATGCCAAAATATTTACTGTATCCTCCTGCAAAGGCATAGGAACCTTTGATCTAGATACCAGCAAGTCTGGTGGAAGACCAGAGGAGACAGTTCCTCCAAGTACAAGAGCGGTTTCGGAGTGATTGACTCGAAGAAACCTCTCATTTGAAGGTTCCATAGCGATGACCTGAGCACAGGAACTATATAACTCAGTATATTCTGGCCAAAATTAGTTTTTTTCTTCTCTGGCACAAAAAGAAAACAGTATCTTACCTTGAAATATATAAAGTCCTCGCTCTTGGAGCATAACCTTTGACTGCATGGGATACAAATGCTTGAACCACAGTTCCACTCAATGTAAATGCGGAATACATCGCCTCTTGACAGCTGTCTATCAATTCCAAAATACTCATGCAATGCGGAATCTATTAATCCTTGTCGCTCTTCGGCTTCAAATGACGAATTGACTCTGAGGGACTGAATGGTACCACACTCTGGGATTTTAACAAACGAAACTCTCAGATGTGATGCATAGCCTGGAACTTGGGACACAGGTTCTATATCCAAACCAATCTTTGATGCAGATTTTCCGTCTAACTCCCCGTCAAATTTAGCATCAAAATACTTCTCTAAGACCTCGTTCCCTCCATGGACGAGGGATTTCAGGCAAGATACGTGCAGGCTAAGATTAAAAGCTAACATTGGGGACAAGTAAGCAACCTCTTGATCTAATGAGTGTTGAGTCATCAAATCGTAAGTGGGAAACACAAGCATTGTATGAAGAGAGTCCGAAACAGGTAGGCTAGTGACAGATTCATCTTCCAGCGTCGTCGTCTTGGGAGGATCAAGTACAACAACTTGCGCTATCCGTTGGATGCCTATCTCGGTGTTGTTGATAACAACCTTGCATTATCAGATTACTCAATGTTAACATCAAACGAGTGCTAAGTGTGAATGAGCAACAAATACATTTCCCATCAAATAACAAACATGCCAAAGGAAAACGGGGAAATTGGACTGAAATCTTAAATTCGCGAATAAAGCATCCATTTTTCCAATTTCTAATATAAAGCATCCATTTTTTCCAATTTCTGCCATTGTAGTCAGTGAATGAACAAGCGAAGGACTTACCAAAGAGCCAGAGTTGATGGATAGTCTCTTGAGCAATTGAGTCGAGAGTCCGACCAATGCGGAGTCATCAAAAGAATCAAACTTTGCATCGGAATTTTTTTCTCCGTCCCGGTACCACCGGAGAATGCCCGCCGACAACCTAACGTTCCGCCGTAACAAATCGGATCCGCCCGAAATCCCGTCGGCAGCGACGGGTTGTAGCGAATTTAGCACTGAACGGAGTGTAGACCTAGTGGATGACAGAACCAGAGGATTCCGTCTCTCCACCATTGCAACGGAACCAAATCGAATTCCGAGTAAGCAAAGAGGCTAAGACAGAAAATGAAAAAAAAAACCCTAATTTCCCATTAGAGAGGCTTGAAGTTCCGTTGAAAAAAATCAAAGACGCGAACCGAGGAAGAGGATCAGATGATGCTGGCAGCAGGATGACGCGCCGACATACGTTTTTTTCCTTCTCCTTGTCTTTTGGTTAAATTACAGTTTCGATAGATATTCATTTATTCCGGTTAAGAACCAACTTTCCCTCTGTTTTTGTGTATACAAGTAGTCACGTTGGTCTAATTCTGATTTGAACATGAACAAATGTTCGGAAAGATAATCACTTGTTGTCCTATAGTCATCTTGACCTTGTTAAAGGTTTTTACTTTTTAGCATGAAAACTCGGAACTATCAAAACACAAAAAAAAAAAAAAAAAATCAGAGAAACATATCTCTAATTTTGACAAAACAAGCCCATGGTCATATGTGATGGTTCAAACTTTACTTTTTGTTTCGTTTAATTAATAGTACCTGTACATTATTGGTCAACCTTACTTCCATCAAACGCACAAAAAGCTTATCATATGTGTGTTAATTTATCATAATTACCATAAAATATAAAATTATTGGTTTCGAGGGGCTCGAGATTTTCGATCAGCCTAACATCATCACATGAACAGCCTTAAAGCTAAATATAAATCTCAATCGGTGTAATCACTAGGAATCACTACAGCTTTCTAATTTTTTTATTTTATTTTTCATAATCAAATCAAGAAAGTCCCTAATCTGTTTGGACCACAGATAAGAAGTGTACATACATATATTCAAAAATTAAAAGCATGGAGTGATCTTAAAGCTTGGTCTGCCAAATTATTCACATGATACAAATATATTCCTTATGTATATATATTTACTATGTAGTCTAATAAATAAATAAATACAAATCAGTTGACACAAATCAACTAATCTTAAATCAGTGATCATCTTAATTGGTGTTATTCAAATCGTTCAAGTATAAATTGGCTATTGTTTGTAGGCATTTCAATAAATCAACAATTTATAGCACAGAGTGTAGAATTAAATTTTTGTGGAATTAAATTTTGATTTGGTTAATTGATCGGAATTGGACAAACAAGAGTGGACATAATCATGAAACTATAGGTCATCATCACGATTACTGTAGGATAAAGATGAGAAAACCAGAAACATTAGCTAGTATAATGAGCTCAAAGGACACTAGCAATTAATGTATGTACATGCATATATTTTCACTAACTTAATTTCATCTATGATCATAATAACCTCAGCTTTACACGTAAGTAGCAGATTAATTAACCGAAATAATCAAAAAGTCTATTCTGTACCTTTTTGCATCATTAACTACGTACATTCACTGCAATTACAACCGCTCTTCTTCTTCTTTAGTCTAGAGAGAAAGAGAAAGAGAGAGACAGGAGAGATGGGACTTGTTACAGTCGGAGAACTGAAGCCAACTTTCACTGGAAAGAGAGGATTTCGTCTGAATTCAAGCATCAGACATGCCTCTGAGTGGTATAATATATACATCCCATATATACTCTGTTTTTTCGTAACTATTATTACCAGAAAGAAACATTTTAGTTAAAATGGTTCTTGTTTTGTCTGCATTCACATCTTTGTTTTTTGACGCAGATTTGATGATGATAAAAACTGTCAGAAAACGAATAAAAGATTTGTTCTTTCTGATGGAAATTTAGCTAAATATTCAATCTTGTATGTGATGTGAATCTGTAGCCACAAGTCATTTATTGTTATAGTCTTACTGTTCATCAAAAACCAATAATTCCTCCGTCTTGCTTTGTATCTATGTGGAACATATCCGTACACTATCACTTCATCTGGTTCTGTCTTCATTTGGAAAAGTTGGATGTAGACTTAACCTTTTACATGTCCCTTGTGAATCTAAATATGCCTTCATAACCAGGAAAAAAATACACTATTTTCGATGCTTAATTTACTGTTACCTTATCTTAGAATCTTAGCGTTGGAGTCATGGAATACAGCAGCAGTTCTTACATGATCGTCAAATTCAAGTCCACACATGCACATCTTTTGATTGTTAACTAAGAAATCTTTTCTTTTTCTTATTGAAAACCTCAGAACCTTGACGGGGTTTTTTATCTGTTCTCGCAGGCCAATATCCGATGTCTCTAGCGATCTTACAGTTCAAGTTGGATCTTCGAGTTTCTGTCTCCATAAGGTAAAAAGCAAACACAAGAACCTCAAAACAGAGTATCCTCTGTTTTAACAGAGATTCCCCTGTCTGTTCTTGAGTTGTATTGAAGTTTTAAACTTTTACTTGTTGTTTTGATTTTTTTCAGTTTCCTCTTGTGTCTCGGAGTGGAAAAATCCGGAAGCTTCTTACGGATTCAAAAATCTCGAATATTTGTCTCTCGAATGTTCCCGGAGGATCTGAGGCTTTTGAGCTCGCAGCTAAGTTCTGCTACGGAATCAACATTGAAATCAACCTTCTAAACGTAGCTAGGCTTCGTTGTGCATCTCATTATCTAGAGATGACAGAGGATTTCTCTGAGGAGAATCTCGCTCTCAAAACAGAACATTTCTTGAAAGAGACAATCCTCCCAAGTATTTCGAATTCCATCATCGTTCTACATCATTGCGAAACTCTAATCCCGGTCTCTGAAGATCTCAACTTGGTGAATCGGTTAATCATAGCTATCGCCAACAATGCGTGCAAAGAACAGCTAACCTCGGGTCTTTTAAAGCTCGATTATACGTTTTCGGGTATGAATATAGAACCAGAAACTCCATTAGACTGGTGGGGGAAGTCTCTAGCTGTTCTGAATCTTGATTTCTTCCAGAGAGTTGTCTCTGCGGTTAAGTCTAAAGGGTTAAGACAAGACGTGATCAGCAAGACTCTGATAAGTTACACGAATAAGTGGCTTCAAGGGTTAATCGTTCGCGATCCGAAACTGGAGAAAGAAAGGGTTCTTGATTCGGAACTGAAGAAGAAACAGCGATTGATTTTGGAAACGGTCGTGAGATTACTTCCTACACAAGGAAGAAGAAGCTCTGTCCCAATTGCGTTCCTTTCAAGTCTTCTCAAGATGGTCATCGCAACAACAACACCTGCTTCTTCAGGATCCTGTAGGTCAGATTTAGAAAGAAGGATCGGTCTTCAATTAGACCAAGCGATCCTCGAAGATGTCTTGATTCCGATAAATCCCAACGGAATCAACAACACGATGTACGACATCGATTCTATCTTGAGAATCTTCTCAATATTCTTGAATCTAGATGAAGACGACGAGGAAGAAGACGAGCATCATCACCGCCACCGGTTTGGAGACGAAACAGAGATGATTTACGATTTTGACAGTCCTGGATCTCCGAAACAGAGCTCGATCTTGAAAGTATCGAAGCTAATGGATAACTATCTAGCAGAGATAGCGTTGGATCCAAATCTCACAACCTCAAAGTTTATAGCTTTAGCAGAACTCTTACCAGATCATGCTCGTATCATCAGCGATGGACTATATCGAGCCGTGGACATTTACCTCAAAGTAAAAGAATAGTTTTCAATCTTTCTTTCCTTTTCAACCCTCCCAAATTCTGAAGTTGTCAAAATTCATAAAACTGTTTTCATCTTTGACAGGTTCATCCGAATATAAAAGATTCAGAGCGTTATCGTCTCTGTAAGACGATAGATTCACAGAAACTATCACAAGAAGCATGTAGCCACGCAGCTCAAAACGAGAGATTACCTGTGCAAATGGCGGTACAAGTGTTGTACTTTGAGCAGATCAGACTCAGAAACGCAATGAGCAGTAGCATTGGTCCTACTCAGTTTCTCTTCAGCAGTAACTGTCATCAGTTTCCTCAACGGGCAGGAAGTGGAGCAGGTAGTTTTACTTTATTACCCCTCTTCAATCTGCGAATTATATGTAACTGTTGTTTCGTAAAATTAAAACCTTTAAAACCAAAATCTTCCTTTCAAATATTCAGAAATTCTGCAACTTAACTGAAACGCTTTATTTTTTGCTATGATTGGTAGCATGGATGGTGTGTAATTCAGTCTCTGAGGCTAAAACCAAAGAATACTGTTTATAATTCGGTTTAGCTTTGATTCGTTTGAGGTTTATTTAAGTTATTTTGTTTGTGTTTCCTTGGATTACAAGGAAGTGGAGCGATATCTCCAAGAGACAACTATGCGTCGGTGAGGAGAGAAAACAGAGAGCTAAAGCTTGAAGTTGCGAGGATGAGGATGAGATTAACGGATCTAGAGAAAGATCACATCTCGATTAAACAAGAACTCGTTAAATCTAATCCAGGGACTAAGCTTTTCAAGTCATTTGCTAAAAAGATAAGCAAGCTCAATTCTCTTTTCAGCTTCAGTAGTCTTAAACCTTCCTTAAGCGGCAAGGCAAGTTCTGAGAGCCGTTTCTTGTTTCAGAAAAGAAGACGACACTCTGTTTCTTGATTTGAGAAGAAAAAAAAATAATCTTCACATTTCAATATTTTGATTCACTTTGTATAGTGAATGAGTAATTTTTTTTTGCTGGAAAGTTTGATTTCTGATTGCGTGTGCATGTATAGCTCTATATAGTTGTGTTTTGTGAAATGGGAGCGATCGTGTTTTGTCCGGTCTTTGCTATATAGGCTTGTATAAAATGTGTATGTTTCGAGAACATCATACTCTGACGCCTAAATACGGTGCCATTTTATTGTGGTGTTTATACGTGCCGTTTACTGTAGCTATTATACGGTGCCGTATTTTGGTTTCACTTAATACGCCCCGTTTTGTCCTGCCACTTTTGAATGATACGGTGCGGTTTGGTTCTGCGCTGTGTTTTTGACTTTTTAATCTCGACATCTCTTCCTCTTTTTATATCTGAGTGTTTTTACCGTTTACTGTTTCTCTTAAACCATATGGTTTCACGTTTCACGGCCGTCAATTATTCGAGGAAGATATCGAGAGTAACAAAAAAAAACTTAATGACATACGAATTCAGTAATTTCCCTTTTTTTTATCAAAGTTTTAGTTTGTTTCAGAATTCTCAAAATGTATAGCAAACGACTAGATAAATACTGCACTAAACTTTGATACGATTGCACAAACTAGTGCATCTATTAGTAAATCCTAAGGTAAATATAAAATCCAGACTAATTCTAACATTTGTAGAAAACCAAATTATCTTTGTTAACATGAATCATTACTTTGCATGTACTCTACTTAATATATGAACACAACTTCTTATTTTTCGTGGCAACTGATTAATTATCCAATTAACTGAATATTTATATTAGAAATTTGGTAATTCAACAGGTAACTGAATAAGTAACTAATCACATGGTACAATATTAGACATTTGCACATCCTGAACTTGTAAGAATTGGATAACAACACAAGTGACAAGGCATAATAATCATAATACCACTTTATTATAGTGTTCTCGGGTAAATACATAATATGCAAATACGATCTTATTGCTAAACAATTGCGATTGCATTCGAAACACAAAAGCGAATTGAATCAAGTCGCTTTTTTTTTTTTTTAAATCTTCTTCTTGTAATAATTGCTATATATATATGCTCCAAACGCTGATCACACTCTATACTAAAAAGATATATAAGTAATTAATAAAAACATTACGCGTTTAATTACGATGAAGGTCTTAAATCCATATGGCTCCAGCTCTTCTGAGCAACGAACCTAGTTGGTTCCTGACTTGAAGAGACATAAGCTCATTCGCACCACCTATGAGCTGTTGCCCTATAAAGACAGCTGGCACGGTCGGTTTGCACCCAAGCTCGACCAGTGCTCGTTCGATCTCCGATCCGTTAGACATCTCATCTAGCTCGTAGACCGTGGGATTCGCACCATAGCCAGATATAAGCGACTTGATCGTATGGCTCATACAGCATGAACTCCTGCTGAATATCACCACTGGCTTGTCTTCTAGTAGATTTGATATCTTCTCCATTGGTATTGTCCGAATGTTTGTGTGTGTGTATAAGTGGACTAATGTAAGCAACTTTCTGTGAGTAATGGAGAGATTTGGTTTGAGTCTGATCCAAGGAAAGTACGTTGTATATATAGAGGATTTTGTTTCGGTCAAATTATCGGGAACCCCTCTTATTTTTACTTTATTTGCATGTTAAACCCTACGCTGTTTTTAGTTAATGCTTTATACTTCTGATTTTGTTCAAATTTATACCTAATCTAACCTCACTCGCTCATTACATCCAACTTAATCCATATGATATCAAATCCAGATAAAACACTCGTCTTGTCGAGGCTATTTGATTTTAGCCTCCTTACAAAAAGATACATTTCTGAAATGCTTGATTTTGTTCAAAAGTTTGTATGGGATTACTATATTTTTTTTTCTGTTCAGGTATGCTTTCATTTTAGTTTTCAATTTCTTCATTAAAAAAGGAAAAATAAACCTAATATTTGAATAAAAAAGGCTTGTCTAACCCTCATTATGATAAAACCCTTGGCGGGATAATTATAAAATTACGAAAATATGGGGTTAATAACAGGAATTTTTTTTATTTTCTCGGACTATTATGTAAAATATATTATTGAAATGACAGAACGAGAGAAAAAGTTGGAGAACATTGGAGAGCTATCGGAAAGAGAACCACAATCAACAAAGATTCTATCTCGTTTACGATTTTCAGGAAATTTATAATAATTATTAAGAGAAAGAATCTCAGTACATTGGTAATGGGATTATACTAGCAAGACCACGAAAGAGCCATTGTCGTTTAGGCCGTACAAGGTGAAGAAGATCATAAGGAAGATGCTACCTCTGTACGTTCGGGATTATTCGACCGACAAGGAAAGAGAACCAATCAATATACTCTCCGAACAATCGCAATATATATATAAATTTGTAATGTATCACTTAACTTCGTGGTTTTCTCTTTTCTTTTATAATTTCACGTGTTTCATTGGGTTTTGCGTAATTAACTATATCACAATGTCATCGTTAAACTATGTTATCAATCACAACTTACAATATATACTTTTGCGTATTACAAAAGGAAAATGATTCGTACTTGTTTCAAGTTGTTGTATTTCAATTATTCTATCTTTTCACATCTCAATATGAACTTTGCCCTAAAAACGGGTTGGTTCATCATTTCGTATCTGTACTTCGAGTACCAGAACTTCGAACCGCCAGATAGTGGTTTACTCGGTTCGTTTTCTTGTATAAGGGTCAGTTTATTAGATACATAACACATAAATCTTGATCAGCCAAATAACCAAGCTATAAGGGATACACTGGGCTAAGTAATAGGAATGTAACAAACGGAAAATTAAATCGCAATTTTACATATATATATATATATATATATATATATATATAGTCAGCCCTAACAGAGACTATCCTTGGATGATGATACAAAGTACTAAGATAGAACACGTATATTACCTTACCGAGAACATATTCGATTAAAGAAGAGATTAGATTATAAGGACCCAACTTGCTTTTCATTTTCTCTTAGATTTTCTGAAATGTATTACTATTCTTATTTATTCCAATACTAAAAAATGTATCAAATAATATCCAAGGAAATTATGCGTATATGCGGAAAAATGAAAAAGCACTTGTAAGCTGTTTAATATTCTAAGAAGGCATGAACACGACAGGCCACGTATCTCTCACACATTGAAAGAACTTACACGTTTATCCATCTTTCAATTTGATGCTTGCATGCATGAAAAAAAAAAAACTTTTTTTTCCCTCGTGCATTCGTATAATTTTCAAGATCCTTGTGGTATATAAAGTAAATTGGCTCCAAGGAAATTCGAAGGGCCACTTGTTGTTATGCGTGAGGGTCACATTTATATATGAATGTTGAATTAGCCAATTATCTTTTCTTGGTGGGGTTGGGGTAAATAAGTTTGATGGGAGAAGCTCTATCTAGAATATATTAACTTTTGTGGGAAATATGATAGTATAAGTTAAGCATCGATCGTACCTGAAGGCAACACACATTGGCATATAAATGTTCCTTTTATTAAATCTTGAAATGTAACAAATCTGACAAACTAGAAAAATGCTTATTACGTTAAATGGCGGATCTAATACCACAATCACAAATATTCACAAGAATTATGATATGAGGATGGAAATCACAGTTTAAAAATGGATTGAAGAAAGCGACTACACAACACGATTATCATTTAAAACAGTAGTAATGATAGTGCTTTATCAAGTAAAACATAAACGCGCAATGCAGTTTTTTAGAAAACATTTAACAAAAACAAAATGTTCATTTCGACTTGCAGAATGAAATTCAATTCAGTTTACATGTTGATACGACTAAATTCACTTTTTAGTTTTTTTCACACATGCATATTGTATCTCATTCTGTATATATTTTATTATCTAACCACTACAGCAGAGCCAGATTACAAATCAAAGGCGGTTTAACGATGTTGACATTTGATGCACATGAACGTAAGTTTTGATTGCGTTAGATTCTACAAGTTAATTCCTCTGATGCCTTTTGCTGCGTTTATGATTGTGATGGATGTATGATAGTAAAGTGTCGTCATGTCAGCATATGAGCGTATTGTAATTATAGTTATAGCCTATATGTTACATAATTTTATATATATCAGTCTTCATCTTTATTAATTGTAGAGCCTGTAAGCTAGAGGTAACTACATTTTAAATTCTAGCTTAGGTTATATTCTAGCAATCCAATTTAACGGACCGTCACAGCATAAAAATTTACCACTACAACACAGCCAAAATCACATCAACTATGTCATTTACTAAGACAAAAACAGAACTGTTAAATTTTACAAAACACATCGGTTTTGAAAACCGTTGGGAAAGTAATTAATGGACTCGTGGTCTCATCTTGGGTCTCACAGGTTGAGGTCCTGAACCATTGGGCCGTTAGTAGGCTTTTAACACAGGCAAGAACTATTGACACGTGGCGATTAAAATAATAGTTATTTTTAATTTGCCATACTCCTCGTCCTTGAGAACAGAGAGAGCACCGCTCCGATCGACCTGCGGAGAAAACCCAACAAAACAAACAAAAACGGGACTTTTAATTACTCATGTTGTAGTTTCATGTTTCCTTGATCGCATTTTTCTTTTGTCCCCTCCTTGCTGCTGCTACTAGATCACTGAATTTCAGTTTTGGAATCTGTTCGTCCCCTCCTTGCTGCTGCTACTAGATCACTGAATTTCAGTTTTGGAATCTGTTCGTCTATGGAGGTTTCTTCTTTCGCCACTGTACCCAGACTTTGTTACTCATGCTCCTCTGTTCCAGGTTTCTTCTTCGTTTCACAGTTCCAAAAAATTTGGTGTCGGAATTCGATTAAGAGCTTACTCCTGATATTAATCTCCGTGGGGGGAAATATTTAATTTGTTCTCTCGATTCATATTGCAGAATCGTCGCGATTTAAAGGAGTCAAAGTTCACTTATGGGACCGATCTCCTGTTCCTGTTCAATTGAGCATACGAAAAAGAAGAAGCACTCGTAATCTGGTGGGTTTTCGATCTTAGATACGTATTGACTCTCTTGGGTTTTTCTTAATCTTCTGTACCAACTGGAATTGATCGGTTCTTACAGGTTTCATGCAGTCAGAAGAGAGATGTCGCTATCGTCGATGGAAGGTAAAATAATAGATCAGCTGATTTCTAGACTGATGTTGTGGAATTAAAGGATTTAGAGTTATGGGTCTGTTCCTCCTCCTCAGTCTCATAGTCATTTCAGTATCTTGCTGATTTCTAGTTTATGGTCTAGACCAACAAGTTGTTCTTTTTCGAAGATGAATCTTGCTCATGAATGGTCGTATCTATTAAAACACATTTTTTTGTTCTTTTTCTTGGAAGCTGTATGGATGAGATATATGATAAGCTGGCGGAACGCATTGTCCCTGCATCAGCAGCAATGTTTAGCCCCAATGTTAAGTAAGTTTGCTACTGTTGGGAAACACTATTGAAGTGTTGACTTTTCTTTTTAGATAACTCTCTGTTGAGTCGTGTAGACGTTTAGTCGGTTTGGCTGGTCCTCCTGGCGCCGGGAAAAGCACATTAGCAAATGAAGTTGTACGCCGTGTGAATAAGCTATGGCCTCAAAAAGCTTCTTCTTTTGATGCTGAGGTTACGCCTCCGGATGTCGCTATTGTACTTCCCATGGATGGGTTCCATTTGTATCGTTCCCAACTCGATGCAATGGAGGTTGAGCTTTATCTTGCTTTCAAGAGTTTTATTTCTCTTTCTCTATTGCTCTTAGTTTATAAAAACAGACTTTTGTTAACTCTCTCCATCTAGGATCCTAAAGAAGCTCATGCGAGAAGAGGAGGTGAGATCTGTTAGAATTATCTATTACGTAAGATTTCAAAAGATTCAAAATAAATTTAACCCTTTGTATCCATTGACCCAGCTCCATGGACTTTTGATCCCGCACTATTGCTTAACTGTTTAAAGAAGCTGCGAGACGAGGTATAGAGAAAGTTACAAGATTTTGGTTGAAACACCTTACATTAGACTCTGATTAGTTTTCAAGCTTTAGGGCTCAGTTTATGTGCCATCATTTGATCATGGAGTTGGGGATCCAGTTGAAGAAGATATCTTTGTTAGCCTCCAGTAAGTAGTCAATAGCCTCCTAAACTAGTCCAATCCGAATATAGTATTAGGAAATGGTTTTTCGTTTTGCCTCTTCCCGACACAATTAGTTTACCTTGTGTCCTCTTATTACAGGCATAAAGTGGTACTTGTAGAAGGAAACTACGTGCTGTTACAAGACGGATCCTGGAAAGACATCTCGGATATGTTTGATGAGAAGTGGTAAAACCAATCAAAAAGTGTTTTCCGTTTTCTTTCTCCTCACTCATGGTTTTTATTTATTTATTTCAGTTTTACCAATTAGTGTATTCCATCTTCATGTCAAGGTTCATTGATGTCAATCTGGATACAGCGATGCAACGTGTCGAAGCCCGACATATCTCAACTGGTACGCGCACAAATTTTTCTTTTTGATTCTCAAAGACTCGTAGTGACCATAGAGCAACTCGTTTTTGGTTTTATACGTTTGTCCTATGGAAATTACAGGTAAACCGCCGGATGTTGCTAAATGGCGGGTAAAATCTCTGCTTCTTCTTTGCTTGATATTCAGTTATATGGTTTTACTTTTCATGGTTTCCTCAGTGAAGCTGCTTTTGAAATTTGGATGGCAGATTAATTATAACGACCGACCAAACGCAGAACTGATAATGAAGTCGAAGACGAACGCTGATGTACTGATCAGATCGATCAATTTTTGAATATGTGTTCTTGGCTATTGCACGAAACAGAGTAACAGACGATGGAGATGATGAGTAATAAAAAGACCCAATCTTTTGCTCTTAAAGTGAAGTTTGTCTTTGTGATCTGCAATGTCCCGTTTTTCTTTTGGTTTGTAGTGGAATATTTCAATAAGCATCTCTCGTTTGCACTACAATGTGTACCATCGTTGAAGTGTTTTACTGAACAACGATGTCATTTCATGTCCATGATCTATTCAAATGAATGCAAAATAATAAAAGAGGAAAATGTAAATTCATATTTTTCGTTTACTTTTTCACATGATTCAACGTTGTCACACACCTTTCATTAAAAAAAATCCAAACTACTAAAACTTAGACTACTACTATCCTTAAACCTTTCTTCTTCAAACTCCCACCAAAGTCCTTAAACAAAAACCAAAAAAGGTTAGTTTAACCAGATGATAAAATATTAGCCAACCAAGTGAAAAGCCTTTTCCTTCTTTTGACAAATCCCATTTTTTACTTCTTACTGCACAAATCCTACGTTGATTCTACCTTTCAATGAGTCACAACAGTGGTAGTAGTGGGAGGAAAAAGAGCAAAAAGCTGAGGACCGCTGGATGCAAGATCCTAGGGTGGAGGATTCATCTCTGGTTTGACGATTGAAGAAGATGTGTCTGGTGGCTGAGAATGGTAAATCGCCATAGCCAATGAGATTGGCATTATGCAAAGTGCCTTTGATTGCAGAAGCTGCATCGCTGCTCCAACGTTTTCTTCCATCAGCTTAGCCACTTGCCGCTCGGTCCCATCGTTTGACCATTTCTCCCACACGGCTTGCGTCTCATCCTGCAGAAAGGTTTTAAAACCAGAGTCAATGAGAAAACCCATAACCAAAGTCTGTTATTTAGTTATCTCCTTTTAATTTAAGTCTCTCTCTTTTCTCTCTAGTCTAACCTCAATTGATGAAGACAATGGCATTTCCGTGACTAGTGGAGCAACAGCACCGGCTCCACCAAGACGGCTCATGCTCAGGACCTGCCATAGTTGACCAGAGAATAAAGCTTATGAAGGAAACGTATTATCAAAAGCTCATCATTGCGTGGTATTCTTCAATGTTCTCATTAGCTTTGTTACCATAGTTCTAAACTGCGATGATTCTCCATAGGAAGAAGCAAGCAAAAAGTGAAAGAGGCTAACGCCAAAAAACACACAATCATGTGCTCTTTGATTACCCTCAATTACCAGATTAAACAATTATAATCTTTTATTCAGAGAGGAAGTTTTGGTTGAATGGTGGGGACCAAAGATTTTATACCACCAAATCCTTTTAGGGATATTGAAAAAATCTCTTTAGAAACTTTTGTAACGCTTAACATTTCTAAGATCTCTTACCTTATGTATAGATTAGAGAAGCAAAGAACTTTTAAACTAAAAAGAATGGCTGGTTATATACCTTAACTTGGAGCCTGAGGAACTTTACATAATCGACAATCTCATCGATCATAGCAGCCCTATCAGTCTGCAAAGGAAAACAAATGAAACAGAAATCTTCGTTATCCAGAATTCCAAAGGTTGCACATACTGCAGTTTATATAATGCCAATCACTTGTCTCTACTTGAGAATTCCAGTATTCTGGCTAACTTGAGATTCCTCTTTCAAGCTTTCTCCACGAACTTAGAAAAGAATATTGACTACTGACCTTGTTCACAGTAGGTACGAGTTCCTGTAACGCCCTGATCCGTTCTGCTATCCTTTCCCTACGCAGCTGTTGCCAAGCAAAAATATTCAGTTTAGGTCTCCATAAGCACAACAAAACAGAATCTTGTCAACTGAAAGAGGTTATAGCTGGGAAGATAAGAAAGTGTATCAAACATATTACTCGCTCAGCGATGCTATGTGGATCGGTGGCCTGGCCTCGCCGAGCCCTAACTCTAGGTCGGATTGAAGATTGTTGATGCGGCATTGGTGGAGCCGGCTGTGACATTGGCTGCCCATGGTACACCTTTCAAGCAAACACAATAAAAAGTAAGACAATGAAGCAATAACGTTAAGAAAAAAGCTTTAAAACCAGTTTCACTAGAACCGACTCCACTAGAGCACTTGATGCAACAATACTAATCATTTCAACTTGGTTGATAAGATTACCGACAGGAGAAAAGAATCTAAAGAGCATTTTTTTCGACATAAAGAAGACTGAGTTATACTATTTGGAAAAGTTGTTTGTAAAGTTAAACAGTGTTGTGACTTGATTAGCATCAAACAAACCAATATCCGTCAAATTTCACCAATCCGAGCATAAACGTCGCTGAAACAATCAAATTTAGACCTAATCCTTAGCAAAATTGTAGCTTCAATAACTGTTTTTTTTTTGTTCTCTCTTTCAAAACGTTACCTTTTTTAAACCCTAAAGATTTAATTTCACTTTTTTTTTCTTTCTTGAAACCCACAGACACAAAACAAAAACTGAAGATTTCAAGAAACTTACAGGTTTCATGGAGGAACATCGATTATCAACAACATCATCTTGGAAACGTTTCCCACTTCCATGAACACCTTCGGGTTTAAGAAACCCATGTCCTTTCCCTTGATCGAGGCTTAATCCCAACGGAAACATCTGATTATGAAACCCTAAAGGTCCACCTCCTCCAATGGCTCCCATATGATTATGATTCCCCTCGTCGCCGGAACCGAGCTGAAGCATCATCGGCGGTGGACCGACGCCGCTTAATCCTCCGGCTAGTCCAGAAAGCCCAGAACCGGATGATGCAGAGAAGTTTGAAATCCCGAGTATCTGCTCGAAGAAATCGTCGGACGGAGACTGATCGGAGAGATTATCATGTGGGTTGTTGTTACTAGCCATGGAAACGAGTTAAGTTAAGATTACGACTCGGTCGAGTTAGGTGAGTTAAGGATAGCGAGTTAGAGACCTTGAAGAACAATCTCCATGCGAATCTACAGTAGAGAAAGGAAAAACAAATTTTATTTTTTCTTGGGTGTGGAGTTGTTTGGTGAATGATGATGCTTAAGCTAATGACGACGCAGAGACAGAGACGAGAAAGGAAATGACAAAAAGAGTGACTTTATGCTCTGTTTATTGTTTTAAAAAATATAAATCGTTGTTGATAAAAAGACCTTACTTTAACGATTATTTTCGTTTTTGCCTTTCTTCCTATTTACCTTCCAGAAACTTGAAGTGGGCTTATTTGTTTTTAAGTGGGCTTTTTGTTTTGACTTTCTTTAATTGATTCACCATAAAGTAAAGAAAAGGTCTTAAGAAAATACCAACCTCTTTTTAGTAGAATGTTAAAAATTTGTATAATAAGATTTTATAGTATTGTAATGGTAATGGGAAATTCCCCGTATTGTCGGGGTCGTCATCATCTCGTTCTCGTTAGTGGTAGAAAATAAGACATTTTATTAAAAAAATATCTCTTGTCGTTTTTTCCAAAATTTAGCACTCATGAGTAAAGCTTTCTCTAACTAATAGGATCATGAAACGTGTTAGATTTGACAGATGGTTTTACCACTTGCTTCTTCCTGTCTTTCAATATGGTTTAAGAAAGTTTTGGCTTATTAAAATCATGTGGATGAATGAAGGCTATATATATATATATTTCAGACTGAAAGTTAACATTTTTACTCATCATCATTTTCTTTTTATTTTAGTTTGATATATGCATTAACCCATTTAAAACTCGATTTTTTTTTTTTTGTTGAAACAGGGAACACGTATAGAGTTTTATAATGTGGCCATTGTTATTCTGAATTTCTAAATAATAATGTACTTTTTAAGAAGAAAATTATCACGAATAAACAAATGTCAGGAAAGATGGGTTAGATTAATTTTGTTTTGTTGACGGAATTCCATCTTGGGCTTGCAAACTTAAGGCCCAGTAAGTAGTTTACACTTTGGGCCTGAAGGGATCTAATGTGGTTGAAATTACGATTGACATCTTGTATCAAAATCATGATGTAATAGACATTTTCTTTGCCCTGCAACTGCAATTTCACCTGCTTTTTTTTTACTCCGTTTCTTTAAACGATTTAACAACACAGACCGACAAACAGTAAGAAAATAGCCGTTGTAAAAAAATAGCTTACATAAACGATAAAAAAATAGCCGTTGTAAATTTGCGTGATATCTGTACAGTTTCGAATTCCGATCACAATTAGCTCAGAGAATCGAGGGCCCTTTTTGCGTCGACCTTGCTTTCTCTGTGACCGTTTACTTTCAAATCGGATAAACGCCTTACCTGAGATGTCTAGCTTAGGTCAAACACAGTTCCGCTACACGCAGACGCCGTCGAAGGTGGTCCACTTGCTGAATCTTCTATGGGAATGCGTCGTAGAGGAGCTCATCGACCTATGCAAACGATTCGGCAAGATCGTCAATACCAAGAGCAATGTCGGCGGCAATCGCAACCAAGCCTTTGTCGAATTTGTAAGATTTCTTCTCCGATCAGATTGTTTGTTTCACTTTCCCCAATTTCTTCTTCCTGGGTTTTGGATTAGGGATTGATAAAAGAGAAATTGAAGCTGCTCTCTGGTTGAAATTGAAGCTCCTTAACCACACAAAGAACAATTGAAACTTTACAGTCGAATTCTCATTGAACTGTGTAGTATCTCGCCTTGAATTATGAAGCATTAAGCTGTGAAATCTATGGCTGATTCTTCTTGCTGCTATTCGTTCCCTTCCTTATTCTCAGTTTTTCGTATTGTTTTGGCGATGTCTCTTGACGAACTGTTAATTTGCTTTACAGGCTGACTTGAATCAGGCTATATCGATGGTTTCGTATTATGCTTCATCTTCAGAGCCCGCACAAATCGGCACGAGATAGTAAACAATCAGAGTCCTGGAGATGTCCCTGGAAATGTGCTGGTGGTTACCTTCGAGGGAGTGGAATCTCATGAAGTGAGCATCGATGTGATCCATCTGGTAAGTGCCTCAATCTTATTTTAGGATTCTGGTCTGTGAGCTTCTTTCGTTTGATTTGTTTTTGTCAATGTGGTAGAAACTGGTTAATGTTTGATAAAACTTGAGATTGATGCTTGTACATGGGTGAGGCAGTGTGTTGTGCTTCGAGCAGATGAATACACAAAAAGATTTCGAGATTTGTTTCAAACGTCTTGAAGAAAATGAGATGATGTGAAACTGATTATTATGATAACCTGCCAGGCGCTAGTTCAATTTAGTGATGTGGAGACTGCATCAGCGGCAATGAATGCGCTGGATGGCAGAAGTATACCCAGGCATGCTCAAACTCTTTATGCATCATGCCCTTTGACCCATGTGTTCTCGCCTTAAGACACAGCTCTTTTGATGATTTCTTTTGTTTTTGAAACATTCTACTTCAGATATCTGCTTCCAGAACATCTTGTCTCTTGCAATCTGCGAATGTCCTATTCAGCTCTATCTCATGTATTTACATCATTTAGGCTTGCATTTAGTGCATGTTTTGGTTCTCTTTTGCACATCTTTTTTATCTTTTGCATAACATGTTGCCTCTTGCAATCTGCGAATGTCCTATTCAGCTCATACTGATCTAAATATCAAGTTTCAGTCCCACCGTAGCAGGTAATGTTTTGAGCCATTGCAAATGTACCTCTGCATATACAGCCAGTAATGTTGGAAACGTGATGTTAAAATAGTTGGCTCATGTGTTTGATTCTTGTACCTACTCAGGGATTACACAAATCCATACCTTCCAGTGAATCATACCGCAATGGACGGGTCTATGCAGGTAAGGTTTCCTTTCGTCCGTCCTCGCCACCCTTTTATCTAATCTTTCTACACCAACTTTTTAGCTTTCTTACATTTTGACTGCGTTATGTTATATTACTGATCGTCTTTTGACATGACTGCATTCAGCCTGCCTTGGGTGCTGATGGAAAGAAGGTAGAAACTCAGAGCAACGTCCTGCTCGCTCTGATTGAGAATATGCAGTATGCTGTCACTGTGGATGTTCTTCACACGGTGAGAAAGGAACAACAGTAACACAAATATATGTCTGCTTCTCAGCATGCTTTAATCTCTAGGAATTAATTATTTCCGTTGCTTCCCACAGGTGTTTTCCGCTTATGGAACTGTCCAGAAGATTGCTATATTTGAGAAGAATGGTTCAACACAAGCCTTAATTCAATACTCTGGTACAACAATCCCTTTATGATTAAAAAAACTTTCATTTATGCAAAGCACTTGAATACAGTAATCGTTTGGTTCATGATTGTTTTTAAATAATTCAATGTAGATATAGCAACGGCGACAATAGCGAAAGAAGCAGTGGACGGACACTGTATATATATGACGGTGGCTACTGTAATCTACGTCCTCAAGCCACCTCCATACTCTCTGGTATGATTTCTTTCTTCAAGTCATTTTGTGATATGATAATAAATATATATTTTTGCTTCTTGATTAGGTGATATGATAATAAAACTTTTACTTTTTTTAATTATTAGATGAATTAAAGAAATTTGATTACTAAATTGCATAATGTGTGAAAACACACCGAATATTGCATCTAGTCATTTGACGGTTAGAGGTGTTATATGTTCAACTTGTTTTCACACTATATTGTAAATTATAGTAATCAAATTTCTATTAATTTGCTAATAAAAATATTTTTTCACTAAATAATAATAATGGTAAATTTAAAATTAAAATAATAGTCATAAGAATTTTTATAAAAATAGTATTTTTAGTGTTTACTTTTTAAAAGTAATAGTAGTATATAAAAATAATAATATATAAAATAGTATTTTAAAAATTTTTACTTTTTAAAATTATTTGATGAATTAAAGAAATTTGATTACTAAATTAAAGAAATTTGATTACTAAATTGCATAGTGTGTGAAAACACACCGAACATTGCATCCAGTCATTTGACGGTTAGAGGTGTTATATGTGCAACTTGTTTTCACACCATATTGTAAATTGTAGTAATCAGATTTCTATTAATTTGCTAATAAAAATATTATTTTCACTAAATAAATAATAAGGGTAATTTTAAAAATTAGAATAATAGTCATAAGAATTTTTATAAAAATAGTATTTTTAGTGTTTACTTTTTAAAAGTAGTAGTAGTAGTATATAAAAATAATAATATATAAAAATAGTATTTTAAAACTTTTACTTTTTAAAATTATTTGATGAATTAAAGAAATTTGATTACTAAATTGCATAGTGTGTGAAAACACACCGAACATTGCATCCAGTCATTTGACGGTTAGAGGTGACATATGTTCAACTTGTTTTCACACCATATTGTAAATTATAGTAATCAGATTTCTATTAATTTGCTAATAAAATTATTGTTTTCACTAAATAAATAATAAGAGTAATTTTAAAAATTAGAATAATAGTCATAAGAATTTTTATAAAAATAGTATTTTTAGTGTTTACTTTTTAAAAGTAGTAGTAGTATATAAAAATAATAATATATAAAAATAGTATTTTAAAAACTTTTACTTTTTAAAATTATTTGATGAATTAAAGAAATTTGATTACTAAATGACAGTGTGTGAAAACACACCGAGCATTGCATCCAGTCATTTGACGGTTAGAGGTGTCATATTTTCAATTTGTTTTCACACCATATTGTAAATTGTAGTAATCAAATTTTCTATTAATTTGCTAATAAAAATATTGTTTTCACTAAATAAATAATAAGGATAATTTTAAAAATTAGAATAATAGTCATAAGAATTTTTATAAAAATAATATTTTTAGTGTTTACTTTTTAAAAGTAGTAGTAGTATATAAAAATAATAATATATAAAAATAGTATTTTAAAAATTTTTACTTTTTAAAATTATTTGATGAAATAAAGAAATTTGATTACTAAATTGCATAGTGTGTGAAAACACACCGAACATTGGATCCAGTTATTTGACGGTTAGAGGTGTCATATGTTCAACTTATTTTCACACCATATTGTAAATTGTAATAATTAAATTTCTATTCATTTGCTAATAAAAATATTTTTTTTCACTAAATAATAATAATGGTAATTTTAAAAATTAGAATAATAGTCATAAATTTTTAGTATTTACAAACTTTTACTTTTTCTCACCTCTCTCTTCCGACGTTCAGAGCTGCCAGCAATCCGCTCGCACTACTCACCGCTGATACCAATGCGTGTCGAGGTTGTCCCCAGTACAAGCAGAGTGATCCAGACGTTGCTTCTATGGTTACTACTAGTATTACTAAATAAAGCTTTTCACTACTTCCTAAATTTTACAGTTTTTTAGACGTATATACTCATTTTGCTCTAAAATGTCAATTTTCTCTAAATTAATAGCAAATAGATACAAACTAAATTTCAGTTGACCCATCAACAAAAACGCCAGGTGGCGCTACCTCTCACCGGCCAAAATCTCCAACAATCTCGGCGACTTACATGGTAATTAAAATCAATGAACACCAAAGAAACTGCATTGACCAAACAAACAAACAAAAGACAGAATCAGAAAACAAACAAATCACACACACAAAAAAAAAGAAACAGAGGAGAAAAAAGGAGACGACGAGGAAACAAAAACAAATAAAACAACCCTCGTTCTTCCCTTTTCTCTCTTCAAATCTTTGTCTTTTTCAAATTTTCAATTTTTTTAAAAAAAATCCATTTTAATAATACGTAATAATAAAAAATGGGTTCGAGTAAACTTAAACGAGCCATAGGAGCCGTAAAGGACCAAACCAGCGTCGGTCTTGCGAAAGTCAACGGTCGAAGCGCCTCTTTATCAGAACTTGACGTAGCCATCGTTAAAGCGACCCGTCACGAAGAGTATCCAGCGGAAGAGAAATACATAAGAGAGATCTTAAGCCTAACTTCTTACTCACGCAGTTACATCAACGCTTGCGTTAATACGCTTTCGAGACGTCTTAACAAAACCAAATGCTGGACCGTTGCTCTCAAGACCTTGATTTTGATCCAACGGCTCTTAGGAGAAGGAGATCAAGCATATGAGCAAGAGATCTTCTTCGCCACTCGCCGTGGCACCAGGCTTCTCAATATGTCTGATTTTAGGGATGTTTCGAGGTCCAACTCCTGGGATTACTCTGCTTTTGTAAGGACTTACGCTTTGTACCTTGACGAAAGGCTTGACTTCAGGTAAGAGTTTTCAATTCTCGAGCTTTCTTTCTCCGGTGAAGATTCATTTCCAATTTTTCAGGATGCAAGCGAGACACGGGAAACGCGGAGTATACTGCGTTGGAGGAGATACAGAGGAAGATGAGAAAGATAAGCCAGCCGCTGATCTCTCCACGGCTATAGTACAACCGATCGCCGAGATGAAAACAGAGCAAATCTTCACCAGAGTTCAACATTTGCAGCAACTTCTTGACCGTTTCTTGGCTTGTCGTCCCACAGGTAATCTCACTTTTCATCTCTCTGTTTTGTTGTTTCTTGGATGACAATTTATGTATGATAACAAAAAATTATAAGGTAACTTTTTTTCTTGAACAGGTGGCGCGAGGAACAACAGAGTTGTGATTGTGGCTCTGTATCCGATAGTGAAGGAGAGTTTTCAGATATATTATGATGTAACAGAGATAATGGGAATTTTGATCGACCGTTTCATGGAGTTAGACATTCCTGATTCGATCAAGGTCTACGACATTTTCTGTCGTGTCTCGAAACAGTTTGAAGAGCTCGATCAGTTCTATTCCTGGTGTAAGAACATGGGGATCGCACGGTCTTCTGAGTATCCAGAGATAGAGAAGATCACACAGAAGAAGCTTGATCTCATGGATGAGTTTATAAGAGACAAATCCGCTCTGGAACAGACCAAGCAATCAAAATCTGTTAAATCCGATGAAGAAGGTGATGAGGTGAAAACAGAGGAAGCAAATGAAGAGCCAGAAGACATGAACGCGATCAAGGCCTTACCTGAACCTCCGCCAAAAGAAGAGGAAGACGAGAAACCCGAGGAAGAAGCAAAGGAAGAAGTGATAATAGAACAAAAACAAGAAGAAGTTGATGATTTGCTAAATCTTGTGGATATAAACGGCGGTGAGGCTGCAGAAGCTGGAGATAGCTTAGCACTGGCTTTATTCGATGGGCCATACGCGAGCGGTTCGGGTTCAGAGTCCGGTCCAGGATGGGAAGCGTTTAAGGATGAGTCAGCGGATTGGGAAACAGCTTTGGTGCAATCAGCTACAAACTTGTCTGGACAAAAGACGGAACTCGGAGGAGGCTTTGATATGTTGTTGCTTAACGGAATGTATCAGCACGGCGCTGTGAACACCGCTGTGCAAACCTCCACGGCTTATGGAGCCAGCGGAAGCGCGAGCAGCATGGCGTTTGGCTCTGCAGGAAGACCAGCAGGTTTTAAAAGAAACATGACTTTGCTCTGTTTTTAGTTTCTTATAAATATGCTGTCTTTCGTTTTGCTCTGTTTCTGGTTTCTTATAACATTGCTCTGTTTTCGTTTGCATTCTAATGAATTTTCTGTTATAGCAACTATGCTCGCACTTCCGGCACCAGCAACGGCTAATGGAAACAGCGGAGACGGCAACGGCCTGGTTCCCGTGGATCCATTTGCAGCGTCGTTGGTGGTTGCGCCACCACCGTATGTGCAGATGAATGATATGGAGAAGAAACAGAGAATGTTGATGGAAGAACAGATGATGTGGGACCAATACTCAAGAGAAGGAAGACAAGGACACATGAATGTAAGGCAAAACCAAAACCAAAACCAAACTAATTACTCTTACACACCTCAATATTGATTCTGCGCCATGGGAGGAGCTCTTGTTGAGTTGTACCGGCCTTTTACTTTGGTGTACCAATCATTTTGGTCTTATAGATCTACTATTGGCGTTATTCTTTTTTGCAAATTCAAACATTTTTTTTCCTGTTTTTGGGGTCAAATGCATTGGGGCATAAGTGAGGTTTGCTTCTGTAATTGTAATATCTGACTTAACTTTACAAGATAAAACTTAAATACCGTATGATTTGTTACCGCAATCATAGCTAATATCCATTGTAAAAGCTCTAGTGCTTCACACCATAGCTTCTGTTTGATTTGCCTGCAGAAAGAGAGAATTTTGATTGATGAAGATACCCAATTTCTTTCTTAAGAACTTAATCTTCTTGGCAGAAAGGTTTTCGTACTTACAGAACTGAAAGCATGGTTGTTTCATTACAGGATCATCTTTGATCTCTGGAGGGTCCTGTCCAAACATCATCTTACAGCTAAGATCATTAAAATCTGCAAAAAAAAAAAAGTCAAGGAAAATGTTAATAGGTGTTATCACATTGAAAACAAAAAGAAAGAATGATTGCTTGTGTCTTAAGTCAACTCATTGACTTCTTAGAAAGAATAATCGCTCATCATCATACAGCTTGGAGACTT